GATGTTTCTGACAAAGATCTAACTGGCAGCAAGACTAACTATTGCTAAGGACTGGAGGGAGACAACTGGAGCGAATCTTTCCTACTGGTACCAGTGTGGGATGTTGCATTTATGGAGACACCAGCCCCCAAAATGAGTGTTCTATGCGGCACCTCAGAGACAGGCAAATTTGCTTCAACTTGGAGCTCTTTTATTATTTATGCTAATAAGGAAGACCATTCACAGAAACCAGTGGCGTAGGGTGGGTTGTCAGCACCCGGGGCAAGGCAAGTAATTTGCGCCCCCTAACCCATGAGAGAGAGTGAGTGAGCCAGGTAGGGGCAGAGAGCTGCGAGTGCGAGCGCCCCCCCCCCCAGATGTTGCGCCCGGTGCGGCCGGCCGCCCCTGCAACCCCCACGCTACGCCACTGACAGAAACACCCCCCATACTACATAAAAACTAGGAACGCTTAGCCTTTGTATTTATGCTTTAGTGTTGCTTTCTCATCTTGTTCATTGCACTTATGGCGATGGTCTTATTCGTTTATACCTTGTAATGTAAACCATTTTCCTGGCCTTATTTGTCTTCTCTGTCTCTAATTTGTAATAGAGTTTTGCTGAAGTATTATTCTGGAGGATTCATTAAGTGTGAATTGCAAACAAACAAACAAGTACAGTCATACCTCGGGATGAATACGCTTCGGGTTAAGCATTTTCGGGTTGTGCTCCGCGGTGACGTGGAAGTAATGGAGCACATTACTTCCGGGTTTCGCCACGCGTGCATGCGCAGACTGTCAAAATGACATCACACACATGCGCAGAAGCGCCGAAACGTGACCCGCGCACACGCAGATGCGCGGACACAGGTTACGCTTTGGGATGTGAACGGGGCACCGGAACATATCCCATACGCATCCTGAGGTACCACTGTATTTTATTGGGGGGCGTGTCTTGTAGCAGAGGGTAAATAGTTATTTGTTCTATTGTTAGTCAACCTTTGCAATAACTGTCACTGACTATTCTTGAAGAACATTTATACTGAAAACACACCCACACATTAATTTACTTTGGGTTTTTTACCTGGCTGGGTGCACTGCAAAGGGCCGCCCTTGTGAGCCCCTGGCCTCCTACCAACTTCATTTCTCAGAGGCATCTAGACCTATAAATTTATATGAGCAGAATTTGTGCCCATTTGAGCTGTGGTCCTGTGCCCCAAAGTCTCGCTAAGTGCCTCATGATGACTGCACCCTGCAAGGCACAAGTGGAGCAGGTCTCTTCTACCTGTGCCTGTTCTGACCCTGAATGCTGTATGGCTCAAAAATCAAGTAACCTAAATAGTTTATCTGTTTGATTGGGAGGTGAATTAGGTACGAAAACTGTTGAAATTCTAATTAAACCAGCTCTAGTTTGTCTCAACCCCCAGTTTCCATCCCAAGGTAAATATTCCCATTCATTTAAAGGTGGAACTAGGTGAGAGAGGTGAGAGAAGTAAATAATTAACCAATCTGTAGCTTTTTAAAAAATCCAAACAGTCATTTTAATCTTTGGGGTAATTGGTTCTGTTGTTGACATCAATCACAGCTGCAGCAATTATTTAACATATTTGATTATTCAGTCCAGAAGGGGTTCTTTTTTAATTTTTATAAAACGGTTGTACCAATGTTAACTTTTGCTAGTCAGTCAACAAATGTACCGAGTGCTTGCAGGGATGAAACACCTGTTCTTTTTGTCATATTTCAAATACTATCAAGCTGCTTCCCACTAGAAAGCCAACCCACCACTTAGAGATGTAGAAGGCCTTCACTTTTCTGGCACATAGCTAGAAAATGCATGCATATTTAGGAATGCAATGTAGTGTTGTGGGTAGAGGTTTGGAGGTGCACCAGATCTGGTTTCAAAATCTCACTTGGACATGCAGCTCTGGTTTGCACATAACACTGAGCTGTTGTTTGTTTAAAAAACCATGGGTTGTCACACAGACAAGCAGAGCATGGTTTGTTTCTCCAGTGCTTTCCAGTTGGTTTTTAGTGTCTGGGTTAGGGTGGTCAGCAGCCCATGGCTAAGGAAGGGTGCTGATGGTTGCAAACAGAACATCCAGCCATAGTTAAAACAAACCAAGGTTTTTAAGCCAAAAGCCATGACTTTAGATAGTAGTTTGTTGGCAGTAAACAATCCAGAGTTGAACTGTTCATAGTGGTTTGGTGTAATCCTAAGCTACTTCTCAGCTTTTATGTGAGGATGACATGGAATAATTTTAAACCCAGAGACCAGGAGACGAATCCTGGGATCTGTAGGATGGGAAATATGATCTTCTTAGACCATCTTAGGATGCAGTCACCAAAATGACTCATCTTCCAAAGACTTTCACAGATGGACAACAAACACCAATAATTTGTGACAGCTGCATCCTCAGGGAGGCATCCTTGTCCATAAACTCATACACTGACAACTTCTCCCCAGAAACATCCTCCTCTCTGATGATTCTTCATGCCCCAGTCCACCCATCCCAGAGGAAGTGGGAAGCATCAAACAGAGAGCCCACTGGAACACACCTCCTCATCAAAAAAACATACTGCCTTCAAATGAAAAGAGCTCTCCACCAGGGAGGTGGAGTCTGGGACGGATATGCATCCCTCTGAAAGTATCTCAACTCTTGGTGGTTGGTTTCAGAATTATTCTGGAGCAACATTCCATGTTACTAGTTCCTTGACTGAACCCTGGCAGGGTAACCAGCTCTGATCTTGGACTCCCACATGGTGCCTACCAGTGCAATCTACAAGGAAACAGACTTTGCAAAGAAGGGCCCATCTCTGGAATTCCTTGACACTAAGGGGAGGCACAGTGGTCAATTGCCCCTTCTAGGAATCACGTTCAGCAAAATGGAGATTAAGAGGAAGAGCATGAAATAAGAGATACAAGGAAGTCCTGAAGTGTAGGTGGATTCCCACAAGGCAACACACAGTGATAACAGCAAGAACTTTTATTGAACCACATAACTGGAAAACGGGGGAAAGCAACTGCTTATATACACTCCTGAAAGCCAGGGCCACTCCCAACGTGATTGGCTGTCTAAACTTCCAAGCTGCGAATCACGACTCAAGTATCAAGGACCAATGGCAGAGGGCCCAAATCCTGAAATGTTCTGTGATTGAACATCATGCATCGAATCAGAACACAGGAGCTCAGAATCCTTAGTCCAGGCCAACACAGATCACTGAATACATAACAGTCTTTCCTCATGCAGTGCAACCTCTGGAACTCCCTCTCACAGGAGGCATTGAGGAACACCAACCTCAACAGCTTTAAAAGAGGATTGGACAAATTCCTGGAGGAGGGGAGGCCTATCAGTGGCTCCCAGCCAGGACGGCAGAGGCAGTGATGCTCCTGAATACCAAGTGCTGGCAGGCGCAGGAGCAGAGGGGGCTCTTGTACTTGGGCAGGATTCCTAGGGAGCATCTGGGGGGCCACTGGGAGAAGAGGATGCTGAACTAGATGGGCCATGGGCCTGATCCAGCAGGCCTCTTCTTACGTCCTAAGAATTTATATCTTCATGCGTAATATGCTTATATTATATATAAATTGCTTGCACTTGCAAAGTATGACTCACTCTGGTAAACAAAAACAAGCTGTTTTCCTCTTGGGTAGATTCCCTCCTGCTGCTGCTGCTCATCCCCCTTCCTCCTGTTTCCTCATTTCTTGAGTTCAAATGGGCCTCAATATCATGCCCAAACTCCTTGCACACTCACCTCCCACAACAGGGTGGAAATGAGAAAGGAATATTTTGCAAAACAGGAGCTATAAACACACACTTACATACAACAATTTCCCATTATTATTATTATTATTATTATTAGTCAGAAGTTTGATGTTTCTGATTGTTCCTCTTGTTTCATGGCACTCTTTTATCTTGAGCTGCCCAGAAAAGTAGATTCAGGCAATGGACACTGTAATTCACCTCTTAGTGATTTCTGCCCTCTTGGGAGGTGGCAGCCCAGGGAATCCCCCCCCCCACAGAGGTTCCTCTGGCACCATCACTAGATCACTTTCATCCTATCCTGAAGATATCCCTCCACCCCAAACTTTGACCCCTAGATTTACAATTTGTTTTATTATCCTGCACTCACCCTGATTTACTTGATAATGATAATTAAATATTATAAAAGCAAATCTATTAAAATACAGATGGTAAAATGCATTATTTTTTAATGTAACTGCTTAGAGATTAATAGTCCCCTTAGGACACTTTGCAGCCCCTCTTGCATCTTCACTTTCCTCAGCACCTCAGGCTCATCCACAAACTTGGCTGCCTGGCTGTGGACATAAATGCCTGGTGCATGGTGCGCAAACGGGCTCCACATGGCTTCCTTCTCTCCACCTTCCAAATGGCTCCTACCCTCTGCTCCAGGGGTAGCTAACGTGGTGCCCTGCAGATGTGCTGGACTCCAACTCCCATCGTCCCTGGTCCACCCCCCTCCCCTCGAGTGATGCAATCCAGCAGTGTCTGGAGCCCCCACATTGACCACCTGTGCTCTCCTTCTGTTTCCTATCCCGTTCCCATCAGAGGACATGTCTTCTTTCTCCATAAATGCTATGTTTACTCAAGAGGCCTTTGGTGAGGACATTTATTAAGAGCTTTCTGGAATTCAAATACGCAATCTGTGCCAGATCCATCCTATTTATTGACCCTCTCAGAGGACTACTTTTGCAGAAGACCTGCTGGTTCTGCCTCAGCTAGGCTTGCTCTTCTGCACACCCGGTAATGCTACACTTGCAATAATGCTTGCCACCTACTTACCAGGAACAGATATTATGCTAACTGGCCAATAATTTCCTGGCTCCCTCAAATCACGTTTTTAAGAGCAGCATTATATGACGTATTTTCCAATCCTCTGGAAAGGAGGTAAATTTTAGAGACACTGCAATTTTATTTTATTTTATGTGCTCATTCACAAGACGAGCAGGATTCTCACAGATTTGTAGGACAAAGTTGACATAAAGCAAACCCTGTCAAGAATCGAGGGCCTGCCAGTCCTGAAGCACCCGAACAGCTAATGTGCCTCTGTCCCTGTATATTGTTCAAAACAGACAACTTCCTCACAGCTGCCATGTCAAACATGTTGGCAAGGAGACATGGCCCATTTTTATTTAAATTACTCCATTTATTTTGCACTGTGCAGTTGTCAGAGAAATGCCTTTCTCTCTATATCCGTTGGATAAGAGGGAAAGCATTGTTTTGTCACATGTACACTGGAATGCATTTATTTTTCTCAATTGTTTTTTTTAAAAAAATAATAATCTTTGTTTGGAAGGGATTTCTGGTTCTTTGAATGGACTCATACGGCTGAGGGAAATTGCTGTATGGGGTTCTATTCATGCAGCATAATGATCCCACTAAAAGATCATAATTCCTGGTAACAGTAACAGCACCATTCAGGATGGCTCAGCAGCTGCACGCCTGCACTGTGTGGTCTTTAGAATGCGCGGCTTCCATTTGGCAGCTCCATTCCACACAGTACATGAGATCTGCCATCCGCAAACCCACAAAGTTAATCCTACAAACTCCTCTTAAGTGCCGCCTGATGTTTGAATTGTCAGAGTTACATCACTTCCGCGCCAATTTCACTCCTAACAAGCGTTCAGGTAACTTCAGTGCAAATTCTCCTGGGGTCTTATTTCACACGGGGCTGGTGGCTCTTATCTGCCTGCCCAGGAGTCGGACTGAGGCAGCCGCCTCCGGAGGCAGAATCCACGGGCAGACAAAGAATTAATACAAAATAGGAAAGGGTAATATCTAGAATGTACAAGCTTCTTTTAGAATGGGAGGTGAAAGAAGTAGTGATTAAGTGGGCGAAAGATTTTGGTAAAAATATCCAACTATCGGCATGGGAAAGATTATGGAATAAAGAATGGAAATTTACGGCCTGTTATACACTAAAGGAAATCTTTTGAAGATGTTCTACAGGTGGTATATAACTCTCAGCAAACTATCCAAAATGTGTAAAATGAGATCTAATACTTGCTGGAAGTGTAAACAGGCAGAAGGGACACTGTTTCTTGTGTGGTGGGGTTTTATATGAGGAATTGAAAAAAATAAATGTTTATGTAAACTTTCATAAAGAAACCAGAAGCTTTCCTCTTGGGCATTTTAGACCCAGATATTCCAAATGGAAAAAAGAGAGAATATTCTTCTATGTCACAACAGCAGCAAGAATATTAATTGCCAGAAATTGGAAAGGAGAGTTAGTGCCAACAAAAGACGAATGGCAGGATAAATTATTTGAATATCCTGACCTGGCAAAAATGATGGAGATAATTAGGAGACAGCCAAACCAAAAGTTCAAAAAGGTGAGGGAAATTGATAAAGAATATTTTTTTAAAAACCAGTGCCCTCAAGTTAAAACCTGGACATGCTTTGATTAATTTTCGCAAACTACAATTTGGATTATAAGTATAGTATTCAGATAACAGAAGAAATGGCGAAATGGTTAAAGAAGCAGTTTAACAAATAGATAAGACAGACCCACTTTGAGGAAGACGGAAGTCTATGGGGAAGATAAGGAACTGGGAATTAAGAACATGGTGGCATAAGTTCTTTTGTAAGAACTTATGGAGTTATGGACGTATGCAATTTTTTTGGTTTTGTTGTTATTATTTTGGTTAATTTCTTGTGTATGTTTGTTTGTTAAGTAAGAAAACTAATAAAAAACATTTTTTATTTTTTTTAAGGATCCACGGGTGCCAACCCCATGGGGAGAAGGGGCTTCGCTGGCAGTTGCCAGATTTTGTTGAGATTGAGGCAAGGAAGAAGGGCTACCCCTATGCTATCCATATAATCAGTTATCAGTAATCAATATATTCATATATGCTCACACATAATCAGGGCTTACAGTATTTTAAAAATCCATTTTGAATCAAAGGGAAGCTGTGCCTTAGCTAACTGCAAACTGCTTGAAACAGCAAAGTTAGGAGCCGACCTTTCCCCTACAAACATCCGTGTACCCTGGACAAGGGGAAGATGTGAATCAGAGATACTGGTACAAATTCCCTCAGATACAGGCTAAATTAATCCACAGAACAGGAAGAGCAAAACCACAAAATCTCCAAACTCCCTGTCCTGTCATAACTAGGGGAGAGGTTAGACAGAGCGTCACTGCAAGCAATGGAAAGCAGAACTGGAACTCCGTGCTTGACCAGTGCTTGACCAGGAGCTGGTAGCGTGGCAAGGAGCTTGCTAATTGGCTAATTTTCGCTGACAATATCGTGAGTCCCTCATGGTTGTCTCATGATCTATGATTTGCTGTGATCTGCTCAGGTATAAAGACCTCTGGATTTCTGTCAGTCGGGGTCCCAGTTCCTTTTGGAAGAGATTCCAAACTGGGTCCTTATTGCCTGGCAATAAACCTTACCTTCTTATTCTCCATTGCTGAGTCTGCCTGATCCTTATTAAACACCAAGCGAGTACCTGCTTACGTTCACGTGCTTCAAGATCTCACAGGGAACTTGGAAGCCGTAGCAGTGCGGGGGGGGGCTGCCAGATGCTTCAAACTGTGGAACTGGCTCTATTACAGATGTCACATAATCCCATTTCTCCATTTGTGAAACTTGGCTTTTTAGTGAAAGAGCACCTGTACTTTGGAGCTCCTTGCCTATTGAGGTCAGGCAGGGATCTTCACTCTTTCCTGTGCCTGATGAAAACATGCTTGTTTGGACCACCCAGATTCTTTGAAAGTTGGTGCAAGTTTTAATCTGTTCTCAGTCTGTTGTCATTTTATCGTTTTGAAAGTTTAAAATATAATCTGCACCCAATTTTTTTGGAAGCAAATCAGGGTGATTGCTCAATATAGGCATCCTCTGGAAGAGACCTATTGTTCTTATTTTAAACTGCTATCTGCCTTGAGCACTTTGCTGAAAAAAGGAACTCTAAGCACATAGAAAATAAAGTAGAAAATTTGATGCATTGCTGTTGTGGGTCTTTACATACGGGGGATTCTGCTGCTGTCCATTTCACACACACAAACATACACTTTGAGTCCAATAAACAGAGTCACCTCACCCACGCTGCAGCTGGAGGGCCCAAAGTTGTCCTCCTAGGCAGCTGGATCCAAATCAGCAGACCATCCTCATTTTTTAGATCAGTATCAGTGCTAGTTAAATGCTCTTCCTCCAGACAACCACGAGAAGCCTCTCAAGTTTAACACTGAATTTGACTGTTGTGTTTTCTCCGTCTCTGGGTCAAAACAAATTGGTTTGCTTTGCCAGATCCAAACTGATCTCTGATTCCCAAAGATCCCCCCCCCACACACACACAACTCCAACCTTCAGCCACAAATTTATGGCTGGAGCATCTTGATAGCTTTTAGCTGCCACTACTCTGTGGCAGAATGATGTCGGTGTTCACAGAGGCAGGCTAGGGAGGCAATAAATCATTGAATCATCGAATTGGAAGAAATGAGGGTCCCTGAGGGTCATCTAGTCCAACCCCCTGCAATGCAGGAATCGCAATTAAAGCCATCCAACCTCTGCTTGTGAACTGGCCTGAGATCTTTTGATGAAGGGTCTTATAGACTGTCAATCTTCAGTGAAGAGTGACTTACATTGTACTTCCCTTGAAGTTCCATCATACATAACAGACCTTGCACATCGTTCTCTTGGAACTGAAGCACCTTCTTCCTCAATGCTTAGCTTTGGAGCAGACACAACAACTCCTCTGCGATGTTCTTCCCATGCACCTTCCGCAGAGCCAGTGGCGGAGCTAGGTGCACAAGGAGGGGCGCACAGGCCGTGCACCCGGGGGTGGGGACAGTCCGCCCATGGGGAGGATTGGCACGGCTGCGCGATCCTCCCCAGGGGCCGATCTCTGCCAAGGGGGTGACATTCGGTGGGGGGGGTCCCCACGACTCCCACGCCTACAGCGAGCCAGGGAAGGGGGAGAGCCGCAGCAGCTGTTTTGCCGCTTTGCCGCTCGCTGGGCTTGGGGGAGTCGCGGGCAGGGGGGGCACCGAATGTCACCCCAATCAGGATGACACCCGGGGCGGCCTGCACCCCCGTTCCTATGCCCCTGTGCAGAGCGACCCTGGGAGTCCATCCTCAGGGGCTGTCTGACCTCCTTTCACTCTGATTGGCTTTAGTCACCACCAAGGATGAGAAGACTTCTTTCCAGGGCCTCGAAAGTTGCCCTTTCATGCTGACTGGGTGGCTCTTGGCTGCTGGCAAGAGGGTCCTACACTACCACGCCTTCCCCCAAAAGTCTGGGCCAGTACACCTCTGGTCATGGAGCTAGCAAGAATATAGTGGTCTGCCAGGAGCACACAAGTCAAAGATGGGGATCCTGGGGATATAATATTGTCCAGTAGCACCTTAGAGACCAACTAAGTTTGTTCTGGGTATAAGCTTTCGTGTGCATGCACACTTCTTCAGATACACTGAAACAGAAGTCACCAGTGGGAGGGTGGGATGGAGTTTTTCTCAGAAGGGTAGTAGGAGATGGGTGATTGACTCAATGGGTATGGTAAACCTCTTGACTACTGTTAACGACTGCAATTAGTCCTACAGGAAAAAGCAAGGGATAGTATGTTCTGGTGACTTCTGTTTCAGTGTATCTGAAGAAGTGTGGATGCACACGAAAGCTTATACCAAGAACAAACTTATTTGGTCTCTAAGGTGCTACTGGACAATTTTTTTATTTTTTTATATATTTTGACTGCGTCAGACCAACATGGCTATCTACCTGAATTTAGATGCTCCTGGTTTCAGTGAATGAACATCACCTGAGCTGAAACAAGTCTGGTTTTCCCAAGTTGTTTATTTCCACAAACCGCACAAAAGACAGATGCCCCTTTCTGAGGGACATCAAGCATCCATCTCTTTCCTGGACAAAAAGTTCTCCTTTCCATCACAGTAACTATGTATCCTTTTCAGAGGCAGCAGAATTGGACTCTGGAATTAATGGTTTCATAGCAAGGATGGGGAGCCTTTGGCCGTCCAGATGTCGCTGGATGACATCTCCCATCACGCCTCCCCCTTGGCCATGCTGGCAGGGGCTGATGGGAACTGGAATCCCACAGGATCCCACCCCTGACATAAGCTAGCCAGGAAGCATCGCTGGTGGTGGTCATGGGACAAGCCTGTCTAGTGCCTGCATGGAATAAGGGAGGGAGGGATCCTGTAGATTATTATTACATTTTCTGCAATCCCTCCTCCCTCAAATTCCTTAATAACCTCAATCTCAGAAGCAAAATAAAAAAAGGGAGAGACACAGTTCAAACTGCATAATTTATTCCAGGGACAAACTCTGCAGAACCTCAAAGAGGGCCATTTTCTTACTTAATTTTTTTAAAAAATTAATTTTAAGCACACTTAGCATTTTAAAAAATTGCCTATAACGGCAGCAATATTAAATATTAAAAGCGCTGTGAATATTAAAAGGTTTTCATTCACCATTAACAGGCCAGGCCGAGAAAAAGCTGCAAACAGCTGGTGCCATCAGAGCCTAATGATGCCAGAACAAAGTTCTGAGCTGCTGAGGCAAAACGTCTTTGCGCGTGACTGATCTGCGTCCCCCGATGGTCAGACAAATTCTTTTGAAGTTGCTGCATGCAGTCTTGCCTTCTGAAAAGCACTGCAGGTATTTGAGCATAGAATACTTTTTTGCAGTTCCATTGGGATTGAAGAACAAGCAGCAAGGCACATGAGATATAGTAAATGGGATGGAGAACATTTTCCATTCTGAGGGCCACATGCCCTATTGGATAAGCTTACAGGGGCCACATTCCAGTGGCAAGCGGAGCAATGGATGTCACTGCTATTGCTCATTCCTACTTGCTCTGCCCATCCATAGGATTCGTGAGCACATGCAATGTTCTGTTTATGTCAACCATTTTCATATATTAATCGGACTTCTTTGTCTGATGAACATGCCACATCCCTCTCTGGTGGTTCATTGAATGGGATCCTCTTCCAGAAGAGAAAATGAAGTGTGTGTGTCTTCCCCCGTACCAAACGGTGCATGATTTGAAAACAAAAGTGAAATATACTCAGAGTCCTGTAGTGATTTCATGCTCTTTATTGCAGCTTGTAAAACAGTGATTGATTTCCCCCCAAACCTCAGGCTTTTATATAGGTACATTATTTACACAATGAGTCCCATCTGATTGGCTGATTCTGCTTCTGGAGCCTGATTGGTCTTTTCCTGCAGGCCAATCAGTTGTTGCATTCTACGATCCTACCAGCCTAATAGGCTGATTAACTCCTGGAGCCTGATTGGTCTTTTCCTGCAGGCCAATCAGTTGTTGCATTCTACGATCCTACTTGCCTATTGTTCTAGGATCCAAGCTTAGTACATAACAAAAAGTAAAACAGCACAAGAATGTAAGAAGGTGGGAAGGGCCTGAGGAATCAGGCCAGTGGCCCATCAAGTCCAGCATCCTTTCTCACAATCTGCAGCTTGGTGCCTCCGTAGGAAACCCGCAAGCGGGACCTGCGCCCAAGAGCCCCCTCCCCTCCCGTGGTTCCCAACTACTGCTGTTCAGAAGCACCGCTGCTCCAAAACTCTCATCAAGACCAGGGGAGGGCTATCATTCGAGAAACACGCTCATGGCTTCTTGGTCTGCAGTTCTGCCCGCCCCATCCCTAATTCTGGAAATCTCTAACGTGGGAAAGTGTTGAAAATTTAAATCACCCCTCGGCCTAACCTCAGCTGGCAGCCTGCTGATGCAATAATCTCTGTCCAGCTCTCTTCTCTCAGAAGGGAGAAAGCCCAACACATCAGTGAAGGGAAAGTGATAAATTTTCAATTTTATTTTAAAATATACCAGATGGGAGATTTCATAGGAGTCATAAATATGCCAAGAGCAATGTTGGTGTATGATTGGAGATCGCCCTCACCAAGGGAGATGCTCTCCCTGTTTAGAAATTCCATCAGATTCTTAATAAGAGGCTCCATTTAAGTTGGCAGTAAAATAGTTCCCATATTAAACCAATTGAATTTCCATTTGCCAGACATCTTCTTTTTCTCCTCACCTCAGCTTCCAAAATAGAAGGATCTTTTATTTCAGCAAGGAAGCTGGCAGTAAATTGATGTTTCAGCCTCTCTGGATTGCGTTGGGCAACTGAAACATGCAGGAGCTGTGAGGAAAGAGTGTCAGAAACTAAGAAGAGCTGGCTGCAGGATCAGGCCAGTGACCCACCTAGTCCAGCATCCTGCTCTCACAGGGGCCATCAGGAGGCCTCCATGGGAAGCAACAGAGATTCAGGATCATTGCTGCCTTAAACAGTTAAGGCAGATCATGGCCACTGAAGCCAGAATCCATCAATAGACTTATCCACCGTGAATTTGTCCAACCATGTTTTAAAGCCATCTAAGCTGGTGGCCATCCTGTGGGAGTGAGTTCCATAGTTTAACTCCATGCACTGCGTGAAGAAGGAGTTGGCGGTGGTGACCACTGACTTAAACAGCATGAAATGGGCTTTAAAGGCAGGTGTGGCCGATTTACAGAGAAGGAGGTGTCTGTCAGCAGGTATTGGCCATGATGGCTTCGGGGTCAATGCACGGTGAAATTAGGATGGCCACATGCCACCCAAACAGAGAAAATGTGTTGCTGGGGGTGGGGGTAGTAATTTGCATAAAAGTTGCATTTCCTAATTTATATTTCCAGGCCCCTCCTGCTCCCCCCTCTTAGGGTTTAACCAGACGTGGAGTTTAAACCAGACGCGGGCCCAACAGCCTTTCAAATGCCAGGTGGTCCTTCATGAGGCAGGACACGGGTCTTCAGCTGCGTTCAGCATGAGGAAGGATGGGAGAGCTCTTGTTTCCATGCCCTGCTTGTGGCTTCTGGTCAAAGGGACACTTGGCCAGACCCAGCAAGGCAGTTCGTACTTTGATTAGTTGTAATAGTTTGGAAAGGAATCTCCATGTGAGAGGCAGCACAGCACTGAAACTTGACATACAGTCCTCCATTATAGTCCATAACAGAGGGCTATCATCACAGAACTAACTAAAGCAGGATAAAGCCATCCCAAGTGCACTCTTACTGTGTCCAGAGCATCTTGCAGAAGACACCTGCAATCAAACACCAGCCTCTGGAGGGGTCCAGAGATGGACGCTCCTACTGTATTTTGTACTACAACCTTCAGATATAATTTCCCTAACTTAATCATCAGCTGTCCCAATTTAAATACATATAGAACCTGGGCACATTATTAGCAGAATCTACCCTAGTGTATCAACTGAAAATGTATAAATTTGGATGAGGAGGGAGGAATCATTTTAATATAATGGTTTACAGATGCAATCAAACACTGCAGAATTATACAGCAGAGTTTCAGAATTAATAACAGATATAATATCCAATGTCACGCTGGCCACATGACCCGGAAGTGTCTGCGGACAGCGCTGGCCCCCGGCCTCTTGAGTGAGATGGGCGCACGACCCTAGAGTCTGTCAAGACTGGCCCGTACGGGCAGGGGTACCTTTACCTTTACCTTTATAATATCCAATGTGATTACAGAATGATGTTTTACAGTTATAGCCAATCAATAATGCAACTATGAAGTGCTGGAAAGAACCAAAATCAGTGACATGAGCATAGGACAGCAGGGCACAAATTTGCACGACCCTCTCAGCCTCTGCTCCTTCCTCTGTACCACAATGCTATGTAGACAACAATCCAGCAAGTCACTTGGATCCACCTCTACATTTCACAATGGGCGCAGGAAGTGCCCTGAGCCCTGACCCTGCCTGCCTCCGAGCCACTTGCACACCTGTAGTGCTTCCAATGTGTGAAAAGTGGATTTGTGCACATTTTATTTTAAAAAGCCAACCCTCTGCAAAGCTGCTTTGGAGGCAATTTGGTGCAGGCTAGGTGCTGCCTCCTACCCTTGTCTGCTCCCATCAACCCCAGGAGATGCGGCTTTTCCTGATTTAATTGGGCCACCAGGTGACTGTTACACACACTTGCAGGTAATGTACAATTTAGGCCTAATGTACAGTTTAGGCCTTCTGTTCACATCTGTGCAGGGCCTACAAATGTTCCCTCTTCACTTCTTAATGGCTCTCTTTTTTCTTTTTTTTAAATAATTTTTATTAATGGGTCAATCAAATCACATTATTTCCAAATCACATTAGTTCCAAATTATACAGCCAGATTTTTAAATTTTGTTGGGGGTACCCATACATCAAGCTCCGAACGGGGTCCAAGCATCACTTATATTGCTGCTTTAATTAAACAGTTCTATCCAGTTCTATCCAGATAGTCTCTTTATTACTTTCTTCATCTTCTTGTTGTTATCATATATTCCTTTCTTTGTGATCTCTGATAATCTTCACAAGCGGGTTGGAAACAGACATCCTCTGTGTGGGTTTTACACTCTCCAAAGACCATATCACTTAGGGACAGCCATTCCACACTTCCATAAAAAAATTATCTTCGGTCTGTCCTTTAATTTTCTCAGGCTTGCCAAGTATATCAGGAGGGCTCTGTCAAGTTAAGATCACATTCCAATCATCATTCACATTCCGATGATCCTGATCCTCCTCCCCCCGTCTTTCTCAGACAAGCCTGTCTTAGCGAGACGCCATTTAAAGCTGCGTCATAAAAATTTCCTCCATTCTCCGTTGTTTACCAGTCATCTCTTTAATCTATAATCCACTCCACACAGTTCTTGAATTCCTGCTTGTGATTAATAAAATGCAACGATCTTCTTTCTTTGGGGTGGAGGGTTATTAATATTCACATAAGGCAAAGAAAAGAAAAGATTTTTCCTCCACCCCCCTTCTATTTCACTCCAAACATACCAGTCTCTTAATGGTGGTTCATCACTTGATTTATTTGTCCCATCCATCGCTCCGGTCACAGAGATCCATTAATCAGCAGTCTTATCTCCCGAACTTTGCTTGATGTATGTGCTTTAGCTTCTTTCCAATTATATGTTTCCAATTATATTTTCGAGCTAAAGCGAACCAGCACGCGCTGATTGGAGACAGCGTCAGGAAGCGCTGACCTCATTGAGGGCTTGTGCCAAGTGACCGGTGCCCCCTTCTTTTGAATCCGGGGGTGCGTTATGGACACCGCTGGCAAGGCAGTCCCCCCCATCTCCTTGGGGGGGGGGGCGGGAAGGCTGCATACTTCCCATAGCAGCCTCTTAATTACCTCGTATGGGTCGGAGAGATGTTATTGTCGGCCATCTTCCAATGCGCCACCTGGTGGCCCCCTCTTAATGGCTCTCACACTTTTTTTTTCCTTCCAGCAAAATCAGAGGGGGATATCTCCTTCTGATTCCTATAATGTGGACTCACAGTCATGCGGGTCAAAGAGGAGAGCAAACAGGCCCATGGATAAAGCGAGCTTTGAGATGGTTTCACCAAGTAAAAACCAAAGAAACTGCATAGGAAACTGCCTTGTAGTAGGCATGGCATTCCCCACAATCTTCAGTGGCATTGGCCCCCTCTTGTACCCATAGGACACAGCAGAACCTGACATTTGTCCATATTGAAATTCATTTTGTTAGCTTGCACCCAGTTCTCCAATCTGTTAAGGTCATTTCAAATTCTGACTCTGTCTTCTGCAGCATTAGCTACCCCCCCCCCCCCCCGTTTGCTGTCATCTGCAAATTGGATGAGCATTCCCTCAATTCTTTCATCCAAGTTGAAAAGACGTTGAACAACAACAGGCCCAGGTCACAACCTTTCGACACCCCACTTGTCACTTTTTTCCAGGATGACGAGGAACCATTCATGAGTCCTCTTTGGGTTCGGTCAGTCCACCAACTACAAATCCACCTAACAGTTACCTCATTCAACCCACATTTTACAAGCTTCCCTGCAAGAATACTATGGGGGACTTTGTCAAAAGCCTTACTTAAAATCAAGATACACTATCTCCACAGCATTTCTCTGATCCACCAAACTCCATAATATAAGAAAAGAAATGAGATTTGTTTTTTAAAAATAAACATCCAACTTCAAAAAACAAAAGGCAGTGGTCCAACTCTTATTTGAGAGCATAATTAAATTAGCAGGGAGTACTCAGCACTATCTGAGAAATTTAAGAAACCAACAAATATTGTGATTTTTACATGGATCATATAATTTGTGAGTTTTGACCTGTGATGCCAAAAATCAGATGATTTCACACTCAAGTCACATTTTGGTCTGCAGTCTTGATTTAAAATGGTGCCTGGTAGCTGAACATCGATGAAGACTGCCACCCCCAGCTTGGAAATCCTTGTGCCCAGTTTGGCCATGAAGTTTTGAGAGGTAACCAAACCCATGCCAAAAATAATGGTGAAGTCACATTTTGGTTTGCCATGTTGAATCAAAATGGCGCCTGGTGTCCAAACTTTGATGATGACCTCGACCCACTTCTCAGGAACCTTCATGCAGAGTTTGGAAATGATATCTCAAGAGGTGTCCGAACATATAGAGAGCAGACAAGCCACTTTCCAAAATGTATAGTAAATGCGGTTTGTTCAGAAGATACAAATATATCCAGGTATTTGTACTTCCTTTTTAAAAACTACTATTTTGAAAGATTACCTTAAAACACTGCCCCAAAAATCCAACTTTAAACTATAATTTTAGAAAGTTATTTTAAAAATTGAACATCCCCCTCCCCTAGTGGACAGAGAAGGTCTTTGCACAGGGTAACTGAGTGGAGAAAATCCAGCCAGCCAGCCTCCTCCAAGGAGTCTTGAAAATTACAAATTAAAATAACTCTTGCCGCGCTTACACCGTGTTTATAGGTTAATAAATTGTGCTTTGTGAATGACGAGATGCTGACTCGGGAAGTGAGTTCTAACCAAGCGTCATTCATCACCGGGTGCATTGGCTTGAAAAGCGTTGTCATGGCTCTCGCTGTGGGATGCAGCTAAAGGAGCCTTTTTCATTTTCATTGCCTGATTGGAAATGCAAGTCTGGAGGTGGGGAGGCGAAGGCTTCCTCTCCCCTCCCTGCATTAGCACAGCCCTGGGAGGTTATTTAAAACGGCAACTTCAAAGCAGGTATGTGATCTTTCTGTTTATTGCTGCAGGAGCTTCATTTCACTCACTAATGTAGAAAAGCACTATGAGTCAGAAGGGAACATGACAGATAAGAGCGTCGGCAGAGATCCAGCCAGCTCAAGGTTGCTTCATAAACTATGATTATCTGGCCCGCTGCTGTTGCAAATGAGCCCACATGTGCCTGTAGACGCTGGAGCAAGTCCCTCCCTACATTAGGGATGTTGCTGGTTTGGCATGCAAATTTGTCAAGCTTGTAATGGCCGGCTGTGTGACAAGGCAAGCGCCATTTCCTCGTGAAGCCCTTTCACTGACTCAGAAGGTCTGAGGAGGTTCTGATCCTGCCTGGTCAGCAGGGCAGGCACCCAAAGCTCTCTGTCCCTTCCCTCTCCACACAGTAGGCTTGGGTCCTCCAGACCCTTGGGACTCTGATGAGGCCACATGCAAGGCACACCCTCCTCCTGTGCTTTGGCCAGCTGGACTGCGTCCTTGGGCAGTGACAATGCTTGGGATCCGAGTCTCTCTGTGTGTAGAAAGTTCTGGCATGGACCACAGGGATGAGTAGCATCCGTTGCTCCTCCCACTTGCTTCGAGGAAATGCAGCCCTTAGGTAAGGTTGTAAAAAAGTTCTTTTTCACAGGGTAGCCAGCTGCTCTGTGGGTGGGTGCAGAAGTTCTGTAAATGAAATCGCCCTCTGCAGAATGATGGTGGATCACTGTGAGATGCACAGCAGCCCAAGCAGATTTGGGTTTGGTAAATATATTCTCTTTGTTGTACAATAATGCAAGAGAACAAATACAGAGTTGTAGTCAGTGTAAACCTTACCCGTAAGTTAGGACTATCAATTTCAGTGTTCCTTCTCCAAGTGAAACTGAATACAATCCATAGCTTTTAGGAGTTCCTCTGTTTGGCTGGCTAGAACAAGCCCAGAGGTATCGTTCCATCTTCCTTCTCCATCTGAAGGGGATCAACAAATCAGCCTGTTTTCCTCGCAGGCAAAGGAAATTTGCTCCCCCTGTTGAGGGTTTTGATTTATTCGAAGGAAAGTCTCACTTTAATTAGACTCCACTGTCTCAAAACCTTTCTGCAGCAAGTGCATCAACTCTCTTCCATTAACTGCCACGTGATGTTGGGTCAGGGAACTGCAAAAGAAACTGACAAGACAGGATATTAGAGAGAAGAGAGCCTACCACCCAGAATCAACTTGACATCAAAGACTCTGTGAAAAGCTCCTCCTGCCATTGATGGAATCATGTTTCATTCAGTTTGAGTAATCTTTTCCCAGTTAGCAACAGAAAATCAGGTATTTTGTAGTTTATCATAATCATGCTATCTTCTAATATACAATATTTTCGTGCGCCAGGCAAAAACATTCATTTTTAAGCAGGCCTTTGGCTTCTACTGATCCAGGGCCTTTTAGTGTGGGTGAGATGTTTTAATGTATTTTTCTCCTGGTTTTAAAATATATGTATTTTCTTTTTCTTTTTATAAGTTGCTTTGAGTTGCCTGTGGGGAAAAACAACGTGACTAGTAAATTTAATAGTATTCACATTGCCTGTCTCTACCACTGCCTTCAACATGCAAGGGGGATGTTCTGCCAATGAGCCTTACTAAGAATTCCCAGGCAGGCAGCCTTAACCACAGTTAAGTCCAAGGACATCTGGGAACCAACCGGTCAGGGATAGGCTGCTCTAACTACATTAGCTCTTGACCTGGATTAAAGTCTGCAAATTAAAAGGTGAGTCCCAAGGTGGGATTCAGCTCTGGAGAAATGTCTTGGAAGAATTATGAGGTGGAAAGAAACTCTGAAATGTTTCCCATTTTGCTTGCTGGCTGTGGGATTCTGTTTGCTGCCATCGCTGGGCTGTCTTTGAAGCTGCCTCCTGGAAAAATTCCCAAAAGATGGGCGTCCGCATCAGGAAACAATGAGGGGCTGCTTTGCTCCAAATCTATCCATCCATCCATTTTAAAGTTTGATCAGACAGCTGGGAAGGGTGTTCTAAGCCTGCAACAAGCAGTGTTCTAATAGCTGGTGGAGATGAAAAACAAAATGCAAATTCAACAAGTGAATATTCATAAGCTGGAACTTCACAAGACCATTTTATATTTAGAATTCTATGCTCCAGGGTGCACCTCAAAAATATTGGTAAGGGTTTCCACTTTTGATTTTAAGGCAATATTTCCAGACAGAGATAAGCAAGAAAAGCCACTTCATTTCAGAGATGGGAGAAAAACAGCAAGGCCAGAGAGGTTTCTAGTTGCTTTGGACTTGCCTGTATTGATAGGCCAACCGGGATCGTTTCCTCCACCCACAGCATAGCCTTGCAGCAAATGAAGTGGGATATTATCAGTGCTGACACTTGATTCTATGGTTGTGCATCTGTATTTTGGCCACTGAGAAATCACTGTATCTTGGGGACAGGGTTCAGCTTTCACTGTTGTACATGTATCTTAATTACGCATGGAAATTTCATCAAGGGCGCATTGCAGCATTGGTTTTGTAGTGTTTACTTCCAGCAATGTAGGAGTAGAATATAGGGTTGTATGCATTGTTAATCATACTCAGAGCAGACTCACTGAAATTGAAAAGACACAACTACGAGAGGTCCATTAATTTCAATGGGTCCACTCTGAGTAGAGTTTACTTGGATACAACCCATACCTAAAAAAAATTTTGTTTTAAGAATATCACCCCCACCCCCAAAATAATAATATTAAATGTATTTTCAACATATATACCTGGAACGGATCCACTGCTTCTCCATGAGTAAATGCAGCATAGCCCACACTGCAATGTAACTTCAATTTAATGAGTTCATCTAAAAGTGTCCATTCCACAATAATTATTTTGAAAACCACATTACTGTAGAATGGAAACATCCTGGATGAACATGGAACAGGACTGCGATAAGACAGTCAGGATTGTCAAGGTCGTGCCTGGGACACAACACAATCAAAACTCAGTTGTTGTTATTAGTGGCAGATGCTCTGCCTTTTCTCACTCTGTGTCTCTGTTCCTATTGTCCAAGTGGATTAGGGAACAAGATCTACTTTATCCTGCAGCTCAGTTCCATCGGTGATGTGCATCATGTATCTTACAAACAAAATTTATGTTACGACTTTCTCCAGTATTGAAGCAACTTGGTCAATTTGATGGCTATAAAGTAAGATTGACTGCCTCAAAATAAGGGTCTGTGTGGGAAGGGGGTTTCTCTCTGTGGACAATGCATCCATCTCTAGTAAGAATAACTCAAAGCAAAGGTGCCATTTGCACACATCTGCTTGGGAGTTGCTTTTCAGTGAGATCTTGCAGGTGGGAGCTGCATTGAAACCTTTCCACGTGGCGCCCTCTTGCTCATGGGGCCGGACAACCAACCATGCCCTCTCCCATGATACTCCATTCCATTTCCCCTCCCATTTTTCATGCTGCTTTTGGATTTCTACCTTTGATAGTATTTTTAATGTGAGCTTTTGCTCTCTCTTCTTGACATCTATTTTCTCTTTTGTGTTTCTCATTCTAAAACTGCCCTGAACACTCTTCTGGTCAGAAGAGCCTGGTGTAGACGTTTATTTGCTTACTTCCCATCCACCTAGTTCACTGTTGGAGATGGTGGATTCATTCACGTGCAGCCCCTGGTATAGTGAATCACTGAACTGCAGGTGGCAGCCTTCTTAGTCAACTACCTTCAGGACCTGGGCTGGTTCCACCCACTCAGGCTGGCCATTGGATGCTCCTGGGCAGGAAATAGTACATAAGAGGACTTCCTGGTCCAGCTGAGCTTTGCTGGTGCAACAAAGGCTTCTTGAGATCTCTCCTGTATCATTGGTTGTTCTTTGGTCCTTCCTCTTGGCTTATTCTTCATCCCTGACTTTGTATATAGCCAACATGCTTAACTCAAATTAATGCATAAAGGGGTTAAGACCACAGTGTAAGCTGTCCTGCCAGTCTTAGCTAGGTCACCATCCCTCACCTTGTGAGGCAGAGCTACCAAACTCTTTGTTCTCCCACTTTCCACCTTACTTCCTCCATATGTACTTCCACCCTAGAAAGGATGTCATAGCTGGATGTTCCAAAACCATGTGTCTTCAGCAAGCCATCTTTGTGTTTCTATACAAATAATTTAGAAACTCTTACCATTTTTTAAACTAAGTTGCACTGTCTGTCTTTTCTTGCTGCTGTATGGAAAAGCACATGAATCTGACCTTGGAAGAGTTTGTAAGTAAACTGTTTTTAACTTGCTAAACACGTGGTCTCTTTCTATGCTAAAGGAAGTGGGAAACTTTGGAAAAGACTTAGAAGGGCATATTTTAAAGGTGTAACAGGCTATTTCCATGCTTTAATTTGCTGCATGTTTTATGATTTTAAATCTCTGTTAGGGCTCTCTTACCAAAGAGTACGTTTCTGAGCACAATTCAAAGTGTTGGTGCTGACCTTTAAAGCCCTAAACAGCCTCGCCCCAGTATACTTGAAGGAGCGTCTCCACCCCCATCGTTCTACCTGGACACTGAGGTCCAGCGCCAAGGGCCTTCTGGCGGTTCCCTCACTGCAAGAAGCCAAGTTACAGGGAACCAGGCAAAGGGCCTTCTCAGTAGTGGGACCCACCCTGTGGAACACACTCCCACCAGATGTCAAAGAGAACAACTACCAAACTTTTAGAAGACATCTGAAGGCAGCCCTGTTTAGGGAAGCTTTTGATGTTTGATGCATTACTGTATTTTAATATTTTGCTGGAAGCCGCCCAGAGTGGCTGGGGAAGTCCAGCCAGATGGGTGGGGTATAATAATAATAATAATACTTGCCCCCAGTGTGGATCTAGGCACCTAGAGAACGGTCCTCTTATTCTTTAACCAGGTTACAGGAAAAACCCCAAAGGACTTCTGGTCTACTCTTTGTCTCTTTTCTGCTTGTTGGTCTAGCCTAAAGTTACTTCAGTCCTGATTTTGGCTTGTTGCTTGATCCTGCATTACTGTTTGTCCATGGAGTTGGTCCTCCTGACTTCCCCTTCAGTCCTTGCCCCTGGACACTGGCTGGCCCCTTGGCTCATGGGTTGTGCTGTTTCTGCCCTGAAAAGTGTGAGGCAGGCACACTTGCCTGGGCAAAGAGCCTTCCTTGCGGCTTCTGCTGAAAGCAGGCAGGATGGAGCGGACCAGTGGGAGTGATGCTACTCTTCCTCCTCCATCAGCTGGCCCTGGTCCCTCTGCAGCATCTAAAAAAGAAGGATGGTGCGCATAGCACATGTTCCTCTGTGATCAAAAAGCCGCCACCAGAGCTTTGCCCAGTATTTCTGCAAAACGGCAGCCGGAGCATTTGGGAAAGGCAGAGGCTCCTTCTCCCTGCAGAGTGCTGAGCAGCAATTGAAGGGCAGCCTCACCCTGTCCCTAGGCTAGGCCTGCTCAATCAGGGATGCACCAAGTGAAAGGCAGCCCCCACCTATTTACTGGGATCTGCTTGATAAACACACAGGATATTAACACAAGCATTTATTAATACTCTCACCTGCCCAGATGCAATGCCAATAAAGCCAAATTCTAAAACACCACGGCACAGTGAGGAAACTGCCAGAAGGCCCTCAGCGCTGGACCCCCCCCCCAAAAAAAAACAGTACTTCTGTCTTGTCAGGATTCAACCTCAATCTGTTAGCCGCCATCCATCCTCCAACTGCCTCCAGACACTCACACAGGACCTTCACCACCTTCACTAGTTATGATTTAAAAGATAGGTACAGCTGGGTATCATCCACATATTGATGAACAACCAGCCCAAACCCCCTGATGATCTCTCCCAGCAGCTTCATATAGATGTTAAAAAGCATGGGGGAGAGAACAGAACCTTGACTTCCGGGGAGGTGCCTCCGGTAATGGCGGAATTCCTCTGACCGGGAGGAATCTGCTCCGTGGAAATCTGGGTCTGGCCGCCACGGCGAAGGCGGAGACCCGTTAAAATCACAGGCAGGAGAAGCCTGTGAACGTGGGATTCGGCGGGCACCTTCTGCGCCTCCCCCACTCGCGGGGAACCCTGGTTTTTGGGGCTCCGGAGCGACGTGGGGTGAGTGGCACGGTGCATCGAATCGTCTGCTTCTTCCACGGAGCGAAGCCGCATAGCTGTTGCCGGAGAGCGCTGACCTTTTCCTGTGGACAATTTGACTTTAAAGTAATTACCCGTGAGTACAGCTGAAGCGGAAGAATTGGATTTCTAAATGTTTAATTTGGTACCGTAACGGGAGGTTCAAAACAGGAAGTCCGCCTTCCCTTTTGTAAATAGACTGAGGCAATGAAGTTGCAAGCTGGAGTCCTGGAAAGTCTTTTGTAAAAGATTAAATTTCCATTGGTAAAGAACATTAAACCCCCTCTTGGAGGCAGGAGAAGAGAGGGGGAAGTTGCGGATTGAGTATACCTGTGGGAGAGAGCGAAGAGATTTAAAACACTGCCGCTCTGACCCTGGAAACGGGCTGCGAGCAGGACTGATGTCTTTTGGAATGTTCATTGACAGTGTTTAGAACGTTCATTGACAGCTAGTTAAACAAGAGAAATACATTGTTTCTACTGTCCCCGGCTGCTTTAAAAAGGAGTAAAAGTAACTGAAAATTGAAACTAATTTGAAACTAATTTTGGATTGTTTAAAAGAGGATACTATTGACTATTACAAAGAGAAACTGTTTCTCCCAGTGGAAGCCTTTGAAACCGGTTGCTTTACAAGAGCTGGGCTAGGGGAATTTCCAGCTGCAAGTTAAAAACCGTGAGACTCTGGGACTGACCTTGAATCTTTTAAGTGTTATGGTAAATGGAAGAGGAAAAACAGACCAGTCAACTGCCGGCAAAACATTAAGGTCTGGGAAGACTTGGCAATAATCCAGGAGAGGTCCATCATCGGGCCCCCCTGCTCCTTCTGTCGCTGCCTTTGTACCAGTATATTTAAAACCAAGAGGAATGTCGACAGAAGAGGCTTTAGTGGCTGCATTATATAAGATAAATGACTCACTGGATCAGCTTAACAGGAAAATGGACACAATAAATGCGAAAGTGGATGTTTCAATTACTAAAATTAACTTAAATACAGAAAGTATAAATAATACCAATACAGAAACCACTCAGAAATTGATACAGGAACCTGCTTTGATACGGCAAACTGCGGAGGAAGCCAGGGAAAAAGCTGTTGTTGCTGAATGTAAAGTAACACAACTGGAGAGAAAGCGAAAGAGAGCCCCAGCCCTACAGAGGCAATTTGATGAACATAAGTTGACGCTTGCTATGACTGAACTTAAAGAAAAACAGACGAATCTGAGGATTAGAGTTCACCTTTGGTGGACATGCCCAAGGATTAAGACACTTTGGGAGATGATTCATAACGAAATGAAAAAGGTATTTAAATATACCCTTTTGAAGAAACCAGAGGCCTTCCTCCTGGGCATGGTCGGCCAATTGGTGTTAAAGAAGGATAGAACTTTTTTCACGTATGCAACAATAGCAGCAAGAATACTCATTGTGAAGTACTGGAAGACACAAGACTTATCTATTCGGGAAGAATGGCAGATGAAGTTGATGGGACTATATGGAATTGGCGGAAACGACTGGCAGAAATCCGAGACCAGGGAGAAGAGTCGGTGGAAGAAGACTGGAAAAAGTTTAATACTATTTATAGAAATATTGTAAAAATAATGAATGTTAGAAAAATGTTGGAATGAAGTTATATGGCTTTAGTAGAAATGCTATAAGGAATCAAGTATAAATAGATTAATAGAGTATTAAAGGGAAAAATAAGGTTAGAATATGTTAAGATAATTATAGGATAGAAAACAGAGGAAGATGGAAAGGAATTGCTGAAACAATTAACAGAAGTGGAATACAAAAAGGGAGGTGTGAGGAGGTCGTGGAAATAAGGGAATGAAAGATAAGATATGGAAATTGTTTTGTGTTTTAAATGGTTTGTGTCTTGTTTTGTTAGTCTTATTTTTTTTCCTGTTTTGTTGGGTTTAAACAGTTGGAAAATTAATAAATATTATTTTTTTAAAAAAAAAACAGAACCTTGAGGCATCCCACAAGTGAGAACTCTGGGGTCTGAACACTCATCCCCCAACACCACTTTCTGGACATGGCCAGGAGGAAGGAGCGGAACCACTGTGTAACAGTGCCCCCAGCTCCCAGCTCCTCTAGATGGCCCAGAAGGATGTCATGGTTAATTATATCAAAGGCTGCTGAGAAATCCAGCAGAACTAGGAAACAGCTTTCACCTTTGCCCCTAGCCCGCCGGAGATCATCGACCAGCATGACCAAGGCAGTTTCAGTCCCATGATGAGACCTGAATCCCGATTGGAAGGGATCCAATGGGTCCGCATCCTCCAGGCGTGCCTGGAGTTATTCAGCAACCACCCACTCAATCACCTTGCCCATGAATGGAAGATTTGAGACTGGGAGATAGTTGACCATATTGGCCGGGTCCAAAGATTTTTTTTTAAAGAAGTGGTTTAATAACCACCTCTTTCAGCGGGTCTAGGAAGGCTCCCTTGCAGAGGGAAGCATTCACCACCCCACGGAGCCCATCACCCTTTTATGAGCCAGGCAAGGATCAAGGCGAGAGGTGGTTAGTTTCACTCATCCAAGCAACCTGTCTACATCCTCAGAGGTAACAGATCAGAATTGATCCCATGCAACTTGACTAGACAGGACTCTAGCACTCTCCCACCCCGGCCTTGCTCCCATGGTGGACTCTACCTCTTTCCGAATCTGAGCAACTTTATCAGCAAAAAAACTTTGCAAAATCATTGCAGGAGATCTTGGGGGCCTTACCAGGCCCCAATGGCACAGGTGGTTCTGTTAAATTATGAACCATCCGAAAGAGTCTCCTGCTGCTGTTTTCTGCAGATGCAATAGAGGCAGTGAAGAAGGTCCTCTTCGCCGTCACTATTGCCACTTGGTAGGCTCAACGTTGAGCTCTAACCTGTATCTGGTCTGATTCAGAATGAGTTTTCCGCCACCAGCGCTCTAGCCATCTCAAAGATTGTTTCATTGCCCTTAGCTCCACAGGGCTGTCTGGACTCCATGCAATCGGAGAGGGTGCTTTGGAGCCAGACAGTCGATAGCCCTGGTTAACTCCGCATTCCAGTGGGCCACCAGGAAATCAGCTGAAAGGCCATCAACATGGGATAAAACATCCCCTACCTCTCTCTGGAAACCATTTGGATCCATTAAGTGACGGGAGCAGACCATCCAAATTGGTCCTACCTCCCTGCAGAGGGGAAGGGTTGCGAAGAAGTCCAGTTGTACCAGGTAGTGATCCGACCATGACACTTCTTTTGTTTCACTTTGACTTAGTGTCAGATCACCCACATCCATAGAGATATACACCAGGTCTATGGCATGTCCATGACTATGAGTTGGGCCAAACTTATTCAGGGACAGCCCCATGGAGGCCATGCTTTCCATGAAGTCCCAAGCAGCCCCTTGTAAGGTTGTGTTGACATGGATGTTAAAATCTCCTAGGACAACCAAACTTGGTGTCTCCAGGAGAACATCCGCCAAGACCTGAAGCAGCTTGGGCAGGGAATCCTTGGTGCAGCAGGGAGGTTGGTACACCAAAAGGAATCCTGTACTGCCCCTATTGCCCAACTTCCAGAACATGCACTCAGAAAACTGGTTCTTCCCAATAGGACGCCTGGTGCACGCTAATGACTTCCTAAAAATCACTGCAACCCCCCCTCCCCACCCACATGACCTGGGTTGTCGTGTGTAAGAGAAGCCTGGTGGACAAACAGCGGCAAGGACAGGCCCATCTGCTTCATCCAACCAAGTCTCTGTCACACATGCCAGGTCAAGTCCCCCATCCATGAATAAGTCGTGGATGGCAGTGCTCTTATGAATCATTGACCTGGCATTGTACAGCAGTACCTTAAGGTCATGTGGGTCTCCCTTGCTGATTCCAGTATCCTTCCAGTCAAGACCAGACCTGGAGGCTGAGATAGTCTTCACACAATGACTAAACCTGCCTCCTTGGTAATGACATGGTCTGGTCTCCTCCTCCTCCTCCTGCCCATGATCACTGAGATCGGGCATCTCTGAAGTCTCCCATCCCACACAGTTTTTGGGGAGGGGGGTTGTTGAAGTTTATGTCTAAGGAGAGGGAAGGGAAGGGTCTCATTTGAAATACGCTTAAGCAGCAGATCTATTTCTGCCGTGTGCACGCACACCTTGGGCAGCTGCCACAGGCCCTCAAGGGAACTGGCAAAGAATTTCTAAGTTATTTATTGTCTTTCCCTCTTATCAGTAAACTTATTTCCCTATTTCCTGCACAGATAAAGATCTTGGCTGACACTGTAGGTTTGCTAACCTCCTCGGGACTTTTTGCCTCACATAGAAATTGGTCCCAGAGAGAGGAGGAAACATTGCTACAGGGAAGTTGAGGGCCTTTGTTTGGGGTCCCCCCCTTTCCTTTTTTTTCATTTCATAGAAGGGATAATAATTTGAGTTACATTTTCCCCCTCCCCCCAGTGTTTTGTCTTGATTCCACGCATCTCAGTCTGTAGTGGCTAAATTTTAATCTCTGTTTGTTTGCTAATAATAGCTTTTTAAAAAAGATATCCAAAGGAGAAACCAACAAAAGAAGATGACACACAAGTTTATCAAAACCAACTGCATTAAAATTAATACAATGGATGAAGCATTTTATTTTATTTTAAAATGGCTCAATAGAATAAAATGTCCTTGTTAATCCATAGAAATGATGCACCAAATAAAAACAAAATTGCCCTCAATTAATCCATTGCTCCCTCTGGGGCCAAACTAGATAATGGCCTGTTTCATGCATCATGCCAAACCATGGTTTAGTGTGAACCCGCAAGCATGCAAACTCTGGGAAAAGATTTTGTGGTTGCTTTCCTCCTTTCTTCCCATTCTGCTGCTGTTCGATGCTGAGCCAAGCAAAGCCATGGCTTATAGCCTTGGCTTATAGCATGTTGTCTGAACTCATGATTCAGCTCAAGCCATAATCAAGGTTTCTTGCATGGTTTTCATCTGATGGTTTGTCTGTGAGAGCTAAGTCCTCCTCTCTAAACAATACGCTAAGCCTAACCATCCTTTTACCCAGCACAGCAGCAACATGATCGAGGATCAAAGCAACTGCAACTCAGGAGCCCGCAAACTCATGGGTTCCCGCTAAGCCAGGGTTAGCCCCCCAAGTGGCCGAGGCAGCCCAGGCAGATGGGTGGGGTGCAAGTAATAAATGGTTATAGTTGTTATTAGAATTAGGCTCAGCATGATGTGCAAAACAGGCCAGTGTCTGAGCATAAATGTGGGCCAAACCTTTACTTATATAGATATGAATGCATTCCTTGGCCCAACTGTCCCCTTGAGTGCTTCAGGGGATTTGAATCCCCTGCGACTTCCCCATCCTAGTTCAGCATTCTAGCCAAGGGCGGGGCTCCCAGGGCCCTGGTGGTTTTGGAGGCCCCCAGCTCCCGCCAGCCCAGCTGCATGGCCAACGGACAGGGAGGAGGGAGCTCTAGTCCAACACCTGGAAGACCACAGTTTCCCTGTTGCTGCTGTTCTTAACATTCAGGTGGGTTTTTAAAAAGAAACATTCCCATTGAGCTGGGTGTCAGCCTTGAAATTATTACTTGTTTAGGGTATGTGGCAGTTTTTAGATACCCTTCATGTTTTCCAATGATTTTAATTGTTTTAAATATGCTTGCAATTTATTTTCATGGTCACGTTATTACCTTTTTCTTGTTTGCAGCCATGGGCTCCCTTGGGGGGGGGGGCAGAAAAACCACTTTCTCTTCCTCCTCCTCCCCTTCCTTTTTGGGATATATTCTTCAAGTTCTCTTTGCCTCTTGCATGCACACAAGCTCTCCTGTTAAGTTTAGGTCACCCATCCATCACATAGGGGAGAATCCCCTTGATCTTCAGAAATGTTAGGGTCTGCATATTAACTCTGCTTTATTCCATTGGCCTGAAATAAAAATCTAAGAAAAAAATAAATGTAAAAGGTTCCAGGAAGGCATAAACACAAGACCTGCACACCGGTTTCCCTTCCCTGTCCTCACTTCACTTCAGTTTCAGAAAGGCCCCACTCCCTTTCTGAACTCCAGGCTGCTCCTTAGACTCCCAGCTTGGGGAATGCCGCCTGGAAGCTTGATGAAAGGGAAGCGTAGCTGGCAGACAGAAGCCTTTCTCCCCCCCCCTTTCTTTTCTTTTCTTTTCTTTTTTGAATGAAAGCTGTTACACCAGATCCTAAAATTGCTTTCTGAATGCAGAAGAGCTGAAAGAACAGGCTGAGGGCTTGGGAGGAAACAATTTCAAGGAAACTCAAATGGTGGGGGAGAGAATTCTGGTGAGCATAGCCTTCCCCTCAACCCCCAACTGCAATGCTATTACAGCTTGCAGAGGAATGATATTTCCTCAATTTAATGCTAGTCATAATCCTTACTGAAATTTTCAGTACAAAGATTGCTTTCAAATATCTTTTTATCATTGCAGCAACTGTAGATGGAAAATTAGGCAACCACAGCATGGGCCCTACTGTTAGGCCGAGTGAGGTGGCTGCCTCAGGCAGCAGTTTTGGGAAGGCAGGGAGTCACAATGAAGAATGGGAAAACAGAGGTTGTGTGTGTCATACAACCAAGGACAGAAGAAGGCAGAGATTCCCTCCTGGGCCTCAATGCATCACAATCAGCGTCATTTCCATTCTACTGCAGTTCAGGTTTTGTCAAATTCTACATTATTCATGCTGTCCACTATTTAAGATAAGCTACATAATTTAAATAACTACATAACATACATGATTTCCTTTATATTGAAATGAATGTAAATGTCAAAACAGTGTTTTTAAAAAAGGTCATTAATTACATATTGTTTCTGGATTTGTAAAAGACAGCAAAGATCTGAGGATCTTAAAGAGCTTCTTCATTCATTTCAGATCTGCAACCCACCTCTGAAGCCAGCATGCAAGATGGCCCTCACTTTAACCTTTTCTTATTTCATTGTAGAACCGGAAGGGGCCTTTGAGGTGGTTATCCAGTCCAACTCCCAGCTCAACACAAGAGTCTTGCAACTACAGCAAGGAGTGGGGACCTTTGTCATGCCCAGGGACACATTCCCTTCTGAGCAACCTCAAAGGGACATATACTGGGGTAAAGTGTGTGTGTAAATGCATGTATTAGTGAAAATAACATATTATATTATGGGAAATTGCTTTGCAAAAATGGGTGTCTTCAGAAAAATCAGTGGTCCAGGCAGAGATGTACACTGTGCTCCTGGGAAACAGTGAATTAACTGAAAGAGGACACGGGTGAAATCAGGCCAAAATTTTATTGACTGCAGCAAGAAGCAGAGTTTGCATGGCAATAGGGCAAGGATCAGTTTCTCACTCCACTCAGCCATTGCGAGTGAAATGGCATGCCATCAGGGTTGGAGAATGTTGAAAAGCAAATACATGTCCTTTCTCCTAAACTTCTAGCTAATGCACATGCTACTTTAAACCATGTGAAGGCACTCTTTTTCTAGCAATTTAGCTAGCATTTTTTGTAGTTTCTTCGTCAAAGATAACTCCACCCCTAAAAGCTGAGCCATTTTTGTTTTTCTCTCTCCCAAAGTGTTAAGACAATAGGTGTGCTATTTTCTTTCTTTTCTTTCTACTCATCCTGTAAATAGTTCCTGCCAAGATAAATCTGCTCCTGCATGAATAAAGCCTTTGAATTCCAGAAACTCTAAGTGATTGTTTCAATATAACTCACCCAAGCTGAAGCTCTCCTAACAGGAAGCACCCCAAAGCCCCTCCATGGCAGTTGCCCAGTGTTGAACCCAGATGCAGTGAAAAGCAAGCATCTAGGATCTCACTGGGTTACCAGGATGAAAGATTCCATCCAGGCCAAGACTTCACCCTGAGCTTAGGGTGTCTCTTATCCAATCCTCCCCTAAGGCCCCTTAGGGAAGCCGCCTATACTATGGTGTTACTGCCCAGTGCCATTTCCACCAAGAATAATAACAACACGTATTTCACTGAGGGAGGTCAAAAAACCTCCAACTGAGGACCAATTGAGGTTGAGAGAAAAAAATTATTTCTGGCCCGTTCAACGGTAAACGGGGGGGGGGAGCTCAACAGCAAAATGCCCCCCAATCCCTGGGGGAGGCCTTTTAAATGCCTCAGCCCCACCTTCTTATTGCAAGAGCCCATGAGATTATCACTATTCTGTGAGAGAGACGGTTCCACCTCCCCCATGACTTTCTGGGCCACACCCTGCTGGGCAAACCTGCCCCCCCCCTAAAATAGTACTCCAGAATAAATCTTACAAAAATGTGTATATTAGGGAAGTTTCACATAGAAATGCTGATGAATCTTCATGAGGAAGAAAGAAAGAAATTGCAAACTGATCTGGAAATGTGGAGATCTGAACTCAAGACTGTTGGGAAATGAGATATGGAGAGAAACCAAAACTGAGATATTCACCCATCCTTAGTCCTGACTCACCCCTTAACAACTGGTCAGGAGGGTGCTGACATAATAAATGCCAAGTTATAAATGTCAAGACAGCTGAATATTGTTGTTGGCATCTGTCTGTCCCAAGAGTGTGTCGCTGGGGGTGAAGTCAAACCTCTGTGTTAGCAGCACCCAAGTAACCTCCCCAGGGCTCAAGCCTGGGCAGTGTGTCTGGAGGTCCTGGGCTGCCCAGACGACAAGACTCCCCTCTCAGCCTCACTGATGGAGTCCAAAAGGAAGCACCAGCTGGGCTGCAGGAGTTGCAGGAAGGAGGCAGACAAGGTGCCCTCCAATTGCTTTAGGGACCACTTTTTGTGGAGGGCTTGCTCCCAAGCCTTTTCTTCTCCTCGATGGGCTCCCTTCCCAAGTTGATGAGCCTCAACTGCTCCTCACTTTCCTCTACAGCATTTGCACAAACTGCCTTCTTTACTGTTTGACCCACTCTTGGTCACGTTCGGCCAATCTACCAGATCCTGTCTTTGCATGCAGGGAGAACATCCCTTTGATTATGTGCAAATGATGGGGGGGGGCACTGACTCCTCATTCACAGGAAGTATTTTCACAGCTGAGTTTCCATTGCTGGCAAGATGTCAGCTCTCACAAAGACACTTTTGCTCAATGTGCCACTTTTGGACTGTTGAAGCAAAATGTCTTCCCAGCATCTTGATTGGCTCTGAAAGCTCCAGGTGGTCTTTGAATAGAGTTGCCATCTAAGAAGGAAGGAAAGGCAAAAGCTGTGGATTGGTTTGCATCCGGGAGAACAGAGAAGCTCTGACGTCTGATGGATTGCAATTACTTGCTCTCACCAGTACTGCAAAAAGGAAAAGGAAAAAAATGCGTCTTCCATCTCAGTTTCACGCAGCTGCAAAACCAAGTGTTGCCATCAGAGGGCACTGTCTCTCCCTGCTGGGACCAGCTCTCTCAATACCAGACATCTGGAAATATGCATTTGCCACATTGTTGTGAAATCCTTTGGATCATCGGGCACACAGCACAAACCTCGCCTTTGCATTTGCAACATTTCTCCCTCCCCCTAAAAAAAGCACTCTTGGAATGTGTGGAATGTACAGGACTCAGCCCAGATATATACACACATGGAGTAAACAAAGCTTCCTCTGGAAACTCTTCCAGTCCATCAGCAAACAAAGAAAAAGGAACTTTGTGGGCTGCCTCCAGCTCAAAATATTTTCTGCTGCTTGCCAGGCACCCTTTGTTTGGAGGTGGGGGCAGAGAGCGAGCGAAAGAGATCAGCCAAAGTAAAACACAGCACAAGATAAGCAGAGCCCTGCAGGAGCAGATGACTGTCTCTTTCATTAGCAAGGTCATAGAAATAATTCAAAATACAGTTCCCAGGATGTTTGGGGGGAAGCCATGATGGTTAAATAGGGACAATGCTGCTTGAAAACGTAAGGTTTGGATGTGAGCTTGGTTGCCTCTGCCTGGCATTGCTCTGGTGCCACCTACTGTCAGTCTCCCTGCCTCCCTCCCTACCCAACAGTCTCAGCAGCTGCACACGCAAGCTGCCCGTCTCCAGCACCGTCTGTTTCCAAGTAACATAACCATGCAGAACACTGAGCCCACTGACTGTGGAAGCAAGCAGTCCGCAAGGCTGCTCTTTTGTTTCTCCCGCAGCAGTCTTGGCCCACTGGGGCATCCGCCACATGCTTTAGACTACAGCTGGTGGGGCTGATGGGACCAGAGGGCGACAGGTTGGCCAAGACTGCTTTACTGAGTGTTGCAGAGTGCAAGCGCTCAGGGCTAGGCAGTGGTGGACCTTCATTTTGGGGCCCTGAAGCCTGAGCTGCCATGGGAGCCCCTTCACAACCCATGGTCTGGGTAACCATGGTTTTCTTCTTCAGTGGGGTCGTTTCTCTTTGGAACATCTCTGCTGCTGACTTTCAAACTTTGAGGTTGTTGAAAAATCAATCCATCTGAGTCACGCAACTCATATTGGGCCTACTAGACCGATTTTTTTTTAAAAGCAATGTGAACTAAAGTCACTTTTGGGGTCCTTCTGGGATTAGGAGCCCTGGAGCTTAAGCTTCTTTAGTTTTATAGCAGATCCATCCTTGGCAGGAGTGCCAACAAATAAAATGATGGTAATATAAGTAAGCCCCATCCTGCGTAATCGATCCCAAGACATGGTGCGCACACACACCATTTAAATGGTCATGCTCTTCAACTTGGGAGGGGGGCAGGACCTTGGCCCCTGGGAGTTGGTGCCCATGGCCTCTGGTGGTGGACACAACCTTCCCTCCTGCTCCGTACCACTGATCCTATCTAGGCAAACACACCTGGCCCAGAACAATGGATAACTGAGTCTCTGAGCATGTGGGTCGCATTTTGTGCTGAACAAGCAGGCTTCTTTTTCCCCTGCTCTTGCAAAAACAGGCTGGAGGGCCCAGCAAAGCCGTCAGATTCTCTCCCCCGCCCCTCCCTGCCTTCCAAGGCCATGTCCCCCTGCTGACTGCATTTGCACTCTGGGTGCACTCTTCCTGCATCCCTTCTCCACCCTCCATCTGAGAAAAATGCCCTTTCCCCTCTGGGGAGGAAAAAGCAGCAGAGATTTCATGTGTCACACAGGAGCACCGCGAACTTCCTGTGGCTGGATCAGCAGAGCCAGCAAAGCGGTTGAATCGCATCGAGAAAAGTGGGGGCGGGGGCCTGGAAGGCAATTCCTGAAACTCAAGCCTTAAGAGCCTTCACTAATTATCAGAGTTCAAGGACACATTTTTGCCACACACAAATAGTCAAGGATGGTACAGTACAGGACCAGGGATGGGGATGGCCTGGGGAGAATCCAGAGGGCCAAATGGAAAACTTTGGAGGGCCACTTATCAGCTAGTGCATTACTATGCCAAGAATGCTGCTGTCAGAGCACAGGGCTATGTATTTAACTTACATATTACATCTTGCAGAGTTCAATGGGATGGATTTCCTAAGAGCGGTGGGATATATACCGTTCCATTTGCACATGTGTGTTTTAAAATTCAGCACAAATTATTTGCATTCAAGCTGGTGATCCAAAAGCTACATTTTAATTCTCCCCCTCCCTTTATCCCTTATGCAGGTTATAGATGCTTGGCGTGGCACTAGGCACAGCTGCTGCTGTTGCAACACCTCTTGGAAATGGGGTTCCAAAAAGAGCAACAGGGTGTGATCCTGCCTCATCCTTCCTGGGGACATCCTAGCGGGGGGGACAAGAGAGCTGCATCGTTCCCACCAGAGTGTGCAACTCAAGGGCCGGTTGATACCAAACATGCTCTTCTGTCAATCTGCAAAAACAATATTAACAGCATTTTAAAACAACTTACAACCATAAAAATAAGCATGCAGCTCAAGTGTGAAATGCCAGCATTAAAAGGTGAATTCCACAGAATTCAGACTGCAGCACATTCAGACATTAGGCAGGCGCCTTCACTGTATTCCTTCCAGTGCCTGCTACAAACATTCTAGTTTAGGTGAGCCTACCAAGATACAAAGACTGTTGGTATATATTTTAAGTTAATTGTTTATTTTATCTTTTGAATGTTTTTTAAAGAGTTGCTTTGACTGACAATTGCTTTATTCTCTTTGTAAACCATTTTGAGGTTTTCTAATGATCATGGGGTATATAGGTAAAGGGACCCCTGACCGTTAGGTCCAGTCATGACCGACTCTGGGGTTGCGGCGCTCATCTCGCTTTACTGGCCGAGGGAGCCGGCGTACAGCTTCCGGGACATGTGGCCAGCAGGACTAAGCTGCTTCTGGCGAACCAGAGCAGCGCACGGAAACGCCATTTACCTTCCCGCCAGAGCGGTACCTATTTATCTACTTGCACTTTGACGTGCTTTCAAACTGCTAGGTTGGCAGGAGCAGGGACCGAGCAACGGGAGCTCACCCCGTCGCGGGGATTCGAACCGCCGACCTTCTGATCGGCAAGTCCTAGGCTCTGTGGTTTAACCCACAGCGCCACCCGCGTCCCTCATGGGGTATATAATTTTTATTAAATAACTGATGCTAGCTTAGTTGGCCAGATGCAGTATTGGGCTGCCTGACTGCCGCATTTTGAACTGCTTTAAAATGTCCAGACTGCCCAACGTTGGGCAAAAGATCCCTGCATTGCAGGGGGTTGGACTGGATGACCCCTGTGGTCCCTTCCAACTCTACAATCCTAGCATTCTCTGCACAGAGTGCATTACAGTAATCTAACTGGTTATCCCAATGACTGAAGTGGGGTGGGGAGTAGGGACTTTCAAGGCAAGCAACTGATGTTGTGTCACAAAATGAGAGGCCCCTTGCATGCACACAGCCCTAATTAAGATCCAAAATAACCATGTGACGGGGTAGCAGCCAAATCACAACTGAAGTATGTGTGTGTGTGTGATTGTGAGATCTGTGGATGAAGGGCAGTAGACAAATTTGATATATAACAAAATAAAACAATAAAATGATGCACAATACTTCAGGCCAGGACCATGTCTGAACAACCACCATGACACGCTTTGTATTTGAAGTGGTAAGAAAGATCTCAGTGGCGTTTGAACTGTAGTTTTCCTTCCACAACGCCATCACTGGCTCCCTTAGCCCTCACACGACGAATCGTAGGCCTCACACAGTGAATAAACACTGAAACAACCCTAAAGGCCACCCTCTTAAGTGAGCTCCATTCTGAGTGAACCCAACTCCCACCAACAGATAGAATGCCTGTTTGGAACATTGAAAGACCTTTCATTTCAAATACTCCCGTTTTTGTTTGCCTTGGAAAGATTATGGCCCATATTAAGTACAAACTTCTGGCTTTCCACTTTAAAAAGAGAGGAGAGAAAATTCTGGCAGAGCTAGATTTGGGGGTGGGGAGAAACAGAGAGAGATTACACAGATTTTTCTGTGGCATTTTCAAACTCTTGCTGCCTGAGATATTAACCCCCAAAGCGTATGGGCATTAACCCCAGGGGTGGACCTGGGTGTCTCAGATTCCAGTGGCGCCCAGTGCAACGCTTCTCATGCTGCATTCCAAAGCAGAGTTGCAGCGCCCCTAAAGCTCAGCACCCAATACAAGGGGCCCAGCTATGCTCCCCTAGCTCTGCCTCTGTTAGCACAGATGTAAGCGCTTCCAGGCATTTAGGAGCATATCACTCTCCCTCATTCTGCCCTAGTCCTCACAACGACCCATGTTCACGCACATCTAAGAATGAGTGATTCAGCCCACTGCCCCACGCAGCAGCAGGTGGCAGGACCTCGGGTCTTGAGGCAGGAATGTCTGGGTCCAACACCCTCAGGGTTACTGGCACTGTGAAGACCTGCTCCCCATCTGAGGAGACTTCAGCTATAAGGTCTGGGCAGGGCCGACCATTGACACCTACACACTCGCATTAAAATCTGAGCACCAGCTGCACAGTCCTCAGTCGCAGAAGGTGGGGCAGGGAGGGGCCTGGGGCAGCCCCTTTGCCACAGTGGCACAGCTAGCAAAGGTTCTATGGTTAGGCTTGCTCCTTTTACTAAATGGCAACTTTTATTGCTACACTGCATAGAATAATAATAATAATAAATTTTATTTATATCCCGCCCTCCCCAGCCAAAGCCGGGCTCAGGGCGGCTAACAACAATAAAATAATGCAACGTTCATCAGCTTGGATGCGTTCATTCCAGGGTCTAGAGGATGAATCAGAGAACCTTAGGGGCAGGAAGGGTCTCCCAAGGGTCATCTGGTCCACCCCCTGCAATGCAGCTACCATGTTTCTTGTTGTTAGTAACCACCTTGGTTGGGGGATTCCAGTGAGGGAAATCCCAACAGAGGAAGCTCCCTTGTGAAATGGACGCTTCCAAGTGTCTTTTGCAAATCACAAAGGCATCCAGTCCAGAAATCCAAAGGCATTTATAAGGGGATAAAAATGTCCACAAAGAGGAAGGGAAGGATGGATTGCCTACCTTTTGCTAAGAGAGAGTAGATCTGGAGTGGGGAGAGAGAGAAGCCTTTACTGAGGCTCCCACTGAGCTTGGATGTGTTCGTTCCAGGGTCTAGAGGATGCAGCTAAACTCAAAGGTATCCCCCCACCCCAATCCCACATAAGTTACAGAAGGGAAACTGCCTGCAGAAGAGGAAGGGGCTGTGACCTTGCATAAGCATTGATTCCTAAATGATTTTTAAGGAGAAAACCACTACAGCAGCTGCCGAGTAGAGAGGGAGGGAGAGAACTTGCAGAGATATTTTGGCCCCTTGTGTTTTGCTTTTCCTCGCTATGACAATGCCAGCATGATGGAAGCAAGGCTAGCAACTCTGGCTGAACTGGAAACCAGACCCCTGCCTCTGGGGCAGAGAGGCTGCCTCAGAGCTACTGCCTCCCTTGTCCTGGAATCACACAAGTCAGAACGTAATTACTCTTGTAAGATTCAGAGAAGTGCAAAGCCTGAAGAGTAATTACATTTTGACCCATGTGTGATTCTAGAACAGGGGTCAGCAACCTTTTTCACCTGTGGGCCAGTCCACCGTCCCTCAGACCATGTGGTGGGCCGGACTATTTTTTTTGGGGGGTGGGGGGAATGAACAAATTCCTATGCCCCACAAATAAGCCAGAGATGCATTTTAAACAAAAGGACACATTCTACTCAAGTAAAAACACGCTGATTTGCGGACCGTCCGCAGGGCGGATTGAGAAGGCGATTGGGCTGCATCCAGCCTTAGGTTGCCTACCGCTGTTCTAGAAGATGCAAACTTAAGCCAGTCTGCTTAAAATGTGGACCAAACAAAAGGGTTAGCACCACAAGGCCACTTCATATAACCCCACAGCCTTCAAGTGAAGGGCTGCAGCCAACTTTCCTTGCTCAAATGCTGGCACAGGGAGCCAGTGGTACACCAAGACAAGCAGTGGATGGCTCCGAAGCTTTAATCTCTGAAGTTTAAAAAAACAGATGAACATGAGAAATTGACATGAACCAGAAGCAGGCTGTTCTGTCCATCCCTAGTTTGGCTGATGGGAACCCAGGAATGGGTCTATCCCCAAAGTTGCAATCTGATGGTTTCAGGTTCCCCCCAGAAGATCATCTGAGGCTCTGGTCCTTGACCACAATGACACTCACAATATTTTTCTCCCCTGCCTTGCCTCTAACAACCCCCCCCCACCACCACCACCAATGAATTAATACTTCAGATTGCAACTGAAAATTCAATCTTGCCATTTAAAAAAACAACAACCACAAAAACACATTGAACTCTCAAACTGGCAACACGCTATTCAAAACACGGTCAAGGAAATGAGCGTATTACCAATTTGGAGCATCTAGGAATAAGCACTGGTGATGAATGTGAACTTGACGGAATCTTTCAAGAACAGAAGGCAACACTAGTAAAAATTCACTCATTAAAACACAGTTGAAATCTAAATCAGAACAGATTTAGCATTAAGCAGATTTAAAGAAGCAAATGTTAGAAGAGCACATTGACTCACTTTCAAACAGATCTTAGAAATTAAATTACAAAAAAACCTTCTGCAGGAAACTTGAAGAGCAAAGACTTATCTAGTCCAGCCTCCTTTCCCTCAGAAGCAGCTTGCAAGCAGGACCTGACAGCAGCAGCCCTCTGCTGCTCTTGGTGCTCAGCAACTGGCAGGCCTGATCCTGGATCCAGCGCATAGCCTTAATGATTAGTAGATATGGATAGACCTGTCAGGGAACTGCCATCAGTGCCGGAGGGAGAGAGCAAAATCCAGAGGGATTCCAGAGAGCGTCCCGGGATTGGGAGAGGCAGCCCATCTTCTGGGGAAGAGAATCAGCGTAGCACCAGTGGAGAAGGGGGGCAGATGGGGGAAGCGGCGAGGCGGTCCCATGACTCCTTGCCGGAGACCAGCGGGGAGAGTAGAGGTCCTCTGCTGCCTACGCCCTCCTTGCGCAGAAGGCTTTCGCGCAGAGAGAGTAGGAGGAGACTAGGCGTCAAAGAGCTTCTTTGCTGGAAGAAGTTTAAGAAATGCCCACTGACGGATTCTGCCAGCGATTGAGACAGCCACGGGTGAGTGGCTGTCCGGACAGAAAAGGTTCACTCAGGTGGACTTCCGGGTTGGCGCCATCGTTAATGGTGGATTCCCTATGAGTCTCTGAGGGACCAGCTCCGCGGGATCGGGTCTGACCGCTGCGGCGAAGCGGGGGCCCTTTAAAAATCACAGGCGGGTGAAGCCTGTGAACGTGGGGACTCGGCGGGCACCTTTTGCGCCCCCCCAAATTGCGAAGGGACCCTTTTAAGGGCTCCGGAGCGAGACGGGGTGAGCGGCACGGTGCTGAGAGTCGACTGCTTCTTCCGCGGAGTGAAGCCGCATAGCCGTTGACTTTTTCCTGGGACAATTTGACTTTGAAAGCAACTACCTGTGAGTAGGATTAAATTGGATCTAAAGGGAAAAAATAAGTTAATTCGGCACCGAAGCGGGAAGGTATAAACAGGAAGTCTGCCTTCCTTTCTTGTAAATAGATCAAAGCAAAGAGACTGTAAGTGGAAACTCTGAAAGACGTTTGAAAAAAGATTTAAATCTCAACATCAGGAAACCGGGTTGCAGGAGAGGAGGGGGGAAAGGTTTGAACTGTATTTATCTGCAAAAAAAGGGGGGAAAGGAAGCTAAAACCCACCGCCTAAAACCTGGGAACGGACTGCCCCGAGATAAGGAATGCCGCTCTGTGGAAAGCCTATCGGTAAGCAGAGGACTTTTGACAGCTAACTCTGCAAAAGAGATACAGTGTTTCTGAACTTCTCCTGGTTTTAAAGTAACTGATTAAGTGCAACTGAAACTGTTGTTTTTATGTGAATTGGGGGACTTATAAGGACTATTTTCTTTTAAAGTTGCAAGCTTTGGCTGTTACTGTGTCCCCCTAGAGGAGGCTTGACATTGCTACAATAACAACTGGGCTAGAGGAATTTTCCATTCCAAAACAAATTTCAGCTGTGGGATCGACCTTGGATTCTCATGAGAGTGTTATGGCAGATGGAAGAGGAAAGTTAGAGTCGACGCAGGAAAAAACTACTAGGTCTGGCAGACCCTATCGGACAGATACTGCGTTGCAGCGAAGGGCTTCAACATCTGGTCCTTCTGGACCATCTGGAATACCAGGGGCTGCACCTCCACAGGTTAAACCAAAAGTTATATCGTCCGAAGACGTTTTGGCACAGGCACTTGGAAAAATTAATGAATCTTTGGAAAATTTAGCTAAACAAGTAGCTGAAACAAATAAGCAAGTAGCTGAAGCATCAGTTAAAATTGACCAGAATACTACAAGCATCAATAATTTGGGACAGAAGGTGAATACCAACACAGAGTCTATTGAAAAATTACTACAGGAATCTGCTTCAACCCGAAAGATAGCTGAAGAAGCAAAAGATATAGCAACTGCTACTCAAGAGAAGATACCACCGGTATATAAGCAACTCGAGGACCACGGTTTGACATTGTCTATGATTGAATTGAAAGAGAAACAAAGAAATTTAAGAATCAGGGCTGTACCAGAACGTGAGAAAGACAATTTGGCTGATTTTCTTACGCAGGAATTCGCAGATTTCTGGCAACAGGATTTGGGGAAGGAAGAATTTAAGATAGTGAGTGCATTTAGACTTGGAAGAGGAGGAAGGAGGAACAAGGTGAGAGACTGCTTGATTACCCTTCGAACAAAAGAGGAGAGAGACAAAATCTTGAATCTGCATTACCAAAAGACTTTGGAAATTTACGACTCAAGTGTGGAGATATTCAAGGACATTCCAAAACACCTTTTGGACTTAAGGCTCAACTACGGAGATCTGGTTGCCCTGCTGAGAAGAAATAGAATCATCTTTAGGTGGGAATTCCCTCAAGGCCTGTCCTTTAAATATAAAGGAAGAAAGATAAAAATAAGATCAGTCAATGACAAAGATAGGTTTCTGAAGGACCACGGAGAAGATCTACAGAAAGAAGTGGAATCCGGAGAAGAGCCAAAACCCCTGGAAAAAGGAATACTAGATATAGCAAACTTATCTTTTGGATTGCATGGTCCAGAGAAAGTGACACCACTGACAGAACAAGAACAGACACTTGGCGCAGTTGGAGGTAAAGCGAAGTAACCCCATCATGGCTCTGCAACTGTTAAGTTGGAATTGTAATGGTTTGAATTCTCCTCGGAAGAGAAGAAGTGTTTTTCATTTACTAAAAAAGGAACAATTGGACTTGATTTGTCTACAAGAAACACATGTAACAAGGTTACACAGGCAACTACTGATTAATAAGAGATTGGGACAGGAGTTTATCTCATCTGACAAAGTTAAAAAAAGAGGAGTTGTGATATATGCAAAGGAGAGACTATCACCGAAATTTATTTTCAAAGATGACCAAGGAAGATTTTTGGCAATTGAAATTCAAGTTCAAGGAGAGAAATTTTTGATAGTAGGAATTTATGCACCGAATGAGGAAAAATCTGAATTTTTTAAAAAGTTGCATGAGACTTTATTGGATTATTTGGATTACAATCTGATTTTGATGGGGGATATGAATGGAGTAGTATCTACAAACATGGATAAGGCACAAAGACAGGTAGTTACCAAGGATGGTAGACTACCGAAAACATTTTTCGAGATGACAGACAATTTTGACTTAGTGGACACTTGGAGAACAAAGAACCCCTTGGGAAGAGAGGGAACCTTCTTTTCTGAAGCTAAGATGACATGGACTAGAATTGACCAAATATGGGTAACTAGAGGAATGGCACCAAAGATAAAGAAAGTGGAAATCTGCCCAAAAACCTGCTCCGACCATAATGCGGTAAGGATGGAGTTGAAACTAACATCAACTGGCTCCTTCAGATGGAGGATGAATGACACCCTATTCAGAGATGAAGAAGTGTATAAAAAGGCCCAAAAACCTTGAGAGACTATTTTGAAATAAATATGAATACTAATGTAGAAAAAGAGTAATCTGGGACGCAAGTAAAGCTGTCATGAGAGGGTTTCTGATACAACAGAATGCAATAAAGAAGAGAAGTCAAAATGAGAAGAAAGATAAAATTTTGGGGAAAATAAAAGAAAGTGAAAAGAAATTGAGAGCAAAACCAAAGTCGCAGGAGATTTTGAGAGAAATAAAGTTATATCAAGTACAATATATGGAAATGATGAATCAGGAAATAGAATGGAAAATTAAACAAATGAGACAAAAACATTTGAATCAGCTAACAAATGTGGGAAATTGCTGGCCTGGCAAATGAAAAAAAGACAAAAATTAAATACTATTACAAATTTAGAAGTGGAAGGAAAGAATATACATAACCCAACTGAGATTAGAAACTGTTTCCAGAGGTATTTTAAACAACTATATACACAAGGGCCACAGAAAGAAATGGATATAGACCAATTTCTGAAGACAAATGGATTACAAAAATATCCCAAGAAAGTAAATTAATGTTGAACTATAAAATATCTGAACAGGAAGTAGAAGGTGCCATTCAAAACATGCAATTAGGCAAATCTCCAGGACCGGATGGGCTGACTTCTAGATATTATAGATCTTTGAAAGAGTGGCTATTACAACCTTTAAAGGAAGTCTGCAATGAAATATTGGAAGGAAAAGGGCACCAGAGTCTTGGAAAGAGGCGTACATTACACTTATACCGAAGACAGAGACTGAAAAGACTCAGCTTAAGAACTACCGCCCCATATCGTTACTTAATGTGGATTACAAAATTTTTGCAGACATTTTGGCCAAGAGATTGAAAAAGTATTGATGGAAGAGATTCATAAAGACCAAGCGGGTTTTCTCCCAGGAAGACACTTGTCCGATAATTTGAGGAATATAATTGATATTTTGGAAAAACTAGAAGTGAACATAAATACTAAAGCAGTTTTGATATTTGTGGACGCGGAGAAAGCTTTTGATAATATCTCTTGGAGTTTTATGAAGAAGAACCTACAGGGGATGGGGGTAGGCCAAGGTTTTGAAAATGGTATAAGTGCAATTTATTCAGAACAAAAGGCTAAACTAATTGTAAATAATGTGGTGACGGAAGAATTTAGGATAGAAAAAGGGACAAGACAAGGTTGCCCAATTTCCCCATTGCTTTTATATCGGTCCTGGAGGTTCTGCTGAACATGATTAGAAGGGACCGGTTGGTTAAAGGTATACAGGTCGGAGCCAAACAGTACAAATTGAGAGCATTTGCAGATGACTTAGTATTGACGTTACAGGAGCCAGAATCTAGTACCAAAAGAGTTTTAGAACTGATTCAAGAATTTGGTCAAGTTGCAGGATTTAAGTTGAATAAGTTAAAGACCAAGGTTTTAGAGAAAAATTTAACACCAATGGAGAGAGAGGTTTCAGAATGAGACAGGTTTAACAGTGGTTAAGAAAGTTAAATACTTGGGGATTAACATGACAGCAAAAAATGGGAATTTATTTAAAGACAACTATGAAAAATGCTGGGCTGAAGTGAAAAAAGATTTAGAAATTTGGTCAAATTTGAAGCTTTCACTGCTGGGCCGTATTGCTGCGGTAAAAATGAATGTATTGCCTAGAATGTTGTTTTTGTTTCAAACACTGCAAATTGTGGACAAAATGGACTGTTTCAAGAGGTGGCAGAGAGATATTTCTAAATTTGTCTGGCAGGGCAAGAAGCCTAGAATAAAATTTAAAATATTAACAGATGCAAAGGAAAGAGGTGGATTTGCCCTGCCAGACTTTAAACTTTACTATGAATCAGCAGCTTTTTGCTGGTTGAAAGAATGGTTGCTTCTTGAAAACACTGACATTTTGGATCTAGAAGGTTTCAACAATGTATTTGGATGGCATGCATATCTGTGGTATGATAAGGTCAAAGCACATAAAGCATTTAAAAATCACATTGTCAGGAAAGCATTGTTTAATGTCTGGATAAGATACAAGGACTTATTGGAAAATAAAACTCCAAGGTGGCTGTCACCGATGGAAGCAAAAGCTCTGAAAAAGCTCAATATGGAGGCCAAATGGCTGAAATATTGGGAAATTTTGGAACAAGACGGATATAGACTGAAATTGCAGAGTTTTGAGAAATTAAAAAACAAAGTGCGAGACTGGCTTCATTATTATCAGATAATGGAGGCATATAATTTGGACAAGAAAATTGGTTTCCAGGTGGAAAAATCAAAATTAGAAACAGAACTATTAGAACCCAAAACTAAGATTTTGTCAAAGATGTATAACTTGCTGTTGAAATGGAATACTCAGGATGAAACGGTGAAATCTGCTATGATTAAATGGGCACAAGATGTTGGACATAACATAATGATGGCTGACTGGGAACAGTTATGGACCACAGGTATGAAGTTTACGGCATGTAATGCCTTAAGAGAGAATATTATGAAAATGATATACAGGTGGTACATGACCCCAGTCAAGCTTGCAAAAATTTATCATTTGCCCGATAACAAATGTTGGAAATGTAAAGAAACTGAAGGTACATTCTTTCACCTTTGGTGGACGTGCCCAAGGATTAAGGCTTTCTGGGAAATGATATATAATGAACTGAAAAAGGTATTTAAATATACCTTCTTGAAGAAACCAGAGGCCTTTCTCCTAGGCATAGTCGGTCAATTGGTGCCAAAGAAGGATAGAACTTTTTTCATGTATGCCACAACAGCAGCAAGAATACTCATTGCAAAGTATTGGAAGACACAAGATTTACCCACTCTGGAAGAATGGCAGATGAAGTTGATGGACTATATGGAACTGGCAGAAATGACTGGCAGAATCCGAGACCAGGGAGAAGAGTCGGTGGAAGAAGATTGGAAGAAGTTCAAAGATTATCTACAGAAATATTGTAAAATTAATGAATGTTAGAACGATGTTGGATAGAAATTAAGTGGTTTCCAGCTGTAATGCTTTAAGGGAATATGAAAAATGGGTTGTTAAGAGGTAAAAATCTAACGTTACTATTTTAAGACCAAAGATTAGGATAAATAAAGAGGGTAAGGATTTGCTGAACCAACAAACTGAACTGGAATACAAAAAAGGGAGGTATGAGGAGGTCCGGGAAACAAGCTAAGGAAAAATAAGCAATGGAAAAATTGAGTGGTTTTTAATCATTTTTATTTTGTATTTTCTTTTTCTTTTTCATTTTTTATTGTAATATTTAAAAAATCTTAATAAATATCTTATCCGACCGAGACTCCATCGATGGTCGATGAACGGGACCCCCCTAGAGCAGGTTAACTGCTTTAAATATCTGGGACAAGTAATACGGTCAAATAGGTCTTTTCTGGCCCATAGAGACTATATAACAACTAACGCATCTAAAGCAGCCATCCAGATTAGATCTCTATATGCTAAGAATCAGGCTCAATCAGTGAAGATAGCTTTGAGACTCTTTCAAATGAAAGTCCTCCCCTTCTTTTGGTGGGCATTTCTTTAGGCTCCCGTAGGGATTTTTGAAACTGGATTCTATCCAAGCGAGATTCCTTAGAGCCATCCTCAGGATTCCCCCCTCGGTAGCGGGTGCGGTTATGAGATTAGCGGTCGGCTGGCAAGCTCTACGGTATGTGGCCTGGCACCCGAAGCTCTGGCTATGGCTCAAGCTTTGTTTGAAACCAGTGGGTATTGCCCCCTTGATATTGAGGGACGATTTCCAATCATCGTGGGAAAGGGAGGTCATTAATGAGGTTCAATCCTGCGGATTGTCTCATCTCTACTTTGAGTCTATGACGTACAATCAAGCTAGAGCTGTGATCTCCCGGAGACTGAGTGACATTGCCAGACAAGAGGACATAGCCCAGGTAAAACCAGGGACGTTCCTAGGGGACCAGATTTATCGGACTATACCAGCCCCCTACCTTGCAGAAATCCATTATGTGGAATACCGTAGACTTCTTACAGCGGCTAGATTAAATGTCCTTGACTCTGCGATATTGTGGGAAGGTACAGGGGGGTACCATACGCCCAGAGAACCTGTCATTGTGCCATGGGTGTGGTTGAGTCCACTGAACATATTCTCTTGACTTGCCCTTCTTATGCAGAGCTTAGACAAAATTTTATAGACCCTCTCCTATGTCAATTCAGCTCCCTACCCAGAGAAAACCAGGTTTTACACTTGCTGAATAACGCCACTAGAGCTATACCTTCCTTGGTGGCCAAATTTCTCTTTTTAGCTTTTAAGCGTCGCAAGAATATAATTGACTGTATTGATATGGGGCTATCTGTTTAGCCCATTTTAGTGTTGGCTAAGTTTTAAAATCTTCCTGGATGTTTTTAACTGTGTATTGATAAAATGTACTTTTTTCTGACTGACGGTCGAATAAAAAGGATGATGATGATAAATATCTTATAAAAAAGAAAAAGAAAAGGTTCACTCAGGCAACCCAGCCAGGTGTTTGCACTGGCTTACGCATGAGCAACCCCTAGAACCACAACAGACCTATCCTCCACAAGCTTGTCTAATCACCTTTTAAAATTTCATAGAGCAGCTATTCTCTGAGTAAAGGGACCAGGATCCCGAAAAGCCCCCCTGCACCAGAGCCAATAACAAGATGTGGCACTGTCCCTAGGCAGTTGAGATTTGATCCTTATGAATTCTAATGATTTGACCTAATCTGACTAATCAGTGGATCAGAAAAATTGAATCAATTAAAAAAAAAACTAATCCTGCAGATTAATGGAATGGAACAGACTAATGAGTGAATATATGTAAAAGTGACACAGACTTGAAATAACAATCCACCAGTTCCTAGTTGTAACTTCGCAAGACATCGTGCTGGTCATATACTGTGATTGGGTTTGGGCTGGGTGTTCATCAGTATGTGGATGACACCCAGCTCTACCTCTCTTTTAAATCAGAACCAGTGAAGGTCCTGTGTCTGCAGTGTCTGGAGGCGGTTGGAGGATGGGTGGCAGAGAGCCAGTGTGGTGTAGTGGTTAAGAGCGGTAGTCACGTAATCTGGGTAACCGGGTTCGCGTCTCCACTCCTCCACCTGCAGCTGCTGGGTGACCTTGGGCCAGTCACACTTCTTTGAAGTCTCTCAGCCCCACTCACCTCACAGAGTGTTTGTTGTGGGGGAGGAAGGGAAAGGAGAATGTTAGCCGCTTTGAGACTCCTGAAGGGGAGTGAAAGGCGAGATATCAAATCCAAACTCTTCTTCTTCTTCTTCTTCTAACAGATTGAGGTTGAGTCCTGACAAGACAGAAGTACTGTTTTTGGGGGACAGGGGGCGGGCAGGTGTGGAGGACTCCCTGGTCCTGAATGGGGTAACCTGAAGGACCAGGTGCGCAGCCTGGGAGTCATTTTGGACTCACAGCTGTCCATGGAGGCGCAGGTCAGGGCAGCTGTCTCCCAGCTCCATCTGGTACGCCGGCTGAGACCCTACCTGCCCGCAAAATGTCTCGCCAGAGAGCTGTATGCTCTGGTTATCTCCTGCTTGGACTACTGCAATGAGCTCTATGTGGGGCTACCTTTGAAGGTGACCTGAAAACTGCAACTAATCCAGAACGTGGCAGCTAGACTGATGACTGGGAGTGGGTGCCAAGACCATATAGCACCAGTCTTGAAAGACCTACATTGGCTCCCAGTACGTTTCCAAGCACAATTCAAAGTGTTGGTGCTGACCTTTAAAGCTCTAAATGGCCTTGGCCCAGGAAACCTGAAGGAGCATCGCCACCCCCCATCGTTCAGCCCGGAAACTGAGGTCCAACTCCAAGGGCCTTTTGGCGGTTCCCTCACCGTGAGAAGTGAGGTTACAGGGAAGCAGGCAGAGGGCCTTCTTGGTAGTGGCACCCACCCTGTGGAACGCCCTCCCACCAGATGTCAAAGAGAAGAACAAACTACCAGACTTTTAGAAGACACCTGAAGGTAGCCCTGTTTAGAGAAGTTTTTATGTTTGAAGTTTTATTCTGTTTTTAATGTTCTGTTGAAAACTGCCCAGAGTGGCTGGGGAAGCCCAGCCAGATGGGCAGGGTATAAATAATAAATTTGTTGTTGTTGTTGTTGTTGTTGTTGTTGTTATCCCCCTCTACTAAACCATAGGGCTGAAAGTGTCAGCAGCAGTATCCCTCAAACGTTCCTCTGCAATTTTCCACTGCAGCAAACCTTCCCACTGTACTGTTGCATCTGGGCAGCAATTACTTGTTTTGACCTTTGCTCTTTTAGTATGATCCTGTTTTACTGGTCCACTTCTGCCAAGACATTCCCATTGCAAAAGTTATCTCTATTCAAATGCTCACAGATGCCAATTGTGCTCAAAGTACAATTTGAAAGGTTTTATTACCCAATGGAAAACTTGGACACACCTCTTAGAAACAGGACTTTTATTCTGCCTGCCAGCTCCCTCATATAAGACCAAGGCTTCCTTCCTTGCTATTATCTAAAGAGGAGAGAGGAAGGAAAGGGTCTGCTGCTGTTGTTGCTTCCTGTCAATGGGAGTTTTCCACACATTGCTGCCAGAATTGTCCTGCATTGTGTTGCAATCTGTGTGTAGCTGCACAGTTGCTAGGGACTCTCTGGGAGGGGCTGCCACTGTTCCTGCACTCTTTGCACACCGTCGGTGCATGAAAATACAGCTGCTGTGTGAACAAGGGGTACCAACTCAGACTGTACAGTTGCTATCAATAGCATTGTAGCAGCCCTTCTGCTGAAGCCACAAGATCAGATTGATGTCAGGAGGTACCAGGTTTACACGAAACTCAGATAAACATTCAAAAGGCAGTATTTTATCAGAGTTAAACATATGCCAACAGTACACTTTTGTGATGTTACACCAGTGTTTGCAGAAACCAATAGAAGGCATTAAATTGGGGGGGGGGGATCACATTTGAGGAAGAAAGGGATTCATTTGTCAGCCCTGCAATCACTGTTTTTTCCTCATCTATTGGCTGAAAGTACTGTAGGACCTTGCATCCACAATACATGTCTTTGTAATGAATCCCTGGCTAGCGACACACCAATGTCCTTAAGCTCGTTCCTCCAAATGTGATCTATCCAGAAATTCAGCAGCTCACAGGATTATCTGTAAACAAGGTAATAGGACAGCAAACTCAGGTGAAACTTATTTCATGGGTGGTCTACACTGGTTTCACACAAGGTGTTAGAATCTGGGCCAAACATACTCATGTTCTTGCTTAATTGATTCTGCAGCATTTCACATTTGTAGAGACATAAATGTAGAAGAAGAGTTTGGATTTCATACCCCGCTTTATCACTACCCGAAGGAGTCTCAAAGCGGCTAACATTCTCCTTTCCCTTCCTCCCCCACAACAAACACTCTGTGAGGTGAGTGGGGCTGAGAGACTTCAAAGAAGTGTGACTGGCCCAAGGTCACCCAGCAGCTGCATGTGGAGGAGCGGAGACGCAGTCTCATGTGTGCAGACTCAATGGAACACAGTGAGATTCTAGGTTAGGGTGACCCACATAATTCACTCTGGCCTCTACCACTGGCTGAAGCATGTACTGCAGCTCTTCAAAGGGGCAACTAGGGGTTTGCTACAAAGGAAGATCCCTGCCCCAAAGTAGGGCTTGCAGTCAGCGCTGATCAGCTGAGTGGCACCAGCTTCAAGCCCTGCTTTTGGCAGGGATCAGCTGGATTACTGAACAGGAACTCCTGAGCGCAGCAGATCCCAGTGGAGCTCGCTATCAGCCCTGCCAAAGAACACTCAGAAGTGCACTTCAGGGCTCCCCAATGCTCCTTTGCAGTCATGTCTTTAACTGCCCCACTCTCGACAGTGTAGGATGTCAGGTGTATGGCAGAGAAAATGCCTCTGCAGGGCAAATTATGAGCCCTACTAAGACTAATTTAGTCTGTGGGTCGGAGGTTATCCATGCCTGCTTTATGGTAGCCTCCAGATCCCCATTTTATTTACTTTGTTTTTGCTAGAGCTCTGTAAAAATCCATAGCAAGAGACCTGTTTACATAGTTTATTTCTTTGGGATGGCCACACATTACCAGAAGGGGAAGGGCATGTGATTTCTCCTTCAGGCCCATTTCCTGTTGCTCAGAAGAGATATTTGAATCACAAGACTACCATGTAACAACTAGGTAACAAACTACAAAGAAGGTTTCAGTCCAACATGAAGGTTTTGAACTTACAATGCCAGGAGAAAAAGAAAGCGGATGGTCCTTTTTCTTTTCTTTTTTTACTGGATTATCACAGAGGGGGTTTTTTTTAGCAATTAACAGACGTCTGCAGACATTTTCACCAAATGGAAGAGAGGCTTTGATGGCCAGCGGAGCACAGAGTACATGCAACAAAGGTGCAGGGAAACAGGGTGGGACTGCGCTGGGGGGGGGGGGGGGAGAGACTCTGTCAGAGCCTGGGCAACAGAAATTCCAGAGCTTTGTATTACCAAAGACAGACAACTTTGACCTGACAGAGAAGGAAGCATCATCATGGCATCTTCTAGTCCAGAGTGTGCCCACAGCCGGGTGGGCACACAGCAGTGCAAGCTTGCTCCAGAAGTTGGATAGAGGGGATGTCATCTTCTCTTGGGCTGCTCCTGGGTCCTCACAGAAGATGCTCGTCCAGTAAGCAAGAACCAGAGTGTCTTCGGCTTATTCCCAGCATGTCCCTCATTCCTCACATTTGTTTCATCCCTTTAAGAAAAACATCCAGGGCCTAAGAAACTGCAAATAAAACAAAGTGGACGACGATGACAAGATTTAGAAAAATGGGCATGAGCTGCGTTGCTGCAATTAGCCACTGTCATACTCAGTCTTTCCCCCCAGCTTCCCTAAAGACAACTTGATCAGGAATCTGCATACTGGGGCTATGCCCAAGAGAAAAGGATTTCAATGGGAATGCCCAGCATGGTTGCCAGGCCCAACTGCCCTGCCATCATCAACTCAAGACAAGTTGGATATGAAAACTGTATGGAAGAGGTTTATTCAAAGTCACAACATCCTGTTAAACCATCCTTGAAGATGTAGAACGTCTATTTAAACACATTGTGAAGTGTTGGCTGAAACAGCTTAGAGTAAGTACCCACCCCAAAACTCTACAGATGCAGATGTGATAAAATACACATTTAAAATTTGAAAACACAACACCATAGATAAAATTGTCAATATGCAGCTCCCATCATCAAAAGAAGCAAGGAGAAGCAAAAAGCAGCAGTTTCAACTGCACAGACATGATGTAACTTAAAATGGAAGTGTGTATAAAAGAAATCCAATGTTACTAGCCCCGGTAGTGAATTAATTTTTTGTACCTCTGTAGAATATACACATTTTGAAGTGACATTAATATCAGTTCTGTTAAACTTAAAACGATTTCTGGTGTTTATAATATGAATCAAAACATTAGGGTGACAGATTGATGTGAGTGCTGTAAGGGAAAGCAGGAGTGAAATAGTATCCAAGCGACCAGGTCCCACTGAGATGCGAAACAAGGACCCCATTACTTTCAAGTGATCTATAAGCTCCTTAACAGCCTTTCCCATCTAAAAGTTACAGTGCTTTCAGTTAGCCTAACAAAAACGGGTGGAGCATCTTTCGCCAGAGATGTCGAAGTTTTGGCAATGGTCTCTGATCTCATACACCAGGAATCATTAGGTGATAACTGATTTTGTTCCCAGCATTTCTGCGTTTTTCTTAAAGGTAAAGGTACCCCTGCCCGTACGGGCCAGTCGTGACTGACTCTGGGGATGTGCGCTCATCTCGCTTAAGAGGCCGGGAGCCAGCGCTGTCCGAAGACACTTCCGGGTCAAGTGGCCAGCGTGACGAAGCTGCTCTGGCGAGCCAGCACCAGCGCAGCGCACAGAAACGCCGTTACCTTCCCGCTATAAAGCGGTACCTACTTGCACTTAGGGGTTTTTCTTACCTGCAGGTTAAAAGCCGTGCCAAAACTACATTTGACAGGGAAAAAGTTTTTCTAGTTAATGCAACCTGACACACAGCAAGAGCATAAAAAGCTACGTGGACTTATTGCTTTTCAGTGGTGGCCCCACCCTGACAGTTCCTATCCTTTGCCTTCAAAGCCTCCTCGTGTTCGATGAATATTTTGCCAAGTGAATGTCTAATTACAAACCGTGGTTGGAACATCAACAGCAGTTAAGTGTTCATATTTGTATAACTAACTCAGTCTGAAATTAACATAGAATCATAGAATCATAGAGTTGGAAGAGACCACAAGGGCCATCGAGTCCAACCCCCTGCCAAGCAGGAAACACCATCAGAGCACTCCTGACATATGGTTGTCAAGCCTCTGCTTAAAGATCTCCAAAGAAGGAGACTCCACCACACTCCTTGGCAGCAAATTCCACTGTCGAACAGCTCTTACTGTCAGGAAGTTCTTCCTAATGTTTAGGTGGAATTTTCTTTCTTGTAGTTTGGATCCATTGTTCCGTGTCTGCTTCTCTGGAGCAGCAGAAAACAACCTTTCTCCCTCCTCTATGTGACATCCTTTTATATATTTGAACATGGCTATCATATCACCCCTTAACCTCCTCTTCTCCAGGCTAAACATGCCCAGCTCCCTTAGCCGTTCCTCATAAGGCATCGTTTCCAGGCCTTTGACCATTTTGGTTGCCCTCCTCTGGACACCTTCCAGTTTGTCAGTGTCCTTCTTGAACTGTGGTGCCCAGAACTGGACACAGTACTTCAGGTGAGATCTGACCAGAGCAGAATACAGTGGCACTATTACTTCCCTTGATCTAGATGCTATTGATTACTTCCCTTGATCTAGATGCTATTGATGAGGCCCAGAATTGCATTGGCTTTTTTAGCTGCCGCGTTACACTGTTGGCTCATGTCAAGTTTGTGGTCAACGAAGACTCCTAGATCCTTTTCACATGTACTGCTCTCAAGCCAGGTGTCTCCCATCTTGTATTTGTGCCTCTCATTTTTTTTGCCCAAGTGCAATACTTTACATTTCTCCCTGTTAAAATTCATCTTGTTTGTTTTGGCCCAGTTCTCTAATCTGTCAAGGTCGTTTTGAAGTGTGATCCTGTCCTCTGGGGTGTTAGCCACCCCTCCCAGTTTGGTGTCATCTGCAAATTTGATCAGGATGCCCTTGAGTCCATCATCCAAGTCGTTGATAAAGATGTTGAATAAGACCGGGCCCAAGACAGAACCCTGTGGCACCCCACTAGTCACTCTTCTCCAGGATGAAGAGGAACCATTGATGAGCACCCTTTGGGTTCGGTCAGTCAGCCAGTTACAAATCCACCGAGTGGTAGCATAGTCAAGACCGCATTTTACCAGCTTCTTTACAAGAATATCATGGGGCACCTTGTCAAATGCCTTGCTGAAATCAAGGTAGGCTACGTCCACTGCGTTCACTTCATCTACCAGGCTTGTAATTCTGTCAAAAAACGAGATCAGTTTAGTCTGACGTGACTTATTTTTCAGAAGTCCATGCTGACTATTGGTGATCACAGCATTCCTTTCTAGGTGCTCACAGACTGTTTGCTTAATGATCTGCTCCAGAATCTTCCCTGGTATTGATGTCAGACTGACTGGGCGGTAATTATTTGGGTCCTCTCTTTTCCCCTTTTTGAAAATAGGGACAACATTTGCCCTCCTCCAGTCTGCCGGGACTTCGCCTGTTCTCCAGGAGTTCTCAAAGATGACTGCCAGTGGTTCTGAGATCACATCTGCCAGTTCTTTTAATACTCTTGGATGCAGTTCATCAGGCCCTGGAGACTTGAATACATCTAAACTAGCCAAGTATTCTTGTACTATCTCCTTAGTTATTCTGGGCTGTGTTTCCTCTGCTGAATCATTTGCTCCAAATTCTTCAGGTCGGGCATTGTTTTCTTTATCGGAGAAGACTGAGGCAAAGAAGGCATTGAGGAGTTCAGCCCTTTCTGTGTCCCCTGTTTGCATTTCACCATCTTCTCCTCTGAGTGACCCCACTGTTTCTTTGTTCTTCCTTTTGCTACGAACATACCCATAAAAGCCTTTTTGGTTGCTTTTAACCTCTCTAGCAAGCCTGAGTTCATTCTGTGCTTTAGCTTTTCTGACTTTGTGTCTACACGTGCTGGCTATTTGTTTGAATTCCTCTTTGGTGGTTTCCCCCTTTTCCATTTTTTGTACACATCCTTTTTTTAATCTTAACTCAGTTAAAAGTTCTTTAGATAGCCACCCTGGCTTCTTTAGGCACCTTCCATGTTTCCGTCTCATTGGTATTGCCTGACGTTGTGCTGTTACTATCTCCCTCTTAACAAACTCCCAGCCATCATGAACTCCCTTTCCTTTTAGTATTACTGTCCATGGGATCTCACCCAGCACTTCCCTAAGTTTTATGAAGTCGGCTTTCTTAAAGTCAAGAAATTGAGTCCTAGTATGCTTGGCTGCTCCTTTCCGCTGTATAGTAAACTTCAGAAGAGCATGATCACTCGCGCCTAATGATCCTTCCACTTCTACCCCACTAACCAGGTCATCAACATTGGTTAGGACCAGATCTAAAATGGCTGTTCCTCTTGTTGCTTCTCCCACTTTCTGGACAATGAAGTTGTCTGCAAGGCCAGTGAGGAATCTGTTTGACCTTATGCTCTTGGCTGAGTTTGACATCCAACAAATATCCGGGTAATTGAAGTCCCCATTACTACTATCTCCCTTCCTTTTGCATGCTAGACCATCTGTTCCAGGAAGGCATCATCTATGTCCTCCGTTTGGCTTAGGGATCTATAGTAAACTCCCACAATGAGGTCACTGTTATTCTTCTCTCCCTTAATTTTGACCCAAATGCTCTCACTTTGGCTTTGAGGTTCTAAATCTTGGATCTCTTCACAGGTATACACATCCCTGACATATAACGCCACTCCTCCTCCTTTCTTGTCTGGTCTGTTTCTCTGAAATAGATTGTATCCCCCATTATTACATTCCAATCGTGGGACTTATCCCACCAGGTTTCAGTGATGCCTATTATGTCATATTTAGTTTGCTGTACCAAGAGCTCAAGCTCATCTTGTTTATTTCCCATGCTTTGCGCATTAGGGTACAGACATTGAAGTCCATTAATCATTCCCCCGTGTCTCTTATTTAAGGATATTTTCCTCCCACCAATAGGTCTGCGTGCTGTTTGATACATTTGGTCTATGACATTTGTATGATCATCTTCATCAATTGATAGACTCCTACCTTCAGGAGCACTGTCTCACTACCCCACATTAGTCAGTTTAAAGCCCTCCTGATGAGGTTTCTGAGATTTTTGGCAAAAACATTTCTCCCAACCGTTGTGAGGTGCAGCCCATCGCTTGCCAGAAGTCCATCTTCAAGAAACTGCAGTCCGTGATCTAAGAATCCAAACCGTTCCTGTTTACACCATTTGCGAAGCCAGCTGTTCACTTCTACTATTTTCCCCTCTCTCCCTGGGCCACGTCGTTCAACTGGGAGGACAGATGAGATGACAATTTGTGCATTTAATTGCTTCAATTTCCTGCCCAGAGCCTCGTAGTCTCTTTTGATCTTCTGGAGGCTATTGCTTGCAGTGTCATTGGTTCCCACATGAACCAAGAGGAAGGGGTATTTGTCAGTGGGTTTTATGATTCCTTGCAGTCGTTCAGTTACATCTTGGATCTTAGCCCGGGGAGACAGCACACTTCCCGAGACATCTTGTCAGGCCCACAGATCACTGCTTCTGTTCCCCTCAGTAGGGATCCCCTATCACCACTACACGCCTCCTCTTAGGTTTGGTCGGGGTTCTTCCGTGAGCTGTCCGTTCCAAGGTCGCCTGCACATTCCCTGAGGACTGACTTTGCTGCTCGTCTTCATATACCTGATCGACTGTAATGAGGGAGAGATCCTCAAATGGAGTCTGCTCTTCGTCTTCCATGCTAGGGAGAGGACCTCAAAGCGATTGTGTATTTCTAAACAATCAGAGTGAACCCTGGGCCTCCTACTTCTTTGAGTCACGTTTCTCCATATATCTGGCTCCTGTGTTGGTGAACTAGCCTCCTTCTCCTGTCTCCTCCTTGGTGGAGACGGTGTGCTCTGTTGCTTCCAAGAAGAGCTCCAGCTCTCTAATTCTTTGGAGCGTAGCTACACGTTCCTCCAGTTGCTGGACTTTGTCTTTTAAGAGGGCAATCAACATGCAATTGCTGCAGGTAAAGCTGCCTGCAACCTTTGGCAAGATGGCAAACATTGCGCAGGAACCGCAGGCGACTGCAGCTGTTCCCTCCCCCTCCATCTTGAGAACGTGTCGTTGGGGGTGGCTACAGCGGTCCTCCATCATAAAAAGCGTGAAGACAGGACAAATAACTCCCCCACAAAAAAAACCTAGGTCTCCCCCAACAAACGTTTGAGACTAGCTCCCCTAAATCTAAAAGATGGATCAAACTGCGCGCGCCGCTACACACACACAAGAAAACCCTTTTTGCTCCTTCTTCAACTGCTGCCCTGCAAGCTCTGCCTTAATTGCCTTATCTATGTTGTTTTTAGGGAGTGAGAACATGAGAACATGCCTTCTTAACCAGAACAGTGAGGAAAGAGGAGAAGCGTGGTGGTTGTTTTTTTGTGGCTGTTGCTTCAAGTGATTCAAATTTGAATGCAATTTTTTCCAGAAGCAGAACACATTTCCATTTTGATGCCACAAATAATGTTGATAACTCTCCTAGGGTCACTCACAACAGCAGAGACAACTGCATACAGCTAACTGTCTTAACATCGAGTCAGGCTCTGCTGCAAGGTGTGTTGAATGGGAAGCATCTGGTTCTGGGCCTGAGGTGCCCTTCCAATATCTGCCTAAAGGGAGACCTCTTCACTGACTGCCACATTCTGTCGCAGACAAACAGCCTCCCACCTGTCAATTCCCCAAGCCTCTCCTTTCCAGCTTACAGGCATCCTAACAGAAAATGCCCTGTTAAAACAAGAAGGCTGATGAGCCGCAGAAAAATCCCAGACTTGTGTCCGCAAGCTGTTCCCTTTCATAAAACAGCGGCAAAAGTGCTGCTTCTAAATCCTGCAGGGAGCAGACATGACTTGGAATGCTCGTCTGTTCCATCCGGCTGCTTGAGGGAAGGGCAATGGCCTTTTTACTTAAGCTAAGCTGAAACGGGAATCACGCAATTAACTGCACTACGCAATTATCACAAAAGGTCAGGACCAAAAAGGTTGAGGACCTCTGGCTTCCCATGGCACAGATGGACCTCCGCTCAGAATCCACTGAATCAAAATGCCATTTGGTTTCATGCTGGCAATTCAGAATAATGGCTCAGGAACTTAGCCTTGCAGGTTTAAAACAAAAAGGTCAAGCTAGTGCTTCTGCTTCTTTTCTTAAAGTACAGCTGCATACAAGAGCTGATAAACACTGCTAACAGGAAATATACCATGGTGGGGAGACTTGATTTGTCTCTTTAGCAACCCTATTAAATATGCCCTTGTATATGGAAGTGTAACTGTGAAAAATGTAAGGTATCAGAATATCAGAAACAGTGACTGTGGTGAATGTGGCATTTGTGCTGGACAACTAAATACTATTGGACTTTGATTTCACCAAATACAGAATGCTGACATCAAAGTCTATGGGATCTGAAATCTAACTTGGAAGCCAGCCATTTCAATTCAGTCTTAGGAAGAGCAAAGAGTCCTGGCAAGGCAGTGGCTCACCCAGGCACTAGCGTTCGAGGCGGTTTACAACTTCTCGGACAGTGGCTATAAGATTCTCATTATCCTGCGGGTTTGACAGGATGATGTTGTGCAGCCGATTCATGTATGAATCAATGGTGTCCATTGTGGGGATCTCTCCACTTCCTGCAAGGTGTAGATGAGAAAAGGGGAAAAGAAAACAGCGTGTTAACTGCAATAGCTACAGCAGGGACTGAAGCTTCACTCTTATGCCAAATTGCAGACGGGACTTGAATTCTCAAATGCTTCGTCAGTGCAAGGCACATGGGATGAAGGTGGTTTGCTTGCATGGATACAGCATTTGGCCAATAGTAGGACAAAAGGGACTGCTTCACCACACTGTATCACAGGAGGGACTAACCCGTGGCCAACAAGTCAAATCAGGACCTCACAAGAGATTTCTGTACCTCCCACCTGTCGCTTCTCAGATGTTTTCATTTTTTAAAAAAAATAGTTTTAAAATGATCACTGACTGCTCCCATGGCTCCCTTGATATGATATTTGGGGTGCCAAAAGGTTTTTGGGGTCTCTGAGGCCTCCCCAAATTTGTCCTTAAAAATAAAAAAGGAAAAAGGTCACGTCTCGCTTTTTGTGCTTTGGCAAATCCCCCTTTTCTATGCAGCCCCAGCCTGAATGGAGGCAACGCCCCTGCTGCGCTGCATTCCTAGGACTGCTGACAGGCCTTCAAGGTCCCACAGGCACCTCCATTCAGCTGGCAGAGAGTGGAGGCCTCTCTTCTGAAGTACTCATAGGCAACAGAATGGCACAGCTAATTCAAACTTCAAACTTTCTCTCTCACACACATGCTCACACCATACACACGAGAGCAGGGGCAGCTCTCCACATTTAGAACATCCGAAAGCGCCCTAGCCAGACATATAGCATGCAATCCCTGGAGCAAACCAAGGGCTACAACCCCCCTCCCCCCCGCCCGAAATGAGGCTTCCGAGGTGAGCAGGCTCTGGAAAGGGTTTTCACCTGGCAGAGGGACTCCAGCAAAGCTGCTGCTGAGGGCCTGCCGCAAGGTCTCCAGGTGCTGTTGCAGGACTGTGTTGCGGCTGCGCTCCTGCACCACATCCACCTCCAGCTTCTCCACCGCTGTGCGCATGCTCTCCACGTGCTTCTGCAGGGCAGCATTCCTCTCCTCAAACTCCATGTTGGACTTGCGCAGCTGGCGCAGCTCGGCTTCCCGTGCTGTCAACCCCCCACCGGAGAAACAGATGACAAGGGGAGGGGAGATCATAAGCAAGCCCTTTTGTCCAACAGTTGGCTATGGAGAATATTTGGTAATATCCAATAAGGGAAGCGAAATAAACAACAAGCAGGTATATAAGGATTAAACTGAAGGGGGCAAGGGAAAGGGGGAGAAAATCAAGACCTGGAACGTATTTGATGGCGAAGTAAGTCAGCCACAGCCACTGTTCCAACAGGCATATGCCAAGGTACTTTAGAGACCTCTTTTGACAAAGAGCACAGATAACTCAAATCCTCTTTGCCACTCAATTTCAGAAGAAAAGCCCCTAACATCTGCTTGATTAATAAAATTCTTCCCATTCTCTGAAAATTATTTTCACCTTGATATAACTAAAAGGATAGGCTGCCCAGGGAATATCTCCAGATCTTGCTAGTACAAGTGTCTGCTGCCACTGCATCAAATGGAATGACATTCCAAGCCAGGCATTGCTGCAAAATCCAAGGGGAAACTCTCTCGCTGCAGATTTTGGTTAGCACCAGAAGTTCATAGCTGCTTTCATGGAGGAGAAGAAGGGGGTGAAAGGGGCTCCGAAGACTGGCTGATCTGGTAAAAGAACCAGTAAGTCTAATACGGTGATCTCTTTTTGAACAGGACTGGGACATACAAAAAATCAGAACAAACTCTACACCTTGAGCACAAGAGAGGGTTAGTATAGAAGAAGTTATATTTTTTTCAGTCTTGAAGCTGAATGGTAGCTAACCAATTTTAGACTTCATGAAAATTTGCTTCTTTAATTAAAATACTTCTATCCCTCCTCTTTGTCCCACAACAGTCCCACCTCAAAGTGACTAAGGCCGAAATTCTATATGCACTTAACATGGGAGAAAGCCCCAATAAACTCAAGGGGACTTACTTGAGTAGATGCGCATAATGTTGTCACAAAACAAAACACTGCACAGAGCAATGTGTAAAATACCCTTTGCTCAACTCTGCCAGTTATTGGGTGGGTGGAATGGGGACACATGTGGGCACAAGATGTTGGACATAACATAATGATGGCTGACTGGGAACAGTTATGGACCACAGGTATGAAGTTTACGGCGTGTAATGCCTTAAGAGAGAATATTATGAAAATGATATACAGGTGGTACATGACACCAGTCAAGCTTGCAAAAATCTATCATTTGCCCGATAATAAATGTTGGAAATGTAAAGAAACTGAAGGTACATTCTTTCACCTTTGGTGGACGTGCCCAAGGATTAAGGCTTTCTGGGAGATGATTTATAATGAAATGAAAAGGGTATTTAAATATACCTTTCTGAAGAAACCAGAGGCCTTTCTCCTGGGCATGGTCGGCCAAGTGGTGCCAAAGAAGGACAGAACTTTCTTTATGTATGCCACAACAGCAGCAAGGATACTTATTGCAAAGTATTGGAAGACACAAGATCTACCCACTCTGGAAGAATGGCAGATGAAGGTGATGGACTACATGGAATTGGCGGAAATGACTGGCAAAATCCGAGACCAGGGAGAAGAGTCGGTGGAAGAAGATTGGAAGAAATTCAAAGACTATTTACAGAAATCCTGCAAAATTAATGAATGTTAGAATGATGTTGGAATGAAGTTAGGTGGTTTAAGCAGTAATGCTATAAAGGTGTATGTAAAAAAGGATTGTTAATAGATGAAAATTTAAAGTTATAGTATATTAAGTTAAAGGATCATGAGAAAACAAAGAGGGAAAGAAATTGCTGACTTAACTAATTGAACTGGAATACAAAAAAGGGAGGTATGAGGAGGTCAGGGAAACAATGATATGAATGTAAGCTATGGAAAGATTGACTCATTTTTCTTTTTTCTCTTTCTAAGTGTTTTTTATTCTTTTATTCTGTATTTTGTATTTTTCTTGTATTTTTACTTTTTGTTTTTCTGTAATTCTTTTTTTCTCTGAAATTTTAATAAATATCATTTAAAAAAAAATGGAATGGGGACACATGTCTTGCATTCTGCTCACCTTTACTGTGGTTCAGGAACTCCTCCGTGAAGATTGGAATATCAAAAACGGACCTCTCCTTTGTATCAGCTTCCTTCTGCATACAGACAAGAATGGTACACACATCTTGATGATTTCTCAGCATAACAACAGACGGATATGCTGAAGGTAATAGCACGTGAGGATTTCAATAAGCACCTCTCCCTTAACAAGTTTTAGGACATTCTCAAGATAGGATGAGATACTAAGATCTCTAATAAGAGACAATGCCTCAGAGTGCAATCTTAAGGAACAGAAAAAAACACGGATTCAAGTGAATTTCCTAGTGAAATTGGCTATTGCATGGAGCTTCAAAAACCTTAAAGCTTCCCTAGAGGAACAAGGAATGGCTTTTTAGCAGCTAACATTAAGTGAAGGCAATGGGCATTTTTGCAGTGGTTTCTTCATTTTGTCTATTAAGGGCCTCAGAGGGTAACACTCAGCTGAAAAGTTGAAGCTTCCTGAACCCAGGAATAAGTCCCATTTCACAAAATGGGGATGCTTCAAAGTGAACATGCTAAGGATTGTGCTGCACATTTGTGAAACACTCATCTCCACCAAAGGAAGCACTAAAGAGACCATTTTCAGTTATGGATATTAATGGGGGCATGCAAATGATACAGAACTTAGGATGGCACAGCGCTCACTCTTGACCCACTTCCTACTTCACATTTGCCATGTTCACTTGATGAAAGTTACTTAAGGATGAGAATCAGCCAGATTTCCTTATGCCACTGTAACCCATAGGCTCAGTTCAACGGCGCCACAAGGGGAGGGCATTTGTTCCTACATCACATCTCTGGAAGGTGAAGAGCAAAGCAAAATGTTGGCTCCAAAGTGTTGCTTAGAATTATATGCTGGCAAGAGCTATTAAGGTGGCTTTATTGTCCCAACTAAGTCTAGAAGCAATCTGGGTATGTGCATGTGTGAGAAGAATGCAAGCAAGGGGAGTGAGGCAATCCTCTGCAACAGAGGCCCTTCTTCCAAGGAAAGCTCTTGTATTTACTCATGGTAGCATCCTCTGTGTCAGTTCATCACTGGCAAGCAACAAAAAAATGGGAGCCTAGAAGCCAAAGCAACCATAATGTAGCAGAACAGTGATCAAATCTCTTAATGCGCTTTCCTCCCAGCTAAATCTACAGCACCAAGTCCTAGGGCTTCCCATTTGATTGGAGCAGAGTTTACATTTTACACCTGCCACATTTCTTCCCAAACCAAACTGTCTATTGAAGCCGCTATTAGCTCTGCTTTTTGCAGAGGCTGGGGGATGTGGTTAACTAGATCGTGACCTTGCCCACATATGCCAAGTAGAAAATGCCGCTCTCCTGTTTTCACCAACACCATGGCCTTTTGTTTTTGAACACCTTAGGCTTTAAATGATGTGTCAAACATGATTTGGGGCCAAGCAAGAAAGCTAAGTGGTTAAGAGCCTACAAGGGAATTCTGGCAGTTAAAGCTCAGTACTTCACATCAGTGTATGCCTCATAAAAGGGGGCTTGGCAGAGTTAACGGAGAGCCATTTGGCAGAAGGCCAAGATAGACAACGGCTCGGTGGAACTTCAGAAAACTCTTTGTGTGTTTGCCTGAGCAAACTCCAAGACAGCTGCTGTATCTTCTAATAAAGAAAGCTGGCACTCCTTATGTAGTGTAAAAGCAGTTGGGAATGCAGACACAGGCAGACATATGAGGGGGAGAAGGAGAAAAGGAAATCAGGAGGAAGCAACAGGATGTCAAAAATGTTTCCGGTATCACTCCCACCATCTGCCAAATCCAGACATTTCTAGCAGCAAGAAGCTCTTAAAAAATAATAATCAAAAAATCCTTGTGTGTTAACTGTACATAACAACTGCACAAGGCAGTTACATATGCTCATCAGCATTCAAGAGGATACTTTGGGAAACCCTCATTGAGTGCGCAGGGGACAGCATCTCCCCTCAAATCGGGAAGGTCCCAACCACAATTTGACAGCCTCTTTTCCCCACTTGGATTCAATACTGGAGCAGGGGAAAGGACAACCCTTTGAGAGGGGCCACTAAGTCACAGTCATTTGGACTGCGCTAGATTCATCACAGCAAACTGTAGCCCTTCAGATGTGGCAGGACTATAACTCCCACCAACGCTGACCATTGACCATGATGGCTGGGATTGATGGCAGCTGCAAGTCCAACAATATACTGGGAACCACAAGTCTCCCTGCCTCCCTGCTTAACCACAACTTGCTGTGTCGGCCAAATCCAACAAACCGCAACTAACCTTATCTATAGTGTGAAACAACTCCATTTCAAACTGAGTTAATAAGCTACTGTCAGGATAAACCATAGTTTATGGTTTCAATGTAATACTAAGCTATGGTTATCTGAAACTGTCATCAAAAGTCATGCTGCAATAGAAGAGGGAAGTGGGTGGTGGTTGTGAGCCCTAGACTCACCTATCCTCATTCCCACTGTTTATTGTGACATCTGACTGCAGCCTTTGTATACTGCTTTTCTGGATATATTACGCTCAAAGCAATTCATAGTATAGCATGACAAAAGCAACCAAATATATCAACATGTCAACAACACATCACTGTATATAATGATCTCCATATAAATAATTCAAACAGACTGATTGTAAAAAACAAAACACCATAATAAAATAGCATCAGCCTCTCAACATGCTGCAGAAATGACATTAAGAAGGAGGATGCAAAATGAGTATTAGCCTAAAGGAGAAATATGATGAAAGTCAGTCCTGAGGAACTCCCAAGGAAATCTGGCACTAAACCTTGGGAATGAATCACAAATAACTCCTCCTTCAGACTGGAGGCTGATGGAAGAAGACACTCTGGGCATTATAATTGCTGTCCCCAGGGTAGAGATTCTCTAAGTACAATCTCCCAACCCCCAAGCATTTAAGCAATTAAGCAAAATTGCTCAGTCTCTAAAAGGCAGAAAAATTCTGCTTAACGGAAGAGTGGTAATGAAAACCATCAGCACTCTTCCCCTATCAAGTGCATTACCCCAGCATGTAAAGGATCCTCTTGGGGGCTCCTATGTACTTAAACCACTCTAAGGCTCACTCCTGGGATTAAAATCATACGGATTTGATTACCACTTCATTGCAAAGGACTAATTTGTTCAGGCTTAGTGTCATTTATCATAAATTAGAAGAGAAACACAAAACCAATGCTTCTTTCATTATCCTTAAAATGAGACAGAGGGACGTTTGTACCAAGTGTCAGTCTGGAAAATAATTATCTGAACTGCTAGAATACGCCCCAGTGTTCAGGTTCCACAAATTATCCCAAACCTGATGACACTAGCAGAGAAATAATTGGGAGGTTGGGTGGAGTGGGCAGGGAGGAGTAACAAACACAGAAAATGTCAGCAAAGCCTATCTTGAAATTTTCATTATCATTTCCGATTTTGTATTACTCCCAGTCAGATAACAATTTTTAAATCAACATCAGTGCTCTTTCAAGCCACCACCTACCCATTACAAAATATGTGACTGAAAATTGTCAGCCTGCCCTAAACAATCCAAGTGCTTGCCTGGGACAATACCATTAAGATCAATAGGAACAGGATTTTTTATTTTATTTTATGTATGCATGAAAAAGCTACACCTTATTAACATCTCCGCTAGAAGTGAACTCAGGCTGCTGAAATTGGTTGAGAGCTTTACTTACATAGGCCAATGAAATGGAGCAAGTTGGCTTTGGGAGACTGCATACAGGAGCACCTTGGGATAGAAAACAGTCTACCTAGCTTGTTGGTAAGAGTACTGTGATAAGAACAGCACTCCAGAAAAAGTACTAAATGGAGCTCCATTTAAAGCCAAGGAAACAAAGAAATCACGTATGCCGAGATCATGGTTTTATTTCCCTTTGTTCCTTGATCAGCATCACACAATTCACACTTGGATCATGTCACACCCCCCCACTTCTCCCCCACCCACCCCCTGGCCAAACTTAAACTACTGTATTATTTAAAAGTCAGGCTTGGCTGTATGAGCAAATTTACCTCATGGTCATGGGCAGCCTGTCGTGCTCCTTCTGGAAAAAAACAAAACAAAAAGAGAAGCAAAATGAATTTTGAAAGAGGGAAACAATTTCTTGAGTAACTTTGAGACACATCCCGTAATTCCTTTCCTAGTTACACTATATATCCCTATGAGAATGGTTATTCCATGTTCTTTGTAACTTTTTAAAAAATGACCATTGCTGTGATAGGCAGAGACAAAGTTTTGTTTTAAACTGTTTTAAAAATTGTGTTTAAATATTGTGAAGCCCACCCTGGGACCTTGGGGTGAAGAGAGCCGGTAATAAACAGTAGTAGTAGTAATACTAATACTAACACTAACACTAATACTATTGCTAATACTACTAATAAAACAACAACAGGTCTATATATTGTCCAGCCCCCTGAGGATGCAATGCATTCAAACATACATTTGTGCCTCTATATCATGGGAACTGGGACACCCAATGTCAGGGCCAACAAAAGATTCCAGAAGCAACCAGTCTTTAAGTGACTATCTTTAAGAGGAGCAGAGTGGCTACACCTGAGTTTTTGTGGATTTGGAGCTGTCTATCACCTTCAGAGTAAAATTAGTCTATAGGACAGGGGTCAGCAATCTTTTTCAGCCGTGGGCCAGTCCACCATCCCTCAGACCATGTGGTGGGCCGGACTATATTTTGAAAAAAATTAAAAATGAATGAATTCCTATGCCCCACAAATAAGCCAGAGATGCATTTTAAATAAAAGCACCCATGCTACTCATGTAAAAACACACCGATTCCCGGACTGTCCACGGGCCGGAGTGAGAAGGCGATTGGGTCGCATCCGGCCCCCAGGCCTTAGGTTGCCTACCTCTGCTATAGGAGTTCATCTGTTTATATTTATTCTACCTGCTACAGGTCAGGGAAACTCTTTCCTCCCTTGCTTTTAAAAGGGAGTTGGAGTACCTGTGCAATGTTTAAGGAATTCCAGTCTCCCCCTGCATACCTGCTGCTAGCAAGACATACAGGGCATGAGAAGTTGGTTTGGGAGATGGCGGGGAGAAAGAGGGTACAAGTGACATATAAAATGATTTCCAAAGTGGTGCCCATGTTAATCTGTTGCACAAGACTCTTCGTTATAGATAAGTACCATATTGGCCCGAATATAAGCCGTACCCGAATATAAGCAGCACCTTTAAAATTCGGAGGGGGGGGGGAGAGAATACCCAAATACAGTGGTACCTCAGGTTACAGACGTTTCAGGTTACAGACTCTGCTAACCCAGAAATAGTACCTCAGGTTAAAAACTTTGCTTCAGGATGAGAACAGAAATCGTGCGGCGGCGGCACGACAGCAGCAGGAGGTCCCATTACCTAAAGTGGTGCTTCAGGTTAAGAACAGTTTCAGTTTAAGAACAGACCTCCAGAACGAATTAAGTTCTTAACCCGAGGTACCACTGCAAATGTGTCCCTAAGTCAATCCTGAGAAATGCAGTTTCTCCCAAGGGGTATTTCAATAGTTTCCCTGTGGGCTTCTTGGATGTGGCACCAGAAGGAGGTGGTACTTCCCTGTTCCTGTCCCCCCCCCCCCAAAAAAAAATTAAGAGTGTCAGCAGCAGCCAGGCATGTGGGGCAGGAAAAAGGGGTGGGTGGGTGGGAGGGAAGGAAGGAAGGAAGGAAGGAAGGAACAAAGGGGAGTATTTGGAGGAACAGGGGGCAGGCAAGGAGGCTTATGGGAAGATAAGGGAGGGAAGCTTGGAGTTTAGGGCTGCTGCCGCTGCTGGCCTCCAGTCCAAATTCAGACTGGCTCAAAAACAAGCCAAGTTATTTTTCACTTTTACAGACGGGATGGGGAATAGCATGGCTTATTTCTGATCCAACCCTATTTGAGGAGGTGGGGGTCACCCATCACTGCTTCGCAACCTATGGTCAGGCCATAACATTGGGGCTACATTCACAGTGAACAACAGAGATACCTGTGCCTTCAAAACACAAAAAAAGGTTGTGCTTTAAATACTTGTGTTGGCTTCAGGGCAAGTCCCATGGTCTGCAACTGACCTGTGTTGGGGGCAAGCTTGGGAGCGGCAGGTGGGCGTCGCACTGTTGCCCCACGCTCCCAGGCTGCTCTCTGGGGAGAGGGAGCCGCGCCCGCTTTGCCGGAGGCCTCCCCACCTTTGTCCCAGCAGTTCAGGGGAGGCTTGGGGGCCACGGTCAGGATGGGCGCCGTTGTCCCGCACCCCCGACGGCCCTCCGGGGCCGCTGTTTCAGCAGTGATATCGTAAGGTCGCGAACACAAGCCGCACTTTAATTTTTCATGGTCGGAATTTGGAAAAAAAGTGCAGCTTATATTTGGACCAATACAGTAATACATTCATCCACATTGCAGGTACATCCTGTGCTCAAAGCAAGGAAGGGAGAACAAGTTAAATGGAGTGGCCGTGACCTACTGCAAACCATTATTCAATACCTGTTAAATGAGAACAAAATAGACAGACTAGTCAACAGTTCTAGGAGTTACTTTTAAGGACTCCTATGCCATAGTTCAGTACCTTGTCGATGCGATTTGCCTTTCTGCCTGTCCTGTGCTTTCCTGCTGAAAACTTTGTACGCCTCAGTCTTCTGGTACTGCTCCAGCTCCCGCATGTAACGTTCCTTATCCCTATCTGCTTCATCAAGGTAGCGCTGCAATAAGAGAACAGATCATTCGTCCCCTGCTTCAGTGCACCAAGCAAGTCAACCAGGCAGGTCAACTTCTGCTGCAGTCTTTGAATAAGCAGAACGGACAAGTGTAAATGGAGAAACTGAATGCCAAAGGTTAAGGTCAGCTGAGGCTTCCTTCTTCTGTATGCCAAAGTCAAGGATACACAGAAAGACATCTCTGTGGCTGCTCCTCATCTGTGTAACATCCATCCTCTGGATATGTCCACTTTATGCTTTTCTGAATACATAAAACCATCCAATCTGAAGGGGCACTTACTTGCCAGAGTTAAGCCAAGACAAACCAATGTGAGTACACCTATATTGTAATGGGTCCCTGCCTTGAACCCTTGCAATGGGGTGGGCTATAAATGGAAAAGACAAAGAGATTGCATCTCAAGTTTAACTTCACATGCACAAATCACATCACCCTTGTATCCGTATGGGATGAATCAAATCCAGAGTTTTAGCTTTCATAACAGTGATGAGCTTGTATATAGTTCTAAAGAAATCATATCAAATGTTGCCTGGAGCATTCTGTCACATTTGCTTAATGAACAGAGCTTGGTTGCAGAAGACTTCAAAGGGAGCTGTCAAAGTGTAAAGAACTTAAACAGTAGACACAAGCTAGCATGGAGACGATTGTGCCCTTTTCCATAAAGGCTTCTCTTCCCTCCTTTTCCATTTGGTTTTAAATTTGCTCCAGGCCTCTCCTCTTATTCTACTTTATAGCCTTATCTAGAAACTGGTGGTGAATGAGAAGAGTATGGGCAGTTTTACTTATTCTAGAGAGGCAAATAATTGTGGAGGGCCAGAGTGACTGCACATATCTGTATACAAGATGCAATACAAGAGATTCTGGTGCTGGAGGCCCTGGGGTAACCCTCATACACATACGCCAATATCATAATGCTTTTATGTAAGCCTACAGGATACCCCCATTTTGAATAAGCAATCAGTGGCTAATTACCATGGCTATCACTATCTTCAGAATCAGAGGCAGGATGCCTAAGAATACTGGTTGCTGGGGAATGACGACAGGTGGCTCTTCCAGTCATGTAAACCACTCTAAGGTTGTTTTTAATAATTGGGTGGTGTATAAATTTTATGAAACAAAATAAATTTCTGCATAGCTGGGGGTTGGACTAAATGAACCTCCGGGTCCCTTTTAACTCTTCAATTTGTGATCCTATGAAATAAATGCCACGCTTGTGAGCTTTCCATGGGCATGTGGGTGGGCACTGAAGCAGAATTGTGGCTTTGGTCTGCTCCAGCACGGCTGCTCTTATATTAACTATGTAGGGAGCAGGGGTTTATCTCAGTCAGCTCTTTGCTATTCTTCCTCTTTACTCCTTCAGACTTACCCTCTTCCAAAAGAGAAATCCTAGGCATATTTGCTTAAAAACAAATTCCACTCTTTTCAATAGGGCTTACTCCTAACATAAGCGTGCTCGTAACTGCAGCCAAAATTTCCCTCCCCACCTTGCTGCAAGTCCTCCACAACTGGGCACAGGAGCAATTCTCAAGGGTCCAGGTCGCCCTGCACCACAGGCAGAGCTGAGGTGGTGGCATCCTGGCTTCCTCGCCCCCATCCAGCAATTCCATTGCAAGGTCTCTGATGACAGACTATATCCCAGCTTCTCCCTAACCAGGCCTGGGGTGCCCCACTTTCCGCTGCTGGTTCCCTAGGTTCTCTTGCTTGATGCAGAGAAAATGTGTGGCCACAGCTGATGTCAATTCTAAGCATTTACAGGCTGTGGCCAAGATGGGCAAACACCAAGGGGGAGAACAGGATGAGGCATGGTGGGAATGAAGATCCAGCTATCTCCTGGGTAACTCACACTGCAGCACCTCTTGGAACACATGCAAGAAGCACCATTTTTTGGATGTTTTTGTGGACAGGTTATTAATGATGTGGTATATGCTTACAATGGCATTCTTTATTCAGCCTCCTATTCCCCAAACCATTCCATTTCTGCAGATTGCAAGTCCCTTGGGCACAAAACTATTATCACTAATGCTTCAATCCTACACCCACTTACCCAGGAAAGAACCCCATTGCTCTTCAGTGGCATTTGCTTCTGAGTAGGCAGCATGTGTAGGATTGCACTGTTAGAAAAACTGCTGTAAGCCACTCCGGGCCCATGGGATATAAAGGAAATAAGCAAGCAAGCAAACCATCAGCCCCCTCTTCACAATCCCCATTCTGGGATGGATCTTTTGATTAAAAATAGACTAATGAAGCAAATCTTCCTACCCAAAACCCTAGTGAGTTTAGCTTTCTCTGCATCACTAGCAGCCCTTCTAAGTGGAAGGATAAATTGTCAACAGCACCCCCATTTTCAATATGCATCCTGTCTTTTCCAAGACACCAGCTGTGCTGATGAATGTACAGCATGAAGCAATTCTACCTCTTAGCAATCCGGCTTGCCATTTCCCCATTCCCATTACGGGCAAAGGGAAACTCTTGTCCTGACATACTTTGTGATTCTCTCCTGAAGACTCACAGGGCTATGTTACATTGCAGAGAAAATTTAGGCCCTACCTATCTAAAATAAGCACGTAAGTTTCTAGAATCCCTCTTTAGTTACTTGAATAGACTTTCTGTTATCACCTGGGAAATCTTTGAAATAAAGCACCAAATTCCATAATAAAGGAAAGTAATGTAATAGTACCCGTTTCTCTTCAGGAGGGAGTTTGCTCCACTCATTGCCCAGCATCCTGGTGATTTCTGGGAATGGAACTTCTGGCCTCTTCGCTCGAAGTTGCTCCCTCCGCTCATTCATGAACCGCACGTAACCTGTTAGGGGAGATTTAGGAGCATTGCTATCCCTTAAGGGTTTCTTCCTCTTTCGCCCTTTGGACCAGCCTCCTCTCTTAGTTCTTTGCTACAAAGACAGGGAGAGGAAAGTTCAGTGTGAGACATCAGTTCCTTTAAAGCTGGAGGGAAGAACAACAACAGGTGGCCTCTGAGATGTTGTCAGACTCCCATCACCCATAAGCCCCACGCAGCAGAGCCAGTGGTCAGGGCTGTTAGAATCTGGGAGTCCAGCAGCATCTGGAGGGCCATGGATCCCTGCTCCAGGTTTAAACCTACATTAGCATCTCAAATGCTTTTATCATTCACACACAGCTTCAGTAAACATCCCTGCCACAGTGGTACCTAGGGTTACATGCGCTTCAGGTTACAGACTCCGCTAACCCAGAAATAGTACCTCAGGTTAAGAACTTTGCTTCAGGATGAGAACAGAAATCGCGCGGCGGCAGTGGGAGGCCCCATTAGCTAAAGTGGTGCTTCAGGTTAAGAACAGTTTCAGATTAAGAACGGACCTCCAGAACGAACTAAGTACTTAACCCGAGGTACCACTGTACTCTTTTTCAACAGTCAAATTATGGTTCAGCCAAGCAGGCATGATCAAATACATAAAAAAATAAGCTGTGTTCAACAAGCAAAGTTGTTAAGTAATGGAGAAGGGGGCATGGTGAGGATCAGATAAGAGTGTAAGGGTTAAATTTGGGCAGAATCGGCTTTCACTGGTAAAGCCAAAATCAGAAATTCTTAAGAATTGTAGATAATTTTATTGTGGATTTAAACACACAACCCAAAAAAATGTTTTCAAAAATTTCCTGCATGGTAGCCATGTTGGTCTCCTGCAGCCAAAACAAAAAAAAAACTTGTGGCACCTTAAAGACTAAAAAATGTCAAAATAAATAAACCAAGACTGATATGGTTTGAAAGGCCCGATGAAAAGTTAGGAAGAGTTAAAACAGAAGATTTGGGGATAAGCCACACTCAAAGTACGTACAAAATGTACTGAGGTTTTAAAGATAGACAAAGCTGCCAGAAAATCAACGGCAATTTTAATAAATTTAAAACTGTTTGGGAATCCACAGCAATATTTCTCAAACAGTAGGCTGGGATGTGCCCATGGGTCTTGAGCCACGTTCAGGTGGGCCCCTGTGCCCCACCCACTAGCCGTGCCAAAGCCTTTTGGATTGGCAAGCGTCCCACCAGGAACTCCTTGCATGCTGAGTAGAGGAGGCCAGGATACAGAAGTGGGGGTGGGGGGAATGTCTCCCGCCTCTGAGGGGAAAGGGCACAGGAGGTGTTGAAGGTAATTAGAAACTGAGATAAAAGTCTAATATTTATTATTGTTATTATTATTAAAGAAATAAACAGAAAATAAAAAGAAATCTCTTATAATAAGAGAAGAAGAAAATGTAAAAGGACCAGGAAGGAAGGATGAAAGAAACTGGAGTGGGGGTTGGCAGGGGGGTGGGGTAAAGTACATGTTGGCTGTAAAAAGAGAATGGGGCAAGACATTACAGGAGATGAGTAAAAATGCTTTGTGGGAAGTAATAATAATAATAATAATAATAATAATAATAATTTTTTATTTATACCCCGCCCTCCCCAGCCAAGGCCAGGCTCAGAGCGGCTTACAAGCAATAATAAGAACAAGGTGAATGGTTACAACTTAAAAACAAAAATAAAATACAACATTAAAATAACGGAAGTAGGGGAGGAGGGACTAAAAGAAAAGTGCCTTCTGCACCTGAAGCCTCTGGATCCACAAATCATGGCTCAAATGGGGAGGATGCCACAATCTCCCCAGAGTCAATGACTGCACCTAGTTTGAGGAAAGTTGGGCAATGGGAACTCCTTGCCACAAAGCAAATGCTGTAGCAAAGAATTTAGCAAGTTCAGAAAAAAATGATGTTGGGAACTACCAGCTGATATTTGAGCAGCTTCTCAGGGGTTATCTCTGTGTGACCTCACAGTTTGTACCTACCTGATGAGGGCACCTGGGCACTATCCCCTGCATGTCAAGAGGTGGGTGCAGCTCCCATCGCCTTGCTGACGGGGGGGGTGGCCTCTCTGTATTTCAGTGGCTTCTTTCCACACCAGGCTAGGACCACCTCAGCCATGTTTGCCCCCTCCCCGGGCTTCCTGAGCTTTACTTAAGCTGGTGTAACTTATGCCAGCTTCCTAGGATTGCTGTAGTTCTAAATTGCTGTCAGTCACTCATTCAAGGAAGGATTAGGAATGACAGCATAACCTGTTTCACTGCAGGTGTTATCCATTTACAGAGGAGAGGAATGCTAATCAAATTCCAAATAATCAACTCTCTTGTTTTATTTTTTGAAGATATGAATGGATAGAGAATTTAGGTGGAGGAAGACGACTTCTTCTAATTTCTGCTTACCTCCTCCTCAGGCCTTGGCTCGCTATTTTCAGCTTTATTAGATGACTCATTTCGCAACAGTTGACTGTGCAGCAAGTCCTCTGCAAAATCTGGATTGTTGGCGGACTGGGAGGCACTGCCAGTGCACGATCCTTCTGAATGATTTAGCCTGGGGGAAAAATAGGTAATTATGCAATATAGTCCCACAATTGTTAGGAAAAGGTACTTCCTATTTTACTCCCTGGGATATTGTGTGATGTTGCAAATATCAAAAGTAGTTGGAAAGAAACACGTGCCAAAGAACGACCGTCAGAACACGGCATGTTGCACCTGCCAGAACAACTTCTCTTACAGTCTATCCCAGTTATCAAGTATTCCAACAGAATGATGTTCTAAAGCCCAAGGAAGACTAAACGGTCATCATGCTGGAGCTTGGGATGAAAGACTGAGCTTTAGCCACTAGCTCTATCCCATTCCTTGGAGCGTTTATAAGAGGGCTTCTACCAAAAAACTACCCAAAATGGCACTGTCAAAGGCAAAGCATCCCCCTAGGAAGCGGCCAGTGGCCATGGCTCATATACTCTATCGTCTTAAAAACTATGCAGGTCTATCTCATCACCAATACTAAGGAAATCTACCTCAGCTGATCAACACCACCCCTTTGGGTGCAGTTTATTTCAGGTATGAATAAGCACCACATGAAAACCACCTCTCCAACATACAAAGGGAAATGCTAAGTGTTTTTCTAAACAAGTATCAATAAGTCACTGAAGACAGAGTTTAGAAGTGGGTGTTTTAAACCAAAGCAAAGGAAAAATATTCAGCAAATCACCATTGTAGGTCCTATAGTGGACTATGTATGCATGAGCCAAAACTAGAGGAGCAGTTGCTTACCCTGATGGAACAACGTCATTACTCTCCTTTGAGCCATCATCTTCTGGAAAATGTGACGAGGGAGATGAAGTGGTCATTGGGTTCTCCATTACTGTTGCAACAGAAAACTGTAGAAGAATATTTCACATTACTATTACTTTAATATACCAGTTTGTCATCTGGCAAGCAGACTTGCAGTGTAATCTTAAATGTTTCTTCCCAAGTACTGTCCAGCAACTTGAGCAACATTTGCTTCTAAGGACAATTGTTAAGCTGCAGAACCCCAATTCAATCCAATCTCCCAAGTGGGATATTACTAGATCGTGGATAACTGAGGCCAAGTTATCCCCATCCAGGAATGGCAGTAGCTGATGGTTCATCCATAACTGGAAAGAGGCCCTCTGTTTTACTGAGGCCACTTGGACCTCAAGTGACAGAGCATGGGAGAATTCTATGCACATGGTCCTTTAAGGAGAGTGCGACCCTATCTTCAGCAAGCCACCTTCCTATTTCCCAGATTTGGGAACCACCAAGCCTCAAAACTTTCATCTTCTCAAGATTCAGTTTCAGTTTACTGGCAGTCACTCGACTCTCACTACCTCAAGATCCTGATCCAACACCTGCACAGCATCCCCTGATGCAGGTGGTAAGGAGAAACAGAGCTGCAGTGTCATCTTTGTAGTGATGGAACCTCACCCTGAGCTTCCAGTTGAGAGCTCCTAAGAACTTTGTACAGATGTTAGAAAGCACAGGAAACTAGATCAGTGTGTGACTGTGCAGCATAATTGCCATGCTGTGGTCGAAACCACTGAGCTTCTTGGGCTTGCCAATCGGAAGATCTGCCATTTGAATCCCCGAGACGGGATGAGTTCAAAAGCACATGCACTCTGGTTTTCATTGTGGTATTCCGTTGCACCAGTAGCGGTTTAGTCCTGCTGGCCACATAACATGGAAAGCTGTCTGTGGACAAATGCCGGCTTCCTCGGCCTGAAAGCGAGATGTGCACCACACCCCACAGTCACCTTTGACTGGACTTAACTGTCCAGGGGTCCTTTACCTTTACCTAATGACCATGCAACTGAGCAAGTGCCCTGCCCCTGCTAGAAATGAAATACATTTCCAATTCAAAAGTCATTTATTTTATCCCTCATCCACCAAACTCAATAGAGCAACAAGCTTGTAAATACAAATCTGAATCCTGCTTCTACCTTACAGTCAGATAAACACTCCCCCCCCCTTTAAATTCTGCATCAGCTTAGAGCCACTGCCATCTCTGCTGGCACTCAAGCCACACTCAGAGTTGGACCTTCTGGCTACTTGGAAACATTTTGAGGATATAAAATGACAGCAAAAAAAGAAAAGACGAAATGGCTAATAAAACAATTCACACCTATTTTACAGCAATTCTTTTAAAGAAAAATGTATCTACAGCAATTGCAGTCTGTGAAGAAGTGTTAGGCGGAATATGAGTGCCACAATGACATTTACAGATAGCCTTCTGCTCTGTTCATTTCAGGCACAATCTAAGGGCAATGACACCTACCCAAGCCTGAGAGAGATGAAGGGGATGCCTTGCAAGCACATGCTGATGTATCTGCCCTCCATGCTGGCTTTGAAGATTTATTTCTATGCTGCAAGAAAATGCACTTTGTTGCTTTCAAATTGTTCAAATTTTGCTATATTATTACACATATATGTATGTAAGAGGCAGACAGCTTAGGCTGTAGTTTATGATGAATGCATCTCTTTGGATGCACAACCAAGGTATTCTTTGAAATAAGCCTTCCATTAATGCCCAGACGAGCAGATCAATGGAAGGTCTAGGTGGAACAGATGATCCACATCAATCTTGCTGCCTCCAGGGAGAGATGCTATACTAGCCATTTGCATTTTAGAGAAGAGTGATGTAAGGGGTGTCAGTTCTACTAACCAAGGACATAATTTGCAATGGATGTAAGGAAGCAACCTGTTTCCTAAGGGAGGCAACACAAACACTTATAAAGCTATCTGTAGATGTGATTCATAGTTTGAGAGCAAAAATGGTGGACACTACCAGGGGTGTTGTCATGCTTTTCAAGGATAGGGAATCTATTGGACTAAAACTCCCATTATCCCTGACCACTGGCCATCCTGGCTGGGGCTGATAGGAGTTGGAGGGTCACAGGTTTCCCATTCCAACTATGCACCACACTGCCATTAGACATAGGAGCAAAGCCTGTATTCATTGCAGACATTGTCAAATACAGGAGAAGAACCTAAGCTCTTAAATGCAATTCCTCAACTTACACAATTTATTAATATTTTGGTTGAAACATGGATCATTACACTAAAAATTGAAACCTGGATTTGTGTAACATGGAGAGTTTGGGCTTGTTCTCGTACAATCCAATTTGCCCATCTATGGGGGAAAATCTTCATTGTTCTGAGGAGCAAAGCTTTATACTCTCCTATGCAAAGGAACCATAAAGTAGACTTTTGTAGAAGAGGCTTCAATGAAGTCAAAACGCATCTTTAAAATGCTATCCTTCACAATAGGAAGATATTTATTTATCTCACACAAATACAGTTTAGCTGAACATGGCACAATGGCTTGGTATTCTGCCCCTTATGTTCCACAATGGCACACCTCTTTTGTTTTACACCTGGGGCTCAGTCAGTGTCAAAGTTCCAACCTGGCTTTCAGTCTTGTAGAGGAAGCAGCTGGACATCAGCTTTAACACCACCCAAAACAGACCATATAAACACAGGAAGCTAGAAGAACACAAACTTCTTTCTTGTTTTAAAGCTTTGTTTTATTCAGTCCATATGGCTGGGCACTGAGAGTCAAGTCTCAGAAGTAGAGGTCAAATATTTGTGAGCATGCAGAGGTTATTAAACTATCCCAACAGGCAAGAAGGGAGAGGAGGAAGCAAGTTCCCACTGGAACTGAAATGGATAAAAACGTGCACAGGATGCTGTGTCAGGGACTGATCTGCTAGCCTTGGGACCTCCAAATCCCATAGCTGTGCTGACAATAATCCTTTTTTCCATCACTGCCAGGTAGACTTCAGAGTTCCAAAACTGTAAGATGGCTCACAGAAACTCAAACATAGGTAGGATATATTTATGCATTTATGCTTTGGTAGGACATTTATGCATATTCTTCTGGTTGGAAAGTCTTGTTAATGGGTTAGTCCCAGCCAGATCCTTCCTTCCTTCCTGTATACTTTTGTCAGGATGAGAAAAATATTGAGCTGGATTCCAAAAGGAAGTAGCACCTTTGCCCTTCCAACCTCTGGTACAGCAGGAAGCCGCAGGTGCAAATAGAAACTTGAACATTTATAGAAACCGCGGTGTTAATGAATGGGGATTTAAAATAAAAGGTTACTTGGTGATCCCCAACTTTTAAATTAATATTCGCATGTGCCACCCCAAATGGACAATAGCATAATTAAAAGTATTTAAAGAATTCATAGGGAGTCTGCTGCAGAGTCAGCACTAGCTGATAAAATGCAGCATTTGACTGTTGGCTTTTCAATAGATATTGCTGTGACATGAAGCTAAAAAACCAATCAACTTATGGAAAAGAGCATATGAGCCAAAGCTCTGGACTCAGTGTCATAACCACAATTTAGCAAATCAGCATCAGTGTATGTGTGCGCACTGTTCCCAAGACAGTTCACAACAAAGAAGCAGTAAATACAAATTAAAGCTCAGAACTTTAAAAGGGCTGGAAGAACAAAAATAGAGCTGATTGGCAGGGAAAGGATAAAAAGTAGGCCTCTCTGGGGTAAGTTCCATAAATGGAGCACCATCAAATCCCTCTCTCTTATGTCAGATGGCAGAGGCACCTAGAAGGGAGCTATAAATTTGCTGACATCACTGCAGGTTGATGTGGGAACTCAAGTCAGTAAAGCATGAGACTCTTAATCTCAGGGTCATGGGTTCAAGCCCCATGTTTGGCAAAGAATTTCTGCACTGCAAGGGGTTGGACTAGATTGCCCTTGGGGTTCCCTTCAACTCTACAATTCTATGATTCAGGTATTCCTTCAGATACTCAGTCCAAAGTGTAGACAACAAGATTTGAATCAGGCCACAATTTCATGGTTTGGGAAACACCAGCCTTAGTCCCAGGTGCTGTTGTAGGCTCTCCAATTCATGTACAGGGTCTGTCTAAGTCCAATTCCTTCCTTCCACCACCCACAATTCACTACTAGGAATTTTGTTTTCCTTTTGACAGAAATGGATGAAATTTAAAGGTTATTACCTCCATACTGGATTAAATTGGCCAAATTACAGGAAAATGGGTTCAGGGGCATTGTTTGTCTGTTGTTGTTTTTAGGAAGCATCTCTATCTTCTTTCATAGAATCATAGAGTTGGAAGAGACCACAAGGGCCATCGAGTCCAACCCCCTGCCAAGCAGGAAACACCATCAGAGCACTCCTGACATATGGTTGTCAAGCCTCTGCTTAAAGACCTCCAAAGAAGGAGACTCCACCACACTCCTTGGCAGCAAATTCCACTGTCGAACAGCTCTTACTGTCAGGAAGTTCTTCCTAATGTTTAGGTGGAATGTTTTCTTTACTTTGGGATAGAGTACAAGCAAGGTTGTCCATTTTGAGAATTCCATCTCCCCCCACCTGCTGGACCTGCGGCCACTTGTGGGACTTGCAGACCAGGACCTGCCTGCAGCTGAACAAGATCCGCAAGCCAAACGGAGGACATAGATGATGCCTTCCTGGAACAGATGGCCAAGCATGCAAAAGGAAGGGAGATAGTAGTAATGGGGGACTTCAATTACCCGGATATTGGTTGGATGTCAAACTCAGCCAAGAGCATAAGGTCAAACAGATTCCTCACTGGCCTTGCAGACAACTTCATTGTCCAGAAAGTGGGAGAAGCAACAAGAGGAACAGCCATTTTAGATCTGGTCCTAACCAATGTTGATGACCTGGTTAGTGGGGTAGAAGTGGAAGGATCATTAGGCGCGAGTGATCATGCTCTTCTGAAGTTTACTATACAGCGGAAAGGAGCAGCCAAGCATACTAGGACTCAATTTCTTGACTTTAAGAAAGCCGACTTCATAAAACTTAGGGAAGTGCTGGGTGAGATCCCATGGACAGTAATACTAAAAGGAAAGGGAGTTCATGATGGCTGGGAGTTTGTTAAGAGGGAGATAGTAACAGCACAACGTCAGGCAATACCAATGAGACGGAAACATGGAAGGTGCCTAAAGAAGCCAGGGTGGCTATCTAAACTTTTAACTGAGTTAAGATTAAAAAAAGGATGTGTACAAAAAATGGAAAAGGGGGGAAACCACCAAAGAGGAATTCAAACAAATAGCCAGCACGTGTAGACACAAAGTCAGAAAAGCTAAAGCACAGAATGAACTCAGGCTTGCTAGAGAGGTTAAAAGCAACCAAAAAGGCTTTTATGGGTATGTTCAGTAGCAAAAGGAAGAACAAAGAAACAGTGGGGTCACTCAGAGGAGAAGATGGTGAAATGCAAACAGGGGACACAGAAAGGGCTGAACTCCTCAATGCCTTCTTTGCCTCAGTCTTCTCCGATAAAGAAAACAATGCCCGACCTGAAGAATTTGGAGCAAATGATTCAGCAAAGGAAACACAGCCCAGAATAACTAAGGAGATAGTACAAGAATACTTGGCTAGTTTAGATGTATTCAAGTCTCCAGGGCCTGATGAACTGCATCCAAGAGTATTAAAAGAACTGGCAGATGTGATCTCAGAACCACTGGCAGTCATCTTTGAGAATTCCGGGAGAACAGGCGAAGTCCCGGCAGACTGGAGGAGGGCAAATGTTGTCCCTATTTTCAAAAAGGGGAAAAGAGAGGACCCAAATAATTACCGCCCAGTCAGTCTGACATCAATACCAGGGAAGATTCTGGAGCAGATCATTAAGCAAACAGTCTGTGAGCACCTAGAAAGGAATGCTGTGATCACCAATAGTCAGCATGGATTTCTGAAAAATAAGTCATGCCAGACTAACCAGATCTCGTTTTCTGACAGAATCACAAGCCTGGTAGATGAAGGGAACGCAGTGGATGTAGCCTACCTTGATTTCAGCAAGGCATTTGACAAGGTGCCCCATGATATTCTTGTAAAGAAGCTGGTAAAATGCGGTCTTGACTATGCTACCACTCAGTGGATTTGTAACTGGCTGACTGACCGAACCCAAAGGGTGCTCATCAATGGTACCTCTTCATCCTGGAGAAGAGTGACTAGTGGGATGCCACAGGGTTCTGTCTTGGGCCTGCTCTTATTCAACATCTTTATCAACGACTTGGATGATGGACTCAAGAGCATCCTGATCAAATTTGCAGATGACACCAAACTGGGAGGGGTGGCTAACACCCCAGAGGACAGGATCACACTTCAAAACGACCTTGACAGATTAGAGAACTGGGCCAAAACAAACAAGATGAATTTTAACAGGGAGAAATGTAAAGTATTGCCCTTGGGCAAAAAAAATGAGAGGCACAAATACAAGATGGGGGACACCTGGCTTGAGAGCAGTACATGTGAAAAGGATCTAGGAGTCTTGGTTGACCACAAACTTGACATGAGCCAACAGTGTGACGCGGCAGCTCAAAAAGCCAATGCAATTCTGGGCTGCATCAATAGGAGTATAGCATCTAGATCAAGGGAAGTAATAGTGCCACTGTATTCTGCTCTGGTCAGACCTCACCTGGAGTACTGTGTCCAGTTCTGGGCACCACAGTTCAAGAAGGACACTGACAAACTGGAAGGTGTCCAGAGGAGGGCAACCAAAATGGTCAAAGGCCTGGAAACGATGCCTTATGAGGAACGGCTAAGGGAGCTGGGCATGTTTAGCCTGGAGAAGAGGAGGTTAAGGGGTGATATGATAGCCATGTTCAAATATATAAAAGGATGTCACATAGAGGAGGGAGAAAGGTTGTTTTCTGCTGCTCCAGAGAAGCGGACACGGAGCAATGGATCCAAACTACAAGAAAGAAGATTCCACCTAAACATTAGGAAGAACTTCCTGACAGTAAGAGCTGTTCGACAGTGGAATTTGCTGCCAAGGAGTGTGGTGGAGTCTCCTTCTTTGGAGGTCCTTTAAGAAGAGGCTTGACAACCATATGTCAGGAGTGCTCTGATGGTGTTTCCTGCTTGGCAGGGGGTTGGACTCGATGGCCCTTGTGGTCTCTTCCAACTCTATGATTCTATGATTCTACGTAGGGCAGGTACCAGGACCCTGGGCAAGCAGGAAGCGCGGGAAGCACCCCAGCTAGGTGTGCTGGGGCAGCTCTATAAAGCCTGCCTGCCCTGGAGGCAGGGTGCCCCAGCAGTGCCACCACTGAAGCTGTGAAACAAGGCGTGGGCCAACCCCCTTGTGCTACAATTATGGTTTTAACAGGAATGAGTTTTTAACTTAGATGGGTGTTTTATTTGGTGGGGGGTTGTTTTAAAGTGTTTTAAAATGTTATAAGTTAATTTGGATTTTGTATCTTTATTTGTAGGCCAGGGTATCGTTTACGGGCTTTTGTTGGGAAATGTTATTAGTTTGTACACATTAGTATTGTTAAGTGTTTTAATTATTTTTATTATGTTTTACTACTTTTTACATTGTACTTTGTCCTACAAGTATAGGGCAGTATTATTATTATTATTATTATTATTATTATTATTATTATTTCCTGCCATTTCCAAAGTGCCACAAAATGTTGCTTGGATTCCTGGATGTGATCTCTACATTCCTAGTAACACTAGGAATTCCTAGTAACATTCCTAGTCCTTGGCTACTGACCTATTTTTGTTCATAAGAGTTTCAGTAACGTTTGATTACCTGGTTCTGATCCTTTTTGCAGATTGAGACAGATGACAGCCACCAATCCTAGCCTTAGGCCTCAATTCAAGCCCTGACAAAGTCCCAAACCATGCAATAAATGTCTACAATTCCGCAGCTAGAAAGAAAATGCTTTGCAGAAAAAATATGTGCACCATACCTATTTTTTAAAACCTGAAGATGCCATATAAATTCATGAGCCTGGAAATATTAAAATTTGAAGATTTTTAAAGTAAGACTTCTATATTACCAATGGATTAAGCTGAGTGGAGATCAGTAAAGCCATATATCAGGATGACGAAAGGAAGAGCGAAATGAAAAAAGCTGCCACTAAATAAAAATTTAAAAACGAAAATAATAATAATAATAATCCGTAAATCATTAGTAGCGGCCACCCTCAAATTGCTCTGTGTAACTTAACATCTTCCCCCCCAAAAAATTCTTTAAATACAATAAAGCCCCGCCAGACATATTCTATTGTGGCTACAATGGTATTCCCAGCTACGGCTGTAAAAAGAAGATGGCAAACCTACACACACAAAATCACCAGAGAGGTTACAGTTCAACATGGGATGCGATTTTATAATGATACTTCACACTTTGCATCCTATTATCGTTGCTTAGCAGCCACTCAACACATTCTCCAGTTCTCTCCTTCCTTTCCCCTGGAACAAAATCTGGCCAACTATGGAGTGGCAGCAGCCCTGGTATGAAGATGGGAAATATACTTCCATGCAGAAGCACATACATATATACAGTGCCTAGAAAGTACAGAACTGGAAATTTGCCTGCTCATTTCCAAAATGTGGCAAGTCTAGTCAGAACCAATTAAACTCATGCTTGATTTACCAAAAAAGAAAAAAAGCTTGAAATGGGGCATAGCTCAGCACACCCTTTGAAAATAAGAAAAATATATAGATACCGTATTTTTCGCTGTATAGGACGCACTTTTTCCCCTCCAAAAATTAAGGGGAAATGTGTGTGCGTCCTATGGAGCGAAGGCAGGCTCCTTGGCTTCAGCGATAGCAACACAAAGCCTCCGAAGCGCAGAGGGAGCGCTCCCTCCACGCTCCGGAGGCTACGCATTGCTTTCGCTGAGGTCTGGAGTGCGAGAGGGGTTGGTGCGCACCGACGCCTCTCGCTCTCCAGGCTTCAGGGATAGCCGCCTGAAGCCTTTGGAGCGCAGCGGGACCTCACGCTGTGCTCCAAAGGCTTCGGGTTCCTTTTGCTGAAGCCGGGAGAGCAAGACTCTCCTGGCTTCAGCAGAGAGGGAGAGCTGCGCAGCGCCCCTTCAGCAAAGTGGGAGGAGAAATGGAAGGGGCTCCGTTTCTCCTGCCGCTTCGCTAAAGGGGCGCTGAGCAGAGAGGGAGAGATTTTTTTTTCTTGTTCTCCCCCTCTAAAACAAGGTGCATCCTATGGTCGGGTGCGTCTTATAGAGCGAAAAATACGGTAATTTATTCTTTAAAGAGGCTGTGTGAGTGCTTGGCCCACAAACCGCAGGCATGAGAACAAATTAATGGGCACTTTGCAATTTTTTTGTATGAAATTTATGTATTAAATCAAGATTTTAAGTAAGCCCAGAAGTGTTTACCTGTTTGCTGCAGAAGAGGGATTTCCTAACACACATCTGTGACCACCATAGAAATGAAAGATGCTTGCCTCTTAGAAGGCTAGTAGGGGAAGGGCAGCTGAGGGATGGGCCAGCAATGAAACCAAGTAGACAGAGAAGGAATTGAGCAATTCTTCCTCCTTTGCCAGCTCACTCACTTCTCTACATGGAATACCTGGTCACTTAGGGCTATTGGATGAGTTTCAATACAAGGCTGTATTAAATCACTACTTTAAAATGCCCAACTATTTATTTTTAGATTTGGGCTATTTTGCATTGTCATAATGGCATGCTCCTTCTACCATTAAACTCAAAGACAACAAGCTTTCTGGCTCTGTGCCTGGTGGGAAATGGAAGTTGGTTCTGCTTAAAAGAGAAATAAAATTGGGGGAGAAATGTTTTCATTACTTCTCCTGGTATCCACAACAGTACTAAGGTTAAACATGCAAAAAGCATCTCTCCTAGGGAGCACATCTAGCTAGCAACCATTTATGGCCATTTATGGAAACAGTTCAGCAGCTGGAGATCGAAATGATAGTTGTGCCTCTACTTTCAGTGGCAAAAAGGTACCTAGGTACAGAGCTCAGATATACATATTTCATGGGACTTCCGGGGTGGCGCCATCAGTAATGGCGGATTCCCTCTGATCCGGAGGGACTGGCTCCACGGAAAACGGGTCTGTTCCGCTACGGCGAAGCGGGGACCCTCTAAAAAATCACAGGCGAATGAAGCCTGTGACCATGGGACTCGGCGGGCACCTTTCGCGCCCCCCCCAATTCGTAAAGGAACCCAATTACGGGCTCCGGAGCGAAGAGGGGCTAGTGGCGCGGTGCTGAGAGTCAACTGCTTCTTCCGTGGAGCGAAGCCGCACAGCCGTTGCCGGAGAGCGCTACCTTTTTCCTGTGACAATTTGGCTACAAAAACAACTACCCGTGAGCAGATCAAATTTGGACAATTGGACTTTAAACAACGATCTGTGAGTAGAACGGAAAATTGGATTAAGAAATTCCTCTTAATTTGGCACTGAAGCGGGAAGGTCTAAACAGGAAGTCAGCCTTCCGTTTCTTGTAGATAGATTAAAGCAAAGACATGGCAAACTAGAGTTTAGAAAATCGTTTGTAAAGGATCAACTTTCATCATCTAAAATTATTGAACCCCCTTCGGAAGCAGGAGAAGAGGGGGGATTTTTTCCGGATTGTTTAAACCTGCAGAAGAGAGTGTAAAGAAAAGTAATTTTCCACCATCTTGAACCTGGGAGCGGGGTGTCAGGACAGACGTTTTTTGGGAAGTTCATTGACTATAGACAAATGTTTTTGACAGACAGTTAAAAGAAGAGAAACATAGTGATTCCATTGTTCTCTTTCGCATTTTAAAGGAACAAATATTGACAAAATATCTGAAAAAGGAAACTTTGTTGTTAGATCTGCTGTTAAAAAAAAAAAGAAGAAAAGAGATGGATACAAATAGAAGTTCTTCCCCTAGAGGGAGCTTGTGAAACTGTTATTAAATTTGAACTGGGGAGCTTCGCAGCTGCAACAGATTAAGATCATGGGAACAGACTTCTGACCTTGCATAACAATGTACTCAGAGGCTCTGGTGCGTGCTTTCTGCAAGACAAGTGCTTTATTGGAACAGTTACATGAGAAGACGGATTTGATGACTGTTGCGATTAGAAATTTTGGACAGGCAGTGGGTATCTATATAGAACCCACCCAGGAATCAACTCAGGAGTGTGCTCTGACAGATCAGATGAGGGAGGAGGTTGTTGCTGGACCTCGGGTGGCAGAGATGGAGGGAGCTGTGGCCTAGCAGGAACATGAGTTGTTGGATCTGACAAATGAACTTGGAAAAAGCCAGATTTGGAGAGATAGAGTTTTGTTTGGCTTGGAAATGGGGGGCTGGATAGACCCCCCTATGCAGGGATGTCTTGACTTTTCAAGTCTGGCAATTGGCCGTGAGGAGTTTGGGGTTGTGGGGGTCCTCAACTCTGGAAGGACCTTGAAACATGCTTTTAAATACCACATGGAGTTCAGTGTGGACTAATGGAAAAGGGGCTGATCTGTCGAGAAGGGACAAAAATACTGTCAAGTTGGAGTTTCCACGAGTGAAAGGACCAGGAGACAAAGTAAAGTACAGGTATAAATATGAAGAAGATCTGCAGAAGGGACATGGAAGAGACTTAAGGGCCTCGGACATAAGATTACCAGGTTAATGAACTAGATGGATGAGATAGAAAGGACTGACAAAACCCGGGACCAGGAGGAAGAGACGTTGGATGAAGATTGGAAGAAAGTTTTAAAAAAAAAATTATTTAGGATTGTTTTGTAAAATTAATGAGTATTAGAAAAATGTTGGAACGAAATTATTTGGCTTTAGCAGAAATGTTAAAAAGAACTATGCAAGAATATGCTATGGTTATGAGAAATTGGTATAAATAAGATTTAAGTTTTAAGTTTTAGGGTCTTTATAGTAAGATAAGGTTAAAATAGATTAAGGTAATTTAATGACAGAATATTATGAAAAATGGGAAGGATTTGCTGTGATAATTAATAACTAGAATACAAAAAAGGGAGGTGTGAGGAGGTCGATGAAATAAGGTAATGACAATTAAGGATTTGGGAATATTGGATCTGTTTTTAAATTTTTGTGGTTTATTTCTGTTTTCTGATTTTGATGTGTTATGTGTTTTGTTTTTGTTTTTTGATTTTGATTTTTATCGATTTGTATTGTTTGATTGCCCTTGTCTTTCTTCTTCTTTTTCTCTTTGTTTTTTCTGTAATTTTAAAATTCTTAATAAATATTATTAAAAAAAAAAAACAGATATACATATTTCATAAAAAATTGGAGGCATTGTTATCAACCGGTTTGGCTATATGCCAGATAGGCCAGCCTAGCTGCCAGCTTCCATAGCTGCCAGCAACATAAGCCAACATGCCTGCCTTCCCAAAGACAGTGTAACATCTTGTGCAAACAGAGCATCCCTTTATCTGCCCATGAGCACACGATTTAGCAAGTCTTCTTTCCAAGTCTCTCTGTACATGGAAGATTACAAGGCATCTTAACATTCTACGCAGGCAGCATTTTAAATAGGCAATCTATGGACACTCCACCTACAGGGGAAGGGAGGCAGCACAATGGCCCCCTTGGTTCCCAACAAAGTGTGGTGCCATGTTAAACTGGGCACACAAGACAGCCATAGTACAGTCACCTCATACTTGCAGCAAAAATCAGCCATACGTACAGGATGGACCAGGCTTCAAACGCACAGATCCTGATAATGCTGACAAGCCACTCAGTTAGGACTGACTTTATGTACTGGGATTAACACAAAAACAGGGTCTGGCAGGAAAATCTTTTTTGCTTTGCAAAGATACACAAGGTCCTCAGCAGCTCTACCTCACATCACTGGAGAGATTTCTGTTTGCAGGCAGAGATGTGATATCCTTGTAGGTTCCCATATTTAATTCTGCTCTTCCTTGGGGCTTTTGGCTTTAAATCTTTAGAAGGATTTCTGCAGCCACTTACCATCTGACATACATGCATCACCTTCAAAGATGTTACAGAAGCACTGTGCGATTTTAATTAAGGCCAGAAAAATATCTAAAGCAAGTGTTCTTCCTTTCTTCATTTCACTGATCAAAGCCACTACAGCCCATTTTGATATTTGTTCAAAGAGCCTGAATTTGCCTGCCAGTGCAATATATGCCCAAATGATTTGGCTGGGCTCTATGCTTTAAGTGTTTTTCACAATTCAAAACAAGGTCTCCAAAGCATTTCCGGTGGCCCATTTTCACAAACTGTCAGCACTGCTCTCACCAAACAGAGAAGTTTTCCCCCATCCCGCTTCATAATCCTCACTCAGGAATAAAGCGGTAGGATTTGGTATTTGGTATTATTAATATATTGTCATCAATGTGCACCTACATTTTCAATTGTGATTTGATTATGTTTTCAGTTTAACTAACCCACCCCCACCCACCCCCCTCTTTCCTTCCCAGCCTAATACTGCATGCAACAAATGAAACTGATCTGTAGAATGTCTCACAACAAATGAAACTGATCTGTGGAAAACACAACTTGAAAAAAGACAATGCACATGCTTTTGTAAACTAGGAAATCTTTAATAAAAATTATTTGGGGGGGCATCCCACTTGCATACTCATCATATATCCATAATTCTAAATGTTTCTACTCCTTGTGACTTGAAAATGACCAAACACAGAAATCCATTAATTTTTTTCACATTGCTTAAACGTGTCTACAGCTGCGTTTGAGCGTCATGCCAAACCCCAGTTCAGTGTAAATTGCATGAATTACAATGAGCTGCGGCAAGCATCAGGTTCATGAGCTACTTTTTCCTCTCTTGTGTGGACAGGAGTTCACATGGTTTTACTTCTGCTTTTTGCTAAACCATGGTTTGCTGTTTCATGAAACTGATGACTGATGATTTAAAACAAAGTCAACCTGAAACTATTATGCAAACCATAATTAATCGTAGCCTTTTTGTCAGTTTGGATGAAGCAACAAACCATAGTTAAACAAAAGTGGAAACTTCTGAAGTAACCTCCTGGCCATGTGGGAGGAGAAGGGAGAGCAAAGTTTGCTGTGGCTTATTCACAGCACACAAAACTACTGTTAAGCATCATGTCCAGATGCAGCATATCAATATTTTTTAAAGAATATTTCCTTCTTTTTAAGTCCAACTATTTCAAGATTAAGACTATATTGCAGAATTCAACCAGCAACAGTATGATACCCAATATGCTCATGAGAATTATATAGGCAACTCCGCACTGATGTGGGTTATATTCCGGACCCCTGGGGGGGGCGTATAAGTGAAATGTGCATAAGTGGGGAGCACCCTGGAAAGTCTTTGAGCTCTGGGGAGGGTCTCCTCGTGAGCCACAAGGACTTTCCAGCTCTCTTCCTCCACTTCCAGGTTACCAGCACTGCATGTGTGCACGGTTGTGTGCAAGTAGATCACATGCAAGTGGGGGAGCTGCCTGTATGCATCTTCTGGGCCACAATATTCTCATTACACCTTTCCATGCTGAACAAGCTGCCTGATCTTGTTCTTTGGCCCCCAAAAGTATAGCCAGGCACTGACTTTATATTTTCATTAGTATGCTATAAGAACAACCCTTTAAAAGCCCTGCAGTCATGACTGCCTGACTCTGCTGCTAAGGAAAAGCAAGAGTATCACCAGATTTTATGCCAGCTACATATATACCAGAGAGAGCTGGTGCCCAGATTGATATTTAAGATGAGAGACATGTAACAAAAAGGAACAATCAGGAGGAGTTGAGACAATTGTTCTGGCTTCCTTCACCTTCCCTTCCCTTTCTAAGAATCTCTTCTCGCAGAAAATTATAAAAATGAATTTTACAATTGAAAAACATTTCAAAACAATTATTTAGGAGATAAACAAAATATGTCCTAAGTTATTTTTATGGTACACCAAGGAACTTAAATACAGTTATACCTCGGGATGCGAACGTGATCCGTGTGGGAGGCCCGTTTGCAACCCGCAGCGTTCGCAACCCACAGTGCTGTGTCTGTGCACACGTGTGACGTCATTTTGCGCTTCTGCGCATGCGCTGAAACACAGAAGTAACCCATTCCGGTACTTCCGGGTTCGGCGCAGTCCACAATCCTAAAACGCGCAACCTGCAGCGTTCGCAACCTGAGGTATGACTGTATCTCTCATTTGGATTCAGAAAGTTTCTACAGCAAACCCTTTCTATTATTAGAGAAACAGAGAGCTAATAAAAGATTGATCATGAGATAGGCAATCAATTTGCAGTTGGTTATTTGATTTTAGCTTGGAGTGACTTTTATTTATAATCCTCGTATTTCAAGCTAAGAAAACCCCTAAAGGTCTCTATTGTACTAACAGTAAATAGAGTTTACTATATTTTAAGTCTGAGATATACTGTGGCTCCTACTTTTTTTAAAAAAAAAAGACCTGTCGTTTATTTACAGCAGGCTTCTCCAACCTGGCACCCCCATATGTTTTGGACTACTGCTTTCATCTTCCCTGACTATTGCCACGCTGGCAGAAACGGATGAGAGTTGAAGTCAACCAACATGTGAAGGGAACTAAGTTGGGAAAGGGTGGGTTAAACCTTACTTTTAAGCCAGGATTGGCTTCCAGAGCGTCTTACAACAATTCAATCTATCATAAAGATACTCTTAATAGCCTATCTTGTATGACATGGGAGTTTGACAGTTTAATGTTCTCTTTAGGAAAAGGGGGCAGGAGCAGCTACATATGGACTCAGGGCAAAGATGCCAACACAGAGAAGCAGCTCTTCTCTGCAGAGGCTTTTCAACTGCCTTTTTCAATGGTCACTCACTGCTGTGCTCCAGTCTCCGCCCAAATATGGCAATTAAGGTGACAGACCCCAACACCTTCCTGCTTCTGTTCAACTGGTCCAGCCTTCTGCAGAGGGGGGGGGAGGCCAGGGGGCTGAGCACGGATGTGGCTTTAAACCTGCATCCTCTTGCAGAAGGGGGCTACTGAGCAGTTCGTGTTCTTTCTATGGCTCACTACTGAAATAAAATTTGCATGCAAAAATGTATTACAATAACTTTAGTCTAGAAACACCAATGTCTTTTTTTGCATTGATACTTTGGAAAAAAATGATGAGCCTTCCAGGTCAAGCTGGCCCAGACTGGCCCAGACTACCACGTGGCTGACCCAGGAAAAAAGAGCATCAGTCATGGCTGGAAAACAGAACAGTCTACACTTCCGATTGCAACCTGTGCCAACTTGAAGGGTTGTCACGCACTTTTTTTGTCCTTCTTAAAAAATAAAGTACCTTGCGAAGCACCAGAGCCTGGCTTTAGAATCCCATTTCCAAGCAACTGAACACGCTGGTACATGCGACAGAATTTCTAGGCAGAGCATGTTCATTAAAAGGGTGGGAGGATGCAAGCTTTGCACTAGTGCCAAAACTGAATGTCACAGCAGCATTAGCCAAATTGTTTTTTGCCTAAGACTGCATGGGGGGGGGGGGTGTTAGAAAAAGAAGAGATACAGCAACAGACATGATTGCAGCCCATATGTTTAAAATCAGGCCAAATATATCTGCGGAATAATCTGTGTAATAAGCCACTCTTCTGCTTCCTCCCTCCACTACCTCCCCCAAAAGTGAGTATTCACAGTGAGTCACTTGGAAAATGGAACACTCAGTGCTAGCAGACAGACTAAAAAGACATACATGGAAGTACAGACTATTTGGCTGAGCTCAAAAACCCTTTGGGTAGGCAGGAAGAATTTCTTTCCTATATGCGTGTTCTCTTCCTGAAAGCTCAGCTCTTTTTTTTTCCTTTCTGGCATACCAAAGAGCTCTGAACTGGGAACAGGTACAAAAATATGCTTCCCTCTGTAGAAAGGCATTATGCTTATTTTTATGAATGGCTTGAAAGTGTAGGCTTTCTGAGAACTAAGAAGAGAAGGTGGTTCACAGCTTGAGAGAGGAGAGGGAAGGGAAGGGGGACACAATTTGAACAGAATTGTACGCTAAAGCAGCACGTTCACCATACACAGGTTCACAACCCCTTAGATAAATATTCAAATTACAAGGAAAATGGGGGGAAAGAATCCAATCAAGCTAAATACAATTGAGCAGATGAAAATCACTATACTGCACTAATTAATCCCACTTATGGTATTACTCAGTTTTCTTCACTAAAGTGGCCAATAGCCTCAGACAATATAAAATTGGAAATGAGTCCCTTGTCAACAACCACACTGAAGGAAAGAACAGCAACAAAACATTAAAGTTTAATCACAGCAAAGTTAATTCAACCCCTTCACACAGTGCACAACTCCATAGCTAATGGTGCAAATCTTGCCTAGCCATTTGAGTTTTGTAGGCTAGTGCTACTGAATAAGGTAGTTTGCAGATATATATGAATATTTTTAAAAAAGAAGGCACATTAGCTTCTCTCTCTCATATCTTTGTTCAGAATCCATCTCAGTCTCATTCCCAGACCTGTTTTAGCTCATAGCATTCTATTCACTATGACTACGGTAGATTCCAGAGAGAGTGCTGTTTTCCTACCCCCAATACACCTGAGATGTTTAACAAACAAACCCCAAACCCCCATGTACTTCATGGCAGAAACATTTTGACTTTTTGCATTACGTATGAATCGTGGCGTGCTTAGGAGGGGAGGGGCACCGCTGGGGGCACTTACCTTTGGGGGTGACCCAAGGTGGTCCACAAGCCTAGGCACCCAAGAGCTCAGCACACCACTCTCAAAAGCAGCGCAGAATGTGTGTGTAGATACACACACACACACACACACTGTATTTTTCGCTCCATAAGACGCACCTAGTTTTTAGAAAAAAAATATTCTGAACGAAACAGTGGATGTATGATTCTTGTGGTTCATGCTGTGGCCACAGACATGTGATTTGACGGTGAGTTTGGGGTAGCCTGAGGATCCATATGGATCCGTGCTTTGTAACCATGTTTTTGCGCCACTGCGGCCCCAGGAAACAGTAGATGCATGGTTTTTTTGGTGCAGGCTGTAGCCATGGACATGCTATGTGATGTGATGGTGAATTTGGGATGACTCAATGCAAAAATCCTGGGGATCCATGGACTTTTACCTCCCCCTCCCAGGCAGCCTCCTTTATCGCGTCCCTCCCCGAGCTGGAGCAGTTTTTTCCTCCTCCTTTTCTTCTAATTTCTCCCCTCATTGCTTTCCTATTCCTGTCTCCTCTCCTTGCAAGTTCGCTGTCTCTCCCCCCCTCCCCCGCCCCAGGCAGCCTCCTTTACCAGCAGCCTCATCTCTGTCCCCGATCACTTGCTGATCAGTGGCTTTGTTTCAACACCCACTTGCCTCTTTCAAAAAGAAGAAGAAGAAGAAGAAGAAGTAGAAGAAGAAGAAGAAGAAGGAGAAGAAGAAAGCATGATCTGCTTTTCGCCCCTGGGCAATTCGGCTCCAGGGACCATGCATTCGCTCCATAAGACGCACAGACATTTCCCCTTACTTTTTAGGAAGAAAAAAGTGCGTCTCATGGAGTGAAAAATACGGTGGGTGGGTGGGTGGGTGTATATATATATATATACATACATACACACACACACACACACACACACACACACATCATCATCATCATATTGATCTGCCTGCCCTTCACTCCAAGGTTCCAGAGCAAGTCATATCAATTTAAAACAAATTACAATCACAAGAATAGTGTGGGTCCTAAAAATATGCCTTCCAAGTGTCAAAGGCCATGATTACAGTTCAAGACACATTCCAGCCCGCAAGAGCTGAGGAAGCCCAAAGGCTGGTTTGAAAGGCCTGAAGGACTGCATTTGGCTCCCAGGCCTTAATATCCTCACCCCTGCTAAAAATGCAGATAATTTGTCACTAACTAAAAAATCCTGACCTATGAACTTCAATAGATCATGAGAACTGAACAACATAATGACCTGCATTTCTGTTTACTTAGCACAATTTACAAGCCTCTAGTAATTTTTTCTGCCCCAGTAACTATGACAGCTAAATTTTGACACAATGACAGTAGGGTCTCTCAAAATGCTAAGCTTCTGGGTCACATAAAAAGTGCCCTAAGGTTGCAAGTCAGCTTTCACTGAACAACTGAGGCACATTTTTCTTCTAACTTAGCTGTACCTGTTTTACTTCCTGAAAACTTTTACCATAAAAGAGAATAATAATTACTTCGTCTCAGAAATGTGCATCCTCTGAATGCAAATGGAATGCCCCTTGATTGATATTAGGCACTCATGCGGTTGAACAACAGGAAAACTCCACTGAGGAAGAGAAGAAGAAGAAGAAGAATTTGGATTTGATATCCCGCTTTATCACTACCCGAAGGAGTCTCAAAGCGGCTAACATTCTCCTTTCCCTTCCTCCCCCACAATAAACAGTGGGGCTGAGATACTTCAGAGGAGTGTGACTAGCCCAGGTCAGCTTTCTGCATGTGGAGGAGCGGAGACGCGAACCCGGTTCCCCAGATTACGAGTCTACCGATCTTAACCACTACACCACACTGGCTCTCACACCACACTGGCTCTCACACCACACTGGCTCTCAGTAATTTTGGAGTAATTTTGAGTAATTTTGGGGCAAAAGCACAACAGGAAGGATTGAATCATCCAGTCACAACCAGTGCACAAAGGTAGCACAATTACCAGTCCGCCAGGAAAGGGCGACTAGAAGGCAGCAAGACCAGGAAGATAAATCCTGCAGAGAAGCAAAAGGCAGCCTCCTCTGTGAATGTGCACTTTGGCCTTAGGAGCCTTTGCTGAATTTAATATTTATTGGCTTTCCAATATTTATCAGCTTAGTATCAGACTGGGGTTGCCACATGGGTGCAGTGGTGCCCTTGAGGACTTCTCCTGACACCCATGAAGCTTCTTAAAAAACCCACGCCCGCCCTCTTCACTATGAAAGGTGGTTACATTCTGCCCTCCACCCCCTAAAAAATTATGCAGACCTGAAGGAGGAAGTTGAAGAGAAATGCTTTTTCCTACTTCTTCCTTCAGCTGTATCTGCTTTTCAATGCTCAGCCTGGCACCTGAACAGCTCAGCAGAAAACAGAACAACAAAGCCAGCAATGGGGACATACAGGAGGGTCTCCAAAGCAGATTTCAGTTGATAGAGAAGTTCATGATGGAACAGGCAGTCCTTTGGGGACCCCAGGCTCTATCTGAACCTGCACAAGCACTTAACAAATATTACCAACTCAGAATGAAACAACAGAAAAATAAATGTTCAACCTACAAGGGCTACAAATAATAAGATTGTTCTAGAATAAGTGTGTTGCTCAAACATTATTAGAAATATTTGGGTTTGTGCAAAAAGACAATAAAACCTTGCTTCCAAGCAATTGTAACTTCTGAAGAACATCATAAACTTAAAAAATTGTCCAGTAGCACCTTAGAGACCAACTAAGTGCTACTAGACAATTTTATTTATTTATTTTGACTGCGTCAGACCAACACGGCTACCTACCTGAATCTAGAATCATAAACTTAGGGTGTGATGTTTAAAAACTTTTTGGTGTACCTCCAAACGAAGTCCAACAAAGTCCTCATTAGAAAAGCAGCAAGAAGCATGTACAGTGGTACCTCAAGTTAAGTACTTAATTTGTTCCGGAGGTCCGTACTTAACCTGAAACTGTTCTTAACCTGAAGCACCACTTTAGGTAATGAGGCCTCCTGCTGCTGCCGCGCCGCTGGAGCACAATTTCTGTTCTCATCCTGAAGCAAACTTCTTAACCTGAAGCACTATTTCTGGGTTAGCGGAGTCTGCAACCTGAAGCGTATGTAACCTGAAGTGTATGTAACCCAAGGTACCACTGTAGTAACAATAGCTGTCATGGCAAGTTAGAGTTGCCCAAGAACTCTCTGGCAATTTCAGAGGAGTTGAATGACAGCATGCTTCAGATTTGCTTAATCTCCAGGGAAAGGAATGTAAAGCTCAGAGATATCCAGAGTTTATATCAAGCCCCGACAATACTATTAATATTCAGACTCCAGAAACTGTTGCCAAACATCTGTAGAATTCTATTTCAGCCAACCACCACATATTGCTACTCCCATCTTTATTACCCTACCCAACACTCTCTCTTTTTGTTAATGGCAGGAAAACTGTTCACCCAGTTCCTAGACACATCCACTGCAATCACACATTAAGGGGAGTGAGGAATGTGCGAGCCCAAGGCTATATAATAGCTAATGACACATATGAACACAGTAATTATCCAGGAATCCACTGCTTCACCCTATTCTCAATAAATTGTATTTGGAGCCTTTATTTTTATTCTCCTCAATCATCTACCCCAGTTAACCCAGTCTGGAAGCCATCAGAGGCCCTCTGTGAAAATTTTTGTAAGACAATTTGAAAACAAAAATCATGTAGACTTGAGTGACACCATTTATAAGTCTGCTATACTAAACTGTCCAACTCTGTGGGGTCAGTTTCAGTACTGAGGCTTGAGATGGGACAAGACTCTCTCAACCTGTGCCCATCCTGGCATATTCATGCCAGTCACAGAGTGCTGATCAAGTGGATCCAGAGTGTGGTGAATGTGCCATTACTTCATGCACTGTTCCTTGTTTCCTTGATGGAGGTAGTGGTGTGAGCACTAAAAAAACCCACCCTAGACAAAGATTTATACTAACTACCACCTTGTCACTGAGACACCTTTGTGGGGGACAAGGTGCTCAAGAGGATGGTAGTGGTTCGGCTGCAGGTGTTCCTTGGTGAAAATGATAATCTGGACCCATTCCAGTTTGGGCTCAGGCCCAGTTTTGGAAGAGAACTAATTTTTGGTCTCCCTGATGGAGGACTTGTTTGGATGAGGAAAAGGGGGAGTACAAATCTTCTGGATTTCCCCCCAGTGATTTTTGAAGTACAGCCTCTAGGAGGGAGGGGTTGGGAGCACCTTTTATGATGGTTTTGCTTCTACCAGTTCCAAAGAGTAGTATTGGATGATTGTGCCTCAGCCCCTGACAGCTGAACTGTGCAGTGCCACGGAACATGATTTTGTCCCCAATGTTATTTAATATAGTTATGAGTTTGTGGGGTGTGAGACACCCTAAATTCTTGGGTCCAACAAAAGTTAAAATTAATCAAGGTTTGGGGAATTAAACCAGGGATCAACAAACTTTTTTTGAAGGGGGCCCCAGCCCCTCCCCTCCCCCTGCCTACCTATGGTGCTGCTGGCGGTGCCGGCAGTGGAGGGACGAAAGTGGACAAAAAAGGGGGAAAAGCCAAACCCCGAAGGTCTCCAAAATATATCATCTGGGATAGCTGAAAAGCGTCAGATCTGCCGCAGTTTAAAAAGTAGGGGGAGATGCCCGGGATATTTGAAGAGGGGGCTGAGATTGAGGGTTGCACTGAACTCCCCTTAGCCTCGGTGCCTTCCCTGGTCAGCCAAATCCAGAGCTCTCGGGGACCTTGTATCACTTTAGGCAGGGCCGAAAGCAAGAGCAGGGAAAGGGGAGGAAGTTTTCCTGGTGGCTCATTTTACAGCCTCTTCCTGAGCAGGAATTTAAACACACACAATGCCTGCCGCCGCTCCCCCCCCCCCCCCGAGCTCTCCAAAAACAACAGCAGGCCGCCACCCTCTCTCCTGGACCACGAACGCTGACGAGGAAATGCGCCACCAGGCAAAAAGGTCCATTTCAAACTCCGGTTTGCCGCAGCCTCCCAAGTACTGAGAACCCACCGGCTCATCCCCTGAAAGACACCTCCAAAGATAGCAGGAGAAGGCAGGCAAGCAGCGAGAGAGGAGAGCGAGAGAGCAAAAGCACAAGCTGAGCAATGCAAGTAATGCGCGCAAAGCTCCCGCAAAGCGCCTAGTCAAACTCTCCAAGAAAACGAGGCTGCAAAACGCCTGCCCTTGCAAGTGGCAGAGGCTGGCGGCGGCAGGACGAGCGGCCCGAAAGGGCTGGCTGGCTTCGGAGAAGCGCTGCCCAAAATGGTGCTCAGCCCAGCCCCCTTCCTCCACTACACAGGGTGGGGAAAAGCCAGGAGGAGGCACCACGGTGTAGGGGGGGGGGGGAATGACGCTGGAAAAAATGGCAGCGCCGGGGGGGAAATAACAGAACAAAATTAACAAACAGAATCGGCCGATCCACTGACCGTCCACGGGCCAGATCCAGCCTGCGGCCTGTAGTTTACCGACCCCTGAATTAAACTGTGCCAAACAGCTTATGTTAAAAATAAGAGCCACGCCAGCCTGGTGATAGCTCACTGACCGTGGGCCATTATGGGAACAAAGCCTTGGAGGTGAGCCATCAAAGCAGAATATTAAGAGGCAGAGAATGTGCCAGCCAACAAATGGATGAAGCCCTGCCCTGAGCAGAGAGGTAATTACAGCAGTTCAAAAGCACGTCTAAGTGCAAGTAGATAAATAGGTACCGCTCCGGCGGGAAGGTAAACGGCGTTTCCATGCGCTGCTCTGGTTTCGCCAGAAGCGGCTTAGTCATGCTGGCCACATGACCCGGAAGCTGTACGCCGGCTCACTCGGCCAATAAAGCGAGATGAGCGCCGCAACCCCAGAGTCGGCCACGACTGGACTTATCCGTCAGGGGTCCCTTTACCTTTAATTACCTCACTAAGCTGTCCAAGGATGTAGACCTGCACAAGGCTGGACTGGGCTACAAGACTATTGCCAAGCAGCTTGGTGAGAAGGTGACAACAGTTGGTACAATAATTCGCAAATGGAAGAAACACAAAATAACTGTCTACCTCCCTTAGTCTGGGGCTCCATGCAAGATCTCATCTCGTGGAGTTGAAATGATCATGAGAATGGTGATGAAGCAGCCCAGAACACAGGGGGAACATGTCAATGATCTCAGGGCAGCTGGGACCATAGTTACCATGAAAACAGTTGGTAACACACTATGCCGTGAAGGACTAAGATCTTGCAGAGCCCGCAAAGTCCCCTTGCTCAAGTTTGCCAATGCACATCTGAATGACCCAGAGGAGAACTGGGTGAAAATGTTGTGGTCAGATGAGACCAAAATCGAGCTCTTTGGCATCAACTCAACTTGCCGTGTTTAGAGGAGGAGGAATGCTGCCTACGACCCAAAGAACACCATCCCCACCATCAAACGCGGAGGGGGACATATTATGCTTTGGGGGTGTTTTTCTGCTAAGGGGACAGGACACCTTCACCGCATTTAAAGGATGATGGACAGGACCATGTACTGTCAAATCTTGGGTGAGCACCTCCTTCCCTCAGCCAGGGCATTGAAAATGGGTCAAGGATGGGTATTCCAGCATGACAATGATCCAAAACACATGGCCAAGGCACCCTTAAAGGAGTGGCTCAAGAAGAAGCACATTAAGGTCCTGGAGTGGCCTAGCCAGTCTTCAGACCTTAATCCCATCGAAAATCTGTGGAGGGAGCTGAAGGTTTGAGTAGCTACACATCAGCATCGAAATCTTACTGACTTGGAGAGGATCTGCAAATAGGAGTGGGACAAAATACCTCCTGAGATGTGTGCAAACCTGGTGGCCACCTACAAGAAACATCTGACCTCTGTAACTGCCAACAAGGGTTTTGCCACCAAGTACTAAGTCATCTTTTGCAAAGGGATCACTTATTTCACTCATTATAATGCACATCAATCTCTGACTTTTGTCAGAAAGTGAAATACCTGGGGATTAACATGACAGCCAAAAATGGGAACTTATTTAAAGATAATTATGAAAAATGTTGGACGGCAGTGAAAAAAGATTTAGAAATCTGGTCAAATTTGAAGCTTTCACTGTTGGGTCGTATTGCTGTGATAAAAATGAATGTATTGCCTAGAATGCTGTTTTTGTTTCAAACATTGCAAATTGTGGACAAGATGGACTGTTTCAAGAAGTGGCAGAGAGATATCTCCAGATTTGTCTGGCACGCAAAGAAGCCCAGAATAAAATTTAAGATATTAACTGATGCAAAGGAAAGGGGTGGATTTGCCCTGCCAGACTTTAAACTTTACTACGAATCAGCAGCTTTTTGCTGGTTGAAAGAATGGCTACTTCTTGGAAACACAGACATTTTGGACTTAGAAGGTTTTAACAATGTATTTGGATGGCATGCATATCTGTGGTATGACAAGGTCAAAGCGCATAAAGCATTTAAAAACCATATTGTCAGGAAAGCATTGTTTAATGTTTGGATAAGATACAAGGATTTGTTGGAAAACAAAACCCCAAGGTGGCTGTCACCGATGGAAGCGAAAGCTCTGAAAAGGCTCAATATGGAGGCCAAATGGCCGAAATATTGGGAAATTTTGGAACAAGATGGAGATAGACTGAAACTGCAGAGTTTTGAGAAACTAAAAAATAAAGTGCGAGACTGGCTTCATTATTATCAGATAATGGAGGCATATAATTTGGACAAGAAAATTGGCTTCCAGGTGGAAAAATCAAAATTAGAAACAGAACTGTTAGAACCCAAAACTAAGAATTTGTCAAGAATGTATAACTTGCTGTTGAAATGGAATACTCAGGATGAAACGATGAAATCTGCTATGATTAAATGGGCACAAGATGTTGGACATAATATTATGTTTGCTGACTGGGAACAGTTATGGACCACAGGTATGAAGTTTACGGCATGTAATGTCCTAAGAGAGAATATTATGAAAATGATATACAGGTTGTACATGACCCCAGTCAAGCTTGCAAAAATCTATCATTTGCCCGACAATAAATGCTGGAAATGTAAAGAAACTGAAGGTACATTCTTTCACCTTTGGTGGACGTGCCCAAGGATTAAGGCCTTCTGGGAAATGATATATAATGAACTGAAAAAGGTATTTAAACATACCTTCTTAAAGAAACCAGAGGCCTTTCTCCTAGGCATAGTCGGCCAATTGGTGCCAAAGAAGGACAGAACTTTTTTTATGTATGCCACAACAGCAGCAAGAATACTCATTGCAAAGTATTGGAAGACACAAGATCTACCCACTCTGGAAGAATGGCAGATGAAGGCGATGGACTATATGGAACTGGCAGAAATGACTGGCAGAATCCAAGACCAGGGAGAAGAGTCGGTGGAAGAAGATTGGAAGAAATTCAAAGATTATCTACAGAAATATTGTAAAATTAATGAATGTTAGAATGATGTTGGATAGTAATTAAGTGGTTTCCAGCTGTAATGCTTTAAGGGAATATGAAAAAGGGTTATAAATAGGTAAAAATTTAATATTATTACTTTTAAAGGATTTGCTGAACCAACATATTGAAGTGGAATACAAAAAAGGGAGGTATGAGGAGGTCCGGGAAATAAGTCAAAGGAAAATATGTAATGGAAAATCTGTGTGTTTTTAACTATTTTTATTTTGTATTTTTGTCATTTTTTTTATTTTTTTTGTAATATTTTAAAAAATCTTAATAAATATCTTATTAAAAAAAAATAATCTCTGACTTTTGTCTTCTGGGTTTCTGGGGTTTTTTCCCGGGCAAATTTAGCAGGGGATCAAATACTTTTTCCCCTCACTGCAGTAAGACCAGTTAGTTTTTAGAATTGCAGCTGGCAGTGCAGCGCTAGCAAAAACAGTGACAGACTATAAAAGGAGACAGAGAACATGGCTGATTTCTGTTTTGAATCCAAGGCTGCTGTGCCCATGGAAGAAGCAAGAGACCTGCTTGGAGTGTAATGTTAGGAACCCCTCCAAAGTATGCTCATACACAACCTGAGTAATTGTGTAAATAAACCATATATCCTAAAGATACTGCAGTCTCCACTGTGCCACATTTCCAAAGGAAACACGAACCCTGGAACCCCTGGAACCTTGCACAAGCTGTGGAGATTGGGGTGGCGACTGATTTCTATATGAAGCTAATGGGAGTAGTTCTTAGAAGATTTGGGGCAAGATGTCACAAGTATGCCAGTGATACCTGGCCCTATTTCTCTTTAACATATTGATCTGGAGAGGCTGGGCATGTCCTAAACTGGTGACAGAACAAGAGCTAATAAATGACAACAGACTACTGACAAGATGGAGATCCTATGGATAGCCAGCTCTGGGATTCTGGTTTGTACACCAGCTCTAGATGGGCTTTCCACTGAAGGCAAGCTATATATGTGGTTATTTGGAAGGGGTTTTTTTTGTTACAGACAACCCACATTTAAACACTTGAAGTGACCACTTTAAATGCTACTCCCAAATGACTTGTTTTCCACAACATTATAAACCAAATTATTCATTAGAATGAATAGCTTTCTCTGTATCTATAGAATTATTGCATCTTCTCTACCTCCACCCCTGGCTGCCAGAAGTAAGAGAATGTTGTGTCTCTATTTGTTTATTAGAAATAAAGGTTTCCCATGAATTGTCTATCAGGCTACAACCCTCACACTGTCCCATGCCCTCAGTATCAGGATCCATGTATCATTTTGTCTGAATGAGAGCCGTGAGAAAGGGCATTCCTCCAAACCCATGACCTTTCCTCAGCTCATATGGAGTCAACATTTTTACTGGGAGCATAAGCACCACTGACAACGTGGAATTTGGGTGAAACAGGAAAGCCAGAGTTATTGTTTCAAGTCCATGACTCACCAAAATGCCACTCAATAATAGCTAAGGCTGCTCTGCCACCCACCTCCCCTTGATCATCAATGTTCCACTTGGAGGCAAAGAAGTGCTTTCTCCCCAGCTGCGTGGTCATTCATCAACACATCTGACTCACCGGAAACTAAGGAAATATTTCAGCACATAAATCTGTTCAGATTTCAGAGAAATTTTAATGCTGCTTTCATGGAGCAGCTAAAAGTTGAAAATCAACCAACAGAACTCTTCTCAGAATTGATGTTAAAGGGGAAGAGGAGAGAGAGGGGGGGAAATGGTATTGCTTGTAAAGGTGATGGCAGAAGCCTAGTCTGCAGCATGTTAGCCTTAAATAGTTATTCGCAGACTAATAAGATTATACCAGCCTCCCCCAACTGAGAACTCTCTTTAGACTACAGCTCCCATCAGCCTCAGCCAGAACAGCCAAGCTGGCTGCGGCTGCTGGGACTTGTAATTCAAAATATCTGGAGAGATCCAGGTTGGGGAAGGCTGGGTCAGACCAACACATTGCTGGCATTTTTTCCTTTCATGTTTGTAAAACACTTTTTGTATTTTTAAAAATCCACTGTCCTAGTGAAGCAACAATATTTTACTACTTTTCTGTATGATCAACCCATTGAAGAATCACAGTGCATGGACCCAGAATTGTTGGGGGGGGGGGGGGTTAGAATAGAAACAATAGGAAAAGTTGGGACATTTGCTAACCTTTGCACCTCGCACTGAAGTTAGCAACCACTCTAAAATAAGGCTGAAAGTTTATCCCCAAATGTAATGTTTCATCTTAAAAAAAAATCAGAATTTTACAATGAATTTAAAAGAGAAAACATCTCTCAACTTTCTGTAACAAAGGAACACATCTCACAAACAACAAATGTGGTGATCATCTGGCTTCAGACTGTAGTTGTGTCTCACAAGACTGGACACTCCTCTCTCTATACATCATATTAAATATCTTTGCAGAAGCTTACAAAAAGCTTGGCCTATCGCTCAACATCCCAAAAACCAAAATACTGCACCAACAAGTACAAAATAACCCCTCTGCAGCGCCACAAATCCAACCCAATGGTGTAACGTTGGAAAATGTTGATCACTTCTCCTACCTGGGCAGTTATCTTTCCACAAGGGTCAACACTGATGCCGAAATGCAGTACTGCCTGAGCTCTGCGAGTGCGGCTTTCTCCCGATTGAAGGCAGAGTGTTTGAGGACCAGGATATTCGCAAGGAAACCAAAATGCTTATTTACAAAGCTATTGTACTACCATCCTTACTGTACGCTTGTGAAACATGAACCACTTATAAACACCATCTCCAACTCCTTGAAAGATTCCATCAACAATGTCTCCAAAAAAATTTACACCTCACTTGAGAAGACAGGCGAACTAATACCAGTATACTGGAAGAAGCAAAGATCACCAGTGTTGAAGCAATGATTCTTCAACATCAACTTCGTTGGACTGGTCACGTTGTGTGGATGCCTGATGATCGTCTTACAAAGCAACTACTCTATTCCAAACTTAAAAATGGAAAGCATAATGCTGGTGGTCAACAAAAGAGGTTTAAAGACTGTCTCAAGGCAAATCTTAAAAAATGTAGTATAAACACCAACGATTGGGAAACACTTGCCTGCAAGCACTCCAATTGGAGAACAGCCTTTACCAAAGGTGCCATGGACTGTGAAGACACTCGAACTCAGGACGCAAGGGAGAAACGTGCTAAGAGGAAGGCACACTTGGCAAATCCACACCGTGATCAACTCCCGCCTCCAGTCACTTACAGACTCTTTGTTAAAACCGTGTTTATGGAAGACAATCTTACTCAGGTGGAGGATCTAGCTGAAGATGAAATACGGTAAATGCTGTGCACAAAAGAAAAATTATTTAAAACACAGAAGTGGAAAAGCAGTCTAGAAGAGTTGTGACTGCAGTTTCATTCTACCAAATGTAAAAACTAAACCTCTTTTACTCAATTAGAGGGGGCAGTTCACCCAAACCTGTATCTTTATAAATTTGCGAGCAACTTTGTGTAGAGAATTTATTTGGTTCTTTTTGCAATTTGTGGTATATGGAGGGTGGTATATGTCACCTTCAAAAAACCTACAGCCACTCTATGTAAACAAAACGAGTTACATTATACACTGTGATCTTCACATTACTACAGTTACTTGGGGATCTAAAAGAGGTGGGCCTCTAGAAAGTGTCTACTCAATCAATAACACTGAACTTTAAAAGATAATGTGCTACAGTATAGAATATGTACTAAATGATTTTCTTGGCATTTGAAGTTTCCATCATCCACCCACTCTGTCTATTAGAAGGCTTCAAATCCATTCTTTATTTGCATATCAATACCCACAATGCTCTTCCAGCTCACAGCAGTGCACCTAAGCTCAGGGAACAAGTTGAAAGGTTTTCCCACAATCGTGTTATTTTCTGTATGCTTTGAAACCTTTCTAATAAACATATCCTTATAATAGCTCCCTTGATAATTGCTTTGCTGGAATAGGCTCTCAGAACAGAATTTCAGAAACTCTACAAGTGGCTACGAGAATTACATAAACTTTGAGAATTCTCCCCACCCACTCGCCAAAAAAAGAAAAGAAAATTAACATTCCTTAAAAACTCTTAAGTGGCAGATGAAATAAATATAAGTTCAATTATCTGTTTTGTAATAAACAGTACAGAATACAGTGGTACCTCGGGTTAAGTACTTAATTTGTTCTGGAGGTCCGTTCTTAACCTGAAACTGTTCTTAACCTGAAGCACCACTTTAGCTAATGGCGCCTCCTGATGCCGCCGGAGCACGATTTCTGTTCTCATCCTGAAGCAAAGTTCTTAACCCGAGGTAATATTTCTGGGTTAGCGGAGTCTGTAACCTGAAGCATCTGTAACCCGAGGTTCCACTGCACAAGTATAGAGTACAGTAACAACACCTTCCTTCTTGCAAGCAAATGTTGCTTTACTTGAAAATTATATGGCTCTCACTGGAATAGCTCAGTTGACTCTTAATGTCAGGGTGATGGGTTTGAGCCCCATGTTGAGCAAAAGAGTCCTAAACTGCAGGGGGTTGGACTAGATGACCCGTGTGGTGCCTTCCAACTCTAAAATTCTATGATTCTATCACTGACACTCCACTAAATGAAAACACAGCATTAAAACTTGCACCGCGATATCTCAGTTGGTAGAACATGAGATGCTGAACTTCAGGGTCATGGGTTAGAGCCCCAAATTGGGCAAAAAAATTCCTGCATTACAGGGAGATGGACTAGATGGCCCTCATGGCCCTTTCCAACTCTACAATTCTATAAATTGTATACCTGAAGAAGCATCTCCACTCCCATCGTTCAGTCCGGACACTGAGGTCCAGCTCTGACGGCCTTCTGGCGGTTCCCTCACTCCGAGAAGTGAAGTTGCAGGGAACCTGGCAGGGGGCCTTCTCGGTAGTGGCGTCCGCCCTGTGGAATGTCCTCCCATCAGACGTCAAGGAAATAAACAACTATCTGACTTTTAAAAGACATCTGAAGGCAGCCCTGTTTAGAGATGTTTTTAATGTCTGATGTTTTATTGTATTTTTAATATTTTGTTGGAAGCCTCCCAGAGTAGCTGGGGAAATCCAGCCAGATGAGCGGAGTATAAATAAATAAATAAATAAATAAATATTATATTGTTGTTGTTGTTATTATTATTATTATTATTATAAACCTCATTACCTGAAAACATGAAAGACCATGCAGAAGAACAAGCACACAACTCAGAATCATCTGCTCCAGACAGTGTTCCTAGCCTCCATTTGGAAAGAAGGAAAGTGGGGAGATTTCTCATCCCTTCAGATAGTTGCTATTGTTGAATGGTTAAAACCAACAAAACTAGACAGCAATTATAATGCTATTCTTCTACATCAACGGCATTAGCCTTCAAGAACAGCACACACTGTTTTCAACTTGTAAGATATTTGCATATATAACAACATGTATCAAGGCTTTGTCTGGAAAGCAAGGTATTTCTTCCTCCCAGAGGATCAGTATCTAATCTGTCAAACACATATCAACAATTTAACAGTGTATTTATCCTCAAAATCAAAAGCCTTTAAAAAAAAAAAAAGACAAAACAGTACTAGTACTTGCAGATGACCTGCTAAACTAGACAAAATAAGAAAGAGGAACTGTTAGGTTTGATTCAGACTACCATGTTTGCATTGTTTCATCACTGAAAACACTTCTGCCACTACTGTATAGGGTGCCTACTACCCTTACAGCTGTTCTTTCAGGCTACATCTTCAACTGTCAGGTTCACCTGTCACAGAAGCTGTGACTTTGCAAACTGAAAGAAAAAGATTCTCGCCAGTGAGTCAGTGTGCTGTAATGGATCAACTTCCATTTTCTTTGCCCAGATTATAGCCACCAATTCCTCCTAAAATCAGAACATTTTAATAAATCCATACAAACTAAAGCGCAAAGTGGCTGTAGAACGTTACCAGTTGCCAGTTTTACAGAGCGTTCCTATGCCATGTCCACCTGAGTTCAATGGGACATTGTAGGTGGGCAGATCAATCCTAATGAGTGGCTGGGGACAACAGAAGTGGCAAAGCCACCAGCACATAAGAAGCCCTGCCAGCTCCTATCCGTCAGGGCAGAAGGTGAGCGGCAGCTTTGTAGGGATCATGCCACACCAGCTCCAAGCCCAGACTGGACCTTTCTCCACAAACTGGGGCAATTTAGGATCCAGCAGTTCCTCTCCACCACATAATGCTCCATCACAGCATTAGCTTTGCACCCATTCAGGAAGAGATCACAGCTCTCCTGCAGAAGAGCCCATCGGCCAACGGCACGTTCCTCTAATCAGCACTACCAGGCATCAACATCAAAGGGACAGTGAGAATGAAGCACAGGGCCCTTTGTCTGCAAATCTTTACCTGCAATGGCCACCTTTATTGTAGGTCAGGGCATCAGTCTTCGGAAAACTGATAAAAACAAATACTCAAGTAGCCTAGGAATTACCTCTCTACTCAGATATCACATGGCAGCAATGGAGCTCTTTAAGATGTCTGTGTTAGCAGGCTGTTAATCATAGCGGATTCTCAATTCTAATTGTACTGTCTTCTTCAGTCACCAACATTAGTTTTAGTTCCAAAACCATATCCATAAAGGATAAGGGTTGACAGTTTGAGGTGGTACAAATCATTTGGGAGAGAGGAGAAGGAAAATAAAGGTGGTGGTTGTTATGTTATGTGGGATGTTTATAGCAAAATCACTCATGTGACTCAGCTACAATAAGCACAAATTGTCCTTACGCATGCCTTAGCTTCAGCTGGGGAGGGGAGTACGGAGAATGCACCATGCATTATGCACAGGCCAGCAATGTATGCTCATGGAATTTCAATCACACATCACATTCAATGCAAGTACTTTCAATCTGTGCATGCACAGATCAAACTACCCCCCAAGTTGTTAATGTATTTCAAATAGATACCGTATTTTTCGCCCTATAGGAAGCACTTTTCCCCCTCCAAAAATGAAGGGGAAATGTGTGTGCGTCCTATGGGGAGAATGCAGGCTTTCGCTGAAGCCTGGAGAGCCCCACCGCCAGCCCTGCAAGCCCGGGGGACAGCGGGGAGGCGCAGCGCGCCATCCCGCTGTCTCCCGACTTGGTTTGGAGGCTGGCGGCGGGGAGAAGCCCACTTCTCCCTGCCGCCAGCCCCGCAAGCTCGGGGGACAATGGGGAGGCGCAGCGCGCCATCCCGCTGTCTCCCGACGTGGTTTGGCGTGGTTTCGCGCCGGGCTCCCACGGCTTGTGGAGAGCTGCCTGTTCTAGGGGCTGGGGTCGGGGGAAGCTCGGGCTTCCCCCGCCCCAGCCCCGCGCCTGGGGGGGAAAATAATTTTTTCCCCTTTATTTCTCCCCCTCCCCCCAAAAATCTAGGTGCGTCCTATGGGCCGGTGCGTCCTATAGGGCGAAAAATACGGTAGCTGAGGAGCTGGTTCCTTCCAAGTTTGTTTTTTTTTCACTTCAGCAATAGAACAGGGTGCCAGGGGGAGGGGGAGGAGGAAATATTCCACAGTAGTATAGCTGAGAAAACATTGGATTGGGATCAGTGTTTATAATATGTTCTCTGTTATGTTTACTTGAATATATAAACATTGAACAGCACACATTTACACACATTTACACTGCTAAGCATTCAAACTTCTAAGATTCTACTACATGGAGCTTTTGATGCACGCTCAAGGGAGTGAAGTGGGAAGGAAGCAGAACTCTTGAAGTTAGCCTTTATCAGTTATGGCTCTCTGGGAAGACCTAGAGATAGTAGCACCCTCCCAAACATCATGCGGGTGACTGCAAGACATGTGGCAATACTTGGAAGTGAGCTGAAGCAAATTATGGGGCAAAAGGGTGAGGAAGATGGAACAGTGGCAGTTGCTCAGAAGAAAATATTAGAATCACAGTGGATGACACTTTAAATTCCATTCTTTATACTACAAGGCCCAGTTAGGAGACCCAAGAGGCTAGCTCAGCCAAGAACTTTTCAAAGGGTCATTTACAAGATCACATATTTAATACACCCTTTGCTTCAGTGCTCACTATTCTAGTTCAGATTAGAATATCCAATTGACCCTTGAAAAATTCCCAAGATCACTTAATGTATCCTCATCCTTTCATTCTCAGAACATGGTACTAAGGCGTGATTCAAAAGTGAATTCTTTTCAGTCTGTTAAAACATGTTCATAGGAGAATTCTCACAAGCCTACATTAATCCTCACTTTATGTTAGATTGACCTGAAGTTTTCTCACAAACATTCATGCATTTTAAGAACACCACTCCAGCCTTTAAAGGAATTAGTCCAAACTGTTAAACCTTGTTTTATTGCAGTGAGAAGGGATGGGAAGGGGTTGCTTCTTGTTGATGCTGTTGCCATCCACACCACTTTTCACTGCAAGGAAACTCAAATCTGCCAGCCTATTCATGTAGAAAAAATATTGTCCAGCTGCATTTACTGATATCCAGCTAAAAAAAGCAAATCATGGATAAACAGCTTTGTGAGACAAAAAACTGACATACCATTGGGGACCTAAGGATTTGAAAGTAAACCAAGGGAATTAAGCTGTCTAAACTGAAGAAATCTGCAAAAATAAAATTCCAGTACTTGTACAAAAATAACCATCAGCATCCAACTTTGCTCTGGCAGCATTAGCTACACTTGATGAAAGCTCATCATACTAAAACACAGGTTTTTTTCCCTCCTTTTTCTGACCCCAGCTCTGTACTCTCAGATTTTGAACAGCCCTGTACAGTTCTACTGTTCCAGGTTTAGGAGTGTAACACAACATAAATAGGGGAAACATTGCAGAAGGTAACAAGTTCAGTCCCCAAGTTCAGTCCCCATCAACCCCAGGTACTACTGAAAGACTCACCTAAAACCCTGGAAAAGTGCTGCCAATCTGTGTCAAAAACGATGATCTTGATAGGCCGGCTATTATCCATTTCAGTATAACAGGATTTCTTAATGTACAATGTGACACAGTATTTACTGGCTCAGAATATACCATGGCAGATTAAGCGAAAAGAAATGAACATTTTACAATGGTCCACTCAAAGAGCCTATCCTATGGTTCCTTTTTTTTCATACCAAACCAAAACTATCACAATATGGTCCTTAATTCAGAGTTTTTAAAAAGATTAGACAAATTTGCAGTCCAGATCCAGGTGCCCTTGGAGAAAACTGTTTCTCTAGATCCATTTCAATACAGGTTTGGGCCTGCTTCTGGCACAGAAGCTGCTTTGATTGCCCTGTAGGGGCAATCTGTTGGGAGAGAGACAGGGGAAATGTGTCCCTGTTAATTCTCTCCAACCTTTTAGCAGCTTTCAATATCATCAACCGTGTCAGGAGTGGCTGTCCGAGTCAGGGATGGGTGGCACTTTGGGATGGTTGCGGTCCTATGTCAATGGTTTCCAACGGCTGATGCTTGGAGGTTGCTCTTTGGCCCCGAGGAGCCTTCAACAAAGGGCTTCCTAAGGTTCCCATTTACCGTATTTTTTGCCCTTTAGGACTCACTTTTTCCCCTCCAAAAATGAAGAGGAAATGTGTGTGCGTCTATGGGGCGAATGCAGGCTCCTTGGCTTCAGCGATAGCAACGAGAAGCCTAGGAAGACTGCGCTCCGGAGGCTTCGCGTTGCTTTCGCTGAAGCCAGAAGAGTCTGTGCTTTGAGGCTGGCGGTGGGGGAAAGCAGCGCAGGAGTCACACCGCCTTTAAAGAGAGCGCGGCTCTTGGGGGCTTTTCCCCAAGGAGGGGGAAGGGACGGTCTGGCCGAGTCCGTCCCTTCTCCCTCCTGTGGGCTTTTGCGGGAGATGGGGGAATTCCCCCACCTCCCGCAAAAGCAGGCAAAAGCCGCACGCTCTTTAAAGGATGCGCGGCTTGTGCTGGCTTTTCTAGGAGGTGGGGGAATTCCCCCACCTCCCGCAGAAGCCCGCAGAAGCCGTGCGCTGTTTAAAGGGGCTGCGCGGCTTCTGCTGGCTTTTCTAGGAATTCCCCCACCTCATAGAAAAGCCCGCAGGAGTCGCACAGCCTTTAAAGAGTGCGCCACTCTTGGGGGCTTTTCCCCGAGGAGGGAGAAGGGACTGCCTGGCCATTTCAGTCCCTTCTCCCTCCTGGTCGAAAAGCCCGCAGGAGTCGTGCGCGGCTCCTGTGGGCTTTTGCGGGAGGTGGGGGAATTCCGCCACCTCCCGCAAAGCGGAAGATGGTCTTGGGTAGCGCACAGGCTGCGTGCAGCCTGTCCGCTGCTCCCAGAGCTGCGGGGGGGGGAATCATATTTTTTCCTTGATTTCCCCCCCTGAAAACTAGGTGCGTCCTATGGGCCGGTGCGCCCTAAAGGGCGAAAAATACAGTATGCCCTAGGCTGTTTAACATCTACATGCTGAGTGAGGTCTTCTGCAGTTATGGGGTATGTTGTCAGCTATATGCTGATGACACACAGCTCTACTTCTCCTTCACATATGGAGTTGAGGCAGTGGATGTGCTAGACCCAGGGTTTGAAATTCCCCTTGTTCTAGGCACATTTTGTGACAGGGAATTTCGTTAGCGCAAACAGTTTCTGAGCTCTGGGCGCAGTACTATGCCAGAGATTTCAGATTAAAACTGCAGAGTGGAAGAAAAGAAGAACCTTTTTCTGCCTCCCTATTTCCAGCTATTCTCTGAAGACTGAAGAAGAGACCCTCTTAAGAATATTAGGGGGGTGGGCAAAGAAAGGACTAGACCATGTGAAAAATGAACATAATATTTTAGCTGCAGTTCATTCATTTTCAGCTTTGTATTCTTATTATAAAAAAGTGTGCCTAGACATTCTGTTGTTGTACCCATAACCTAATTTTAAGGTGCTGTTTAGCTCCTAGCTTTCATATCTGTTTCTAACATTGGCTGGACCACTGCCTTGGTAATGGACTGGGTGAGAGCCAACAAACTGAAGCTCAATCCATACTGAGGCACTGTTAGTGGATGGTTCCCTGGACCATCAAAACCAATCCTGGCCCAGTTGCACTGGCTGCCATTTAGTGTTTGGGTCCTGTTCAAAGTGTCAGTTTTGACCTATAAAGCTCTAATTAGCTCCAGCCTACAACACCTCAAGGACTGTCTCTTTCCATATGAACCAATCAAGACCCTGCAATCATCATCTGAGGCCTTTCTGTGTGTGCCTTCTCCACAAGAGGTCTGGAGGGTGGCAACATGAGAACGGATCTTTTCTGTGGTGGCTCCCCATTTGTGGAATGCTCTCACCAAGGAGGCTTGCCTGGGACATTTGTTACATATCTTTAGGTGTCAAGCAAAAACAACACTCTTCTCCTCTGCCTTTGGTTAATTAAACAATCTATGGCCTTTTATACTGTGTATGGGAGGGGGGTATGCAGCTATGTTATGTATTTTTATGTTTTTATATTGTAAACCGATCCTTGGATGAAGGGTGGTATAGAAATGTAGTAATTTAATAATAAATAAATATATAAATATCGGCTCTGAATAGCAGTTGCTGGAGAGTAAGAAAGAGGGCTGTTGCTCAGTATTAGAAACTCATATATATAAGCTAGGTGCCAAACGGCACCTTAACCCAAGGTTACAGTCACCAAAGCAGATGTCTAGTTGCCATTTTGGGGCAAGGTGGCTCTGAAGTCTTATTTTTCATAAGTCAAGATGAAATATTGTTTAACGAAGAATGGATACATGGATTATCATAAATATTGTAAACAACAAAATACGTTAGCAGGATTAATTTAAAATCAAGCAGTTTAAAGGTGATTTTGGAAGAAATAGAGTAATAAACAAAAGAAGTTAAGGGGGATATACAGTCTTTAAAATGTTTTTATAAGAAACCAAGGAAGGGGAGAAGAGAAATCAAAATAAGTATGTATGTAATTTATTATGATTACTGTTAAATTGAAAAATGAAATTTATTTTTAAAAAATAAGCATTTTTCAAATGATTGATTGACTGTGATTGATCATTAGTTAAACATCTGGCTAGTTCAGATGACAACCATGAGCTAGGTTAAGAACTTTGAGAACTTTAAAAAGGCAGACCTTCTGATTAGCATATTACACTTCAAGTCCATAATGTAAGTCGGTGCTACATCAGAGCACATTGCTACACACTGACCTGTTTGCACTCAAACGTTAAAATGCAGTTTAAAATAAACAATGGTTTAATATGCTATGATACATGCTGCTCAATAGTGTTCAATTCCCTCCTCCCTATACCACATCAGAGAGGAAACAAACCAGCAGCTTTGCGTCACATGCAAACCAGTGCTTGCAGTTTGTTTGGAGAGAAACAAACTACAAGAGCTGGTCCACGCATATCGCAAAGCCCAGGAGAGGCAAATCCAACACTACTGAGCAGTATGCACCAGCTTGCTATTCATATATTCATAAACCATAGTTTGCTTTAAACTAAAAGTCTCGTACCCAGCATTGCTCGGGAATTCTTTTGACTGGCTCAGTCCACCATCTTAATTCAAAATGGTGTCCAACTGTATCCAAAAACAAAAAACCTGCTTCTTGTGCTCAGAAGTTATCATGCAGAATTTTGTTACGATATCTTAAGAGTTGCCCAATTGCACAACAAACAGGGGAAAAACTTTCCATAATACACTTGTACCTTGGTTCTCGAACACCTTGGTACTCATAAGTTTTGGCTCCCAAACGCTGAAAACCCGGAAGTACCGTAAGTTTTCGAACCTTTTTTCAGAAGCCGAACATCCAACACGGCTTCTGCTTGAGTGCAGGAAGCTTCTGCAGCCAATCGGAAACCGTGCCTTGGTTTTCGAACGTTTCAGAAGTTGAATGGACTTCCAGAATGGATTACGTTCGAGAACCAAGGTACAACTGTATATAGTTTATATTGTCTCTAATCTTCTGAGCCACAAAGCAGGCAGGAGCAAAGCACAGGACAATGCTAGAAGGAATGGAGGCTTGGCTACAGCAAAGCCAGGACCATGAGGCCTTCCCACACTGGTTCATCCGTTCCACAAACTCCTGCTTTCTGTGGCACTTGTGGCATCTATTCTGCAGGCAGACCAAACCATCCATGATGTGCATTATGGGTAAGGGCTTTCCACAATACAGTTCGGTCTCTGAAAAGCTATTATTTGCACACAACCAGAGAAAAACTAAATTTAGGAAGGCTGAAGTCTTTTTTTTTTTTTTTTTTTCATTTTAGAAATTTTATTAATTTCCCATTTTTTAAACAGTATATCCATATTTCAATATATCTCATACATTTTGAACTTCCTTCAGCGTCATTGACATTCATTCGTATTTATATCTTTAAAACACATTCCATTCTTTCATATTGCCATTCGTTCCTTCCTTCATACATTATTTCTGTTAAACAATACTTATTAATTCTTTACAGTGCCTCTTTAAATCCCACTAGCGTTGTATTTACAAAACATTTATTCTCCAGATAACCCACAAATTTCCCCCGTCCTCAATAAACTTTTGATCCTTAGTATATCTGATTTTCCCTGTTAATTTATCCAGCTCAGCGTATTCTGTCAGTTTTACTCTCCACTCTGCTATCGTTGGGATTTCTTCCTGCTTCCACTTCTGAGCTATCACGATTCTGGCTGCCGTTACCGCATACTGGAAAAGTTTGCAATCCTTCCTTTTGATATCCTTTCCCACAATACCTAATAAAAAGGCTTCTGGCTTTTTTACAAAAGTGTAACTTAACATCTTTTTCATTTCGTTGTAAATTTCATCCCAGAAGCTTTTAACTTTCTTACATTCCCACCATTGATGATAGAAAGTCCCTTCCTTTTGTTTACATTTCCAGCATTTGTTATCTGCCTTATACATCTTAGCCAGTTTTACAGGTGTCATATACCACCTGTAAAGCATCTTCATCACATTTTCTCTCAGTAACGTGCATGCCGTAAATTTTATGTTCACTCTCCATAACTTTTCCCAATCCTCTAATTGAATGTTATAACCGAAATCCCTTGCCCATTGTATCATGACCGATTTTACTTCCTCATCCTTCGTGTTCCACTCTAACAATATTTTATACATTTTTGACAGGTTTTTATATTCATTGTTTATTATCTCTTTTTGAAATTCCGATTCCTTTTCCTCGTAACCCCTTTCCTTCACCTCTTCTTTAAACATTTCATTTATCTGAAAATAATGCAGCCAGTCATATGTAAATACTTTAACCTGATCGTATGATTTTACTTTCCACTTCCCTCCTTCATTAGTAACCATTTCTCCATACTTTCCCCACTTTTCTCTCATATTAACTTTCTTTACACTTATTATCTCCAACGGAGATAGCCAATGTGGGGTTTTCGGTTCTAATATATTTTTATATCTATCCCAGACCTCTATTAATGGACCTTTAAAGATGTGGCTGCAGAATTCTTTATGTACTCTCTTCTTATCCCTCCATAGATACGCATGCCACCCAAATCTATTATTGTGCCCTTCCAAATCTAGTAGTTCTTTATTCTCCAGCTTTACCCATTCTTTTATCCAACACAGACATGCTGCTTCGTAATACAGTCTCATGTCTGGTAGGGCGAAGCCCCCTCTTTCTGTTACATCTGTTAATAACTTAAACTTAATTCTAGGTTTCTTTCCTTCCCAGATATATCTAGAGATCACCTTTTGCCATTCTTTAAAAAATTTTGTACCTTTTAATATGGGAATCGTTTGAAATAAAAATAACAACTTTGGGAGCACCATCATTTTGACCATAGATATTCTTCCCCAGAATGATAATTTCATCCTGGCCCAGACCTCCAGATCTTTTTTAATTCCATTCCAAACCGGGGTGTAATTATTTTGGTATAAATCGATGTTTTTGTTGGTAAGCCAGAGTCCCAAATATTTAACCTTTTTTAACAACCTCAATTTCGGTTCGTTGCTGTACTAATTCAATCTTATCCTGATCTAAGTTTTTAACAATCATTTTTGTCTTACTCTTATTCAATTTAAATCCTGCTAACTTCCCAAATTTCTCCATCTCTTCCAAGATCTCCCTTATACTCTCTATAGGTTCTTCCACTGTTAAGACCACATCGTCTGCGTAGGCTTTAACTTTATACTCATTTAAACCTAATGTTACCCCTTTAATTTGTTTATTTTGTCTTATTGCATTTAGTAAGACTTCCAAAACCACAATAAAAAGCAACGGCGAAAGCGGACATCCCTGTCTTGTTCCTTTGGATATTTTTATATCTTCAGTGATGATATTATTAATTATCAGTCTCGCCTTCTGTTCTGTGTAAATTGCCTTTATGCCATTTAGAAACTCTTGGCCCACCTCCATAATTTCCAAATTTTTTAACATGAAATCCCAGACTACATTATCGAAGGCTTTCTCCGCATCTACGAAGATTAAACTGGCAGGTTTATCACATCTATCAGAAAGATATTCAATTAGATTAACTATACTTCTTGTGTTATTTCTTATTTGCCTGCCCGGTAAAAAACCCGCTTGGTCTTCATGTATAATTTTTGTTAGTATCTTTTTTAGTCTTTTGGCTAGGATTCCAGCAAAGATCTTATAGTCCGTATTTAATAAAGAGATAGGTCTGTAATTCTTAACTTGGGTTAGATCCGAGTCTTGCTTTGGAATTATTGTGATAAATGCCTCCTTCCATGTGTCTGGGATATCTCTTTCCTTTAAGATGTTATTCATCACCTCAATTAACGGAGTCATCAATGTATCTTTCATTTCTTTATAATAGCTCGATGTAAACCCATCTGGGCCCGGTGCTTAGGAAGGCTGAAGTCTTAGTATGTAACAACACCAACAACAAAGTAAAATGAATTATTAAAAAGGGAAGGGCCTTTTGATATTTCTAGCTTTGAAACCACAAACTTTACATAGATAGTGCCACTGAAAATGTATTATTTTACAATAAATCAGCAACAGGAAACCTCTTCCACCATGCCTCCCCATACTGTTTGGGTGAAGTCACACCCACCTGTCCATCACCCACTGTCATATGCAGAACAGGTAAAACTGTAGCAAAATTCAAGCTGGGGATTCAAAGCAAGAGCCAAAAACACACTCCCAATTTCCCCTTTTCAATTTGGCACCTTACCATGTCATGCTGCTTTCAGCAGCAACTGGATACGCTCAGGAGTCCCAATTGCCTCTGGAGGCAGCACAGCCCCCCCTCCCTCTGCCGAACCAACCTCACAGGGTTGCTGGCGGGGCGGATAAGTGGGGGGAAGGCGGGACAGAGCTGAGGCGAGGGGGAAGCTGCACAAGGACCCCGAGGTGCATTTCACAGAGCCATTAAGACAATATGGATGGGTTCTCATCGGAACAAGCCGAGGACCATGAGGCGCCAGACCCAGAGGCCCCCCGGGAGAGCCGGGGCCCGGCCGCCCTCTTCTCCGCCCGAGGCCCCCAGGCAAAGGCGCCCACTTGGGGGACATCGCAGCCCGCGGGAGCGAGCGCCGCCGGGACCCCGCGCGGCCCCCCCTTGGAGAGGGCCGGAAGGCGGCACGGCGGGGCGGGAGCGGAGGGAGGGGGTCACGGGGCGGAGGAAGACCCTCTCGAGGGGAGCCTGGCGGGAGGCGCCCCCGAGGCCCGCTCGCCCCTCCCGCGCCGCCGCCGGCTGCTGCAACCCGACAGCCCTCGCCCCCCCACTGACCTGTCGCTGAGGGGCGGGCGGGCGGGCGGGGGGGCTCCCCTGGCGAGACTGCTGCCCCGTCACCCCCACTCGGCCTCCGCCATCCTTCTCTCCGCCCTCTCCTCACACGCAGGCCGCCTTGCCCCGCCCCTTCCGCGTATCCTTCCGCGAGGGAGCTCTCCCCTCCCCCCCCACAATTCATTGTCCGGTGACATCGGAGACGCTCTCCCCACCCCTTTATAACCTCCTTCGAGAAACAAACCTCCGAAAAAGCCTTAGCTGCTTTCTTGTAATAAAGGCAGTAGCGGAACTATTTTTTGAAAGCGGAAGAATTACACATACGCGAGTTCGCACACCAACTCCGAAAAAACCTACCCACAGGGCGGGTTAGCAGCAATGCATGCTGGGGATCGTAGTCTCGCCCTTGGGCGAGCGGGACCCTCTTTTTGTCCCTTCCAGGGAAAGCGGCGCGTCGGCGTTGCTAACGGGACGGAGAAACCTAGGCGGGGAGCCACGCCCCTTTCTTCCCCCTCCGCCCGGGCGCGCGCGCGGGGAGGCGGTTGCTGCCGCGGGGACGCGCGAGCGAGGGGCGGGGCCTGCGAGGGAGGCCGGCAGTTTGAGTTGCGAGGCGAGGAGTCGCGGGCGGCGCGTGAGGCGAGCGGGGCGCCCGGAGGGGAGAAGGGAGGCAGCCCGACCGACCGCCGCCCAGGTAACTTTCCTCCCTTGTTTCTATCCGGCGGCGCGTGCCCGAGAGTTCTCCGCCTCAGGCGGGACGCGAACCGGGGCGAGAGGGGGCCGGGGGGGGACGCCGGAGGCCGCTTGGCGCCCGCGCCGCCTCCCCTCCCCGCGGGGCGGGGTCGCCTCCGCTTCCTGGCGGGGGGGGGAGGCCCCTTGGACGCCCCCGAAGCAGCGGAGAAGTTTCTCCGCGAGAAGTTTCGGGCCGGCGCGTCTCGCCCCCTTGGCCTCGAGAAGGGGAACTTTCCCTGGCCTGTCCCGCCGGCAGCTCCGTGGGGCTCGGGCGCCTTGCCGCCTGCCTTGCCCGCCCTGAAAGCGCAGTCCGTGAGGGGAGGCATCCGCGCGGCGGGTTTCCTGGCCGGGAGACTCGGGGGGAGAAGGGGCTGGCAGACGGGCGCCGGGGTTCCGGGACCCTCTTGCCTCTCTCGCGCAGGGAAAGGCTCGTCCTGGGCAGGAGGGCGACAGGGCGCCTCGCCCCCGGGCACGGGCCGGCTCCTTCATGCCCCCGCTGTGCCGCACCTCTGGGATCCGGGGCCCGGCTGCTTCGGTCCTGCTGCTGCTGCCGCCGCCGCCGCTGCCTTAGTGGGCTGATGCCATGAAATTTAAGGGGCCGGAAGATCTGCAGATCTGTAAGCGGATCAGGGCTTCATTCCCATAAGGGAAATTCCACATAGGAAACTGACACATTGTTTCAGAACCACATCCCCCTAGTCATTGTATTTCTGGCCCATAGCTCACAAAATAGGAATATGTTCCAAAATATATTGATTATTTTAGGCTTTTGTATGTTTTTCTTCCTTCCCCACACCCATTTCTTTTGCACTTGGACAGCTTGTGGAGGACAGGGCTAAGAACTTGATTACAGTATGTAAATGGTTAGCATTCAACATAATTGTGTTTCTGAATGGCTTTTTGAGCACCTTAACACACAGGCTGCTGTTATATGGAGGTCATCTATCAGAATTAGAAATGGAAAAATATGGGGCAGTTGATTGTACAGATCTTTCATTCTCTTATCTGCATGACTGGTGCTTAAAAATTATGTGTTTGCTTCTAAAAATTTGGAACTTTACTTCAGCCTGACAGCATATGGACAGTTTTACAGAAATGTGAAGTTTCTTCTTTTATCCCAAGTTGATTAAGTGCCTTCTGTCACACTTGCTAAAGCTGTTGCTGTGCGGTTACGTCAAATCTTTCCTCAGACATGAATCCACTGTGCGGCAAGTCACTATCTGCCTCAGGCTCCCCATTTTTAATATAGGCATAGTGGTAGTAGTAGCCCATTGTAACAATGAGGGAAATGCAAATCACTTTGAGCATGGGGGAAAAACATTAAATACTTTTTTATTCCTTAATCTTATGAATTATTAGAACTGTGAATGTGCTTAATGAACGATATATATTGAAAGAGAGCAATATCTTCTGGCTTATCATCAGGTTTCCTTACCCCTCCTCTCCCCCCCCCCCCAGCAAGGTCTTCTGTTGTGCTTTCCAGGATCAAGACTACCTTCCAAAGTATGAAATCCACAAGGTCATGTACATAATCATTGTTCTTGGCTTTTCAAGGCTATGTTAACTACTTATACAAAGTAAGAGTTTAGCTCTTTGCTTGATAAGAGTTTTCCGGTATTGAGAATCCATCCAGCTTTTGTTAGATTCTTTTAAAGTCATGGAGGCTGGTCCATTGGGTCAAATGGGATGCTACCCAACCAACCTCAGTCTGCAGTCGGCCAGTTCTCACCTCCCTCCCTTCTTTCTTACAACCAGTTTAGAGAGTGGCATTGGCTGTAAGCTTCCTTCTCCTTAGTCTTAGTCTCAGCCTTACCTTCACTGAAATGAGGGGAGGTTCTGACTGTCATTAGCTTTGACTTCACGTGCTGTTGGCCTTCCTCCCTACCAGTCCAATGGGCACTAGTCCCCACTGTTTAAGATTCCCTAGCCAAGAGAACAAAAAGTATTGCAATAAAGCAGGCTTCCTCAAACTCGGCCCTCCAGATGTTTTTGGCCTACAGCTCCCATGATCCCTAGCTAGCAGGACCAGTGGTCAGGGATGATGGGAATTGAAGTCTCAGAACATCTGGAGGGCCGAGGTTGAGGAAGCCTGCAATAAAGGAAAGCAGGAGCAATGTGTCTTATGTAGACTTGCATACAGAAGCCAGGAAGGCCAAGTAGCTAGGGCCATCAGCTCCTTAAATCAGGCTGGGAATACTATACCATTGGTTTCTGTTATATTAACAGAATATTAACAGAAATATTAAGCTGTGTAAACAGTCTTTGGTACCTTGGTGGAAACTCAGGCTGGGTGATACCTGGTTTTCAACATCGCGATATGTCACCAGGTATATCACAAACTAAACATTGCAATTTAGTGATATATTGTGATGTCTGAAACATGGAACGGGTGGGGAGGGTGGAGAGTGGGCGAAGGAGCAGTCATTGAAGATTGCACAGGGTGTGTGTATGGAGATTGGACGAAGGAGCAGTCAAGGAAATTAATAGGTATGTGCTGTGTGCACTGCAGATTCCTTCTCTTGGAGGCAGACAAACCCTCACATTTGGTGGGCGAACTCCTTCCACTCCTCTCTGGAAGTAGAAAGAGGAGGCGGCCCAGCCTTGATTCCTACATTGGGTAGAGACACCATGGTTATGGGGAGGCGCTGAGGCTGGGAGTGGGGCTCTTCTGCCATAGGAAGGGAAAGTGAGCTGAAAGGACAGCCAGCCAGCCGCCTGCCAGAGAGCTCATACTTATAGCACCCCTTGGAGTTTTGAAGGCTGTGCTTTGCAATATACTGCCGGTTCCGTTTTTTTGAAGTGGTTCATGTGATGTGGTCTACAAGCTGGTGTTGGATGATCGATACATCGGTCAGATCTAGCGGAAAGGTGAAATATAAATGCAGGAAATAAATAATTGGGGAAGAGCAAGAACTAGAGATGACAGACGCTCTAGTAGATATACTCTTTCATGTAGATCCCTCTTTTTTTGCAGCATGCTTTTATCTCCTCACAGTTGTAGCAATTTGATTTTTGAGTGGTCTTACAGGATTTTACTTATACGTGGGAAAGTGTGTTTAAACCACAGATTAAAAGTAAATTCTGGTTATATAAACCAGGAGCTACTTTTATTTATTTATTTTAATCTAGAAGCTTTTCCTGTGCCCATTTTACAAATGAAATGTGGATTGAAGCATGTGAGAGGCTGAATTTTTTGCATTGGTAGATTTACTTTCCCAACAATGCTAGAATTTTTAATAGTAAAATAGCAGCTGATAAGTTGTACAGATCAGGATACTTCCTGGCAAAAGTATGATCTCCATTCTGTTTCAGGAAAACCTCATTTGCTCTCTGAAACACAGAAATACGTGAGAAATTATTTCTCTACCCAGTTGTTATTTCCATGAGTAGTCTGCTATTGTATGAAAATCCAAAGATAAAGATAATGTCATTTACTGACTTCCCAACTAAACTTTTTATCCTTATTCATATGAGTTGTACCTGACTTTCAATGGCAGATAAAACACATTTCTGAAATATTAGGTGCATAATATTAATCAGTCACATGATGATAGATTTTGTTTTGAAGCCTGCTCATATTTGAAGTGTCCTTTAAGTCTTAAGGACATCTGCAACTAGAAAGTAAGTTTTGTTGGTTAGGTTAATTTCAGAGTAGGGAGTTCATAGCTCAATAGTAAACTTGCACTGGCTTGAGCCCACAGCTTCACTTGTATATCTGGTACTGAAATGTGTCTTGTTGGATTGGGACAGTTATACCCTGATAATCTTGGTCACCCTCCTCTATACAGCTTGTCAATATTCTTCCACCAGATTACCATTATGCCTGCTATATCTCTGCTCTTTAAAATCAAATACTTCAGCTCACCCATAAAGTAACTCAGCTCAGTCCGGAGAGCCCAGTTAGGCTGCTTGATGTTTGCCCGCTCCCTCCCTCCGCAGCCCAGATGCCAGCCTGGGGAGCCTGAGACAAGAGTGGGGCTAACTTTGCCTGTCAGCCAGCACCTTCATTTCTTTCTCTGGCCACACAAGTGCCAGCAGGCTGCCACCTTCCCTCCCTCCCTGTGCAATTGCTGAGCAGATTGAAACTGCCTCCCATGCCTTGCGTAGTGCTCCAGAGAGTGGCTTCCAGTAGCTATCGCTTGTGTGGTGAGAGGCTATCTTTGAGGCTAGCCGCAGCTGGCGGCTCCAGGGAGGCCATTGGAGCCCCGGGGCTCTACGTTTCTGTGCACGGTGCCATGCCATGTGGTGCCCCGGCTGATGCACTCTGCCCGGGGCAGCGCTGCCTACCCAGCCTCGCCTGGAAGCGGCAGAAGCTGCGCACAATTATGCTGATCATCTGCATGGCCAACAACTGCCTTCTTCCCACCTTCTTTCCTCCTTTATAAGGATATCACAAGGTTTAAAAAGGTAAAGGTACCCCTGCCCGTACGGGCCAGTCTTTGCCAGACTCTAGGGTTGTGCGCTCATCTCACTGTATAGGCCGGGAGCCAGCGCTGTCCGCAGACACTTCCGGGTCATGTGGCCAGCGTGACAAGCTGCATCTGGCGAGCCAGCACAGCACACGGAATGCCGTTTACCTTCCCACTGGTAAGCGGTCCCTATTTATCTACTTGCACCCGGGGGTGCTTTCGAACTGCTAGGTTGGCAGGCGCTGGGACCAAACGACGGGAGCGCACCCCGCCGCGGGGATTCGAACCGCCGACCATGCGATCGGCAAGTCCTAGGTGCTGAGGTTTTACCCACAGCGCCACCCACGTCCCATATCACAAGGTTTAGCTGGCTATATATTAACAATGTTGGAAAGCAGATATCAGCCATCCCTAGTCAAAAGTCGCCCAACATACTGAATCCACCCCAATCTAGAGGATTTATTGCAGTCCCCTCCATCTTTTGTAACATACTGCTTTTATAGTTGCAGTGTCCACTCTTAATATCATACAAGTAATTTGGAATAATGATGTAAAAGTTAAACCTCACATACAGTGGTGCCTCGCAAGACGAAATTAATTCGTTCCGCGAGTTTTTTCGTCTTGTGGTTTTTTTCGTCTTGCGAAGCACGGTGTCGGAAAAGTTTTGGAAAAGCTTCAAAAATCACCAAAGTCTTCAAAAATCACCAAAGCTTCAAAAATCACCAAAGTCTTCAAAAACCTCAAAAAAGGCTACCACACAAAAGTCAAGTAGCAACTGTATTAACGGTTTTAAGAAAAAGGAAACAAACTTGCAAGACGTTTCCGTCTTGCGAAGCAAGCCCATAGGGAAAATCGTCTTGCGAAGCAACTCAAAAAACCAAAAACCCTTTCGTTTTGCAAGTTTTCCGTCTTGCGAGGCATTCGTCTTGCGAGGTACCACTGTATATCCTTTGTTTTTACTCTGTTGTGAACATCTCATGTAGCTTCTCTCTTTTTTACAGTGGTACTTCGGGTTAAGAACTTAATTTGTTCTGGAGGTCCGTTCTTAACCTGAAACTGTTCTTAACCTGAGGTACCACTTTAGCTAATGGGGCCTGCCGCTCCGCTGCTGCCACACAATTTCTATTCTCATCCTGAAGCAAAGTTCTTAACCCGAGGTACTATTTCTGGGTTAGCGGAGTCTGTAACCTGAAGCATCTGTAACCCGAGATACCATTGTATTTTCTTTATAGCTGGCTGATGTGTTGTTGTCTGAAACTAAGAGCGATAGGAGGAGGTAATAATGATAACTTAAAAGCTTTCACGATTGCAAAATGAAAAGGAATTGTCTACATCATGGGTAGGCAAACTAAGGCCCAGGGGACAGATCTGGCCCAATCACCTTCTAAATCCGGCCTGCGGATGGTCCAGAAATCAGTGTGTTTTTACATGTGTAGAATGTGTCATTTTATTTAAAATGCATCTCTGGGTTATTTGTGGGGCATAGGAATTTGTTCATTTTCCCCAAAATATATAGTCCGCTCCCCCCCCCAAGGTCTGAGGGACACCTGCTGAAAAAGTTTGCTGACCCCTGGTCTACATTATTTAACTATAACTACCAATGAAATGGGAAACATAGTTGTGTAGAATATGATAGAGGAACAGCTAGCTGTGGTTTCTTTATTGGGTTTTGTATCAGTTATAACAAACATGGAGGGAAATGCTCACCAATGTCAATTTGTGCAAAACACTGTTGCCTTAGTGCTGATTATGCAGGTCAACACTACAGTAACCTAATCCAGTGAAATTAGCAAAGAAATGACAGACTTCCTTAAAACCAGATTCTAACAAAAATGTGGATGGAAAACCTTTCATAACAAAGAATGGTTTGGCATTCAGGATGAAGTAAGTTGTTGCTAATTAAAAGGTTAGTACATATTCTTATAGATGGTAAATCACAGTGTACATTGAAAAGTCATACATCGTACCAGTGACACAGTAGTGTCTATGCAATATTAAGGCACTAATGGGAAGAAATAGTCATTTTCTTTTTGCTTAATACATATTCAGCAATATCTTACAAGCTAAGAAAATATTTTTAAAGGATATGACTGTATGTGTTTTGTAAGGTATTATCCGCCACTCTTAGATACAGTAGGGAAATGGAATATTTATATACAGAGATGGGAAACATCATCTGATCCTGCCACAGTGACCCATACCTTAGTTACCTGGTATTTGGACGGCTTAGTGTACTCTATGTGAAAAGTTCAGAGACTTCAGCTGGCTTACAGAGCTGCAGCCACTGTTGACAAGGGCTGATTCTATGGAGTAGAGGTCTCTTGCTACAGCAGCTCCACTGGTCTGTTTCCAGGCACAATTCAAACTGCTGATTATGACCTATACAGCTTAGGCCCAGGGTATCTGAAGGACTCTGTGCTTCCCTATGAATTCGCCCAGGCTCTGAGATCTTTGGGGAACCACCTCTCAGTCCTGCCATTTTCACAGGCACGCTTGGTTTAGATGTGGGGAGTGCATTCTTGGTGGCTGCTCGCAAACACTGGAACTCCCTTCCTAAAGTAGCTAGATTGACTCCCTCCTTGAAGTGAGCTTTCCTATCAGCAAGCCTTTAATGTAAAATGCAAGTAAAATCCTACCTTCAAAACCATCAGAACAGATTGCAGGAAACATAAAGCATTACATTTTCTGTACTTCATCTACATGTGTAGCTTTACAAATAATAAATACTATTTGTGCCTGTTTTTATGGTGTGATGGCCAGAATTTTATAAATACTGCGTCTGTGTATCTTTTAAGCTTTGAGTGTTTTTCCTACTATGAGGACTTAAGGTGCACCACCATATGGAATGTTGTTCTCTAGCATTTAAAGTACCTGTTCTTACCCTTAGATACTGTTGGTTACAGTTGCCATGCAAAATGTTCTGCAACAGCTTAAGTGGTTTAAGGTGAAAATGCCAAACAATTAGATGCAGACTCTCCACCCTTAAATGATCTTTAGTTAAGGTAAGTTTGTACTGCATCCATGTCAGTGTGGTTGGGTTTGTTCTGTTTTATATAACACCAGACATAATTTGATCATTTCTCTGGTGCTGTTTTCATCAAAGACATGGATGCTTAGTTGTCTTTCTTATTAGTGTTGGTATTTGCATGGCAGTGAATCAAATAATATATTGCAAAATGCAGTTGATGGTGTAATTGTGAAACAGCAAGATTTATGTATTTATTCCCTCTTAATTTTGCAATATGGTAGTGCTGCATTTTTCTTTGTGTTTTATAAGATGGGTTTTGCTGGCTTTCGTTGATTAAAATGATACAAATGTCATTGCAGAATAACAGGTATGACAAGAATTGATGCTAATTAGACTAACTAGGGAAACACTGTAGTGAAGTGTGTTTCTGCAGATAAACAGAAAAAGATCTATGGTCAGAATATCCTGTATTTTATGTGCTGGTTGTACATTGAAACAGTGTAGGTCTGTTGCTGAATAACTACCATCACATCTCTTTCTCAGATACTTTAGCCAGTATAGAAATGTACAGCCATGATAAAGCATTGAGATGTTAATATTACAACAACAAATAAAAAAAAGAAAAATGCAATGTAGCTTCATTTTAAAATAAGGGAACAATGTGTTACATTGAAAATCAGAAAACTAATTTCAATGCTATCTTTCTCTGCCTTAAATTCTGCAGTGGGCATCTTTACAGATATCATGTCTACGTGTAAAGTATATGATACATAGATACATAATAAGGCATTCAACAAAAATATGTTGAGTACTGCAAGAAGTACATATAATTCATGTTATGAAGTTATATTCTTCCCACTATGGGATAGTTGAATTGGGGTATTATAATTTCACCAATATGTCACTGGTATGTTGCAATTTGCCTTTTTATTTAGATTAAATTGCTAGCACAAAGGGGGGGGAAACTATTAGAAAATAAAACAGTGGAGCTGATGGTAGGGGAGCAGAGGCAGCACAAAATCGAATGGCTGAGTCATGGATGAATGATTTATTGTGCTACTGTAATGATTAGAAATAAGTATTGACAGATAAGCAGCAGCCTGCACTTCTCAAAGTTACATAACAGTTGTATTTTTAGGCATTCAAATTAGAAATAGTGTACATGATGAAGTTCTATGTGATGTGATTAAATGCAACTTTTTCATGGTGGTAGGGTAATAGCATTATTTTTAACGAAAGCTAATATCAAATTTTTCAATGTCAGTATCTTAAAACAAGGTCCAAAACTGCAGTTGGGGAATACCTTGGTTAGACTTGCATTGAAGGGAGCTGGACAAGATAAAATTTGGTAGAGCCTTCCAACTCTACAATTCTATTTTTCTATGACTGATCAAAATGTCTCCAAATAGTGGCAAGCTTTCAAGTTCTTCAGAACATTACATTAGGGCTGGGCGATATATAGTCCAAAACTACTTTGAAGTTCATTTTGTGATATCACTTTCATATTTTTTTACCTGGCAATATATTGCAAATCATGGTTGGGTGTGCGCACTATGCAAAAAGCACAACGTGGGAAAAACTGCGAAGCCAGCCAATGCCTCTACATAGCTCCATCCTTATTCCAGCCATTGTGATATATCAGTATATTGTTCAACTGATCAAACCCCTACTGGCAAATCTGCTGGGAAAATCTGAAGCCTCCCATATTAAATATCTTTTGGATGACAGGTCTAGTGATATTACACTGGCCGTGGCAAAGTTTCTTTCGGAAGTCAAAAGAAACAAACATCATCAAGCTTGAGACAAAACAAAATGACCACCTCGGTTTCTCTCTCTGTATTAACTGTATTTTGTTCTGAAATTGTACTATGCGTCTTTGGACTGCAATAAAGAGTTTTTTAAAAGAATATTGTGATGTTTAGCCCACCACAAGATCTGAGGGGCAGTGAACCGGTCCTCTCCTAAAAAAGTCTGCTGACCCCTAGACTAGAGGACCCTTAGGGTCGCTTACAACTCTACAATTCTATTATTCTACGCTGCACAACATAGTAAGAGCCTGCTGGATCAGGCCAATCACCCATCTAGTGAAGCATCCTCAGTGGGAACCCCACAAGCAGGATTCAAGCACTCTCCCCTCCAGTGGTTTCCACTCTGAGTTTGTGTGGTGCCCCGCAAGACGAATGCCTCGCAAGACAAAAAACTCGCTAGACGAAAGGGTTTTGCATTTTTTGAGTCGTTCCACAAGACGAATTTCCCTATGGGCTTGCTTCGCAAGACGAAACGTCTTGCAAGTTCTTGCGAGTTTGTTTCCTTTTTCTTAAAGCCGCTAAGCCGTTAATAGCCGCTACGCCGCTAATAGCCGTGCTTCGCAAGACAAAAAAAGCAAGACGAAGAGACTCGCGGAACGGATTAATTTCGTCTTGCGAGGCACCACTGTACAGTGGTACCTCAGGTTACGAACACCTCGGGTTACAGAATCCGCTAACCCAGAAGTAGTACCTTGGGTTAAGAACTTTGCCCCAGGATGAGAACAGAAATCGCGTGGTGGCGGCAGCGGGAGACCCCATTAGCTAAAGTTGGTACCTCAGGTTAAGAACGGTTTCAGGTTAAGAACGGACCTCCGTAATGAATTAAGTTCGTAACCGGAGGTGCCACTGTAAATACAAGGCTGTTTTCCTGTTTTCATGTTAACAGTATAACATGGCTTAGCATTGCCTGTGAACGTATCCCTTTATGTTGCTAGTCCTACACTCTGTCCTTTATTGCCTTTAGAGAATAATTTGGTCTTTGACTGGCCTGGGATATCACTGATGCATGTACGCATGCTGTGTTCTTGGAAGTAAAGAACCTACATTTGCAATACCTGAAATACTGGCTTCTGCTTGTCTACAGGCATGTGAACTCTTGTACTGAGGTACCCAAATTTGGTACCTTGGGGGGGGGGGTTTAGCATGCGAGATATGGCAGTAATTTAAATTTGTGCGGAATGAGAGAGTATTGGACAGTTTATGAGATGTGATAAAAGATTGCATAATATTTTAAAGAAATAAATAGACTGACTAACTTGATACTGTTTTGCCCATTGTTGACCTAATTAGCTTACATTGGGTCATTGGTGATGTTGTTACCTGAAGGCTTTATCTAAAAACATTTGATCATCCTTCCCCCCCCCTTTTTTCTTTTTCAAAATCAATCAATATTGCATAGTGCTCTGTCTCTCCAGCCTATAAAATAGGCCTTAAGTATCTATTTATATGTTCAGATCAGTGATTGTGCACAGTGTCAGGACCAATGAACTGTGAAATCAATTATTAAATCTTATTGACACTGCCTGGAAGCTGTTTTGTTGAGAGCATTAGAAATATTAAGTAAATAAAACTTCAGTCATGCTTTTAATATTAAGGTTAATAAACTACCATTGAAGGAGTGGCAATACGGTAGAACCTCTACTTATGTCCCGTTCTACTTAGGCTCGTTCCAGTCGCGTCCGCAGCAAACCAGGAAGTAAACACCAGGTTTGCCACGATACACACAGAAGCGGCTGCCACGGTCTGCACATGCGCAGAAGCGGGCTGCCTCCAAATGCGCCTGTGCACAACAGCGCTTCTACCAGCGACCCGTTCCACTGTGTATTGTTTTAGAATACTTGTGCTGAGGCATCATTCGCTTTCTTCTATCATTCATTTCTAATGAAGTGGACTGTGGTACACAAAAGCTTATGCCATAATAAATTTGTTAGTATTTCAGATGCCACTAGACTCTATTTTTGATGCAACAGATTAATATGGTTACGCCTGTGTAATTTCTATCTCATTTAAACCTCTACTGCCTTATGGAATACCTTTGGGAGAAGAAAATGATAAAGAGTAAACCCTGAACAAATCCAGAGTGGAGTTCCTAAGGCAGTTGGATAGCACCATGTATGCTTCCTTCCTGCAACTCCTGCAGCCAAGCTGGTGCCCAACATCTTGCTCTGCTTCCTTTTGGACCCCATCAGTGAGGCTGAGAGGGGAGTCTTGTCGTCTGGGCAGCCCAGGACCTCCAGACACACTGCCCAGGTTTGCATCCTGGAGAGGTTACCTTGGTGCTGCTAATGCAGCAGTTTGATTTCTCTCCTGGACACTCACTCCACAGTCTCTCAAGACAGATGGATGCTAACCAACCAAAGCCCTCATTTTGCAAAAATGGTTTCTTTTGTGTACTAAACATTTGTGTGTTGTTGGCGTCCGTCTGTCTCTCACTACTTCACCATTGAATTGTATAGCAAAGGCAGTGGTGAGCCCCCATTAAAGGATGCAAATATAAATCACCCAAATAGAATGTGATCTGCAAAGCTTTATATAGTATCATTTAAGATTAAGGATTTGTCTTGAAGATTTCAGCTGAGGAAATGACACTTATATAAGAATCTGATCCACTGAAAGGAAAAACTATTAATTTGTTCATGGTTTGTAGGATTTGGTGATTTGAGTTCTGCACTCTGACGTGAGATTAAATGGTTATAAAAGCTTGAGCAGAACATGATTTCTGTGTCATTGCAGGTAGTAAGGATAGATGTGGCATATAGATTAGAGAGCTAATCCCACACAATTTAAATTATTTAAATGTTTCATGGTTTTTAATAGGTGCACCTCAATATTATTTTTTTCCATCTTAGTCTTGATGGCAAACAATTCACTGTAATTTTTGTACTTGGCTTCCCAAGGACACATATGGGAGAATGAATACCAAAACATTATTTTTTGTGGAAACTAATACATGCAAAATTCCTTTTATTATAATATTCTGGTCATCTATATCCGCTGCACCATTCCACAGTCATGCTGTTGTTCCTCCACTATTGACCATCTCATGATCAGGCAACTGTTCTGTCCTGTCTCATATGCATATTGTTGCTAATTGTGTGTGCCATTGTTTTCTGGAAGTGTGGGTATGTGTTGAAAAAGTAATTTGTGCTCAGTGTACAATAAGCACTTCCTTCCTCAGTTATTTGAATTATTGACATCTTATGCAGCAGCCTTCAGGATTCCAGAAGGGTGTATGAGTGAACAGCTTGTGTTGCTGTCTTTCAACCAATATTCTACACAAGACAAATGCAAGAGAGCCACTCCCCTCTGCTGCATTTTCCTTTCAGAGCTTTACAAGCACCTCGCCAAAGCATTTTACCACTGCACTTGAGAGCCCCCCTTCCACTACTTAAAAATTTATCCAGAATAGTTGGGAATGCAAAAATAGTTAAGCACACTTACTTGGTAATGTGATTCCAGTAAAAAACTTTCCAAGTCCCTGAATTACTCAGGCTTTCTTATACAACTGTGAAAAATTGTTTGCGTGCTCAAAGGTGTTGTAGCTCGCCTTACTTTGTGTGCAAACAGGAAGATAAAGTGAAGGAAAACTCTTACCTATATTCAGTGCTGGTCTGTGAGTAGACGCTCATTCCTCTGAGGCGGAGCAATAGGTTATTTTTCAGAAGTCCTTTCTGTGTTCTGCTTGAGGCCCAAGTACATCACTAATGTAAGATGCTTCGTAGATGCTGGAAGGTGTACAGGGCAAACAGTGTATGTTTTTATTATAATTATGGGACTAATAGAAATATAGATTTGGCCTACTAAAATATTCCATAGCTGCGTTGCAGGTCCAGCCTATGGGAGACACTTGTGGTCAAAGTAGATGTGACAATGGTTGGCACACATTTCTTTTTGCGTTTCTGTTTCATTCACAAATAAAGTGGCAGATCTTACTTGAACAGAAAAAAATAGCATGTGCAAGAAGGAGGATTTTTCCCGTCAGTCATTTGCTCAAACATGAATTCTTTATTCCCTAAGTGGTGGGAGCAAAGAGATGACGTGTAGAAGGAGGGAAAGTTCAGTGTCTCTCTCCCTATTGTTTATTTTATTAACCACAAGAAACTTTATATGTTTATGGAGAGAATACATGAATGACAACTGTACCATATCAGGTTTAGTCTTAAGCAATTAGTAAAATATGAGTTAGAACTCTACTCAGATACTAAAGCTTCTACAAAACATGGAGTTCATTCCAGTTTCCTTGACTCATAAAATAATGCTTGGTGCTCACTGTTGTGCTTTGCCATTACATTTTGTTGTGTTAAAAAAAGTTTTAAGCATGGTTTTATTATTCAAATATTCCAAGTCAGGAAGCACAAGACAGTTCAGATATGACTTTATTCTTGTGAATATTTTCTTTTTCATAATCGGCTTTTTAAATTATTTATTGTGCTCCTAGCTGACAACCAATGCTTTCATTTGTTAATGTTTTATTTCATTTCATCAATGTGAATTGTAGGGCTAATTTAGAAGTGCTTTATAATTCCACAGATATAATAGAAAATACGTTCTTTAAAAGCGTTCTAAATGCATTTCTTAGAGCAACTGTAATAAATGTAGGGGTTGCTCGTGCGTAAGTTGGTGCCACTCCTGGCTAGGTTGCCTTGTTAAACCTTTTCTGTCTGGACAGCCCCTGCACTTCGTGGCTGTTCAGTCGCTAGCAGAATCCGTCAGTGGGTGTTTCTTAAACCTTTTCCAGCATAAAAGTTGTTTGACTCCAAGTCTCCTCCTACTCTCCCTGCGCGGAAGCCTTCTGCGCAGGGAGGGCGTGGGTAGTGGAGGACCCGTGCTCTCCTCGCTGATCTCTGGCGAGGAGTCCTGGAGCCCCCTCGCCGATTCCCCCATCTGCCCCCCTTTATCCCTGGTGTCACGCTGATTTCTTTCCCCAGCTGGTGAACCGCCTCTCCCCCTGCTGGGCCCCTCTCCAGCATCGCTCGAGAGCCTAGCCTCCGCCTCTGGCTCCGATGTCAGTTCCCTGACATCCACCTCCCCCCCAGGACCCCCTTCACCCCTGGCCCGACCTTTTGATCCAACCTTGTCCCTTTCCTCGGCCAACGATGTGGGGAATCCCCGGAAGGAGCTGTCGCCATCCTCTGAGGACTCAAAACCCGCTTCCCACCCGCTCCGATCTCTCCCCGCGGGGTGGGCCTCCCAGTCTGATTCTTCTTCCTCCGAAGCCTCTCCTCCCTCCTCTTCAGAGGCAGAAAAACCCACAAAATCCTCTTCATCGTCTGTGGTTCCAAATTGCTCCTCCCAGAATCTCGCTAGTGGCTTGGGTTTGTCCGGGAACAGGCTGTGGAATTCCTCCACAAGATACCCATCATTGATTGCCTCCGCGGGAACCCAAGTGTTTTCCGACCCGGGTTCTCCCTCCCAAGCTACCAGGTACTCCACCTGACGCCCTCGCCACCTTGAATCGAGTATTTCCGTGGCCCGGTTGTGGTGTTACCTCTCCTCTATCTGCTGGTGTGTGGTGACTTCGCCTTCCCGCCCCGGGACTCCTCGCCCCTCCCTGTACGGTGAGAGTAGGTGTACGGTGACCTATGGAACACCGGGTGTATCTTCATGCTGTCCAGCAACCTGAGCTTGAATGCCACGGGGTTCACCTGCTGTGTTACCTCAAATGGCCCCAGCCGCCTTGGCTGCAACTTCTTGCACCCCCCCTTAAAGGGTAACCCTTGGGTTGACAACCACACCCAGTCCCCCACCCGTATGGTCTCCCCTTCCCTACGGTGCTTGTCTGCCTGCCTCTTGTAAATTTCCTTGGCCCGTTCTAAGTTCATCTTAAGTTGCTGGTGCAGTGCCTCCATTTCTTCCACAAACTGCTCTGCCGCTGGTACGCTCCACCCTTCCTCCCCACTCCCCGGGAAGGCCCTGGGTTACACCCATAATTGGCCATGAACGGGCTCATTCCCGTGGACACATGTTCAGCGTTATTGTACGCAAATTCAGCCAGCGCTAGTTTCTCTACCCAATCGTTCTGCCTCTCGCTGACGTAGCAGTGTAGGTATTGCTGGAGTACACTGTTCGCTCTTTCTGCTTGCCCGTTTGTTTCCGGATGTCTCGCTGTCGAGAAGCTCACCTCTACCTGCAGCAAGCTCATGAGCTTCCTCCAGAACCCGGAAGTAAATTGTTTCCCGCGATCCAAAATTACTCTCGAGGGAGCCCCATGCAACCTGAAGATGTGATCCACAAACAACTTGGCTGTCTCCTCCGCGGTCACCGCATGTGAACACACTATGAAATGGCACATCTTTGTCAATAGATCGACTACTACCATGACTGCTGTCTTCCCCCGGGACTTGGGCAAATCGGTCATAAAATCAATGGACACCACCTCCCAGGGTTTTCCCGGCATGGGTAAAGGTTCTAGTAACCCTGCGGGGGCCCTTTGGCCTTTGGCAGCAGTCGCACCTCCGTACATATTCCCGTACATCCTCCCTCACCCTTGGCCACCAGAACTGCCTGGTGACGAGCATCATGGTTTTGTGCTGTCCAAAGTGCCCAGCCATGGGGTTGTCGTGGAGTTGTTTGAGTACCTTTCCCCTCAGGGTCTCCCCCGGTACATACAGCGCCCCCTTATAGTACAGCACCCCTTCCTTTTCCTCAAAACCCCCTTGGTTTTCTCTTCCCTCTCGGGAGTTCCCGGATTTTAGTTTGAGCGAACACGTCGTTTCTAGTAAGCCCGGCCAGTTCTCGTTTCCCAACCAAGGCTCCCCCACACACCCATCGGTCCTCGGGGATCACGTGTCGTATCTCCGGCGGTCCCTCTCCTTCCATGTACTCTGGCTTCCGGGAGAGAGCATCTGCTCTTACGTTTTCCTCTCCTGGCACGTATCGGATTTCGAAGGAAAACTTAGAGAACTCCTGTGCCCATCAAATCTGTCTCTGGTTGAGTACTCTTGCGGTCCTCCAGTATTCCAAGTTCTTGTGATCTGTACAAACCTGGATCTTGTGCTGTGCCCCTATCAGCAGATGTCGCCATCGGCGAAACGCCGCATAGATCGCAAGCAGTTCGCAGTCGTACACCGTATAGTTTTGCTCCGACTTGCTCAGCTCCCTCGAGAAAAAGGCACACGGCTTCCATTTCTGCTTGCTCCTCCCTGGCTGCAAAAGAACCGCCCCAATGGCTCTGTCGGACGCGTCGGTCTCTAGCCTCATGGGTTTCTCCAGATCAACGTGCAGGAGCTGCTCTTCCGAAGCGAACACCTTCTTCAGTCTTTCAAAGGATTTCTGGGCACTTTCGGTCCAGACAGACTTCTTTTTGCTACTGAGACAATCTGTGATGGGCGCTGTCAAGTGGGCGAAGTTCTTGATGAACTTCCTGTAGAAGTTGCTGAACCCTAGGAACCTCTGCACGTCCTTCCGGGTTTTGGGGGCCTTCCATTCCAGCACCGCCTGCACCTTGCTTGGGTCCATAGCTAGGCCTTTGTCTGACAACTTGTACCCCAGAAACTCGATTTCTCTGGTGTGAAACTGACATTTTTCCAGCTTGACCCACAACTGGTGCTTCTGCAGTCTCTTTAGCACTTCCCTGACGTCTCTGACATGTTGCTTCTCATTGTCCGAATAGATTAAGATGTCGTCCAAGAAGGCTACGCAGTTCTTGTACAGCAGGGACCCCAACACGTGGTGCATGAAAGCTTGAAAACAGGCGGAGCCCGACTGTAATCCAAATGGCATAACTAAGTACTCAAAGGCCCCTAGGGGGGTGAACATTGTGGTCTTCCATTCATCCCCTTCCCTCATCCTAATCAAATTGTAGGCTCCCCTGAGGTCCAGCTTGGTAAAAATCTTTCCCTGCCTCACCCGTGTTAAAATGTCGTTAATCCTGGGCATTGGGAAGGTCACGGGTTCTGATACCAAATTTAACGCCCTAAAATCTACGACCAATTTGGGCTGGTTAGTCCCCTTTTTGTCCACAAAGAACACCGGACTGCCCCCCACCGCCTTTGATTCCCTTATGAACCCCCTCTTCAGGTTCTTGTCAATAAACTCCCGCAACTCCTTCATCTCCCGGTCCGACATGGCATACAGTTTACCCACTGGCAGCTGAGCCCCTGGGAGCAAGTTGATTTGGCAGTCAAAGGGTCTATGGGGGTAGTCTATCCGCCTCCTTCTCGCTGAAGACCTCCTGCAGGTCAGCATATTGTGGTGGCACCTCCCTTTCGGCTCCACCGCTAACCCAGCCACCCTGGCCACGGTCATCCTTGGGGTTTCCCCCCCAGACAGTGTTCCAAGCAGTAAGCTGACCCAAAGGTGACCGTCCGCTGATGCCATGCCACTACTGGATCATGTAGTGCCAGCCAGCTCATCCCTAATATTATTGGGGGTCCTGCCAGTGTGGCTACGTGAAAGGCAATGGTCTCCGTGTGCCTGGAAACCCTCATTCTCATTGGTGGGGTCTGGTGCGTCACTTCCCCTCCCAGAAGCTCCCTGCCATCAATGGTGGTCACTTGCAAGGGAAAATCCAGGGGTAGCAGGTGGAGCTGATGCTCTAGGGCGAAATCCTTGCTGAAGAAATTGCAGGAACTGCCTGAATCCAACAGCCCCTTCACCTTGACTGGGTGCCCATTCGGGAGTTCTAGCACCACTTCTATGGCTATGGCCGCTCTGGGGGGGTCTGGCTGGGGCACTTCTATTGGTTGCTGGCCTGGCTGCTGTGCCCGCTGAGTGGCAGCCAAGCGTTGGCGTTTCCCTGCTCCTGCTCCTTTTTTCCCTCCTCCTCACCTCCAGCAACTCCCACCATTCCTTGCCAGGCCTTTCTTTGAGGGCAGACCCTGGCAAAATGTCCTGGCCACTGGCAGAGGAAACACTTCTTATTAGTTTTCCAATCCTTTCCTTCCCTTTTGCGACCTTCACTGGAGTTTGAAACCTCCCGCGCGCGCGCGCCATCAATTTCCATTGGCTCCGCCGGCGGGGAAGGCTGCCTCGGTATTTCAGGAATGCGGTAGTCATGGCAACGTTTCCCTCTGCCTTCCCGCTTCTCCTGAGCCCGCGCTTCCTGTCTTACTCCAATCGCAAGCACAGCCTTGGTCAGCTGATCCATCGACTGCGGGCGGGGCGCGCGGGAAAGCTCGTCCTTCACCGTTGGGGACAACCCCTCCTCAAACAACATCTGAATGGGTTCCGAGTCCAATTCCCACCCGAGCCGGTGGACTAACATGGCAAAGCGCGACCAGTAGTCTCTAACTGACTGGTTCCCCTGTTTACAACCCTTCAGTTCCCGCCGAGTCACACTTTGCTGCACATCACTGGAATACATCGCATCCATCACCTGGAAGAATTTCTCCAGGTCTTTCAAGGCGGCATTAGGGGTCTGATCCATTCCCTGGCCCCATCCTGCAGATGCCCGACAATGTATGCCACCCTCTCCCCATCGTCTGCAAAATCTTTATGCTGCAGTTCTAAAGTGTATTCTATTTCCGTTCGGAACGCATTGTAGTCCTGTGGCTTCCCCCCAAACTTGTGTACCAGTCCCGGTACCTTCCTTGCTACGGGGGTGGTCCTGACCTGTGCATCGTGAGCCCGCCTTTCTTCCAAGCGCGCCGTGAGAAGAGCCACATGCTGTTCCAAATCTCGGTTCCTCTCCACCAGATTTTGCACTCCAGCTGCTCCCTCCGTGGCGCCTGCTTCTCCGGTTCGGCTCATCCTGCTGCCTGCCTGTCGCTGCGCGCAAGCAACGTCAAGGACTGACGGATTGCTGTAATAAATGTAGGGGTTGCTCATTCGTAAGTTGGTGCCACTCCTGGCTAGGTTGCCTTGTTAAACCTTTTCTGTCTGGACAGCCCCTGCACTTCGTGGCTGTTCAGTCGCTAGCAGAATCCGTCAGTGGGTGTTTCTTAAACCTTTTCCAGCATAAAAGTTGTTTGACTCCAAGTCTCCTCCTACTCTCCCTGCGCGGAAGCCTTCTGCGCAGGGAGGGCGTGGGTAGCGGAGGACCCGTGCTCTCCTCGCTGATCTCTGGCGAGGAGTCCTGGAGCCCCCTCGCCGATTCCCCCATCTGCCCCCCTTTATCCCTGGTGTCACGCTGATTTCTTTCCCCAGCCGGTGAACCGCCTCTCCCCCTGCTGGGCCCCTCTCCAGCATCGCTCGAGAGCCTAGCCTCCGCCTCTGGCTCCGATGTCAGTTCCCTGACAGCAACATATCAAATTTAATGTCCAAGCACACCTTCTGTTATGGTAAATATGTTATGGTAAACATAGTTTACTTCTTTAATTCATCCAGAAGCCCTGGCATTTGAGGCAACTTTTACTCCACATACTTGGCAGTTGGCCCAGAGGCTGCTTAAGCTGCTTCAATGCTGTTATTGCAGAATAGTATAAATAGCTTAACTTAATCCCCTTATATGTTCACAGTCATCTCCAGTCTTAAGATTCTGGTTTGCAAGGGATCAGAGAATTTTCAAAAAGTTGCAGGTGTCTGTATAGATGGACTTAATACATGAATATCTTCCTGTCTGTCTGTCTGTCTGTCTATCATTCCAGTCACTCATTGGGCTATAGATCTAAAACTAAATGTAAATTGGTGAGTTGTTTCTTACTACTTTAAGCATGTTGCATTTTGTATTTTGGATTCTGTTTCTAAAGACTGAGCACTTACCGTATTTTTTGCTCTGTAAGACTCACTTTTTCCCTCCTAAAAAGTAAGGGGAAATGTGTGTGCATCTTATGGAGCGAATGCAGGCTGCGCAGCTATCCCAGAAGCCAGAACAGCAAGAGGGATTGCTGCTTTCACTGCACAGCGATCTCTCTTGCTGTTCTGGCTTCTGAGATTCAGAATTTTTTTTTCTTGTTTTCCTCCTCCAAAAACTAGGTGCGTCTTGTGGTCTGGTGCGTCTTATAGAGCGAAAAATACGGTATATAGAAATTTCTGTGGCAGATTTAATCACCTGTTACTGCACTTCAATGAACTACTGGTTGCTTACTACTAAACACAATTGAACAGGGGGAGACACCAACAAAATTCAAAAAAATGAAAGACAAATTGAGTCATAATAATATAAAGCAAATGTGGAAATGTCTTTGAAAATGAGTTTCAAAATCCTGTATTCACTAATTTGCATGAAAATCATGCCATGGTTTTGTATAATTGGCATCCAATGCCTCAACTGTTATGGAAGTATAATAGGAACCTGACCAGCAGCTGGAGATGTCATTCTCCAAATGATTTTTTGGAACTAATTGTTTATAATAAGACAAATAATGATTCCATAATCCTGACAATTTTATTATTAGATTATATAAATGATACTGCTCCTATTAAACATTATATACTGGTAATTGTAGCTATCTTCTGCTAGGAAAGAAGTTGATCACAAACAGTGTTAGAAATTGAGATATGAAAGCTAGGAGCTAGGTTATGGGTGTAACAACAGACTGTCTAGGCACGCTTTTTTTAATAACAAGAATACAAAGCTGAAAATGAATGAACTGCAGCTAAAATATTGTTCACTTTTCACATGGTCTAGTCCAGGGGTCGGCAACCTTTTTCAGCCGTGGGCCGGTCCACCGTCCCTCAGACCATGTGGTGGGCTGGACTGTATTTGGGGGGGGGGGAGGAATGAACGAATTCCTATGCCCCACAAATAACCCAGAGATTCATTTTTTAAAAAATAATATTTATTACTTTTATAGATTACAAAAAGAGAGAGAAAAAAGCAAAAGAGAAAAAACGAAGGAAAAAAACAAAGAGAGAGAAAAAAAATACAATATATAAACAATACAAAACACAACCTAAACTCAAAACTAGACACATTAAGCTAAACTAAACAAACCCCACTCCCCAAAACAAAAACAATTTAAAAACATACATCCTCTCTTTTCCATACTCTGTCTTTCGTTCCCTTGTTTCCTCGACCTCCTCACACCTCCCTTTTTGTGTTCCTCTTCTATTAATTGTTTCAGCAAATCCTTTCCATCTTTCTCCATTTTCTGTGATATTGTAAATAACGTATTATTTTAACCTTATTTTCCATTAAAACTAAATTACTTATATGTGCTTAACTCCTTATAACATTTCTGTTAAGCCCATAAAAAATAAAAAATCATTCCACCATTTTTCTATCACTCATTAGTTTTGCCATAAGTCTATATAAAAACTTTAAATTTTCCAATCTTCTTCCACCATCTCCTCTCTCAGGTTTCGGATTCTGCCAGTCCTTTCCGTCAATTCCATAAAGTCCATCAACCTGGTGATCTTATGTCCGAGGCTCTTAACTCTTTTCCAAGTCCCTTCTGCAGGTCTTCTTCATTTTCTTTAATGCTAAAGAGCCAATCTCGGGGAAATTCCAACCTGTCAGTCCTTTTCTTCCTTCTGAACAAATCAGCTAAGTTTCCATAGTTAAAACTACAGTCCATAAAGTATTTCCGGGTATATTTCAAAATTCCTCCAATTCCAAAGGCCCCCAAAACTTCAATCTCCTCCAGGCCCGAGTCCATGTCCCAAAAGTCAGTTAATCCCTGCATAGAGGGCTCTTTCCAACTTTCCTTCTTTAATCCAAACCGGGATCCATTCCTAGGAGTCTGGCTTTTTTTGGATTCAATCATAGAAGGCCTCAACTTATAATCTCCAATTTGCTTCTGTAAATCCACAGATCTCACTTGTATTATTTTATGTTGAACAACAGCTGCATTCTCCTTCTCCTCCTTCTCCTCCACCATTTGTCCTGCCAAAATGGGTTCCTGTACCAAGTCCTGAATTATTTCTGTGTTAGTGTTCGCTTTTGACTCAAGTTGGTCACTTTCTGTTCCAAATTATCAACTTTGAGAGTCATATCATCCATCTTCTTGTGAAGCTGTCCCAGCGAACAGCTTATCTTACATAAAACAGTCACAATGGCCTCTCCTATCAACATTTTTAAATAGTCCAAGGTCGCTCTCTGGTTCCCAAACTCCTTTTCTGCAGCTGGAAATTCCCCAATTTCAAACATTAAAGATAAAATTTCAGTTACTTTTCCTCTTTTTTTTTAAACGCAGAAAGGGACAATGGAAACAGTATCTTACTCTTGTTTAGCTAGCTGTCAAATCCGTTCTGTCAAAAGCACTCTCTCCAAACGTCATCTGGCAGCCCGTTCCCAGGTTCAGAGCAGTGGTCATTTGATTTTTCACTCTCTCCTGCAGGCTCACTAGATCCAAAATTTCCCCCTCTTCTCCTGCTTCCTAAGGGGGTTTTGTAACTTTAAACCGGTGGAAATTTGATCCTTTGCCAAAAGCTTTCAAAGGCTTTACTTGTAACATCTTTGCTTCAGTCTATTTACAAAAACGGGAGGCGGACTTCCTGTTTATAACCTTCCCGTTTCAGTGCCAAATTGAAGTATTTTAAAATCCAATTTTCCGATTTACTCACGAGTAGTTTAAAATCCAATTGTCCACAGGAAAAAGTCAGCGCTCTCCGGCAACAGCAATGCGGCTTCACTCCGTGAAAGAAGCAGTCGATTCAAAGCACCACGCCACTCACCCCACGTCGCTCCAGATCCCCAAAACAGGGTTTCCCCGCGAGTAGGGAAGGCGCAAAGGTGCCAGCCGAATCCCACGTCCACAGGCTTCTCCCACCTGTGGTTTTTAATGGGTCTCCGCCTCGCCGTGGTGGTTCAGACCCTGTTTTTCACGGAGCGGGTTCCTCCCGATCGGAGGAAATCCGCCGTTGCCAGAGGCGCCAACCCGGAAGTCCGAGATTCATTTTAAATAAAAGCACCCATTCTACTCATGTAAAAAAATCCGCAGGCCGGGATGAGAAGGCGATTGGGCCACATCCACCCCCCTGGCCTTAGGTTGCCTATGCCTGGTCTAGTCCTTCCCCTGCCCACCCCCCTAATATTCTAAGAAGGTCTCTTCTCCAGTCTTCAGAGAATAGCTGGAAGTGGGGAGGCAGGAAATGGTCCTCCTATCGTTCCACTCTGCAGTTTTAATCTGAAATCTTAGGTGTAGTACCCAGAGCTCAGAAACTGCTCGCACTAATGAAATTCCCTGTTGCAAAATGTGTGGAGAACAATGGGAGTTTCGAATACTGATCACAAATGGAAAAAAATGTTAATGGTCCAGTGATCATTGACTGGATGATTAGGACATTGGGTATATAACACATCTGATAAGGAATCAAGAATATGCAAATATTTACGAAAATTCATATAAGGTTATGTAAAGTATAAATTGATCATACATATAACCTTGTTTGATTCATTTTGATTTTTGTTATGTTTTAAGTAACTAAAGCATAAGGTGTAATTTATGGAATAATAGAGTGTTGGAAGGGACCTCAAGGGTCATCTAGTCCAACTCCCTGCAATGCAGGAATCTCAACTAAAGCATTCATGACATATGGCCATCCAACCTCTGCTTAAAATCCTCCAAAGAAGGAGAGTCCACAATCTCCCGAAGGAGCCTGTTCCACTGTTGAACAGCTCTTACTGTCAGAAAGATTTTCCTAATGTTTAGTTGGAATCCTCATTTTTGTAACTTGAAGCCATTGGTTTGTGTCCTACTCTCCAGCGCAGAAGAAAACCACCTTGCTCCATTTTCCATGCGACAGCCCTTCAGATATTTGAAGATGACTATGAGATCTCCTCTCAGTTTTCTCTTTTCCAGGCTAAACATACCCAACTACTTCAACCATGCCTCATAAGGCTTGTTTTCCAGACCCTTGATCATCTTAGTTTCCCTCCTTTGCATACATTCCAGCTTGTCAACATCCTTCTTAAATGGTGATGCCCAAAACTGGACACAGTATTCCAGGTGTGACAGAATAGAGTGGTACTATTATTACTTCCCATGATCTGAACAGTATACATCTGTAGTTGCAACCTAGAATAGTGTTAGCTTTTTTTTGCTATTGCATCATATTGTTGACTCATATTAAGCTTGTGGTCCACTAAGACCCATAGATCCTTTTCACATGTACTGCTGGCAAGACAGGTGTCCCCCCCTCTTATATTTGTGTATCTGGTTCTTCCTGCCTAAGTGCAGTACCTTACATTTGTCCTATCTGAAATTAATTTTGTTCGTTTGGGTCCAGTTCCCCAATCTGTTAAGGTCATTTTGAATCCTGATTCTGTCTTCTGCAGCATTAGCTACCCCTCCCAGATTGGTGTCACCTGCATATTGGATGAGCATCCCCTCAATTCCTTCATCCAAGTTGTTTATAAGGACATTCAACAACAACGGACCCAGGACAGAACCCTGCGGCACCCCACTTGTCACTTTTTTCCAGGATGACGAAAAATCAGTCAACCAGCTACAAAGCCACCTAACAGTTAACCTCGGTGGCCTGGAGTGCCTTCTATCACCTTCAGCTGATGGCCCAGCTGTGCTCTTAGCTGGACAGGGATAGCCTAATGTTTTCTATCCTCTGGTAACCTCTAGATTAGATCACTGCAATGCATTAGATGTGGGGCTGCCTCTGAAGACAGTTCTGAAATTAGCAGCCATATGAACTGACCCTGGGCAAAGTGACTTAACAAATTCAATTAATAATGATGATGATGATGATAATGGTTTATCAAAATCCTGTTGTAACTTTGGTGTGTGTGCTTTTTTGATCTTCTTGACCTAGTGCTAGATGCGCGTAGAGAGAGGACAGTGGGTAGCAAGCAGACACAAAGCTGCTGCTGAAAGCTATGAGTTCACTTCACACAAGTCTGGGTATTGGGTGGTAACTGAAATGTCATTTGCCAATAATGCATTGTCTTCATTCATTATGTAAAACCCTGCAAGGCAGGGATTTGAAGCCAGGCTAGCTCATTTCACAAAAATTACAAGTTGGCTTAGAAAACTTTGCTTCTAGAGCACATAGGAACTTACTTCAAAGAAAAGAAAAGCTGAGAGTGAGCCCAGTACTGGCTTTGGGCTCCCTAAAACCCTACCCTTTCTATCCATTTATCAGTAGCCCTGGATTAAGATTTAAATAAAAGTAGTTGTTTGTTCTGCCTTATGAAGTGCTAGATGTTTCTGTGTGGGAGGAATTCCTCTAGGGTTTGGGAAGGGTTGAGTAGTGCTCTCTGAACAGAACTATCTCAGCTGCATTGATGCATTGTATAATTTGGACAGGAAATAAAAAGGCTACTATTTAGATTATATTTTCCCTCTTCAACAACTGAAGGCTGTGGAATGGGAAAGAGTGTGTGTCCTTTGGATACATGTTTTTCAGTTGGTTTTCTGCTGGTGAACACAATTTTTCCACTTGACTCACTGGGTGAAATCTAAATGAACATTACAACATGTGTTTATAATCCCTTTTAAGCAAAGTATGTCCTGACCTGCTTAACAATGTTTGATTACATTATTTTACTCCTATATTGATGGATTTTAGCAAGGTTTAGTTTGCATTTCAGAAACATATTGAAGCTCAGACAACCGCCATTGGGAAGATACAGTTAATTCAGATGCAACATTCCTAGTCTCCCAATACATAGGATTGTAGTTCTTTCCTCAGCCCCTTGCACTCAATTTATTTAGTTGCTTATTCTTTAGTGCAGATCATTATTTATTACATCTGAATGGCAAACCATGGTTTACACCTCCTGTCAAATCAGAATTAAAAGAAGTGTGAGGAATATGAAACACTGACCCAGCACAGCCATTGCTTAGTGTGAATTAGCCAACATATGGGATTGCAGTTGCAGTTCTCATTGTTTAGCTTAGAACTGCATCCAAACACAGGTTTGTGGTTTGCCTGAAATGAGGCAACCCATGAACCCAGGTTTGGGAATAATGCTAAGCCAAGCCACAGCTTGACACAGCAGCAGGACCAGGCATAAAGCACTGTAGTCCTGATTTTCTCTCCAAGAACCTGCACATCTGCTCATTGTGTTAAGGTTAGCCTTAGTGCTATATGAGAACTACGCCATTGTGTTAAATTGGATAATTTTGTTTCCAGATTTAAATAATAATAATAATAATAATAATAATAATCTGTTCCAATTTTGACTGTGAGAAAAGTGTGTGCTAATGAGTCCCCTTTATTCATTTCTGTATTCAGAGGACATCTAGCATGGATATTAAAAAGATGTAATCTTTGTTATCCTAGGATTTTTTTTCTGAGGCGTCAAGGCTGCTTGTTCCTTTATCTAATCTACTTCTCTAGTGCACTGCCAATGTCCTTTATAAAGACAGAAGGTAATGTGCTGAGATGGAAATTGTGTATCTTTTGAGTGAATAATGTGGAAATGCTTCTCCCCTGATACATTTTCCTTGGTACTTTTAAAACCTATTGGGGATAATCTAAATGTCAACAGATAATTATTATAAGATTTTTACAAAATCAAGTTTGCATGCTACATTGTTATAAGAGTAAATATTTTGTTGAGTTGTTGATATCTAGCTGTAAAGGCTTACTCAGAAATTAAGTGCAACTTTTTGAGCATACTCTCTCTGTTACAAAAAACAACTTTATCAAGGGGGGGGAATGTTACTTGTTCAGAAAACATCTTGTTCAGAATCATAGAATCATAGAGTTGGAAGAGACCACAAGGGCCATTGAGTCCAACCCCCTGCCAAGCAGGAAACACCATCAGAGCATTCCTGACATATGGTTGTCAAGCCTCTGCTTAAAGACCTCCAAAGCAGGAGACTCCACCACACTCCTTGGCAGCAAATTCCACTGTCGAACAGCTCTTACTGTCAGGAAGTTCTTCCTAATGTTTAGGTGGAATCTTCTTTCTTGTAGTTTGGATCCATTGCTCCGTGTCCGCTTCTCGGGAGCAGCAGAAAACAACCTTTCTCCCTCCTCTATGTGACATCCTTTTATATATTTGAACATGGCTATCATATCACCCCTTAACCTCCTCTTCTCCAGGCTAAACATGCCCAGCTCCCTTAGCCGTTCCTCATAAGGCATCGTTTCCAGGCCTTTGACCATTTTGGTTGCCCTCCTCTGGACACGCCACTGCCCTGCAAGCTCTGAGAAGCTCCTCCCACAGCTAATCACCTGCCTCAACAGAAACCCTGCCCCCTCTGACCTTTGCACAGGGAGAGCAGCTAATCAGCCACAAAGAAACACACACACACAAGAAAACCCTTTTTGCTCCTTCTTCAACTGCTGCCCTGCAAGAATAAATATTAAACATAGAAACATATTGTAGACCAAAACAAAACAGAAAGATCACTTCTCTTAACAGTTTCTGAGCCATTTGACTCAAATGCTTTTCTGGTTTCATCAGCAACAATAAAAGCTGGGAACCTAAAGGAGTTATCTTACCATTCTTGGCTTTCAGATATGCAGTTCCTGCTCTAAATGGTACAAATGGTACAATGGTTCTAAATGGTTCTAAATGGTACAAACTAGAGTGGCACCACATAATTTTTTTGTGTAGCTTGCCAGTTAAAGTTGTTGTGAAATCCCTGTTGATTGGCAATTTCATCATATGATAGCTTAAAATATAAAACAAAGGACAGAAAGCTTTCTGGGCATCTCAGTTAAAAATCTTGTTTTAATACCTTTTAAATAGGGGGATGAAGAAAAGTATTTGTCCTGAATTTTGATGGACTGTCCAATTAAATCTGCAGCAGAAATCCTGACAGAAGAGTGTGTTGAAAATTCCAAGGTTCACCTGGAAGACCTGCCTCAGGGATTCAGTTACTGGCATGTTTGTGGATTTGATCCCCATATGGGCCAAAAGTATGGGCCAGCTGCACATTCCTGCATTGCAGGAGGTAGGACTAGATGTTCCTTTGGGCCCCTTCCAACTCTACAATTCTGTGATCTTATTGTCTTCCCTCCAGTGTCTTATATACAGTTTGACATTCATTATATAACTTGCGGGGGTGCAATTAGTGCCAGCACCGTCCGTTAAGAGTTTGGGTGTAATCTTCGATACCTCCCTGTCTATGGAGGCGCAGATTACAGCTATAACAAAGGCGGCATTTTTTCATCTCCGCCAAGCTAAGCAGTTGGCCCCTTATCTCTCTCGCCCTGACCTAGCCACTGTGATCCACGCGACGGTCACCTCCAGACTGGATTATTGTAACTCGCTCTACGTGGGGCTGCCCTTGAGACTGACCCAGAAACTCCAGCGGGTGCAGAATGCCGCGGCGAGACTCCTTATGGGGTCTTCGCTGCGAGATCACATTCATCCGGTACTATACCAGCTGCACTGGCTCCCGGTGGAGTACAGGATCAGGTTTAAGGTGCTGGTTTTAACCTTTAAAGCCCTATACGGCCTAGGACCCTCGTACCTACGGGACCGCCTCTCCTGGTATGCCCCACAGAGGAACCTACGGTCTGCAAATAAAAACATCCTGAAGGTCCCAGGCCTCAGAGAGGTTAGGCTGGCCTCAACTAGAGCCAGGGCTTTCTCGGCTGCGGCTCCAATCTGGTGGAACGCTCTGTCACAAGAGACTAGGGCCCTGCGGGACCTGACATCTTTCCGCAAGGCCTGCAAGACAGAGTTGTTCCACCAGGCCTTTGGTCAGGGCCCAGCCTGACTCCCTCCTCTGGCAACCTGCACAGAACTTTGCTTAACGGTTGCCATTAATTTGATTTTAATTAATTTTTATAATGGAATGTTTTAGAATGTTGGATTATTTGATTGTTTGATTGTTTGATTATTTGTTTGTTGTTAGCCGCCCTGAGCCTGGCTTTGGCTGGGGAGGGTGGGATATAAATAAAATTTATTATTATTATTATTAGTAGTAGTAGTAGTAATTCTAGTTAGTTCTTCTGAAAACAGCAACAGCACTATTTCTAGTGAGGCTAATGAAGAAAACCACTGATATTGTATTCAGGACTGACAAAGGCAAAACCCTCATTCTCAGCCCTATAATGATCAATAAAACTAAGTATAAATGGAAGCAGTAAAATTGTTTTAAGGAGAAAAATGATGTGTGCAGTTGCTATAGAAACTAGCCAGACACACATTCAAAGCAAAAATTCTAGCCTGCAATGCATGCTGTTTACTGACAATACCATAAATCAGAAGTTATATTGACTCCTTTTTCCCAATTATGAAATGTTACATTGATTATTATATACAACATATTTCTTATGACACATTGGTGGCAATTGGGTTGTAGGAGTGAAACAATATGGTAGGTAAAAATAGAAATGAAAAGGGAGGGGGAATTCCAGTCATAAGAAAAAGTGACCAGAGTTGTGTAAGAGAGGAGACCAAAGTCAATAGCTAGTAGCTAAAAGAAGACCAAAGCTAATAGGATTGGAGATTCAAATGTCTCATAAGCACTGTAGTTTTACTAACAGCACCAAGCTATGCTGAAAAGTGTCTTACTCTGATTCAAATGGGCTTTGTGCTGTCACAGTTGCTTCTCTTCTAGGATAAATGTTGTGTAGCACCTGTCTTCTTCCTGTCCTTCTCTTTTGCAAATAAATACTGAATACTTAAACATTTCAGTTTTATCAATGCTTAACACCAAATATTCTTACCTTGGCTTAGAAAGGCTGTCACAATTGCTAATGTGGATTCATGCCACAACAACTGTACTCAGAAATAGGGCTGGGTGATATATCGATAAATCGTCCAAAACTGGTTTGAAATCCATATTGTTATATTGGTTTCATAATTTTTTGGGCTGGCAATATATCGTGAATCATGGTGTGTGTGTGCGCGCTATGCAAAATCACAATGCAAGGAAAACTGAAGGCAGCCAATGCCTCTACATAGCTCCATCCTTATTTCAGACATTGTGATACATCAGTATATTGCAATGTTTAGCTGGTGATATACAGTATTGTGATGTTGGAAACCAGATATCACCCAGCCCTACTCAGAAGTAAGTCCCACTGAATTCCATAAGGATTGTTCCCTGGTAAGTATGTACAAGATTCCAGTATGAATTGGTTAGTTTAAAAAAGTGCCACACAGCCCTCATAAATTTCCAGACCTATGGGAAAATATTATTCCTTTCCCCCCAGCTTATTTGCCTCTACATCTTTTTGTCCAGGCTAGGACTAAGAGATCAGGGTTAAAATCAATGACAAAATTCACTGTGTGACCTTGTACTAGTCACTGTCTCTCAGCCAAACCTCCTTCTGTTCATGCACCTTGCAAGCTGGCCAAGAGAATCTGTCCAGATGAAAAGACGAAGAAGGGAGGGATGGGAAGAAAGATATGAAGGGTGGGATTAATCCTTTTGTCCTCCCTGTGAGTGAATCTGTGTGTGCACATGAGAGGGATTGTATGCATGCATGCGCACATGCGCCACACTCCGACTCATCACCGTATGTGTCCTCCAGAGCCTGTTGCTCTGCTGTGTTTGATTGGATTTGTCCTAAGTTTAATTTATGATACTCTGTTTCCATACATACTTTGATATGTGTGACTCACCTGGAAGAGCTGCCTTGGGGAATCAACGGTTGGCAATACTGTATTTCCATCAGTATGACAATGAAACCATAGTGGAGGATGTCAATAGAACTGAAGCTGGCCGGCATTTCAGTGTGTATGGATCCTTCTTTTGGGAAAGGAAGAAGTACCTTAACATACCTTTTCAAAACTCTTATGTTATCGGTGTTAGCTACATAAAGTTGCTCAGAAGAAAAACACAAAAAACTATGATAAAATAAGATTGAATTAGATGGTTATTTTTTAGGCACTTAAAACTACTGATGCCTAAGAGCACTAATGAGTGAGCAATACAGGGAATTTGTGTAATCTTTATTCTTAGACTGGGTTGTAAGGCTTTATTTGCTGGTCATTTCCAATTTCATCAAGTCAACTCAGTGCTACCTAGTGTCAGACAATGTTTAATGAAATTTTAACATCTTCCCATAATAATTAGTTTATTATTTCAGAAGCTAAATGGTAATAATTGGGCACTGAATGCTGGTGGTGTTTTTGTAATAGTAGGGGAAAGTACAAGAGCCTTAGAATTTCAATAATAAAACAATTTAGTTGTGTGCATTTTCTAACAGTGTAAAATTTTGCTTCTACATTGGTACCTCTGGTTACGTACTTAATTCGTTCCGGAGGTCCGTTCTTAACCTGAAACTGTTCTTAACCTGAAGTACCACTTTAACTAATGGGGCCTCCCGCTGCTGCTGCACCGCCGCTGCGTGATTTCTGTTCTCATCCTGAAGCAAAGTTCTTAACCCGAGGTACTATTTCTGGGTTAGCGGAGTCTGTAACCTGAAACGTATGTAACCTGAAGTGTCTGTAACCCGAGGTACCACTGTACTTAGTTATGGCCAGGTATGGGCAAATTTAATGGATATTATTAATATTTACATTGTCCTGTTTTAGTCCAGTATTTGAGGGGGTTTTGTTGCATATTAGGATATTGTGTTCTACAAGACCCAGTGTGGTATAGCAGTTAAGAGTGTCAAACTAGGACATGGAACACGGGTTCAAGTCATCACTCAGCCATGAAGCTCACTGGGTGACCTTGGGTCAGTCATTCTCTCTCTTGGTCTAACCTACCTCACAGGGTTCTTGTGAGGATGAAATGGGGAGGAGGAGAAGCATGGGGAACAAGGTGGGGTATAAATACAATAAATAAATAAATAACCACATGGTATTTCCCCCTTTTGTGTTTTGTCCTTTATTTTTTCTCTCTCCCTTTCTCTTTCTTTTCTTCTTATTGTTTCTTTTCATTCCCCCCCCCCTCTTTTTTGTCTCTCTTCTTTGTTTTCCTATTTTTCCTATTTCTTTGGAGTCCTATGTCTGGGGTCTTTATTAGGGTCCAGGGAATGCATGCTCGTGGGGTGGTAGGTGGTTGATGGAGGACTCTGGATGGGAGAACAGGGAAGTGTTGGTATCCCAGGGTAAGAGGCTGGGAGGAGAAAGGAAAGATCCCAGGTGAATACTGGGAGGAGCTACTTAAGAGAGAACTGTGTATGCTACTTATTTATATTTTTTGTAGCTGTTATCTTAGTGTATTATGAAAAACTTCAATAAAAATCTTATTCAGTGTATAAAACCATGAGATCTGAACCTGCTGGTTTGGGCTTTAGGGCCTGTCAAGCAGTAAAGGCTAGTACATAGTGTGTCATGGGAGGCAGGAACCCCCATGTTTCACTGTAGCACCCGAGTCTGTTCTGCCTCCATCAAAGACTCACACACACCCATTTATTTACACTCCCATTCTTGCAGCTTTCTCTCAGGCAATTCATTTATCTCTTTTTCACGATTTTAGTTTTGCCTTTTTTTCTCATTCCGATCACTCTTGAGTGTCAGTTGCTGTTCATTGGCTGTTCTGTTGCTCTCTTTCTCTCCCTCTCTCTCCCTCTGGTTCTGATTGCCATTTTGTGCTCTTCCCCGTTCTCCATCATCTCTGCCTCCCAATCACCATTTTGTGTTGTTCCCACTTCTTTTCTGGTCTGTTTTCTATATAAAGATAAAAAATAGTAAAAAATATTTCTCTCTGCTGTTTTCTTGTTTTCTCGCTTCCGCCCCTTTCTTCCGTTGTGTGTGACTGTGAGGCAGGAGCAGCGGGGTTAGCTTTGATCTATAAATAATAATAATATTACTATAAAACCATGAGTTTAGTCCATATGTTGCTAAAAGTAATTTTCATTTCTAAAGTAATTTTCATGATAGTGAGAAAAATTCAAAATGACTGAACTGCTCTTTTCACTGTAGTGAAAGTATTCCTGCATTAATATTCAGTCTTAAATTTGCATAACCATAAGCTTTGAACTGAATGGAATTATTGAATGAATGTAATAGGAGTCTGTTTGCAAGCATTAAGACATCACCAGGATCCAAAGAGAGTTTCTACATTGGCAGCAGCTCTCTGCTGTAATAGTTTACTGTGCCATGCAACAAAAAGCTCTTGAAACCCAGGGAAACTTCAGGAATGACCTATTACTGTATATTGTAAGATTGATTTAGATTGTGGACTGACAGAACAGGCACCTCTGTAAACTATCCACGCCTGTGCAAAAAGAAAAGAAAAATAACTTCTAGGACAGCCACCAATTGCCAAATTTGATTGCATTTGATAATAGAATCCTCAGGGCTTGTGCTAAAGGCAGGGATGCTTCAGGAAGTTGCTACACCAGGGGTCAGCAAAAGAGGGCTAGTTGACTGTCCCTCAGACCTTGTGGGGGGCCAGACTATATTTTGAAAAAAATATATGAAAGAATTCCTATGCCCCACAAATAACCCAGACAAATCCAACAAGAAAAGAATGTTCAAAACTCACATAGAACTGGGCACGTTTTGCAAAAGGGAATTTCATTAGCGTGAGCAGTTTATGAATTCTGGGTGCAGTATACTGCACCTAAGATTTTAGATTAAAATTGCCACTGATGGTGCTGAGGGTGTGGGAGGAGAAATTCCTCCCCATTCAACATCTGGCTGCAGCAGCCGGAGGGGACATGCTGCGTGTAGCAGGACAGGTAGGGGCTGAGAGAAAGGAAAAGACTGGGACAGCTGGAAGGGCCTGGCCCAGGCGCTGCCTTCCCTGGACCCCGCTGGGCTTCCATTTTGCTCCATTCGCCCAAGAGTTCACTCCCTCTGTCCCATGCCTCTGTTGCTCCGCCTTCATAGAAGTGCATTTGAAGTACTGTAGTACTCAGAATGGTATTTGAAGCAACCCTGAGAAGTAGTACTTGATGTGAATTTCTGTGAAGTAAAGTTGTTAGTGTTTGAAGTAGCCCTGAGATTATGAAGTGTTGGGAAATACTCTGGCTAACCTGCATTTACTTATCCCACCATTAAAAACAACATGAAATGAATTCATCCATAAGCATGAAGTGGTATTTCTCCTAAGCATTCTAACAGAAAACTCTATGTAGGAATAGCTGAATATTTCTTACTTGATACTCAATGGGTCGTAGTAATTAGAAACTAGCATGTTTGAGAATCTTTGAATTTTTGCCTGCACAAGTTATTATAGATGCACTCATACGGGCCATTTGTTGTGAAATTCTAATAGTAAATCAGCATTTTAAATTAAAGTACCTTTTCCATTTTCTTCTCCCTCTCCCAGCCAAAACTATCAAGTACATATGTGTGACTGGCATGTGAATAAGATTTTCTAATCATTCAGAGCTGCCATAACTAAGTGAAGCAAGTTAGAATCATCTAAAAGTAAATCATTCTGTGATTATTCATAACAAAAATAATCTTTTCTATCAAAGCCAAAAATAAACAAGTGAATTGTAATACAAATACTATATATTACTCTGCAGGAACAGCCTCTTTTCTGATAATGTTGTTATGACTACAAATCAGGACTAATATTACGGAAGTTATTGCTTTACTGAACAGGAAATAAACTCAGTCCAGTTTCTCTCTTCCCATCTTCAGTTTAGCAATTTTCAGTAAAATACCAATTGTTTTTTCTAAGAGTTTTAATTAAGTTATAACTAAGAGTGAGACACATTCCCTCTCTGTGGTTTTTGAGTCTTGCAAAGTTGGCCAACTAGCAAAACATCTAGAGCTGAATTTATTATGAAGAGGAGTAATTGTTTCTATCTTCCTCTAATGTACGTATATACCATTCTGCTTCTGAGAAGAAGTTCATAGACCACCATAGGGCAAGATAAGCTGGTCATCATATCACCAAGCACTCCCAGTAAGCAAGTTGCTCCAACTATTCTTGAGACCAGACTGTAGCCTTTAATGCCTTGATATCCTGCCTCCCCCTCCTTGGAAAGGTAGAAGACCTTGTGGGGCAGGCATCTGGCTCAGATTCCCAGCACTCCTCTCCAAGAGCTCATCCTGGGAGCACTCTGCCTATACTACTACACCAGCTCTGTGGTGTGAGAGGCTTTTGGAAGTAAGTATGCTAGCCTTTTGCTAGACCTGGATTGAGGTGTCTCAGTCCAGATGTTACTGCCATCTTGGTATTGGGCATTTTTCTTTCAGTTGTGGTTCTTGGGCCTTTTCCACCTTCCTTGGCACCACTGATCCCTTAGCCTCTGGGCCTGGGTCCAGGTCACTGCTGGCCTTTGGGGTCATGACAATACCTTTATTTATTTCCTGTTTATAAACAATGGGAGGCAGCATTCCCAGACTTGATACCCTGCAGATGTTTTGTAAAAGTCCTATCACCCTCAGCCAGCTAAGCCAGTGATGCTGGGAGTTGTAGAACAGCTTGGGGAAGGCTGCTTTGGAGAAGCAGCTTTCTTAAACGTCTCTTATAAAAGAGCCCCACTGTACATTTAACAAAAAGCGGGTTTGAATTTGGGTTCCCCTACGTCCAAACCTAATGCTACATCCATTATACCACCAGTATCAGGTGATAGTCTCATCAGGGATACTTTTTGCAAGTAGATGAGGAATAATTGTGCAGTCTTTTTTGTTTAGAAGAGGCTTTGTATATACCGTATTTTTCGCCCTATAGGACGCACTTTTTCCCCTCCAAAAATGAAGGGGAAATCTGTGTGCGTCCTATGGGGTGAATGCAGGCTTTTGCTGAAGCTTGGAGAGCGAGAGGGCCGGTGCGCACCGACCCTCTCGCTCTCCAGGCTTCAGGAAGCTATCAGCAAGCCTGGGGAGCCCGCAGGAGTTCCCGTAGGGCTCCCTAGGCAGCGGATAGCAGCCTGCCGCCCGGAGCGCTGGGCGCTCTGAAGTAGAGCGCCCCGCGCTTCGGGCAGACATCCGCAGCCTAGGGAGCCCTGCGGGAGTTCCCGCAGGGCTCCCTAGGCTGCGGATAGCAGCCTGCTGCCCGGAGCGCGGGGCGCGCTGAAGCAGAGCGCCCCGTGCTTCGGGCAGATATCCTTTTCTCCTCTAAAAACTAGGTAGGTGCGTTTTTAAAAGCTCGGGCTTCCCCCGCGGCTGGGGGGGGGGGATAATTTTTCCCCCTTTATTTCCCCCCCAAAAAATTAGGTGCATCCTATGGGCCGGTGCATCCTATAGGGCGAAAAATATGGTATATCACATTCTGCTATTGTTCAGTATCAATGATTTTATCATCTAGAATCAATTGGGTGTTCATTACTATTATCATTGCTCCCTTTTTGGGAACACTTTAGTATTCTGACACACAGTGAACAAGCAGTGACTAGCTTTCAAACTTGTCATCTTCCCAGTCAGCATGCAGTTACTTAACTGGCACTTGAAGGAGCTGAATATGTGTGCCCTGGAGTATGTTTAAAAATGTTCCAAGGGATTTCCATGGAAGCTATGTAAGGAAATTGTATATCTGGGCATGGGAATTTGCCATGCTGTATTGAAGTGCCTTTTTACTCTTCACTCTTTGAAGTGCCTGGTCTCATTTCTATGTAGACACATGTAACTGGGTGTCTTTACTGCCTAGCAACTCATTTTAGTCCTTGTGTATACCTAATCCACATAGAGGCTATCCATGGCTACCAGCCATGGTGGCTTTGCTCCGCCTCCATGGTCAGTCTCCTCCTAAAGACCAGTCGCTGGAAACCACAGGAGGGGGAGAAGGCCTTTGCACTCAGGTCCTGTTTGAGGGTTTGCCACAGGCATCTGGTTGGCCACTGTGAGAATAGGAGGCTGGACTAGATGGGTCAATGGCCCAATCCAGCAGGTGGTTCATACATTCTAAAGTACAGTTTATTCAGACAATAATTGTGAATTGGATTTCGTTCTTTTCCTTTTTTAAAAGAATTATTGCAAATGGAGCTACAAGCTTCTGAACTGAAGAAGGAACCTAGCACTTATGTGGCTTTGCCAGTTTATGAGGAGTGGGCAATAAAAACATACAAAACCATCAGCATTACACTGGCACCTCTGGTTACAAATGCATCTGGTTACAAACGCTTCAGGTTACAACCTCCACTAACCCGGAAGTAGCTGCTCCTGGTTGCGAACTTTGCCCCAGGATGCAAATGGAAATCGCGCGCTGGAGGCCCTGTTAGCAAAAGCGCACCTCAGGATAAGAACGGTTTCAGCTTAAGAACGGACCTCCAGAACAAATTAAGTTCGTAACCAGAGGTACCACTGTATAGTAAAAAAAGAAAATTACCGTATTTTTCGCTCCATAAGATACACTTTTTTCCCTCCTAAAAAGTAAGGGGAGATGTCTGTGCGTCTTATGAAGCAAATGCTGCACGGAGGAGGGACGGACGGGAGCCATGGCTCCCCTCCCTTCCCTCCTCCATGGCTCACTTTAAAGCAGCAAAGCGGGACAAGAGCCGCTTACATGGGTGTAAATCAAGCACAGCGGGAGCCATGTAATCCCTCCTCCCCCATGCTTGGCCACCCCATTTTGATGGGCGCGCACGCACCACCCCCTTGGGACGATGCTCGTGTGGGTGACGTCCCACATCCCCACAGGCAACGTGCCACCACGCAAGACCTTCCCTCCGCCACTGGTCTTGCTGGGACAGTAGTGCCTTCCTTTGCAGAAATGGGAAATTTGAAGTGTGGCTGTGGTTTGGTCCTTGTGTTGTGTACGAAGGTGTCAATTAGGTAGGTTTGACTTTAAATGGGAATTGAATCGGATTTCTCCCTCGTTCCTCCCAAATATGAAAGCCCCCAGAGCTCTCGGCAATGAACAAAAAGGAAGAAAGTCCCACTTCTTTTGGCTTTATTAAAATAATTGTGTAAGGCCAACCATACAGTCCTTAGATCTAAGGGACTCAACATGGGAAGCTCATATATTTCCATTGCCTGCCCCCCTTACTAGAGGATAAATTATTTATTTATTTATTTATTTATACCCAGCCCATCTGGCTGGGTTTCCCCAGCCACTCTGGGTGGCTTCCAACAGAACAATAAAATACAATAACCTATTAAACATTAAAAGCTTCCCTAAACAGGGCTGCCTTCAGATGTCTTCTAAAAGTTTCTTCATTTGTTAATGACAGTGTTGGTTCTTAATGCCACTGTTGACTGCTGTTCACTTTACATGGTTGAAATATTATCATGATACACCAGTAGGTTATTAAATAGTTTAGTACAACATTTGTTTCAGAATATTTTTTTCTTGTTTTCCTCCTCTAAAAACTAGGTGCGTCTTATGGTCAGGTGCGTCTTATGGAGCAAAAAAATACGGTATTATGAATTTTGAAAACTTTGATTTTCAGTCCTTCAGTATCAAGCAGACATGAAATATTCAGAGAAAAAGTGTGGCAGGGGAGAGACAATGAATGTTACATGAAATTTAATCATTCTTTTCTGAACTATCATGATCAGTTTCAGCTTTTTCGTATTTGTCATAATATTTATCATGGACTTCTAAAAATTGAAGGTTTGTGTAGACTGAAACAAGCTTCTCTGCTCTTTCACATTTCATAATACATATTCTTTTCCTGGAAAAAGACAAAGGTTTTGAAGGGGGAAAGAACAAACTTCCCTCTGAATATTTTCAATTTTTCCCCCTGGGCCTTTACACCTCTAATGATAAGCAACAATCCTCCTTTCATCTCTCTCTGCTTCCATTCTGTAATGGCTCGTCTGTAAGAAGAGGTCCTCTTGAAACATGAAGCTGCCTTGTGCTGTAAGATCATTGGCCCATCTCCCCCAGTCTTGTCTATCCCAACTGGCTGTGGTTATTCATGGTCTCAGGCAGAGCTATTTTCTTGGCACCTGGAGATACCAGGGATTGAATCCTGAACATTATATATGCAAAGAATTTCTCTACCACTGGACTGTGTCCCTCATCTCCATTATATTACCTGAATTGGCTAGCTTTCCATTGTTGTCTTTTAAAGAGAGATTTATTTCTACCATTTCCATTTCCATTTTCCTATTCCTACCACTTTACTTGATGTTACGTAAAGGTAAAGGGACCCAGGGTCGCAGACGGCTCTGGGGTTGTGGCGCTCATCTCGCTTTATTGACCGAGGGAGCCGGCATACAGCTTCCAGGTCATGTGGCCAGCATGAGTAAGCCACTTCCGGCAAACCAGAGCAGCGCACAGAAACGCCGTTTACCTTCCCGCTGGAGCGGTACCTATTTATCTATTTGCACTTTGACGTGCTTTCGAACTGCTAGGTTGGCAGGAGCTGGGATTGAGCAACGGGAGCTCACCCCGTCATGGGGATTCGAACCAGCGACCTTCTGATCAGCAAGCCCTAGGCTCTGTGGTATAGACCACAGCACCACTCGTGTCCCATTCACTTGATGTTAGCCTTTATTAATAATCTAAAAAGAAGTAATTCACTGGTTCTTCTTGCTCTCTGCAATAGTTATAACTATTTATAGCTCAGTTTTATAACAGAAGCAATGGAAGAAATTGTAATAGTTTATGTACTGTATGTTAGTTTAGTTAACAATATATAACAACGTAGTATGACACTTACTGATGTGTGTAAATAGCATTTAAATACAAAGGGTGATACCTAACATTAGTCATACTCAGAGTAGACCAGTTAAGTTGGATATCACCCAAAGTACTGCCTGCTCTAGCCATGGGAATGTAGAAATTATTCAATGAATTTTATAAAGAGAAGGCTCCTATGAGATGCATTTAGACATTTTCCCTACTTGGAACACTGCATAGGAATAAATGTAGTAGCTTACTTCAGAGGGATCAACATGAGTTATATTCCCTTCACCATCGCATATTCTATATTTATATTCATGTCAGTGATTTTCTGGAGTGATTTGTGGCCCATGCAATCATTTATTCTTTATTAAAACACCTGAGCATATCAAGGCACATTGTTCTCAGTCAATCTGGAGAGCTCCTGAATGTGGTCATTTTTGGAAACACAAGTACCCTTTGGTTTCAACAACATCTGCAAGCATGGAAAACAATTTTCACAAAGCTTCTGTAGGTAACACCCAAAGTGTTTGTTGATAGAAGGCAAGTGGATCATAGAATGAAATGCATGTAGTATAAATTAGGCATTGAGAAGATTTGTCAAGGACGTTTACATTTATGCACCCTTTTGTGATTTATACATTCTTACAATATTTGCTTTTTCTATGGGCAAATCTTAATTGATTATTTTGTAATGGCCTGAATGCAGTATGGTGAAGCATAGTTTGGTTTCTCTTTTTCTTATAAGTGCTGATGAAAGGCAAAACTCTCACAATTGCCTCCTATTGCTTTGAAATAATGATTAGCTTAGCTCTATGAAGAGCTGTCAGGGTTGAGCTGTGGTGCCTGCAGCACATTCTGGAGTATGCTGATAGTGGGCAAACTCCTCCCAAACAGGTGAAACGATAAGTGTTCAACATTCCCAGTAGAAGAAAAACAACATAAACCATGCTTTGACACGAAGCATCTAATGATATAAAGGCAGTTGATAGGCTGGCGCCATTGCACACTCAGATGACTGTAGCACACACTTGTCTATATTGCTCACTAAATGAATCAGGCATTCATTTAAAGGGAGGCTTTTGCAGCAGAGAGCATTGAAAACACATGCCTAATAGGTACATTCATTTTAATAGGCTCATTCATTGAGCTGGCCTGATTAATTAGTGCATGTCACCATCTGGTACTTATGGAGACTATTCATTTTTAGAATGCTGAAATTGCAGGGAATAGTGCACACCAATTAAGTTCCTTTTAACTGGATTATGTTGGTATAAAGTATTAGTGTAGGAGGTCTTCATTGTGATTCAGACAGCACACATCTGAAGAGGACCTGCCAGAACAAAGAAATAGTGCCTGAAATACATAGAAGAAAAAAGAGGCTGCATGTATCTCTTTCATTAGACAAATTGTTAATACCAAGAGAAGTGAACATAAGAAATTGCTTGTAAGCAAGTGGAGATTTCAGGCAAAGTCTGTCTGTCTGTCTCTCTCTCTCTCTCTCTCTCTCTCTCTCTCTCTCTCTCTGTGTGTGTGTGTGTGTGTGTCCTGGATATAATGTAGCTATTTCCCCCCTAGCTTTTGCCTTGATGTCTTTAGTATCACAGGAAGAAGTTAAAATACCAGTATTCACTTTTTCCTCAATCTTACTTTTTTTTTTTTTGGTATTCAAAACCATAGCTCACTCTTGTCTCGGAAGACTACATTTTCCTACATTAGAGTTAATAAAATCTACACAAAAAACTTTCACAAATTAATGCACTGAAAGGTCCAATAACCCAATGAAAGAATTTTAAATTTTTGTTCTCTACACACCTATCCTTATACTTTGTGCAGTGCATTATTACAATTTGACCACATTCATGTTGATATTGTTTGCAAATAGGTTATTTCTTATTTTGCTGTGTTCTTGCTTGCTTGCTTGTAACTGGTTTTACCCTTTTGAGCAACAGGGAAGTTTGTCATCAAAGGGGACTGTCAAGGGATTTCTTTTGCTGTCTCTGCCAGCCTTCAGGTTATTTAATTCATTAGTGTCTTCCATTGTCTATAATACCGATAGGCTTTTTTAATGCTATAAAACTAAAGCACTTTGAAATATTCTATCAGCACCACTGAAATTAGGGCACCTAATGAATAACAAAGGGTGTTCATGAAAAGTATTCATCCCACAAACTGACTCTGATTTTAAGTCCTCTCTCCTGTCTGTCTCAATTCATTTTGTACTGTTTGGCACCTAGACATGAGAAAGCAGTTTGATCCGATTTATTATATTTCTAAGCCGCTTTTCATTCAAATGAATCCCAAAGCAATTTACAAATAATAAATAACAGTAACATGACAGAACATAATAGAACATCACCAATACAACATAAATCATATAGAGTAATTAACAAATTATCAGTGAAACAATTACAATGTATAAAAACACTGTTAACAAAGCAACAACTATAAAATAAGTTAAACATCACAATTAAAGCAAAAGTCTTATGATTAACAAATCAATGCAGCATCTATAATCTATAAAACAATTGTAACATTAACAAAACAGCAACCCAAAAATAAACTAATTAATATTTATTATGATTTATTCAATTTATATACCACCCTTTATCAAAAGATCCCAGGGCAGTGTACAACATTAAAAACACATTACAGAACATCAATGATAAAAACATAGTAAAAACATGGTAAAAGGCGTACTGACAGAAAGCCGAATAATAAAATAATCCTATACTCTCTCCACACCCCATTGCTCATAATACACATATTTTTTTCTATTTTAACGTGGTGATCATAAAAGACTTAAGTTTTTGCACCTGTCTTAAAATTTGAAGTCCAATGGAAGGCATCATTTTGCCACAGTCTGATTAGTAGAAAACAGTGGTTCTAAAGATGTTGAAGCAAAGGCTGCTTTATCAAGGCAAAGAACACATACATATAAGCCAACCAGTCCTTTAAAAACCTTGTGAAGTCAAATTCTTTGGTGGTTATGCTAGTGTATTTTCTAAGACATTTCAGTCTCCTGACACTGCTTTAAACAGATAAAAGCTTTTCAATGGCTACTTGAAAGCAGGTGATAGCCAAAGTAATATTTCTCTCAACTATCTTCCTAATTATCTTCAATATTTTGGGAAGCAATTTCTTAAATTTAAACTTTTGAAGCAAGAATATATAGAACATACTTGCCTACCTTATATTCATATTGTTTTATACAGTAATTGTGTGCAATATTATCTTGTATGCAACAGCTAAAAGTAGTATGCATGTTCTACTGTCTTATAAGATTGTTTATGAGATAGTGAACCAAGGCTTGCATGTGATATTATTATTATTATTATTATTATTATTATTATTATTATTACTCCGCCCATCTGGCTGGGTTGCCCCAGCCACTCTGGGTGGCTTCCAACACATGTGAAAACATAATAAAACATTACACATTAAAGGGCTTCCTGATACAGGGCTGCCTTCAGATATATTCTAAAAGTTGTGTAGTTCTTGATCTCCCTGACATCTGATGGGAGGGCGTTCCACAGGGCGGGTGCCACTGCCAGGAAGGCCCTCTGCCTGGTTCTCTGTAGCTTCACTTCTTGCAGTGAGGGAACCACCACATTCATCTTGTGTTATACTGCAGCTCCATCTGGTGTTTGGTAGGAGTGGTTACCTATTAAGTATAAAAATTAACAGTATCACTTACTATAAAGCAATCTAGTATTTATGCAGAGTGACCTGATTTCATTACCTGTACTTGCTGCATACCACAGTGTGATAAAGGCCAACTGCCATTATATTCTGAACAGTATTGTATTTTGTGAAATCCAATTTAGTAATGTAGTTGTCAATTTACAGTAAATTTGTGTGCATTCCATAACATCCACACACAAGGAGACAGCCACTAAATCAACATCAGAATAGTTTTTTCACTAAATAAATAAAGTTTCTCTGCTCAAGTGATATTCATTCAAATCAGTCAAACAGATTTCTATTTTTCCACACAATTCTAGACGTAAATAAGTTGATGTTTGGTTTTTTCCTTTGAGGTTAGTCATTACAAAAACAAATTGCAGTTAATTTTCAGATTGACTATTCTCTAAGGCAGCTTCCTTTGTGAGCAACTGCTTAAAAGACAACTTGCTTGTAGGCTGCTCCATCCAATATATATTTGTATAAACAGCTTCTTATGTGGTTTCAGCATTTTTAATCATGTGATCAGAAGCAAAATGAGAGGAGACAATGATTTGGTTGAAAATCACTGGTACTACATGGGTGTCCCTCATACAGATAGTTGACACATGGAACAGCCTCCATGCGGTTGCATTTGAAGCAAGACACAACACTCACAATGTCGCTTAGCTACAAATCTCAGAGTTCTAGGAAGGAGGGACTGACCTAAGCAACTCTGAAGATTATAGCTCCTAGAGGGGAGTAGATGTTTCCTAACAACTCTCAGAAGCCTTAACAAACCACAGCTCTCAGGATTCTTTGTGGAAAGCCATAACTGTTTAAAGTGGTACAGTAACTACTTTAAAGTAGTGACTACTTTAAAGTACCATCTGCACTATAGGCTAACTAACTAACTAGTGTTAGTTTATCAAATCGTACTTCTTGCTGGGATTATGTATTCCATGGTCATGTCAGGTTAGGGAAGGCTGATAAAGTGTTGGTTTGTTCCTATATTAAAACACATTTTTTATCCTGCCCTTTCTCTGGGTTCTCTGTATACCTGTTTCATCTCACAATAACCCTCTGAAGTAAGTTTGGGTGAAAGATGGAAGGGTAAATAGAACTTCTGAAGTTCCTTCTTCTACAGGTTGGGAGATATAACCTCTTGAGTGGGAACTAACTTCTCATTGATCATTTATGACCATTTTTTCTTCTTTTTTAGGATGACCAGGATTTGATTACACAGACAAGATGAACAAGCAAGATAACAAATAAAGGATCTTACCATGCATTGAACAACTTCTGAGAGTCAGGTGCTTAGCCCTGGGAAAATGTCTGCTTGCAATTCATTCACTGAACATGTCTGGAAACCTGGTGAATGTAAAAACTGCTTCAAGCCAAAAAACTTGCACCAACTGCCTCCAGCTTCTGAAAAACCTCCCGTCTCTACAAATCTGAAAATCAATGCAAGTCACAGCAACAACCAACGTACTAAAAATACAGGAAATTTTCGACCTCCTGTGGCAAAAAAACCCACTATAGCTGTGAAACCCACCATGATGACAGTAGATGGACAGGGTATATGTGGCGAGGTCAGCCCACAAGATCTTTGCGAGAACAAGCCAATTGCAGGCTGGAACCAAAATAGGACTGTCTTGAAAAAAAACACACATAACAATAATAATAATGAAGAAGAAATTGAAGGTTATGGTCATGTTCATAGGCCTTATGGGAATGGTGATGGTGTAGGTAAAGCTCCAAGCAACAATAATGGACTGACAGAAATGTTGAAGGAAATTGCAGGCTTGGACACGTTGTCTTCTCTAACAGGAAATGAAATTAATTCAAGGGAAGCATTCTTGGGAAGAATAAACAATTGTTATAAAAAGTCATTAGAAAGAAAGGTCCCTCCAAGTTGCATGTTGGGTGCCATGAAGGATTCGCAAAATAAGCATGTTGTTCTGAGTGGAAGCACTGATGTAATAAGTAATGAAGGTGGTCGTTTCTGTTACCCAGAATTCTCCAGTGAGGATGAGAGTGAGGATGATCTGCTTTTTGGCAATATGCATGAAGACCATGAGAGCTGGGATGAAAGTGATGAAGAGCTGCTGGCAATGGAAATTCGCATGAGGGGACAGCCACGCTTTGCTAACTTTAGGGCTAATACGCTATCACCTGTCCGATTTTGTGTTGACAAAAAATGGAACACAGTGCCTTTAAGGAACAAGTCTCTCCAGAGGATTTGTGCTGTGGACTATGATGATAGCTATGATGAAATTTTGAATGATTATGGAGATGACACTGTGATTCTTTATGGGCAAGCAAGCATGCAAAGCATGGTGTCATCTGATTCCATGTCTCCTGACTCTTCTTTGACTGAAGAGTCTCGCTCTGGGACAGCAAGCAGTTCTTCTCAAAAGCTCTGCAATGGTGGATTATCTCCTAGCACTCCTAAAGATATCAAATTAATTGAGGAAGAATATAAAAGCTTTTGTGATGATCAGCAATTGACAGTTGTAACTAAAAACCCTCAAATTGCTACCAAAACTTTGGAGACTCATAAGGCTGTGCTTGCCCTTAGGTTGGAAGAAAAGGATGGCAAGATTGCTGTTCAAAGTGATAAGCAAGAATGCTGTAGTCCTTCAGGTATGCCAAGTCAAGCATCAGCTGCAAGTTTACTCCCCGTTGAAGAACAAGCAAAACCTTATAGGGTAGTAAACATGGAACAACCCATATGCAAGCCATACACTATTGTGGATGTATCAGCAGCCATGACCCATGAATGTACAGAGAATCGAACGAGAAGCTGTGATTCAAAAAGTACCCTATCTAATCCAAATTCACACGATACTCTAAGTACAAAGGTTGCGCCTCATTCTGTATCATCTGGGCAAGTGAACACCAATCTTAAAAAATCTAGTGCAGTCAGATACCAGGAAGTTTGGACTTCCAGTACAAGCCCACGGCAAAAGATTCCTAAAGTGGAACTAATTCCCAACACACCAGGACCTTCTGTACCTTTAAGGAAGAACATTCACAAATCTGCTCCTGCTTCACCTACATCAACCAATATTTCTACAAAAACAATCCCTGTTAAATCTCCTAACCTGTCTGAAATAAAATTCAATAGTTACAATAATGCTGGCATGCCACCCTTCCCAATCATTATTCATGATGAGCCAACGTATGCTAGAAGTTGTAAGAATGCAATCAAAGTTCCTATTGTAATCAATCCCAATGCATATGACAATTTAGCAATCTATAAAAGTTTTCTAGGGACTAGTGGAGAGCTCTCTGTAAAAGATAAAACCACAAGTGTCATCAGCCACACATATGAAGAAATAGAAACAGAAAATGCCGCTCTGAAAAACATAACTAGCAAATCTACTGAACTCTCCCAGGCTAAAGGGTTAACTAATAGCTCTGAGAGAAGACTGGGCTCTGTGGCTCAGAAGGTTCAGGAGTTCAACAGCTGTCTTGGCAAAGGTCTGACTTCATCCAAAAGCTCTGATCACAGCTCCCCAACAAAAATACCAAGAACTCTTCATGATCCTGTGGCCAAAACAGAAGAGACACAGGAGATATGTAGTGGAAGTAGGGAAAATGCCTGTACAGTACTATCACAAATTGTGGCTTCTATCCAGCCTCCACAGTCTCCCCCAGAAGTATCTCAGACTGGACCCAAGTCTTGCAGTGCGGAAGAATTGTATTCTCTGCCTCCTGATGCAGACACAGGTGAAAGTGTCCCAGTGCGGCCCAAATCTCTCTTTACCACACAGTCGAGTCCTGAGAGTGAGGCAGGAAATTCCAGAGAAATGGTGCCTAAGGAAACCCTGTCCAAGTCACTAGTTGCCTATTCCTCAAAGCCAGTGGCTGCCTCCCAGAATACCACAAATCCCAAAACTGAACAGACTCCCCCATTTCCTCCTCCTCGTTCCACGTCTTCACCATATCATGCCAGCAAAGTGTTGCAAAGACATTTCAGCAATTGGACCAAACCCACAAGCCCCATAAGATCAACAGAGGCTGAATCAGTATTGCATTCTGAAGGTAGGCGAGCTGTTGATGCAAAGCCCAAGCGTTGGATATCATTTAAGAGCTTCTTTCGTCGCAGAAAGACTGATGATGAGGAAGAGAGAGAAAGAGAAAAGGGGAAACTGGTGGGTCTTGATGGAACTGTCATTCATATGCTTCCACCTCCTCCTGTTCAACGGCATAATTGGTTCAGTGAGTCAAAATCAGATTCAAGTGAGAAACCCTCAATTGTGTTTATGTTTAAATGTGAACAAGCAAAGATGGAGGCAAAATCTGATCGAAACAAGACTGAAGTAGAGCCAGCAGTTGAAGTTGTGGTATCCGAAAGAGACGAGAGGGAGAAGTCTTCAGAGGTATTGGAAGAAAAGAGCCATTCTTCACCACCTAATATTCCAAAGGAAATTCTCAGGTAAAAATAGATAAAGGTTTCACTTGACAATTTATGCACCTTGCTATATATTTCCAAAAGTGAGAAATTTAAAGGCTGCTAAATAAATGTACACATAATGTTTACAATTCATTAGACAGCCATTTCCATTAATGGTAACACCACAAAGTTTTTGGGAATCTATTTATTAACACTGTGTTCCTTTACACCAGTGTTCAGTAGATTTGGTGGAACTGCCTAAAACTCCATTTGTGTATGGAGAATAAAGTGCAGAGAGACTCCCCATGGAACTGAACCCTAACCCTCCCCTTTCCTGCCAGCCTCACATCAGGTGCAGTGCAGCATGTGGAGCTATTTATGAGAAGCACCCCAGCACACACGGTGCTCATAAGAGAGCTAGGAGTAGTGGCCCAACATGGGTAGGAGGATGGAGAGGGGTGTGTCAGTTGATTTTCTCAGCAAGATGATGATGATGAAGGATTAAATGGCAGGGGTATATGCATCAGTATATAGAGCCTCTTTCTTGTCTGTACACAGGGAGCAGAACCGTGGCCTAACTTGCTGGGGAGGGGCGGGAACCATGAGTTTTGGCACCTTGCAGACTAATTTATTATGTTATAAGCTTCCATGATTAGTGTTCACTTCATCAAATGTATAAAGAGGCTTTGCATCCGATGACGTGAGCTCTGTTGTGAAGACATCGGACGGCAGCCCTGTCCCTGGTAGTTTTTAATGTCTCACATTTTATTATGTTTTTATATGTACTGGAAGCCACCCAGAGTGGCCTAAAATTATTGTTAAATTATTATTACTATTCAGACTGACGGAAAGTACCCCATGAAGCACTCAGGAGTCAAGCTGTATTTCAAGTAGACTTTCTTCAAGTTGCAGTCTTGCATCATCATAAAGCAATCTTCTTACATCCAGGAATCATCATACACAGGAGGGATCACATACACGGGAGAAGCCAGCAGGGGGAGTCAGCCATACCTACAGTGGTACCTCGGTTTTCGAACAGCTTAGTTCATGAACAACTTGGAAATTGAATGCTGCAAACCCGGAAGTAGGTGTTCCGGTTTGCAAACTTTTTTCGGAATCCAAACTGTTCCGTTTTGAGTGTTACACTTTCTTTTTCAGTGCCACACTTCTGTTTTGAGTGCCCCCACTCCTGCTTGCATGAGAGTAGGAGCTGGATGGGGTAGCTCAGCTGGGGAGCACAAAGCCTCTATTTCCCTTGAGGGGAGAAGTTTAAAGGAGCCCCCACCTCAGCATCAGAGCCCATGCACCACCTGAAGGCAGCCAGGTGGAATAGTTCCTGGGGTGGCGAAAGTGGAGGTAGCCTAGCAGCTGCATCTGAGAGCCCCTAAACTTCTGCTGAGGCAGTTGTCAGGCTGTCTCCACATTGCCACACGATGCTCCTTTAAACTTCTCTATTGAGGTGAACGCAGCCAGTGATGGAAAAGTGATGGAGCCTGCGCCTCGCCAGCTTAGCAGCCCCAATCCAACTCCTACTCCCATGCAAGCAGGAGCAGGGGCGGAGATCTCTCAGCTGGGAAGCAGAGGCGCTCCTCAGCTGAGCTGCCCCATTCAGGGGCAGAGGAAGGGGATGCGGTAGGTGCAGGCTGCCCTGGGTGTCACCACTGAGGGGGGTGACAAAATGCCAGGCGGCACTCACCGCGGGGCCTGCAGGGGGTCTCTCCTTGGAGAGACATGGTGGCTTGAGCACACACAGGCTCCACGCTGCCCAAATGATCCACCCACTGCCTCCCCCCCCCCCCAGCTGTAGGGCGGTTGAGTGGGAGGAGGCAGGTAGACTCCAGAGGCCCTGCAGTGCGCCACACCCCTGGGCGCGCCACCCCAGGCACCCGAGTGGCTTCCTCCGCCGCTGGCCCCATCCAACTCCTACTCCCGTGCAAGCAGGAGTGGGGGCAGGGATCTCTCCGCTGGGAAGTGGAGGCTTTGTGCTCCCCAGCTGGCATTCAAAATTAAAACTGAAACTATCCAGAAAACCACAAAGCCAACAAACTTGCAACTCATGAAAAAGCAGCCACACCACAAACTGAAAAAAGCAAACCAACCACAAGTGAATCAAAATCACAAGAAAACATAAAACAACACTGACCCTAACCCTAATTCTAATCCTTACCCTAACACCAACCCAATCCTAAAATTAACCCTAACCCAGAAATGGTCTTGTTAAATAGTGAAATTCATGTTAAATTGCTGTTTTAGGGGTGTGCGTTTTTAAAAGTCTGGAAATCCATTTTGCGTTACTTTCTATGGGAAAGCGTGCCTTGGTTTTAGAATGCTTTGGTTTTAGAACAGACTTCCGGAACGGATTAAGTTTGGGAACCAAGATACCACTGTATTTATCCTAACTGGCTATAGATCAGTTAGGCAATGCCCCACCACTCATGATGCTGACTCATACCGCCAGAGTCAGCATTTCCACTTCACACAGTGTTAACTCCTTGATACCCACAACACTCCCAACAGGCTCTGGTCCCCAAAAGCTTGTGGCATAGTAAATTTGTTAGTCATTATAATGTCACAATACTCTTTGTTATGTTTTGCTGCAACAGACTAACATAACTACCCCGCTGGAAATGGTAATTTAAATCTCCATGTTTTACTGAAATAAGACATCACAGAAACTGGTTTTTAACCTTAAAACTGATTTTTAACCTTAAAATATCAGTACCTCTGATTTATTACAAACACTGAGATATGCTTGAGCATTTTCCATCCTAAGTTGGATGAACCCAGTAGAGTAAATGTATATAGTATTGCACCCTTAGTGTTTGAAGTAACTTATTTCTAGAAATTATTATCTGTGCAAATAGAATCAGAACTGAATAACCTCATGATACTGTACTTATATTTATGGGGTGTATATTCTTGCCATATAGTTTTGTTACCTGTGTATGCTATATTTGTTATACTTTGAGTTGTCAGATTTTTTTTTCAATCATTGCTACTTTAGGGGAAGGAAAAAAAATTATGTGAAATGTAAACTGCAAATCTTTAACATTTGCAGCCTTCACAATTCTGTCTTACAGTCGTACCTTGGAAGTCAAACAGAAACCATTCGGGAAGTCTGTTTGATTTCCAAAACGTTCGGAAACCAAAGCACAGCTTTGATTGGCTGCAGGAAGAAGCTGCAGCCAATCAGAAGCCCCATCAGATGTTCGGCTTCCAAAAATAGTTCGCAAACCAGAACAGTCATTTCCGGGTTTGCGGCATTCGGGAGCCAAAACGTTCGGGAACTAAGCTGTTCCAAAACCAAGGTACGACTGTACTTGGATTAGCTTTGAGGCAATCATGTCAGTTTTTATTGAGTTTTCATAGCATTACATCCCTGAGTAAACAAAGCAGAACCAATAACAATCAATACCGGTCTACCACGTAAAAAAGGAATACATCAAAACAAGAGGTAAATATCATATACATCACTTCTAACTTGAAAATCAAATGACATAAACTGAAAGCTATGTACACAAATCTTCATGTGGCTTTCCTGCATGCCATCAGGAACATAGGAGTGGTGGCGATCCCACCCTGGATACCGAGGATCAATTAGCGGAACAGGCAGGGGCTTCTTGCTAATCTTCACATCTTCTCTTCCCAGCCTGGGACAAGGGCTCTTACCATTTACTGTTGCACTTGTTAGAGCAGAGTCCAGATCCTTTTCACACATAAGGAAATAAAACAAAACAAATTTCTTACTTTGTCCTTGGAGTTGCCTGCCTTCTTTCTGCATTTCTTGATTGTCCAGCCTGAGGCGGTGCTCTTGCAGACTTGAGCTGAGGAGAGGTGCTGGGGGGGGGGGGGAGTGCCATCTGCTGCTTGGGACTGGAGCTCTTTCAGCATGTTGTCAGGCTGCTGGTTATCACCCACAAGCCATATTTTGCCTTTGTGATGGACTATCAACTTTAAAAGGAAGCCCCGTCGATATACTTTGCCCACTTCTTTTAGTGCTGATGTGTAAGAGTGGAGAGCTGTGGCCAGGCTGATATCCTGGAACATTTCGGTGGTAGCTTCACCGTATTTTAGGTTTCTAACATTCTGTAGTGCTCTGAAAATTGAGCCTTTGAGCCTATAGTGTTCAAAGCAAATTAGCATAGTTCTGCTTCTGCCTCCCCCATGTCCTCTCTCTGTGCCATTGGAGGACAGTGGTATGTTAAAATTCAGGGAGAATAGCCAGTCAATAATGAATTGAACCATGTCCCCCTCTTCCTGATTCTCCGGTAGGCCTCGTAGACCAAAATCTTTGCCTCCTATCCCTTTCTGATTGTTCCTCCAGCTTCATAGGTAAATCTTCAGTCATTTATAAAACCTGGATCTCAGACAGGTTGATTAGAGCAAGATTGTGTGCATAAGTTACTGTTTTAGAAATAACTGACAATTCATTAGGTAGCATATCAAATTGGGCTTCTGTTTCTGGTAGCGAGCACAGAAAGTCATTCCCCTGGGCTCTCTGCAGATATGGAGGGACAGTTGGGGGCTAGCATTCCCCTTAAAACCTCTGATGAAGTTGGAGGGTGTGATGTGAACCCACAGACATCTTTAAATGCCTGCTTTGGTCTTAGACGGAGTACTAAGTAGACGGAATACTTTGCCAGGAAAGGGGAGGCAGGATGCTGGATTTTATTGGGACTCCATTCTTGAGAAAGCCTCAGTCAACAACCATGTTTGCTGTGGATCTCCTTTGATTTCAGACAACTGGGCCAAAGTGAAAAGGCGCCCCAACTGACATGATGTCAACAAAAGCTGTTGGAGACTGTTGTTGTTTAGTCGTGTCCGACTCTTCATGACCCCATGGACCAGAGCATGCCAGGCACTTCTGTCTTCCACTGCCTTCCGCAGTTTGGTCAAACTCATGCTGGTAGCTTCGAGAACACTGTCCAACCATCTCGTCCTCTGTCGTCCCCTTCTCCTTGTGCCCTCCATCTTTCCCAACATCAGGGTCTTTTCCAGGGAGTCTTCTCTTCTCATGAGGTGGCCAAAGTCTTGGAGTCTCAGCTTCAGGATCTGTCCTTCCAGTGAGCACTCAGGGCTGATTTCCTTAAGAATGGAGAGGTTTGATCTTCTTGTAGTCCATGGGACTCTCAAGAGTCTCCTCCAGCACCAGAATTCAAAAGCATCAATTCTTCAGCGATCAGCCTTCTTTATGGTCCAGCTCTCACTTCCATACATCAGTACTGGGAAAACCATAGCTTTAACTATACGGACCTTTGTTGGCAAGGTGATGTCTGCTTTTTAAGATGCTGTCTAGGTTTGTCATTGCTTTTCTCCCCAGAAGCAGGCGTCTTTTAATTTTATGACTGCTGTCACCATCTGTAGTTGGAGACTATTCAACTGTTAATTGAAGGTTTGGAAAGATGCTAATTTCTGCTGCGATGGGATTTTTAAAGAGCAGAGTAGACAGTTTCCATGTATTATTTCCTTCTCAAGGGTTTTTGTAACTACCCTCCTCTTAGCAATTGCAAGAGAAATTCCCTGCATCTCTCTTGAATCCTCCCTTTGTTCATGAACTCAGAATCCACACACAGACCCCAAAGTGCCCTTTTAATCATGTTTACATTTTGTAGAAACAAAATGCAGATTTAGATGGTGTTCATGTTCTGTTTTAGACTGTGATTTAGGATTTGCCATCCTGTTTTAAGCAAAATCTGTGCCTATGTAACCCATATGGCTTAATTAGCACAAGAACTAGAAATATTACAATTTAGCAGTCAGATAGTAAGAGAGTCCTTGACTTGGGACCAGGGGTGGCTGGAGTGATGCAGAACTGAGACTGTAAAAGACCTTTTAAAACTTTCTACCTTCTGGAAATCCTTTTGCTCAGTCTGCTTAGAAACCTGTGACAATTGTCACAAAACCTTTGTACATTGTAGCAGATTTGGGGGAAATCACTCTGGATCAGGATAGAACATTGGTTGTGGTTTATCAAGCCACCGTCAGCTGGTTTGAGGTGGAATGTAGGAAGGAAAATGGTAACTGGTTCACTGGTTCAGTGATTGGGCCCATCGCATACAATCTTTGGGGCCATATGATGTGACATGCACTTCCCTGGTATTGGGCGGATTGCTCCTGCAGGACTTGGCAATGGAGATGCCTGCCCAAACTCTCAATAGATCTCATGATCTTGTAGGATGTGGGGAGGGAGAGAGCACAGATGACTGGAAAACTGCCTAAGAAGGAGCAAGGGTAACAAACATGCGCAGGGTGCCGAGCAAGTGCCCTTCCCTCCAGCTAGCTCTTCAGTTGGGGTAGCAAGTTTGGCAACAAATGCAATAAAGCAAAGGTCCTCGCCCCACCTCTTCCTTGGCATCTGCTTTTTTCTGCTGTCACCCCTACAGCTACTTTATGTATTTAGGACTCTGGCAGGCAGAAGTTTTGCCATTGTGCATTCTGAAGTCTTCATTGAAGCCTTGTCTTGTCACTTTCAAACATGCAAATGAAGAGAGAAGTCTGTCGGTTGCTGATGACACAATAATCTTAGTTCTGTACCAAGAACCTTTTCTTTACTACTGTTTCTAGGAAGACTGAGCATTTGAGGTCTGTCTGAGATCAAAGGTCATCTATTCCACTAACAGAACTAACTACCTCCCCCTCCTCTCAGTCAATCAGTGCTTCTCTTGCATACGTGGTTTCAGGAGGAATAGCCAACAAACATCAAGAACAATATTATAATATAAATGTATCTCTCCTTTTTTCTATAGAGATAATGGAGGGGTGCATGATGCTATTCCTTTTTGTCCTAACAGGAACCCTGTGAGATAGTTACATTAACAGAGAGTTATTTTCCCAAGACTGTTCAATAAGCTCATGATGAACAAAAGTTTGAATCCAAGTATTGAGTCCACAACCAATACCTTATTCACTGTAAAACACTTGCTCTTACCACTTGATCCAAGGCTTAGGGTTTATGATAGTAACTTTAAAATTTACATCAATGTTGGGCTAAGAATATGCCTTTGTCAAGATGGACTTTGTGCCATTTATAGCATTCGGTATTTTTTCATATGGCCATAAGACACTTTGGCCAGCAATAAATTGAAGATATTGCCCATCATTGCAATGGTGGATTATATAAAAGGGGATATGCATTATAGATAATGTTTGTTTATATATAAAGGGGATATGCATCGTGCTGCATATTTGTGGAGGCAGTGGAACTTTGAGGTTGGGCTGTTTCTCAGGTTTTATCCAGTTTCTTGTATATTTTGGCTGGATCAGATTTTTTAAGGTTAGACTTCATTGGAGGAGTCTTTCCACAGACCTATTTGTCACCTGCAAGAAACTTGATGAAGAAGCAGGGGGGTGAGGGAAGATAAATGTGATGCTACCAGAAGGGATAGCTCAGTCAGTAGATAATGAGACTGTTAATCTCAGGGTTGTAGGTTCAAGCTCAGTGTTGGGCAAAAGATTCTTGCATTGCAGGGGGCTGGACTAGATTACTTTTGTAGTCCCTTCCAACTCTACAGTTCTATGATTCTAAGTCAAAATGTTGTCATACTTCTCTCATTTAATTGCTAAGAGATTAAAGCTTTCAGTAAAATTAATATCACCTGTAAAACTTCATTCCTCGGTTTGGAACTCTAGCCTCTTCGCTTGATTCTTGTGCCTGAATCAGAAATTGTCATTGTCTTATGTTGAGTTTAGGTTTAGTAGATACAGGTCTTTGCTACTTCTAGTGAGAGAAGTTTGCATGTCAGATTGACATTTCTTATAGTTTGAAAGAGAATGAGAGGCCCTTAAACTTTGTTGTTCTGGACTGTTGGTCCTGAGTTGCTGGAAAATAATAAAGACTTGTGGGGTTTTTTTGGTTTTGAAAGAAAAAAAGAGGAGGCTCTTCATTCCTTCTTCAGTCCCTGCTGCTTCCCACTTCCCAGCTTTGCATGCAAAGAGCTTAGGTTCAATTTCTGGCATCTCTAGGTGGATTTAAGATATATATATATATATATATATATATATATATATATATACACACACACACACACACACACACACACACACAGGCTGGCACCCCTCTGGAGGCTTTACCTGGGGCAAAGAAACCTGGCTAGCCCCACCCCCTAAGCTAAAGCAGCTTCCTGTGTTCCTATTTTGGGATTGATATTCCTTTACTTCAGTGGGTGTTGGGATGCTCATATTTGCCCTTGCAGGGAGACCAGTCCAGATTCGATCAGGATTTGTAGTATAGAGGTATTAAATTAAATAACTATTGTTTGTTTGCTGCATCTTTATGCTAACTTTTATCTTAGGAGCTCAAGGTAATATGCGTAGAATTGGAGTTGGAAAGGACCACCAGGATCATTTAGTCCAACCCCCTGCAATGCAGGCATTTTTTGCCCAATGTGGGGCTTGAACCATAATTTCTCTCTCCCTCAGACACACACATGCTCATAACAGGCATGCCAGGGGGTTGGACTAGGTACGTTAGTTTGAGATATGAAGGGTATAGTCCAGGGGTCAGCAAACCTTTTCAGCAGGGGGCCGGTCCACTGTCCCTCAGACCTTGTGGGGGGGCCGGACTATATTTTGAAAAAATAAATAAATGAATTCCTATGCCCCACAAATAACCCAGAGATGCATTTTAAATAAAAGCACACATTCTACTCATGTAAAAACACGCTGATTCCCAGGCCGTCCGCAGGCTGGATTTAGAAAGCGATTGGGCCGCATCCGGCCCCCGGGCCTTAGTTTGCCTACCCATGGTATAGTGTATATAGCTGAGTGGTGAACTGGAAATCTCACATTCTGTACGTTACCCACAGAGGCTCTCCCAGAACCCCTCCCTTTTTTTACAACTTTGACCAGGGAATGGAAGACGTTTCCTCCTTCCATCAAGACTGTTGCCGCATGATTGCAGTTCTAAAATCTATGTGTGTCCCTGTTTCTGTGACCATGTTTTTAAAGCAGATTCATATGTATTCTTTTTGCCACGGAGATAGCAACTGCTCTTTGGACTTTGTCATCTTCTTAAGTGACTTGGCCAAAGAAACCATTCTGAAACAATGTCAGCTGTGTGCTGTGGTCAGGAGAGGGTTAAGAGGGCACGGCTTTGGCTTGGCTTCTGCTGGTTTTCCTGAGGTGTTCTGGCACATTCCCCAGACCATCCCCTGGAGGTAAACATCAAGGTGCACTAGGTGAGATCATTCCTATGCAGAGTTCAGTCCTGGTTGCTCACAGCTTTGCACAACTTGTAGCTCACCCGACCCCAGTGGAATAAATGCTTCACCAGAGTTTCGAGACATGATTCAAAGGCTCAAGAAGGCTCTGAGAGAATTGCCTTTAATGGGGAACTGTGTGAGTGAATATAGTGGGTGAGTTCCTCTTCTTTCTTTTTTAATTTTCTTCCTTACTAGTTGTTGATTTACTTTGGCAGCATGTTTCTCAAAAGTATATGTAGAAAATTTTCACATATCTGGGGGGCTAGAAAGGAGCCTGTTCTGTACTTCACCAATCAATAAAATGTTTTTAGAGACACTATCCTGTAACAGGAACCCTTGTTTCAAAATAGCACCGCTATCAGAGGAAGGCTGTTTTGAAAGACTAGCTCTTTCCATTGGTGAGTAAAAGGGGGGTGTTATAAGGTTTGATAAACACTGTCTCCTCCATGCCTCTGTTCCCAAAGTGAATTTACAACTTCTCAGATTTGATTTTTGAATGTGTCCTAATATGTGGAAAATTACATAGACTAACCCTTTGCTGCATGCACTGTTTTACACTTAATATGTTGTGGTTTACACTGGTTTTCACATGTTGATAAAACAGACATCAGTAATGAAAGGCTCAGTAACATGACAAGTTTTTGGGGAACACTTTTCTGTCTAGGTTTGCTAACTTTTGTGGATGATTTATGCCAGCATGTACAGGTGGTTTCAGTAATATGTAAACATTGGTTGCCCTAATTTGTTGATTGCTTGTGAGCTGCATTTTGTACTTCGATCAACCACTTTTAGGCTGCAATTTTATGTTGACATTGACAACTCTCTAATGATAAAACCTTGCCTTCCAGTCATATGGGAAATCATTCCTTCACATAGATACAGCATAAACCCTGTATACTTCCATGTCCTGTTTTGCACTGTTTTGGACAATAATTTAGAACCATTGGTATATATAGATTTTTAAATAAGATTGCAGCCTTTCTCTGATTGGAATAAATGATGTTATTGTTTTGCATGATTAGTTTAGTTTAATACATTGTGCTGAATACTACAGATATGCTAAGTGACAATGAGCCAGTGTATTCAGTTTTCTTGACTGAGATCTGAAACTGCTTTATCTTTTCTCCTTGAGTGATAGGATGCATTTTATGGAGTTTTGAGTGCTTACTGCTTACCTCTCCAGTGTTAAATACTGGGCCTAACCTTTTTTTTTTTTTTTTAACTGGTTAATGGTAGCAATATACAGTCATACCTCGGGATAAATGTGCTTCAAGTTAAGTATTTTCGGGTTGCGCTCTGCGGCGATCCAGAAGTAATGGAGCGTGTTACTTCCGGGTTTTGCCACGCGTGCATGTGCAGATGGTCAAAATGACATCATCCGCGGAAGTGGCGACACGCGCAGACGTGGGTTGTGTTCGCTTCAGGATGTGAACAGGGCTCTGGAACGGATCCCGTTCGCATCCCGAGGTACCACTGTATACTTGTAAATACTATCTACCATTAATGTGGTAGTGAACATGGATACATCTTTGAATATTCAGGAGCTTTTAAGCTAGAAACTCTGAAAAAATCAAAACAACAGCTTTTTGCAGCACCATGAGTCAGTTCAGTAAAACTGAGACTGCAGTCCTCTAAAGAATTTACATTGCTGGTGTCCATTTGGAACTTTTGCTTTTGTTTTAGTCAAGTGCCTGATGAACAAACTCTGGAAAATGATTCCCCTCGGATTCCAAGATCTGCAATTGAAAAGCAGGAAAGTGGCAGTAATGCGTCCCTTGTTCCACTGTCCCCTCCCGAAATACCACAAGGACAAGAGGAAAGGGAGGAAATGTCAGATTCTTCTGATGTGAGTGCCTGCAGCGCTACATATAGTAACTTAGGTAAGCACCTTGCATCAGCACAGAAATATATTGTTTCTTATTTCTTTATGTGTTGTCTGAGTTTTTCACGTTCACTTGAAAAACTGATTATGAGAATATGCATTGGTTTAATGTTCTTATGGGAACAAACAGACCTTTATATGTGTTCAGAACTCATAAAAATAAATATTGTTGCTTAACTTTTTGTGCCTCCCAAACTTTTGAAGTAAAGATTTAATTTTTAAATGTTCTATGTACTCTTTGAGTTAAATTTTATTTGAAATCCATTTTAATGAAAACTCCAGCACCCCATGTGCAATGACCTCAGCAATAGTTATACCATAAAAAATGTAGATGACTTTAAGAACATGTTTGATAGGTGCTAAATGAGTATATGTAGAAGGAGATGTGAAAGGTTTAAGGAAGTCAATGCTACAATGCTATGGGGCTTCAAATGTTCAACTGAACATAGTTCTAACTGAAGATAACATTTGCCTTGTATATACTGTATTCCAACTATGTTTTTATAAATACAGATTTTTATTTAGGTCTTCAGGGCAATGACTAACACCTAACAAATAATTGCAGTCTCTCTGTATATTCTCTGTTATAGTGATACTGGTTTAGGTTCTGAAGTTTCAGTCTTCCCACTAAAGAATTACTTCCTGTCCAGCCTTAAACTGAGATACTCATGCTCCTCTTCATTCTCTCAATGAAAATGTCTTGTGCATATGTATCTTTCTAAGTAAAACAAATACAATGACTGTTTTCTATTGTCACATAGGGCAATCCAGAGCAGCTATGATACCTCCAAAGCAACCGCGGCAACCAAAGGGGGCTTTGGACGATGCCATTGCTTTTGGGGGAATATCTGACCCAGACATGACAGCTACCTTACATCCCACACCACCTCCATTGCCAAAGAAAACCATTATAAGAGCTCACACGGAACCACTTCCAAATGAACACCAAAATCAGGCCCTTGAAAGTGTCCTGTGTGTGATGGCCAATCCAACTTATGACATTGACACCAACTGGGAAGCAAACAGTGCCTGCTCTTCTGTCAGCTCCGAATTCAAGGCAATGGACCATGAGTCCGGAGATTCCTTGGACAGGCCTCCAGAAAAGGGACTGGCAATCTCAGCAGCAGCCAATGGTTTTTCCAATCTAACTGCTATCGGTGTGAAAGACAGGTGTTCCAATAGTATGGAGTTTCTGTCAGGTAGACCTGCTACCCACAGCAAACATGGCAAGACTGTCCAGAAACCACAGAGACAAGCACTTTATAGAGGAATCGAAAACCGAGGGGAGGTGGTGAGCAGAATTAGAAGCCTTCACACTGATTCCCTGAAGAAACTGTCTGCCAAATGTGAAGACCTTTTCATGTCTGGGCAGAAAGATCAGCTTCGATTTGGGCTAGACAGCTGGTCAGACTTCAGATTAACCAGTGACAAGCCATGCTGTGAGGCTGGTGATGCTGTCTACTACCCAGCTTCTTATGCAAAAGATCCACTCAACAACTATGCAGTCAAGGTAAGAAGATAATTTAAAAGAGTCGCTCCACTAATCATATTCCAGAACTGTACTTAATGTCCATTGCATTTCATTACTATTGACTTTGTGCTTAGCAGCTACAAAGAAACATGTTCTTTTGTGAGAGCTAGTGAATTTTTAATTAGTGAAATATTACATTTATGGCAGCATATAAAAATGCAATACAGTTAAAACAATAAACAACAATACCTACAACCTCAAAACAGTAATTTCATCCTGATCCTAAATAATTGTATTTTTATCTTGTGAACCACCCTGAGATCTCTGGATGGAGTGTTGTATATAAATCCAATAAATAAGTAATAAATAAATAATTGCAGCAGAATAACAGGATTTTATTATTAGCTTAGGGCCATATTTGGGTTTACATGCTTGTATATCCTGTTATAAACTTTTATTTGCTAGAGCAGCAATTTTTAGGATCATTCTTTAAGCCCTTTCTCATACATTCCATTCCATATGTTTCCAGGATGGTCCTGGGAAAATGCCCTCCAATGACCCTTCAGAAATGCATTGAGTAAACAAAACCTGAGGATGTTAGTGCCCCAAATTCCTTCTTTCTTTAAAGTGAATTTTTTGGCCTCCCTTTGTTTGTTTTTTTACCCTTCTGACTTTTAAAACAAAAAAAACTATTCTTGCCTATTTAGCATACTGCTGTTATAATGAGTTACTGTATATGAGGAGCTACACTTTTCCATTATTTATACAGAGGAGCAACTTAAATTATTTTGTTTCTATTTATTTTCAAAAGTGTATATTATTTTATTAAAGTTAAAGTGGTTTACAATGTAGAAATTAGGATAATACATAATTTTACAGAAAAATATAATATTTTTAAAAATACATTACAGATTGCAATTGGATGCAGACTTTTTATGGCAAGGACTTACAGAACTATGATTTCACCACCTAAGGACCAAATTGCATTTGATATTAGTCAGGTATTTAAACAATTGTGCTTCTCCTGGTCACTTTTAATTTGAAGAAAAGTTAGCTGCAGGGTCCCAGTCTGAAATGTGCTCTCAGTTGGGATCCTGCACAGGTTTTCTGCTGAAAATCACTGCCTGCTTGGTTTTTGTTTCCCCTGATACTACTGTTTGCAGTAAACAACACTTTCAGCAATGAAAAGCAGCCAGGTGGGGACAGTTTTCAGTACAAAACATGTGCAAGGCTCTAATCAGATACACATTCTGGAACAGTGCACTGTGGGAGAGAGTACCCAACATGACTGCTGCTGAGTACTTTCACATTAGCAGTTTTGGTTGCAGAGGGTCTGCAGGATGTGGCGACCAGCAGGAAGGGGAGGGGATGAGAGAAAGAGAAAGCATTGCAGAATTACAGATGTTGAAGCTGGGAATTGGATCTGACATGTTGAAGAGTATTGTCCAAAATAATTATGCAGATCTCACCAATGGAGGTGACTTTGACAGTGCTTTTCAAAGGCACCCTTTGTTCTTTGAAAGATAACTGTCAAACAAAGCTGCAACCATGGTTTCAGTACTATGCCCAAGCTAAAATCTAGACTGACAAGAATTCAAAACCAAACCAAATTGAGAAATTGTACTCCTGCTCAACAGCCTTTGCCAGAAACAGAAGTTTAGAAACAAGGCATTAGCTGTGGAGTTTGTCTCCAGATTACAGTGTGAGCTAGATCTCTTGAAGTCATCTACCAAATGTTTGCCGGTGTACCAGGGGTGGGGTGGGGGTAAGATATCAGTATACCAAAGACTAGTGCACCAAAATGCTCTGAACTGGGCAGCAGCCTAAGATGACCATTGGTGCCAAGGGAGATGCAAGGTCATATGACCCAATACAGTTTCTTATCTGTGGGCTCATCCACACTTCCATTTGTCCCATGATTTCTAGGCATGGGCTCAAGAGGTTTTTCTTTTGTATCACCGCTTTCCCCAGGAAAATCTGTAGTTTACTGTTGATTCAGAACAAGCACCAATCCACAGAAAACCCGATTTACCTTTGTTCTAATTCAGCAGTATACAGCAGGTTTTCCTGGGACCAAAGATGAACCTCTTGGACGCACGCCTAAAAGCATGGGACAAGCAGACGTGTAGTTGAGCCCCAAGTCTCTGTTCAAGCCAACCATCACCCTGTAAGGTTCAGCAGTTGCCAGTCATACAGAAAGGACTATACCATATAAATGTTCCATAATACTTGGTTCCATGCCAAGTGCTGTTTTACAAGATGTTAATTGGGTTTGTCACAAACTTTATAAAGGGAATAAAATCTGTTTAACACAGACCTTTAGTTTAGCTCAAGTGTTAATTTCATTCTGTAGATTCTATTACATACAACTGTAATATAAAATCACATTTAATGTACTTGTATTGAAAACAGATATTTAAATTGTCCAATTCATTGTGGTCAAAAATTACCCAATCTTGCTGTGAACCCATAACACAGGGCTGCCTACTAGATTTAAAAATATTCACAAGTGGCAAAACATGTACAAAGTATCCCATTAAGATAAAGAAATTATGCCCTATAGGCCGCATATTCAGCAGGTGCAGCCATATTGAGTTATTTCTATGGCATGGAGCCCAGCTCAACTAATTGGAGGCATGGTTCTCATTTCATCTTGATAAGAACAAGTTTAATTGATTTCCTTGAGAAACTGATAGTGTGATTTTTATTTAACTTACCATGATTATTTTGTAGAAATAAAATGAACCATGGATTAGTTTTAAAACCATGCCTAAATATTACACATTGATGTCCTGTCAAAATACACCCAGACTTGTTCGTGAGTGTGCCATTTATTCTGATTAAGTACAGTAACAAAGCTTTTCTCAGGTATGGCAGAAATAAAGCTCCACAGCATCTTACCCTCTTTTTGCTAAGTAGGTCAAGTTGTAGGGTGGTATAGATTAACTATAATTGCTCACATCCTAGCTCCTTTCAGCAACAAAAGCACAGGAATTACTGTAATACTTTGTAAGACAATGTGAAGCTTTAAAATACAGTGGTACCGCATGTTACACGCAGGTTACGCGTTTTCGGGTTGTGCACCGTGCTAAACCCGGAAGCATCGGAATGGGTTACTTCCAGGTTCGGTGCTTGCACATGTGCAGAAGAGCCAAATCGCGACCTGCGTGTGTGCAGACACGGCGCTGTGGGTTGCAACGCTGCGGGTTGCAAACGTGCCTCCTGCACGGATCATGTTTGCAACCCGAGGTTCCACTGTACTACAGTGGTACCTCTGGATACAAACACTTCTGGTTGCACAAGTGTCAGGTTACAAGCTGTGCTAACCTGGAAGCAGTTGCTCCCGGATGCGAACTTTGCTTTGGGATGCAAGCAGAAATTACGCGCCAGAGGCACGCATGCAGCTGGAGACACACTTTCACTAATGGCGCCTCATGTTAAGAACAGCTTCAGGATAAGAACGGACCTCCAGAACGAATTAAGTTCATAACCAGAGGTACCACTGTACTCTCAAAGTCAGCATCCTTTTCTCATAAAGCTTCTGACTTGCATAATAAAATTTGTTGTTATAAAAAACCTACACTGCTGTGTTATACATAACACAGACCTGTGCTCACCCCATCATGATAATCTGCATCCTATAATGATGAGGGGGAGTTGGAATACAAAAGATAGGGGTGCTGTAAGATGTTTCCTTTATTACCCAGACAGTCCATCCTCTGACAACCCGTTCTGCACCTCAGTTTATCAATTATGATGACAGAAATTCCCTATGGATGTAAGAATAACTAAACAGAAGCTGTTTCAATTAATGGTGCCCTATTTTCAGATACAGAGAGAATATAGGCAACCAATTTTACCACTTCTGCACCTGCACTTTGAAGGATTATATAGACAGTTAACTTCTGAATGAGAGATTTTACCCGGATAGTTTGCCTTGGCTCAAGAAGGAGCCAAACTGCATATCGTAGAATCATAGAATCTTGGAGTTGGAAGGGACCCTGGGGGTCATCTAATCCAACCCCTTCCAATGCAGGAATCTCAGCTAAAGCATCCATGACAGATGGCCAGCCAAACTCTGCTTAAAAACCTCCAAGGAAGGAGAGTCCACCACTTCTCATGGGTGTCCGTCCCATTAAAATAAAAAGCAGGTTGCAGTATCAAAATCTCACTACTCTGAACCTGCAAATATTTGACTTTTTGTGTCCTTTGAGCTCAATTGTGTGTTTGCTTTGGAGCAGGAGCTAATATTTACTTATTTTTATTCAACAAGATTGACATACTGCTTAATAATAATAATAATAAATTTCTAAGCAGTGTGCATGTTCAATTTTTAAAAGCAATAAAAACAGTAAATATAATGGGCTGAATCCAACTAAGTTGTTACTCAGAGCTGAACCATGAATTTGCATCCAAGTTGAGCCATGCTTGGGGCAGACCCATTGAAATGAATGGATGCATGGCTTACTTTGAGTGGAACTTACTTGGCTACCACCCTGTTCATTTCAATTGTCTACTGTGAGTTTGAGTAACACTGGATACAATCCATTAAAATGATCAAAATATCAGATAAACAGGCATCCTTTACTGCTGCTGTAGTATTGGGTGTTTTCTCTCCTTCCAATAATGGAACACAACTATTTTGACAAGGGTCATAGCTCAGTGGTGGAACACCAGCTTGGCATGCAGAAGGTTCCAGGTTCCATCTCCATGTAGGGCTGGGAATTGCCCCCTTCCTGAAACCCTAGAGAGCCACTTCCAGTTAGTGTAGATAATACTGAGCTAGAAAGACTCAACAGAAGACATCCCAAAGCCAGATGTCACATACTCAGTTGTGAGATTTTGCGCTGCCATGATGGACATCCATCAAAGGATGGTTTGTGGCACAAACCAGGCCTAAACTGGAGGCCCATGATGCAAGACCTGTGCTGCTTCACATTCCCTCCCTTATGGTCACTTTTAACTGCTTGTCTTTTGTTTTTGTTTTAGGTTTATGTGAGTTATAATCACTTTTAATATTAGCTTTTATCCCTTTCCTCTTCAAGTTTTATGTGCTTTATTTTATTTGCATGTTTTTATCTTATACTGGTCTGCATAAGATAGCTTCCTATTGAAATCAGCCCTCTGTTCAGAACCATGAGGACTAGAATCTTTTTTATTTTAATGGAGCATTCCATTTTTGCCTCTTCAGTGCAAAGCTCCTCTTTCTCTGGTTGAGAAGTGTTAAGTTGTGGGTGAACATATCAGACGACACAGCGATTCTTCCAAAGCTGCTCTTTATTTGTAAGCTGGAACAGAACTGAACTGAAGAGCTCAGTCAGCCTGCTTATATAGAGCTCCAGAACAACGTAACTGTAGCAACTTTCTAAAACTATCCAATCACTGAACATCACTTTCGATCCTTCATTTGCATAACTATCTACAGTATCCCCCTGCTGGCCCAGGGTGAGAACTTCAGTACATAACACCCCTCCCCACCGAGATAAGGCGTTAGTTACAATCGTAATGGTTTCTTTATATACAGCACTACACGTAATGGTTCAATTAGGCACAAAAGCATATCGGTTACATTTCACATACTTAGACCAACAGTGATACATGTCCAACAACATAGTCCCTTAAATAAGTTGGGCGCTTGGAAACTCTGCCAGACCGCCGGGGACTGGTAGCCAAGTCCGGGGGGCCACACAATTCTTGCTGAGGCTGGGGTGCGACCCTAGGTCCACCCTGGATCCACCGCTGTGGGTGGAACCTCCGCAAGTGGAGTTGGCGGAATGTCAGGCACGGCAGTGGTCTGAGTCTGTGGGAAGTCCAGCAGACCCTCTGAAGTGGCTTGGTTTGGCTCCACGCCTGCAGTTTGCGAGAGAGGTGTAGGTGGAGCCTCGCCATCTATAAGTGTCTGTTCCGGAGCCATGAGCGCAGTTGGGGGCACCACGGTAGTGTCCAAGTCCCCAACCCTGCGCCTAAGCTGGTCTATGTGCCGGTGACACAAGTGTCCGTCTTCGAGTGCCACCTGGTATGAGCGAGGTCCAGTGACTCCAACTACTGTGGCTGGCACCCAAGGAATGTCCCCCACAAAGTTCCGGGCAAAGACCTGGTTTCCTGGAACAAAGACCATGGCGCGTTGGCACAGCCTGGGGGTTCGGCCATGGCAAAGTCTGGGTGCGGCCGGTCGATCGGGGACCTGAGGCAGCGGCCCATAAGCAGTTTGGCAGGACTCCGCCTTGTGGCCGCATGAGGGGTGATGTGTTGTACGAACAAGTATTCAGCAACCCGCTCGTGCCAGTCTCCCCGGTCCAGGCGCACCAGTGCCTCTTTTGCCGAGTGCACCATTCTCTCTGCTTGCCCGTTGCTGGATGGATGAAATGGTGCCTTTAGGGCATGGCGGATGCCCAGTCCCAAAAGGTACCGCTCAAAAGTGCCTGAAGTGAACTGTGGTCCGTTGTCGGAGACAAGGACATCAGGACACCCATGCGTCGCAAAGAGGCCTCGCAGCACCCGGATGACGGCCTTGGTAGTGGTGGAGGGCATCAGGGCCACCTCCAGCCATTTGGAATAGGCGTCCACCACTACCATAAAGGTCCGGCCGTGAAAGGGGCCAGCCAGATCGATGTGCACCCTCGACCAGGGTGTCTTTGGCGTCTCCCAGGTGTGTCCCTTAGCTGCCGGTGGCGCAGGCCTCGATTCTTGGCACGTGATGGCATCGTCCATGTTAGGCCACCAGACGTAACACCGAGCCAACGCCTTCATTTTGACGATTCCCGGGTAGCCAACGTGCAGAGCCTCAAGGACACGTTGACGGAGTCTTTGGGGAATCATGACGTGGTCTCCCCACAGCAGACAGCTGCAATGAGCCGAGAGTTCGTGTTGTCTGGTTGCGAAGGGCTGGAACCCCAATGCAAAAGGCCCTTGTGGCCCCCCCCCTCCACACCCAGTTGAGCACACGGCTGATGGTGCGATCCTGGGCAGATGCGGAGGCCACAGTGGCAGCTGATACAGACGCTGCCGGAAGATCCTCAATCAGGAGGAGCGATGAAGCAGGAGCCGGGTCTTCCACAAACACTGGAAGAGGGCAACGGCTGAGGGCGTCGGCATGGCCCATCGATTTCCCCGGGCGATGGACGAGCTGGTAGTAGTAGGCTGCCAGGAAAACAGTCCATCACAGCGTACAGGACCGGAGGAGTTGGACGATCATCAGCGAGGAGACCCAGGAGTGGCTTGTGGTCGGTGATGAGGTCAAAAGTCCTGCCGTAGAGGTATTCATGGAACCTCTTCACTCCAGCCACAAGTGCCAGTGCCTCCTTGTCGAGCTGGTTGTAATTCCGTTCAGTCAGAGATAGCGTCCTGGAAAAGTAGGCGAGCGGTGCTTCTCTTCCATCTGGAAAACGGTGACTAAGGACAGCGCCAATGCCAAAAGGTGAGGCGTCGCAGGCAAGGACCAGCGGCCTGGCTTCACTGTACTGTACCAGCACACTGTCCGATGAAAGGAGAGCCTTAACCGTGTTGAAGGCCGCCGTCTCCCGATGACCCCAGGACCAAGGTGTCTTTGTGCTGAGGAGTCGGTGAAGAGGCTCAGCCCCCAGGCTTTGTGGGGCAGGAACATGTTATAAAAGTTCAGCAGTCCCAGGAACGCCTGCAACTCCGTCTTGTTCTTTGGGATGGGGGCCTGCTGGATAGCGCGGATCTTGGATGTGGTCGGGTGAAGGCTGGAGGTGTCGATAAGATAACCCAGGAACTCCACCTGTGGAACGGCGATCTGGCACTTCTCCCTCTTTACCTTGAGCCCGGCCTCCTGGAACCTGGTCAGCACGGCGCGGAGGCGCTCGAACAGCTGCTGGTGTGAGTCTGCGGACACCAAGACATCATCAAAATATGGTACCACGCCCGGAAGCCCTTGCAGGAGACGCTCCATAGGGCTTTGGAAGATGCCAGGAGCCACACTCACCCCGAACTGCAAACGGCTGCAACGGAATGCCCCTCAGTGGGTGACGATTGTCTGGGCTTCAGCAGTGGCATCATCGACAGGCAGTTGTTGATAGGCTTGGGCAAGGTCCAGTTTAGCAAAGACCTTACCCTCACCCGGGGAATGCAGCAGGTGTTGGACAACAGGAACCAGATAAGCGTGCTGCTGAAGTGCCTTAGAATCATAGAATCATAGAGTTGGAAGAGACCACAAGGCCCATCGAGTCCAACCCCCTGCCAAGCAGGATCGTGCACTTGTAGTCAGCGCAGATTCTCACTGACCCGTCTGGCTTGACAGGTGTGACGATGGGGGTTTCCCACTTGGCGTGGTCAACCGGCGCCAAAACTCCTTGGGCGATCAGCTTGTCCAGTTGTTCGTCCACCTTAGCCTTGAGAGCAAAGGGAACCCGGCGTGGCTTTAGCTTGATGGGGGCGACTTGTGGATCAAGGCTAAAAGAGATGGTCGTACCTGTATATTGCCCCAAAGTGCCGTCAAAAACCTCGGCAAAGTCTTTGACCAGACCCTCAGTCTCTACGTTAGAGATGCAGTTGATGCCGGTGACCTCCAGGCCGAGGGCATCAAACCAGTCTAGCCCTAGGAGGCTTGGCCGCTGACCTTTGACCACCACCAGTCGGAGCAGACCCGAAAAATCCTTGAAGGCGATCCGGAACCGGCCAATGCCTACCATGGGAATGCTGTTTCCCTGGTAGTCTCTCAGGTGTATACGGTGAGAGTCGAGTTGCCTTTTGGACACTCTGGGTACCAGTCTTTTGATGGTGCTCCAAGACACGATGGACAGGGCAGACCCGGTGTCGATCTCCATGTCACATGGAGCTCCTTCAATGAGCACCGTGACGTTCAGCTTGCGTCGTGTAGGCGAATCGGTTTGGCCAATCATGGTTCCAGATGGGCAGCAGCAGTTGGGAGAGCGAAACAGCTTTCCTTGGTGGACTGGAGTGAAGCCTTGGACTTGCGAGTCAGTGAAGGGGGGGTGTCAGCCGGAGCCGATCGGCAGACCTTAGCGATGTGGCCCCTTCTGGAACACTTCCGACAGATGGCATCTCTGAATCGACACTTGGCACGGGAATGGTTGCCTCCACAGCCGGCACATTCCGATTGGCCCTTGGACTTCTTTTGGAACTTCCTGCACTCCCGCTTTGTCTGGTGCACGTCATCGTCTTCACTGGAGGATGCCTCATCACTGCTGGCCTCTTCATGATGCACTGGAACTGGCTTTCTAGCAAGACACGGGCTGCTGGCCTTGTGGATCTCCTGGGCGGAGCGTTTGGCAGCTTCCGAGGCCACGGCCTCCTCAATGGCTTTCTGCAGCATGAGGTCTGGCGTAGCGAGGAGACGCCGTTGCAGACGGATGTCCCGGACCCCACAGATGATTCGATCCATCAGGGCATCGTCTAAGTCTCGGAACTCGCAGTGCATTGCAGCCTGTTGGAGGGCGCTGGTGTAGTTGTTGATTGACTCCCCCTCTGCCTGGTTCCGGTGGTAGAACGCATGGCGGGCAGCAATCTTCAACGGCTTTGGTGCGTAGTGGTTGCGGAGCTTCTCTTGGATCGTGTCCCATGGTGTTGCCTGGACTGCTTCAGGCGCAACCAATGCTCGGGCCGTCTCAAACACCTCAGGCCCACAGAGGCTGAGGAATAGGCCCCGCTTCCGCTCCTTTGATACTTCTGTCAGCTCGTTGGCTTGGAGGTAGCAGTCGAACCAAGCGAGGTAGGAGTCCCATGATTCAGAGGCTGGCGCAAACGGCGGTAGAGGCACAAGTGAAGCCATGATTCTGATGCCGGCGTGGAGGGCAATGGATGGAACACTGTGCTCTAGCCAGAACAGTCAGCTCTGAATTGGTTCTGTTCAGTGATTTTGCTCAGTGATTCAGCTCAGTTCAGAGGGTGGCTGCATCTGGCTGTGCTCTGATGTCCATCGATCGATCCCACCTTTGTCGCCAGTGTTATGTTGTGGGCGAACATATCAGACGACACAGTGGTTCTTCCAAAGCAGCTCTTTATTTGTAAGCTGGAACAGAACTGAACTGAAGAGCTCAGTCAGCCTGCTTATATAGAGCTCCAGAACAACGTAACTGTAGCAATTTTCTAAAACTATCCAATCACTGAATGTCACTTTCGATCCTTCATTTGCATACAAACTATCCAATCACTGAACATCACTTTCAATCCTTCATTTGCATAACTATCTACAGTATCCCCCTGCTGGCCCAGGGTGAGAACTTCAGTACATAACAAGAGGTTTGGTCTTTAGAGCTGAAACAGAGCTAGGGTGGTTTTTTCAGGCCAACTCTTTGCTTTTACAGACGCAGGTTGCACCTGATAGGAGTCAGGAACCACAAAAGCAGCAGTCCTGGACAGCTTGGACAGGCAGCTGCATGTTTTGGGGAACTTCTGAGGATCAGCTTGGGGTAGCACCACATGCGATGCCAGGGGCCCACTTTCCCTTGGGGATGATCTGTTGTGGGGCGGAGAGGGGGGTTGGCTGCAGGCAGAGCCGGAGCAAAGCATGGGTGGAGTCTGTAATAATGCATGTCCTCCGCTGCACCCCATCTATTTGATTTTGCACTGAAAGCACACTATTTCTTAAATCTTGCTTCTTAGATTGAAAGCAGAACCAGACTCCGTCTTGAATGCAGACTTGAAATGGGAATTTGGATTCAGATTCAGTCTGTCTTCCATCTTAATATAGATAATTTGATTTCTTTGTATGTTTTTATGGGGAACAGGGAAAAGGTTATAAACATTGATGGGATTCTAACAGGGACTTCTTCACGGTTCAGAAGTTACCTGTGTGGAGCTAATCTCTGAGCACAGGTGTGATATGCAGACAAGGCCCCAGTCCCTCCAGCAATCGTGCTACAGCATTCTGTACTAACTTCCAAGGGAAGTCCCACATATGCAAATAATATAGTAGTTCTGCTGTCACCACATTTCTTACTCTGAAGAATAGTCGCTAATAGACTAGATCTGTTTACAGTCTGCTTATATTTCCATCTGAAAATCAGCTCAAACCATAAGCAGCATTTGAGAGAAAAGGCTTTGCTTTTGGCATCCAATTTTGGTTTTCAAACACTTGTATACTAATAATACATCAGTTGTTCCACTGAACTAATTATAATTTTTCATCTTTGCATGATGACTTTGTGCTGACTAAATTGTTTTCAGTCATTTTTAGGCTGGGCACATCACACTACAGAAAAGGGATTGAACTACATAAACACATTTCAGCAATATAATGCAAAACTTTCTAAAAACAATTCTAAAACCCTTCATTTTGAGTGGTCAGGCCAGTCCTAGAGTCCCTGTGAATGGCAACAAGCAAATATAAAACTCATAAAATTGCATTGTAAGGGGGAATAGTAACATTCCAGATTACAAAATGAGTTTTCTGCGATCAGAATGTGAGGTATTCCAGGCATGTTCTTCCCCTTGCTCTGTATCTGGAATGGGAGGGTGTAGTCAAGGGTGATAAGTCATCTATTTTTCTTTCCTCCCTTCAGATCTGCAAGAGCAAAGCTAAAGAATCACAGCAGTATTACCACAGCCTGGCCATCCGCCAGAGCTTGGCCATCCACTTCAACATCCAGCAGGACTGTGGCCATTTCCTAGCTGATGTGCCTGTTCGTCTGCTTCCGTGGGAAGATCTCCATTCACCAGAAGAGGATGAGGAAGAGCAGGAAGATGACAAGCAGAAGAACACCGTGGACGTTTCACAGAAAGACAGCTCAAATCTGCCAGGAGCCACAAGCAAGCAGCGCAGCAGAGTTGTAGTCATCACTCGAGAAGTTCCCTACCTAACTGTGGCAGATTTTGTGCTGGAGTCTTCAGACTGCCATGCCAGCAGCCCAGACTTGTATGAAAGGCAGGTATGCCTCCTCCTCTTACAGTTGTGCTCTGGTCTAGAACACCTGAAACCGTATCACATCACTCATTGTGATCTGCGTTTGGAGAACCTTTTGCTGGTGGACTATAGGGCAGGGGGAAGCCTTCTGAACAATGAGAGCGTGGAGCCCTCTCCCAGTGCTGCTTGCCCTGCCAGGCTTATAGTGAGCAATTTCTCTCAAGCAAAACAAAAGAGCCATCTGGTGGACCCTGAAGTCCTAAGAGACCAGTCCCGCCTTGCCCCAGAGATCATCACAGCAACACAGTATAAGAAATGTGATGAGTTCCAAACCGGCATCCTCATCTATGAAATGTTACACCTGCGCAATCCCTTTGATGAAAATCCAGAGCTGAAGGAAAAAGAGTATACTTGTGCTGACCTGCCCAGTATCCCTTGTCGTTCCCTTTATTCCCTGGGGCTTCAGCAGCTTGCTAACTGCCTGCTAAACCCTAATCCATCGGAGAGAATCCTTATATCTGAGGCCAAGGGAGTCCTTCAGTGTTTGCTGTGGGGGCCCCGGGATGATTTGTTTCAGACTCTCAATGCCTCTTCCAGACCAGCACAAAGAGATACTGTGCTCCAAAACTGGCTGGACATCAAACGGACGCTGATGATGATCAAGTTTGCAGAGAAGTCTTTGGACAGGGAATGCAAAGTCAGCCTCGAAGACTGGCTTTGTTGCCAGTATCTGGCTTTTGCCACTACAGACTCCCTCAGCCGCATAGTGAAAATCATGCAGCAACATTAGTTTGTAGCCACTGCTTTCACTTGGATGCACCACAATCCTCTCTTCATCCCCAGCCTCATCTATGTGTGCAAGTTTTAAAATTATAACCTAGAACTCAAGGTCACCAATAGTGAGCAAACTGATCTTGCCAGGAAGCTCTGTTTCCTGTCGTAGGTGCCAGGGAGAGGTCTGAAGCCTAGTTTAGCTGGTGGTTTGTTTGGACAAGGAGGTGTGTAAATTTATTAAGGAAACCACTATTTATTACATTGCTGTTTGGAGGCGTAAGAGTGTGGAGTGAGTGCTGCAAATGGCAGCATCCAGTAATAACTGCAAACAGAATTGAGTCAGCTGTGAATGAGCCACCAGAATGCACACCACTCTTCACAAAGACATGGCCTCTGCTCCATGCCTTTGTCATCCTGGCCCCATCTCAGGGGTGACTTGGCCATATCAGTCATACTTCCTGCAGGTGCAGTCTTTTATTTGATTGTTCCTTCCCCATGAGACAACCCTGGACCACAACAGGCGGCCACTGAGTGACTTACTGTCAGCTGCAGACTGAACAAGTTTCTTTGTTTCTTTTATTCTTGCTGGGGTCAACGGACACATTACATGGAAAGCCCCAATATTTGTGGTGTGTTTTTAAAAAATAAAAACACAACCTAGTGATTTTGAGTGGAAGTGTGGCAGGAAAGATGGGCTCATCCCTTCTCCTTACAGGTCATTTTCCCATTCAGATTTCTTGCCTGCACTGCTTCCCCTCACCCCACAGAGTTCCAGGTGCAAGTTTACCCTTCTTGTGTGTTGCTTTTTCGTGCCTTTGTCGTCTTAACTCTGATGTATCAATCTAGAATATTTCCAATAGCAGCAGCAGATGTGTTTTTCTCTTTTTGCCAGCACATTTGACACAGTAGTTCTGCTAGAGATTATTGATGGTCTGTTAATTATAATGTTAACAGAGCAATGCCAAGAGCAAAGGGACGGTTTGAAGCAAATACGAGCAGCTATTCCCCTTCTGCTATCTGGCTGGTGTTTTACCCCAAAACCAAGGGTAAAAATGCCAGGCTTCCATGTCTTCTTTGCAAAGCAACAAGGAAGCAGGGTATTAAAGTTGCTCAAAGCTCATCTTTATGTAACAAATAAGCTATGTAAATAGAGATGAGTTTTCTACAGGTGTGGTTCTCTTGGGGGCAAAAGATGTTGTGCAGCTATCACAAAACAGTTACGTTTAGCAGTTTTAGTTTATGTAGAATCTGGCTATCCAATTGCTGTCAGTATCTAGTTTTTGGACATTTTAGCTGTTTAATTATCATTGGCTCAGAGGGAATTGCTGCCTACTAAGTCCAGTGGCCTGTAAAAATGTTTGCGCTCCTTCCCTGACACACTGGCCTTTTCCTGTGGATCCATTACAGTACAGTCCTGCTGCGCCTGATCTCTCTGCTCAGTATTGGTTGGACTTGTTTGAGTAGCTCTGAACTGATGGAACTGCAGCCCAGTATTTAATTCCCACAGTTGGGGGTGGTTTTTGAAATATGGACAGCTCTTGTGTTGAGCCCATGCTGCTGCTGCTCCTCCTCCTATGGATATATGTGCAATTTTTTGATGTATTATATGAGAAAGCTGTGTTAGTGTTTACGTTGCTTAACAGACTTAACCATATGTTAGATCTTCCCCCTTTCCTTTTCACGGCACATAGATGCACAAACTTATGTGTCATCTTTCTCCAGATTGATGTTTCCTTTCTTTATTGTTAAACTGTGACTAACCTGTTTACTTCAGCCTTAGAGACAAATAGCCACTTTGAACAGTTCTTGCATGTTTGGACCAGAAACTGAAAAGCAGACCTGCAGAAATTATGTCAGCAAAGTCAGCTCTGTGGTCTTGGAGCAGGGTGTGGATTTCTCACTGATGCCAACCCTGTAGTTCATGAAAATCTGACCCCAGCATAAAATATGTGGTGGCCTCTTTAAATGCTTTGAATCTTCTTGCTTCAGTACTTATTGATTATCAGAAAAAGACCAGGCAAAGCTAAGAAGTGTGTGAATGTGTCCTGTATTGCTTTAAAATAAAAGTGCAAAATTTGTAGGCAGGCAGCTGTCCTGGCACACAAAAGGCCCCTCCAGACTGGGTGGTGTGAGGGGAATGGCGAGTGTATTCTGCAGCATGTCACTGACACAATAATAGTGCATTAGTGGTAGAATTATTCTGCACTGTCCACACCTCATTCCACTTTAATGGCTGTTCTGCAATGATTCCCTGTTATTGCACGATTGCCACCTGGAAGGGCACTCTTGTACGATAGCACAACAAAAGCCAGACAAAAAATAAACATGAACATCCATGGTGTAAAAGGTTACAGGATTTCAGCAAGAGGTTGCGGGCTATGCACTGATTGGAAATGAAGCAGTGCTGACCACAAAATGTTTGCAAACAGTATTGAAAGTGGGGTTTTGCATAACCACCACAATTTCATCATGAGCACAGATCATGGAGGCACAGTCAAAAGGACACCTGGAAGGCCAAAGAGCCAAATGTAATGTAATGCAGCCCAGAATGTAAGAGGTGGTTTTGCTCCACGAAGCCCCCTGAATGGGGCGTTTGGTACAGACCTCTGGCCAGATTCTTTGGAGAGTCTTGCACAAATATCCCATGCAGCCCTATATCACACAGGTAATTGTGTGATTGCTTGACACAATGCTTGCCTGTATGAGTCCACGTTGCTCACAGCTATGCACTGGAAAGGTAGAGAACACCTCCTTCCCAAGTTTTATATATGCTTCTAGCTGATATCTGTGTCCACATAAGTTCTCACTTAACCAGCATGCTCATCCTAGTGGAACATGGACTACTGACCATTGCAGCAGGGCACATTCCTTTAGACCACTGCTCTACTTTTGTGCAGAGAGATACGTGCTTTGTGTCAGTTTCATGTGGATGTGCAGAGTAGACTATTGAATGTTACATGACCTTGTGTGTTTTATGCGGCAGATCCCAAAATTTTGTATCTTGTCTTTTAGTAGCTTTGTGATTTCATTTTGCATTTTGATAGCAGATTTCAACCAGTATTAGCATTGTGTACTCTAGGTGAGCATGGGGTATACACTCACTGCCGTCTCCTTATTTTGTAGCACTGAGTAAATTTGGTAATGAAGGATGGTAATAGGAATTCTGTGTAAGAGAGGGTTCATGAGGGAGAGAGAGGTACAACCAGGCAAGCATTTCCATTCTTGGTAGTGCCTGGAGCTACCTTTGCAAGCATCCTATCGAAGTCTCATTGATTTGTTGAGAGTTTGCCATTTAAGAGTTGGGCCCAAACCAAGCAGATTTCAAACCAAGACACTAGAACAAAATATTGTTACAGCACAGCATTTAAACAAAAGCCCTTGTGGCCCTCACAGTTCGCTTCTGCAAGCATCAAGAATGAAACCTTAAATACACAGGCACATATTTGTAGGGTTTGCATTTTAGAGCCTTTTGAGTTGCGCTCACCACAATTCATAGGATTGTGATTCTCAAAATAGCCATATTGACCATAAATGTATATATTTACTTATTGTAAATATATATACATTTAGAAAGCTGACACTCAGGCTTATTTTAGCACAATAAACCTAACCACAAAAAAGTTCTGGGAAATTAATTGTGGGTTAAAAGAATTTGAATGTGTACTTCTCAGAGCTTTTGGTGTCATTAATCTCTTCTGGGATGGCAACCGGAGTCAATGATTAATTACACTAACAACAGTGCCTTGTCACAAAATTAAAGCTAACAAGGAGAGAATTTTGCAGTGGGAATCGCCCACTGCTACCTACCAGCTTAAAAAAACAATATTGCCCATATTTTGAAGGGGGTGGAGTCTAAGAAAGCTTAGTTGGCAATTCAACCAGAAGGGAACTCTATCTGGTGGCTTGGATTCAGACTCGTTTGATACTATTGAAAAACCAAGCTAAAAGTCAAACATATTATTCAAATATGCAACTTGTATAGGGTATTTAAAAAAGAACCTTTTGAAATAGCTGCTTAGACAATGTGGAACTGGAAAACCTGTTGCTCTGACAATCTTTTTCAGACTCCAGCAACAAAATTGTACACATAAACCACCTGCAACTCCTGTTACAAAATCTAATATTAGTTAGTAATATCAAGGAAGACTATACCCAACCTGTCCGTTAGTGTGGAACTCGGAGCACATGGAAAACGAGAAAGGGGAAAGTGGCAGACTTCTTACAGGACCATCCTGCATGTTGAATTTGGCTAGAAAAGAAACAGAAATGTTGCTAAGGGAACTGGTATAACAGGAGCTAAATGGGACAGTACCTAAGTTTACAACTTACTCCCTCTCTCCTTTCTGCAAATTCAAGCCAGGAAGCACCGTGATACATTGTTCCCTTTTGAACTCTGTTTTACAACTATTTGAATAGGATCTGGTCAACTATCCAATAAAGTTAAGAGGAATTCTGCCTTTGGGACAGGTTTTTATTAGGGAACACCTAGAACCCATCAAAGCATCCTCAAACTTTTCACTTGTTGTTACCATTTTATGTTCTTGTATTTTATACTACCCTTCAACCAAAATTTTCAGTAAATTAAACATAAACCCAACAATAAAATTATTAATTATTATTTAATTAAAATGGAGCTGGTATTGTATTGTTTTTTACCTGTAATCCTTGGGTGAAGGGCAGTATAGAAATTTAGTTAATAATTGAATTACAAAGTCTATTCAATGCAGAAGTGAAGTGAACAGGAACTGACTAACCACCTATTTGGTCCTCAAAAGCCAGACAAAACAGGTGTCTTTAGCAGGTGTCAGAAAGCCATCAGAGAGGGAGATCAATGTACCTCTAATGGGAGGGAGTGCCCACATTCCACTGATAAGGGCTCAATGTTCCTGTTTCGTGAATATGTATTCTCCTGTTTTGTACATTAATTGAATCCCAAACCACCAAAGTAGGAATCGGAAGTACCCCATAAATGAGATTCTTCATGGAGAGAGAACTGAGGTAACATATAAGATGGATTAAGGAACACCAGGCAGCCTTCCGATGTAGCTTTGATCCAGTCTGGCCCCTCTTACATTACCAACTAGGTTTGGTTTAGTATGCTGTCCAAGCCCGGGATTATGGTTAAGGTCTCGCCTTAAAACCACACTCTGTAGCCAAGGTTTGCCCTGTGGTGACAGTTTGTGGCGAAGGATGATAACACATGATTCCAAGTTTGGAAAATGCACTAAGCCAAACTTTCATTGAACTCAAGACCCCAGGGGGGAAACAAGTGGGTGCAAGCGTCGCTCTAGGAGCCACATGTTTGCAAGTCATTCTCTGGCTTACCGTGAGGTGTGACCCAGGCCACAGTCCCCAAGTACGCCTTTCGCCTTCTTCCATATAAATGAATGGTTGTCATTTAATCGGGGCAGGAAGGAAAGAGTTGCACTTGTGTGTGACCTCCATGCTTGGTTTGTAACAGAAACCCCTCCCTGCGCTGGTTGGGTGTGGGATCCCTCCATAGCTTGGAAGTACTTGGAACCTTAGTCTTACCTGTGTGACAAGTCTTTGGTGCTGCACTGAACTGCTCATCTTTTGTTCACAAATAAATACAGCTCCTGAAGTTTTACTGACTCTTGCTGCTTCATAGTATTCAGACTTAAACAAGGAGCACCCTTCACAAACCCCAGGGAATGCTCAGGCAGTTGGTGACAATACTGCAGCGGAGGCAAAGGACCCTGCAGAATTGCACTGTGGGGTTTTGTTGCCATTTACAAGCTTAGACATGCAGCCCTAGGTCCATCATCATGACAAGCATTTTGAAAGCTATTCATCCAATCCAAATCAATTTTACAAAGGGCATATTGAAGAATATTCACTCTGTAAAATTGCTGCAACTGCTAAAGTAGCCCTTTCCAGCTGTTTTGGGAATTCTGATGAGAGGAATGCGTAATTTGAAAATGACAGCCAACAAAATAGAAAGGGCCTAGATGCACAGTGCCAGCCCTGCACTGAGTTAACGGCACCTAACTATTGGTTTCAGTGGGTTTGGCTCCCCTTAACTGCAGCCTTTATACTTGGGAGATCAATTGAAAGCACTCAACTCCCGAGAAAACCTCTACAGAAGTTGCTACACCTTCCTATTTCTTGTGGGAAAGCTCTTGGCTGTAAAGCAGACAATTGAGCCTAGAAGGGAGGGGAAAACAGATGGTAGTCCACAAAATTGCCCACTCACTTGTATGGAAGTGCTTCCCTTTACTCCCACCAATACCTTGCTTCCAACTCCTTGATTATCCCTTTAATTCAGAAAAGATTGAAATATTTTTTAACAAGGAAGAAATGCATCTATCCATATTTTTATAAATGAATTTTACTAACTACAAGAACAACCCACTTTGCCCTTTTGTTTTTCTGTGCCCTGTCTATATATTATATACATAGCTTATATGCACACAATGTGCTTGAATTTTTTTAAAAAAAAATTTCTTCAAAATACCATTTTCAGGATACAAGTAGTTAACCTGAACTTGCTCAGGCTTAGGAAGTTTTATAGCTTTTGCCCTGAGGGATATTTTCTTTTAAATTGAATTATGCAGAGCATGTAAAATATTAAAGAACAATCCCTATGTTTTTATTAAAAAGCTAATTTTTAAAAAATAAAAAGTTCTACACAAAGGCAGTGGTATTTCTTTGCAAATGCCTCCAGGTGGGAAATAATCTTCTCTGTTGAAAGACTCCATTCTCCTCGGTAATCTGTGTTTGGAGTTCACAGAATCGCTGTATCCGTTGTTTCATATCTATATTTACACATTTTTATAGATATAACTCCTAGGCTACCTTTGTGATCAGAGGGCAATAACACTCTGGTTTGCTGTGGTACTTTGCTGTATACTCTGTGGCATACATGTTACTGTGTAAATAAACTAGTTTTATTACACTGAGAATCCAGGTCTGCCCTTGCCTTCACTTCTTCCCCTACTGGGAGTGTTGCTGACAATAAAGGGGCCGGGGTGTGGCTCTTTTGTGACAGATGCAAACAGGTGCAGCTTAGGGGAAGGAAGGAAGGATCTTTCTTGAAGATACCTGGCAGAAACGGATAGCAGCTTTTAAGGCCAATGTCCCTACTGCATTCTGGATGCCAACATCTGTGGTGCCTCCCCTGCGGAAGATCTCACACCAGAAAACCAACCTGTAGACTCCATGAATGGAAAGCAGAGACGTTTAATGCACCCTTGTTAACTATGAAAACACTTTAAGTGATAGCATGCAGTCTGAAAGACACAAAACAAGGGGAAAGTAATGGGCAGACGGGAAAAATTCTTGTGCAACACTTCACGGACTTTCATTGACACTGTGGGAGGAGAGGAGCCAACTTGTCCTTGGTCCCAGGAGAGTGGGGGGGGGTGAAGAGGCAGCCTCCCCTTTCCCCTTCTGCAGCCAAGAGAAATACATGCTAGTGGAGGCACTTTGGGTAGGGAAGGAGTCCAGCATTCCTTGGTTGCTGTCCAGGGGGATAGTGCGAGTCTCACTTCATGACTTCTACCATACAAAAGCATTATTATTATTATTATTATTATTATTATTATTATTATTTACTTACTTATACATTTATTAATATCCCACCATTTTCCCGTTCTAGGACTCAAGGCAGTTAACATACATAAAATAGGAAATGAGGTAACTTGATGAAATTGGGGTTGAACAAGGTAGCTGTTAAGCGGCTTTGTAGCTGGTTGACTGATCGAAGAGTACTCATTAATGGTTCCTTGTCATCCTGGGGGAAATGAATGCTTTAGTTGAGATTCCTGCATTGCGGGGATGGACTAGATGACCCTTGGAGTCCCTTTCAAATCTACAATTATATCATTCTATGACGCTAAGAAAATAAACTATCAGGCACCATGCAGGGGGCTGCTGCGTGGGATCATGCAGCCTGGCAGTGATGCTCAGAGCATTCCATGCAGGAGAAATAACAGGCAAAGACTCGAGCTTTGTTACTCACAGGAGAGGCACCAGTTTCATAGAGGGAGAAACCAGTTTAGCTCTGTTCAGGTATTTTCTGCTCCTGTATTGAAAAAGGGCACACACCCCTCCCAACATTAGACATTCCTTCCCTGGAGCCTGCACATGCATCACAAACATCCTTGGGAAACCTGTAAGCAGGGTTTGAGCTCAGGAGCACGCTCCTCCTCCTGTGGCTTCCAGCAACTGGTACTCTGGGCACAGGTGTTCTATGCAAGTGTGCTACAGCATTCTGTACTCACTGCAGCTTTTGGATCAAGTACAAGAGAAGCGCCCCCCGCCCCCCTTCTTATGAGAATATTTTTTGTCAGTTGCTCTGAGAGTCTCCCAGGGTTACGGAGCACGCATTCTACATGCATGCACGCATGCATGTGGAACTCAGTACCACAAGACGTTGCAATAGCCACCTGATAGCTTAGCTGGCAGAAGCCCAAATGCTATTTTGCTTTAGAACACGAGTTGTGGAAGATGCATGTCCTCATCCAAATTCTAACACACCAAATTTGAGTCCTTTGCTTCCGGATGATGTCGCTGGCGCCTCTAAACTATAAAACAGCACTGAAAAGTGATGAGAGGGGCTGAATGAGAAACTAGCCAAGCAGATCAAAAGAAAGGGTGCAGGATCTCCTGTTCCCGAGACAGAACAACATCTCTTTTTGTGCCCACTTTTGATCCACGGTGGTCTGGTTCTTTAGAAGTGATGCTTACTCAATTACACACACAAGGGGAGGAAAACCCCACTCATGGAGCAAGAGGTGTGTCAGTTCTCAATGAAGGCAACATATGTTTTTTGACTAATGACAGGACCAAAAATGGGCTACCAACACTTATTTGATCAGTGACGTGGTCTGGTGTGCTATTTCTCTAGGAACCGACAGCGTTCCAGGCATTTGTGTGCATCTGGCCTGAAGAGCAGCCTTGCTGGATGAGACCAAAGGTCCATGTAGTCCAGCAGCCTCTTTCTGGTAGGGAGCCAGCCACAGGCAAGACAAGAAGACAGCCCCCCTTCCATGCTGCTGGCCTCATGAACCAGCTTGGAGTGGTATACTGCCACCACACAGAGAGGCTTTGTTTAGGAAATGTGGTCCACAGCAATTGAGATATACATTTCCCGCTTAGGTTGTGACAGTTCTATCCTGCCTTTCTGGAAAGGAGCTCAAGAAGAGCCCAGCTTGATCAGGCAAGTGGCCCATTGAGTCCAGCATCCTCTCTTGCAGCTGACCAGATACTTGAATGTGTGGCCCCAAATTCTAGCATTAAGAGAGAGGGGGAGAGAACATGCTATCCATTTTCTCCACATCATAGAGGATGAAGGTCCTTGTGGCCACAATCCAACACAAACATAGACAGGCTTAAGCTGATTGCAGGCTCCAACTGTTTTGCATTGTACCCATTGTGGGTATTTTTTTCCAAAAAAATAAATACATCATCACCTTCCATTCCAAATGCATCATTAGCTTGCCATCTAGAGGACACTTTAAGAAAAGACAGGATCTTTGCATGAGGATAAATAACAATGGAAGGAGGGAGCCTGACCTTATTAGCTCTAACAAAATGAATGCACTGCTTCATGGTAAGAGAATCTCTAAGCACCAAGGCTTTCAGCTTGTTCTTTTCCTCAAGCAGTAGAGGGATTTTGTCTGCTATTTTTTTCTTCCACCATTCATAGAATCACAGAATTGTAGAGTTGGAATCATCTCAGACTTGAAGTCGTCCTGGGCGGGGCAGACCAGCAACACGACAGGTCATCCTTTGGATGGATCAGAGGCAGGATATTACGGAGTCCAGGGTAGGTGCAGAGCGCTTTCCATTTTTTGTAATGGCAAAGTGTAGTTCCTCTGTTCTTCTCAGCTAGCATCCTTCAAGTCAGGCAGGAGGTCAGCAGAGCATCTGTGTCTCTTGCAGAAGTCCCAGGGTCCAGCTGCCAGCACCTCCAGCAGACGAGTGAGGAGCCAATCCTGCTCCCTCCCTGCGGGGTTCTGTTTCACCAGCATGTCCCTGGCAGAGCCAGTGGGGTGTAGTGGTTAGAGTGTCAGACCAGGGTTCAAATCCCCACTCAGCCTTGAAGCTCTTTGGGTGAGCTTGGGCCAGCCACTGCCCCTCAGCCTCCCCTACCTCACAGGGTTGTTGGGGTTAAATGAGGAGGGAGAGAACCATGAGTGCCCCCTTGAGCTCTCTGGAGACAAAAGTGGGGGGTGAATGCAACTAAATAAATAAATAAGCTGCCCCAACCATCAGCTGTCAATATTTCCATCTGGGGTTCCCAAGACAGTGTCTGTGGGCAGGGTGCCCTCAGACAGCACTTTTGACACCAGCCAAGGCCTTCTGCCCCTCCCAGTTGATTTAACATCATAATAATTGAGGGGGTGGGGTGGGGGCATTGCCTGCTTTTTTGTATGAGGGAATAGCTGGTTTGCCTGTTGCTTTGGAGGGTGTGCATTTTCTTCTTTGAAATGCTTGTTTTGTAGTACCCACGGCAGTTTCTTAGATTCCCAAATCTGCCTCCAGGCCCCAGAGGGGATGAAGACCCCATCATTAGAAATTTTGAAATGTGACAAGCAGACCAGGTTGCACTGGAGACCCTTCAGGCTCACTCTGCTGGGTGGGGCCGGGGTCTCTGCCCCAAAGTCCTGTCCTGATGGCACCACGAGCCCCAGGCTCTTCCTGGGATGCTTTGCACCTTTGCTAAGCTCAAAGTGTTCCCCTTCCCCACATCCTTTGAATAAGGCTATGCCCCTTAATTAAATGTCAACTTCCTGTTGCCTGTAATCAGATTATCCAATATAACCTGCTCAAAGAAGTCAGAAAATTAAGTCTGGCCACCATATGATTCCTTTTCACTATGAATCATTTGATTCCTGAGACTTGGATTGAAATAAATTGGAGATCAAATTGTTGCATGAATTAATTAAATCAGACGCAGTATCTTTAACAAAGCAACCCATATCCCAGACATAGGCTGGCACTGTTACTGGGAACTTAAAAGGAAATCAGAAGCTTCTTGAAAATAATGAAATAAAATCATTCTTCTGCATGTGAAATGGAAAGTCCCTAAAGGATGGATAAAACAAGTGCCAAATCACGTGCCATTGTGATAAAAGACGACTGAGCAGGGGTCTTGTAATGATGATAAGAGCATGGTGCACAGAAGGCTGCGTGTTGCAACATGCCAGGCTCCCCTTTGTAAAACCCACCCAAAGAGCAGCTGAAAGACAAGCCCTCTGAGATCAGACTAAGGGTCCACCAAGTCCAGCTGCAGCCCACATTATGCTCCATGGAAGTTAAATTAACTATGAACCCAACATTGCCTGCTTCACTCCAAACCAGTGCCAAAGTGTGGCAACAATTTAGCAGTGTTTTGCAGCAAAAATAAAAATAAAAAACCCACATTTTGCAATGTCCCAGCAACTGAGCAATTGCTACTCAAACCTACATTAGTATTTTCACTGCAAAACTTTGGGTTTCAGGGTGATAACTATGACCCCAGTTTGGGCAGCAGTTGCCCAGTTGGTGGGGCCCTGCAAAATGCTGCTAAACTGTTGCTGCACTTTGGCGCTGGTTTGGAGTGAAGCAGACAACGTTGGATTTTGGGGGTGATAGCTATCACCTCAGGTTTGAGTAGGATTGCTCAGTTGGTAGGGTGCTTCAAAATGTGGGGTTTTCACTGCCAAATGCTGCAAAATGACTGCAAAAATTTGGCATCGGTTTAGAGGGGATACTAAATGTTTGGGTTTGTAGTTAATGTTAAATAATGTTAACCCTGAGTTGATGTATCAATTACTCAGTTTGTGGGGCACTGCAAAACACCCGGGGGGGGGGGGTTGCTGCAAAACTGCTGCAAAAAACCTGCAAAACTTTGACACAGGCTTCCAGAGGGTCCCAAATTTTGGAGTTAGACATGGCTGGACTACACTTCCCATTT